GTCGGTAGTGCAGTAGAAACTGTTGCAAGCGGACCAAGGACATTTGAAATGAGCTAGGGACGTGAGGTTTTGGAATTATTAGGTGTTGAAATACGTTTTTGAAAAATGAAAAAAATATTACAAACCTAACACTGAATTAGTGTTAAACTGGATGTTGTCCACAAAAGTTGTTCTGTTATGACTATTGGCATGTCCAATATAACAATCAGCAACATCAAGCAAACCGATAACAGGTTTCCCGATGTTGTTCACAAAAAAAAGAAAGCCAGTAACCTTCTTCATACAGAAATTCATAGCGATATCCCACTTTGAGCCCCCTAGTTATTTGCTAGTACTTGTCATAAAAGTTTGATTCGTTTAAATTTGAAATTTTGTCTTTCTAATCTCCATGAAAAGCTGTCAGATTGCTGAAACAGTCATTGTCAAGTTTACATGTTAGTTTTGGTTTAATTTTCCGAATTGGGGTGCCTGTGACTTTAGCACCACTGACGTTCAGTTTTTGGATAGCTTCTATTAATGACCTTCGTGATCTCTTTTTGAAGTATGGCTTCAATAGAATCGTTGTATATACTCTGTCAGTAATAGTGAGTAGTGAGAGATCAAAATCGTTAAATGCATTCAGTATCTTTCTAAAGAGACTGTCCCTTATTATATAGCAGGGAAAGGAACTTATCGTAGCCAACTTTCTGGATGTCACCTTGCCGCCGTAAACAACAAGACCGTGCACCTTCTCTTTCAAGGCCTCGTATTACTCTTCAAAATTTATAAGGGACATCTCGATCATAGGATGAAATACTCTGTTACGCTCAGGAATATAAGAAGGTCAAATTTTATATCGCATTATTTAATGTATGTTTAATGTTCTTAGGCTGCGAAAATTAATCTGAATCAAACTTGCAACCAAATCGAGCTGCAATTCTGAAATTAATCCTGAAACATGCAAAAACCATATCGAAACATAATTTTTGGACTTCCTGTATATCACGTAAGAAGATTTTATCAGAGGGACCAAATCTATATGGTCTAGGTTTCGACACCCCTTGTGCATAGCTTTGCTGCAAATCCCCAAGAGCTTACAATTCTATTAAAAATGAATATTCAAGTAATTTAAAGAGATTGGAGTTGGATGCAAAATGCTCCCCCCCTTATCGTGACACATTATCTTTTTTTAAACTAAACATCATTTTCTAACCTGAATGATGACAACTCAAGGATTTGTATGTATTTCCAACAGTTGAAGTACACCGGTATATCTTAAGGTTGAGACTACATTTGTTTTGTGCCTTCAAGAATCTCCTACTTAAAATTTGATTTCATCGATATAATACTATACCGATGCATATATATCTTGGCCAGTCAAAGGACACACCATTTCTATTTACTCTAGTTGAAGTCCGAAAGCTTTTTGTTTGGCTTTTATAAGTCATCCAAGACCATTACTACTAACAAGTGAAAAAAACATATTTGTTACTCATTGCTTTGATTTTCTGAATTCACCTTTTCGTTATAAAAATCTCTTATTCTATTTTGATATCTATCAAATAAAATAATAACAAAAGTGAAAAGTGTTGATACAATAAGAACTATCAAAGAATACAACATACCAGCGCGATACCTAGGAGCTTTTGCAGTTGTGAAAAGAAAGATACCCAAGGGAGTAGATGGAATTATCATAATGAGATTCAAGCTGCCCAAGGTTATACTTCTGAGAATTGGGTTTTCTCGACACATTTCGTTAGTCCAACTCACCATAATAGAGCTTGCTGCACCCGAGAAGCCTTGCAAGGAGTATCCAACAAATAGCGCCGACCGAGGAACATCATATATAGTTAGAATAATCAACCCCACCAACCAAGCTACTGAAACAAACAAATTGACTTCCCATTTCTTTTTACGCACATCACAAAACCATCCAGTAAGAACAGTTACTACGATATTGACAGCAGATTGGATCGTAGGAATATTGTTTCTCTGATAAACGTTATAATCTAATTTTTCAAGCACTACACCCCAGTAAGAACCTGCATCACTCGGGAGATGATTTAAGGTGTACCCTGCGTTGAAAACCCAGAATTGCCACGAAGCAAAGACATTTTTTATTTGTTTCCAACTGAACTCTTTGTTTTCTCTAACGTTTTTCACAACTGCTAAGTTTTTCCTTAATATCTCATATTCTCGTTTATTAAAAAAAAAATTCTTTTTAGGATAATTGTTAGGAAAGTCTGGTAATATAAATCCTATTATAGCAACCGGTACAACAGTGATAATGGCATCAACTATAAAGATCCATCTCCAACCTGCCAATCCATATCTCCCATTCAATGTTGCATAAACTCCCGATTGTATATAACCCCCAAACATTGTTCCTGCAGCACCACTAGCAATGAATATTGCAGTACGCGAGCTTAATAAGCTATGCGGGTAAAAGCTACCTAAAATCTGTAAAAAGTTAGTATATATAATTAAAGTTGTAATTGAAATTACATACATAATGAATACATGGAAAACAGCAGCCTTCTAAAGCACCTTGAAAGCATCTAAAGACCAATAAACTTTTGAAGTTATGAGAAGCAACTCCACATAATAAACAAAATATTGCCCACGATATCTCTATAATTGGCAACACAAGCTTTGGCTCAAATCTAGTTAGAGCGATTGGACCCAATACTCCGAAAATAGCATACAAAACATAAAACACCTTATTTAAAATGACTAGAGCATTAGGAGCTAAATTCAATTCCTCCGGCATTCCCTAATAATTGTTAGAATTTTAACTTTTTAAAATAAAGAAAAATTGATACGTACCAGGACCCAAGCATTACTGACGTTAGCATAATCGAGGTATCTTACAAAGAATGACAAGCAGACATAGGTCAAAATTATGCAATCCACTTTGACATAAACCTTTTTTTCTTCTTTGGATAATTCTTTGGGATTCCAAAGATAAAAAGGAGCATCAATTTTCGAACTTTTAGGAGATTTCGATGTCCAGAATAAATTCCATCTTTTCTCTCTGCTAATGTAGAAATCGTTAAAAACCACTTTTTCCTCTGTGAAGTTCGAGGAATGTTCATTTATTCCATCAACCTCCACTCGAATCTGCTCTTTCTGGATCTTTTCCACCTGGGTCATCATAGCAGTAGACGAGAAGATTGTTTTCAAGAAGATTTTGCAAAGTGTACCAAAAAGATCCTTTTAAAGAACTAAAAAAAGCGGCTGCAAAGTTATATGACGGGAACCATTGCGATAAACTAATTAATTGTTTGAGGTGCGATGACAGCCACACATATCCGTAATTAAGTAATAAGGGGAAAATGTGCCTGAATCTTATTATTTTAGAGGTGACTTAAGCATTATAACGCCAAACCGTTTTCAATTATCACGAATAAGAAGTTGAAAAGTTAAGTTGGAGTAATCCGTCAAAGGTAACAAGTAATGGAATACGGGCCGATACCAACTCCACAGAATCAAACTAATCTATTTAATAGGAATCACCTGTTTTGGTGTTTTTTACAAAAGAAAATGGAAAATAATCGGGAGCTTCGTATTCTTTAAAACGAACTCAATTAAGTAGATATTTGAAAGCAAAGTTGTTGCAAAAATATACGGGTGCGAAAAAAAATTGTTTATTGAAGAATTTACACACAATGGGTTTCACCATCAGAATGAGTATGACATTCTGTTCCACCATTACTGTCACTCTTAGTAGCGGTCTCTGAGTTGGAGTCTTTCGAGTCCGAATGATCGGATTTACCCGTACAACCTTTACCAGGAACAGCTATGTCATAAGCGTAAACGTCTAAAGCATAATATCTTAAAGTAGCAGAATTTCGAACTGCTTCAGAAGAATTGCTTTTAGCTAAATCTAAGCATTCTTTATAAGTATCAGCGTAATGGCCAACGATACCCTGTCCTAGTTTATCCGTATGCCAAACCCTATGTAATAAATCAGCTGCCCAATAAACAGAATTTTTTGAATTAGCAACAGTAAAACCTAAAGAGCAAATTTGAGATAAATACTGTCTTGAAGAGTACGACAAATCACAAATCACAGTTTGATCGGTGGCATTTTCACCTCTCCAGTGACCAGCCCAGCCGGCATTTTGACAGTTATTGTCAATATCGTCACAACGGAACAAAACACCGGATTTGTCAGCACGAACAACATTATCAAAGATCCCAATAACCTCACCAGAAGGAGAGTCATCACCAAAGTATTTGCGGAAAAATTTAGATTCGTTACCAAATCTTACAGTATGATCTCTAGCATGTGCAGCCAACTCCTTAGTCTCTTGTAAAGCTTTCGCAAGTTGATTAAATTGCGTATCATTGCAAGATTTATGAATTGGAAACTCTTGCTGCCATCCATCAGTCCAATCGTAGGTCGAAGAAGAATCAACTATACTAGTGACTGTTGGTTCCGAAGAAGAAGACGCACAATTAACAGCAGCAATGAAACAAAATGACAGGAAAATGAACCTCATTATCGATATTGATCACTTAAATCTAATCTTTAGCGAAGACTAATCATCCAACTTATATACCACCAGTGATGCAAATAATTTAAGACTGAATCAGTGGTTATTAGACTTTGGCTTGGCAAGAGACCTCTAGTGATCAAGAAGTTCACCTTCATAAACGCTAAGAACAAACTATTTACAGATACCAACAATATGGGATCATCCACTTCGTAATTTGAGAGTATGAACACTTGTTAAGCCACTCAAGATCGTATCTTGAGCAGAAAACTCATTCTTCTCCATGTGTTCTCCTCTTTCTTCTATCCTCAACAGTTAATTGTTTATTGAAATTCAATAGTTTACAAAGTTTATTTAAATCATCTTACCTAATTTCATAATTGATTTTTTTTGCAACCTCAGTAGTTACATTTTAAACTGTTTGTTTCACAGAAGAACACGGCGTTGATGTTGCTTGGCAGTTGAATTGATGTATTTATGAGAGGTTGAGAAAAAATTTTTTGAGTTTGCAGTCAAATCATAAGTCAACTATATATCCTTGTATAATGATATAGCTTCTTGGCAGGATGACTTGGGTTAGGTGATTAAGGAACCACCTTATTGGTTTAATTGGAACCGAAACATGTATTTAACTAGTGGAAGATCCAAAAATGTAAGACAATATCCCTATAAGCTCACTAACGATGCAACTTAAAAGATTTTTGGTATTGATCTTGAGTAGTCCCGTTTGGGCTACTGTGACAGTAACTTCCACTAGAGATTATAGGATAGCTACACAAACAACCCAAAGTGGTGCTCGTATCACCAATGATCAAGCTAACGCGGCTGCTGGTGCAACTAGAGATGGTGGAAATGGATCATCAAGTGCCTCAAATGAGTCAAGTGCTACTGGCCAAACCACAGCAATTACTAGTTGTCATTTTCATGGATCTACTCAGTTCTGTGTTGATGGACAAGGTAGAGAGGGCTCTGTTGTTCCTGCTCCTTCAAATACAAAAGATGCTCCCAGTGAATACACTGGTTGTCATGCACATGAAACTGATACTTTCTGTATGAATGGCGATGATGAAGTTCAATTTGCTGCTGAGCTGGAGTCGTCTTCTTCTTCTTCCTCTTCATCTGGTGGTAAGAAAAACTGTCATTTCCATGCTGGTGTTGAACATTGTCTTGCTGAAGGTGAATCAGAACATGGCAGTAAACTGGCCCAATCTTGCGAAAGAGTTGACCGGGATTACAATATACCTTTGAGAATTGGTCTTTTATTTGTTATTTTGGCCACATCTGCCATTGGGGTATTTGGCCCTATTTTATTAACCAGGTTTACAAACTTTTCAACTGATTCGAACGTTATTGTTATAATTAAACAATTTGGAACTGGGGTAATTGTGTCAACGGCTTTTGTTCATTTAATTACCCATGCAGAGTTAATGTGGGGGAACTCATGTATTAGTTTACAATATGAATCAACTGCTTCCGCAATCACTATGGCTGGGATATTTTTGGCATTTTTAATTGAATACGTTGGTACTAGAGTTGTGAAAAATAGCATTGATAAGCGCTCAGCTCAGAATTCTTCTGACCATGAAGATCAAAAGGATATTAATAGCAGTGAAGAGAACACTGTTCCCGTTCATAATCACAACCACCATTTTCATGGATCAGCTCTTCAAGATAAACTTTCAGTTATGCTTTTAGAAGCGGGTATAGTTTTCCATTCTATTTTAATTGGGATCACTTTGGTAGTTGCAGGTGATTCTTTTTTCATTACATTATTCATTGTTATTTTATTCCATCAAATGTTTGAAGGTCTCGCTTTAGGTTCTAGAATTGCAGAGTTGAAGGATGCAAAGCTTTTATCAAAATTATTAATGGCTTCAGTATTTGCAGTAATTACCCCAATTGGTATGGCAATCGGTATTGGTACTTTAAAAAAATTTAATGGTAATGATCCAAGTACTGTTATTGCATTAGGTACTTTAGATTCATTTTCTGCGGGTGTTCTTATTTGGACTGGGCTTATTGAAATGTGGGCTCATGATTGGCTCTTCGGTAGTTTAGCCAATGCTCCAATGATAAAAACCTCTCTTGCTTTTGTTGCTTTAGTAGCTGGGATGATACTCATGAGTGTTTTAGGTAAATGGGCATAATTTTTTATAAAGCTGCGAATTTTTTAAAAATGTAAAATTAATATATATTGTCATATAGTATAAAATACATAAGAAAATTGATATATTATTTCCGTTTAACTTTCATACTTTAGTTCAGTTTTGATTTCAAAATTTGACTAACAGTATCCACAATAGATTGTTTCAAAGAGATGAATTCAAAATCTAATAATTTCTTAGATTTAGAATTATCAATTTGAGATTGAAGACTAAGAAGTTTTTCACCAGATCCAGGTTCACCCTTGGGGACCTTATCATTCAATTGAGGAAAATTTTCATGGATCAAGTCCAAAATAATTTGTGAATTGAATTTACCATTCCATAACAACAAACGTTGATTCTTGATACTTGAATTTTCAAATGCAACTATATGAGCTTTAGCAACATCTCTAACATCAATAAACCCACCTGTAAATGAAGGGATTTCATCATCTTTGTTTAACTTAACATATTTGTTAACAATTTCTGCTGAAAAATTCAATATATCTTTATTATTATCAAAAGCCTGAGGTCCAAATACAAAAGAAGGATTAATAACGTTCAAAGTGAAATTGACTTTATTATTTTTAATAAAGTCCCAAGCACTTTTTTCAGCATAAGTTTTGGAACCCCTATAACCCAATCTTTTATCCGTTAAGGAATCTTCGTAAGTCATATCATTCCAAGAATCTTCATTGTAAACCGGATCATCTTTACCGTTCTTTGTTACAGCAGCGAATGAAGAAGTAAGTACAACCGAAGTTATTTGAGAACCATATTTGAAAATTGCATCGAATGCATTTTTCGTACCTCTAATTGCTGGTTTTAAAAGTTCCTCTTCAATATTATTTGACTCAAATAATACTGGAGAAGCAGTATGTAGGAAAACTTTAATCTCTGGATTTTCTTTTAAAGCTTGATCAAAAGCACCTTCTGCTACAATATCAGGAACAATAACGTACTTGAAATTGGTAGACCCCAATGATTTGACAAGCTTTTCTCCTTTAGATTCCGAACGTACGGTCCCAATCACCTTATATCCCTTTGAGATCAATTGTTTGACCGTATGTAACGCTATGAACCCAGTTGCCCCTGTGACAAATACTGTTGTCATTTTATATCTTGTTTTGAATAAGAAAAAAGTAGCTCCATTTTCCAATTTTCAATAAAACCTTAAAACAATATCTGATGGCAAACAAGAGATTGCTCCACAGTTTGTTTGGTGTACAGAAGTGTGAGACGGCCTAAAAGTTCCCAAAGAGTAGATAGATCCCCCGAAGTCAAGAGGGCCCACTCTACGTATTTAGACACTGCGAACTGTCATTCTAAGGTTAGGTTGCCCATAGTCATCAAGTTCGCGGTGTTGTAATTAATCCAATAACCCTTCTCAACTACGAAGAATTTATTCAGCTGTAATCGGGATAATTCGCCGTGCTGGAAAAACACCCATGGAAAAATTAGGTTTCCTGGAATAACCTGATTGCTCGCTGTTTGGAATTTATCCTGGGGGAATAATAAACAAACATGACGAGATTTGAGCTTTTTCCTTTCCTTTTGCCGTTTCTTATATTGTATGATCATGCCTATTTGTTGAATACAAAAATGAGTTAATGTGGGGGCACTTTTCAATCTCTTTGTATTGTTTTGGTGCCCTGTTGGGTGTACGAGGTCGGTACAAATGGGGTTCCCCGGATCAAATTTTCTCCAAGTTAAGCTGCAGCGCATCGTACTTGTGTCTGTGGGGGTCAATTGAATACGCTAAAATCCTCCCAAGAAAAGATTTACATTAATTAGACTCCCCAAAGGATAATCTGAATTTCAAGAGGAGTTTCGCCGTGAAGGGGAGAGTATAAATATGGGAAGTATTGGCTCAAGAATGACGGTATTAAAACGAGTGCACCAGGAAAAAAAACGATTAAAAAATAGAAGATTCGATGATGAGATTTTCCGTGCTTCTATTTTCTCTTCTTTATACAACCATGGTTTCTGCTGCTACTGCTGCTGCTGGCGATAATCGCCCGTTGCTTCATTATACCCCAGAAAAGGGGTGGATGAACGATCCAAATGGCTTGTTCTATGATAAAAAAGCTGATCTTTGGCATATCTACTTTCAGTATAACCCTCATGACCCTTTTTGGAATCAACCATTGTACTGGGGGCATGCTACTTCTAAAGACTTGACTACATGGAACCATGAAAAATTGGCAATTAGCCCTGACCGTGATGACGAAGGGATATTCTCCGGTAGTATTGTTATTGATCATAATAATACCTCGGGCTTTTTTGACGATTCAATTGATCCAGATCAAAGGGTGGTTGCAATTTATACAAACAATGCAGATATTCAAACCCAAGATCTCGCATACTCTCTTGATGGGGGTTATACTTTCACTAAATTCCATAATAATCCGGTGCTTGACGTGAACTCAACCCAGTTCAGAGACCCAAAAGTTTTCTGGCATCAACACTCTAATCAATGGATTATGGTTGTTGTTAAATCTCAAGAATATAAGGTTCAAATTTTTGGTTCTCCCGATTTGAAAAATTGGAAATTTCACTCTAATTTCACTGCAGGATATCCTGGATTCCAATTTGAATGTCCAGGTTTAATTGAAATTCCAATTACCGGTACTAATGAATCCAAATGGGTGATGTTTATTGCAATTAATCCCGGTTCTCCAGTGGGTGGTTCTACAAATCAATATTTCATTGGTGATTTTGATGGGGTTGAATTCAAGCCAATTGATCACTTTACTAGATTTGTAGATCTTGGTAAAGATTATTATGCTTTACAAACTTTCAGTGACGTTGAAAAAGCTGATGGGGTCCTCGCCATTGCTTGGGCTTCTAATTGGCAATACGCAAATAACGTTCCAACAAAAGAATGGAGAAGTTCATTATCATTGACTCGTAATTTCAGTTTAGACTATGTTGCTGCTAACCCAGAATCAAAACTATTAACGTTAATACAGACTCCTGTTTTTCAAACTGACGTTGCCAAAACTTTGGAAAAAAAAAATATTACATTAAGTGCAAATGATTCAATTGATTTTGAAGCAGATTCGGGTGTTTTTGAATTCGAATTAAAATTTAAAGCTATAAATGCTCTTGCTCATTCTGATCTTGCCAATTTAGATTTATACATAAGCTCTGCTGATGGTAAAGAATCCATTCGTTTTGGTTATGACCCTGTAGGGCAATCTTTTTACCTTGATAGATCCAATACTCCATACAAAAATCCTTATTTCACTGGACAATTAAGTGCTTATGTTGAACCTTCATCCGATGGCCAATATAAGATATACGGGGTGGTTGATAGAAATATCATCGAATTATATTTCAACGACGGTGTCACTGCTATGACTAATACTTTCTTTATGAGTGAAGGTAACACTCCTTCCAGAGCTCAACTCAAAACTAATTTCGATGACGAATTTTACATTGAAAGTATTTCATTTAATGAATTATCCGTTTAGAAAATCAAAGATATTACAAAATCGGCACTTGTCAGCTGATGGAAAGAAGTTAGGGAATGTTTGATTTTGAATGAACGATATCGGTACAAGTCAAATTTGAGCTAACCGAAAATGTTAAGGCAAAAGAACAATCGATCGATTGATTGTGGTCGTAAATTCTCTTATCAGATCAATTAATTAAATCGCATCGAGCGGAACTTTTTTCTTTTTATCTTCTACAGACATATCTTCAATTTTAATAATTACTAAAATTACATTAATAAAACTATATAACAATTTATAAAGTATATCTAACACCAGAAGTGGTAAATTCTCTTGTACAAAGGTTTTGAAGCAAGAATTTCTTTTTCTTCGGCAATTTCTTGTTTTAACAAGTCTAAATCTAATTCTCTTCTACCAGTATCAAGATCAATATCTTTAGCTTTAATGTAAAGACTACCACGTCTCCATAATTTATGAGGAATGTAGAAAGCAAGTACCACAATTGCACCTAAATAATTTTCAAAGAAATTTAAAGCTGAAGGTTTATTTGAAGGGAATAAAGCAATCCAAAATTGAGCGATAAGAATTAAACCGATAATGGTAACCCCATAGTAAGAACCATAAACTCCAAATTGAGATTTGAAGACAAGTTCACTAGTGTCTCTACCTTGAACGTATAAAGCACGTCTGAAACGAATGTGACATAACATGATACCACCCCAAGTGAATAAAGAAGATAAACCAGAAAGAGCCAATAACCAAGTGAAAACATCACCTTCTTTAGAAGAAGCACAGACAAAACAAAGTAAACCAAAAATACATTGGAAAATAATACCAAATAAAGGACGACCGGCTTTATCGATATAAGCAAAAATTTTTGGAGCCATACCAGCAGAAGCAATAGCAGCCAAGGTTCTACTTGAAGCGAAAACTGAAGAATTACCAACGGATAAGACCGCAATCATAATGACGGCATTCATGACAGAAGGTAAACCCTTAATTTGGGCGTTTTTAATTGAGATAACAAATGGAGAAGCATTTGCATCAACAGAAGAAGAACCAAGAAGTCTTTCATCATTATAAGGAACCAATAAACCAACCAAGGTTAAAGAAATAATGTAGAAAAGAGCAATTCTCCAAAAAACTTGTTTAGTAGCTTTTGGTAAAGATTTACGGACATCAGCAGTTTCAGCAGCACCCAAAGCAGCCAATTCAGTACCAGCAAAGGCAAAAGCAGCAGTGACGAAAACTGAACAAACCCCTTTAAACCCATTATGAATGGCACCCGGGTTATGCCAGTATCTACCACCGATATAACCTTCATCATTTGGACCACCACCACAAACCAACACAATACCTAAAATAATAAACCCAGTAACTGCAAGAACTTTAATGAGCGAAAAGAGAAATTCGGCTTCACCGTAACCTTTAACACCAAAAAAGTTAATTGCTACAATCAAAACATAAAAGATAACGACGTAAGCAGCGGGGTTAGTAGTAGTATCCCAATATTGAATAGTCATTGAAGCCGCAACCAATTCCAATGGAAGCACAACCAACCATTGAAGAGCATAATTCCAAGCCAAAGAAAATGAAAGAGAAGGATCAAGAAATCTAGTATTGTAAGTAACAAAAGCACCAGAAACTGGGAAAGTAACCGATAATTCCCCAGCAGCATTAACCATACAAAGAATCATAGTAGAAATGATCCCGTAACCAATCAAGACACCAGCTGGCCCCCCAGTTCTTAAAGTAGAACCAGAACCAACAAAAAGACCCGTACCAATACTCCCCCCAAGGGCAATCATTTGTAAATGTCTATTTTTCAATTTTCTAGATAAAGGAGAATTGGCAGTCATAATGGCAGTTTTTTCAATATCGGTTAAATTTGGATCCAAATTGAGTTCTTCGGAATCATAACGACGGAAGGAGTCTTTTATTTTAGCAAATCCAGTTAATTCTGGTTCCTTCTTTTCTTCAAAATCATTAACCAAGACTCCTCCACTTTTTTCAGTGGAAGAACCATCAGCAGCTTCTCTAGAGCGTACGTAGTCGAGTTCTTTATTTGACAGGACTTTATTTGACATGATTGAAACTTAAATAAGAAAAGTGAAAATAAGAAAAAAAACTTTTCAAAAAGACAAAGGATCCTAGTCCATTTAAATAATGGAAAAATGTTCACCTTATTATCCCCATTATCAAAGGGAAATCGGTGAAAATTGGTAGGGTATTTTTCTCTACTGATAAGGCTTTCGCTCGTAGATTACAGGAATTGCAGGTTCCGCCAGGAATTTACAGGTTGCAGCACCGCCTTTTACACCTTGACCCAGTTTCTTGCAGGTTAGATGTTTTTATGGGGAAGCGAACAAGAACAACAAAAAAAAAATAAAATTAAATCGCCGTTGATATTCCCAAAACCCCTCCGTACACCCCTCCAACTACAGTAATAACCAAGCAAGTTTTGATTATATGGGAATAATTACAGAACAATTTTGAAGTAAATTACGGCATTAACAATGTCCACTTGTAAGTGGGCTCACCTAAATTGAATATTCTTGGATCTTCAAGATTGTTATCAAGGGAAAGGCGCTAAGAGTGCGATTGTACGGAGGTTTATCTGCTTATCTTTGTTTTTGCCGTATTTTCGAGATTGGTTTATCTTGTTGCATCGGTTGCCTTGGCCGTTGGAACGATATAAGACCATCTATGGGTATTGTGTAAATGTAAGGAGTTATTTGGTTTGAGCAAATTTACTGTTCAATTACAGTATATGCTTGTTCATTGATAAGAGAATGCTAACTTGCACAACTAAACTTTATTGAGAATCTCATCACGGTTTATCTTGACGTTGCATTCACCTTAACACTGCTTGTGAATCTCTTCGGTTTATTGTTTGTGTTCTTGGCCTCTTAGTGGCTCGACGAGGTTGATTGTCAAAACCTCCGTACATTTAACTGATGGACAAATTTACACAAAGCCGAAAAGTGGCTTAGGGAATTTAGTAGCTTTAGTGAGTTTAGTAGCTTTAGTGAGTTTAGGAACTTTAGTGAGTTTAGCTTTAGTGAGTTTAGGAACTTTAGTGAGTTTAGCTTTAGTGAGTTTAGCTTTAGTGAGTTTAGGAACTTTAGTGAGTTTAGCTTTAGTGAGTTTAGGAACTTTAGTGAGTTTAGTCGATAAAGCAGTGAGCTTAAATATCTGACCTTTTGTAAGTTAACTGTCATGAAATTGATGAACTGAATGCAAATTTCAAAGAAAGCCATGACTGGAACTTGTAGTGTTATATATACCGTATAAAAGAAGCTTGCACCACTTATTTGTACCCTTGAAATTACAGAGTTGTTCAAGAGCTACAATGAGTTATGGTATTGCTTATCCATCTAATAAATACTACTGATTTACTTTACAAGCTTCACTAAGTGGCCCCAATGAAACCTTTAAAGCAAATCATCCTTGCTTAATAAAATGTTCATAGTAAGTTTTTAGCGAAGTTAAATGAAAATCCCTCAATAAGTATCTCTTCATGCAAAGCATACCCCGTATTGGCTTTAGTACCTATACACTTGTCGTAGAAACTTTCCCGAACGCTCACCTACAATTTCGGATTGCAAAATCTTTTGAAAATTGCAAAATATTTTGAATATTGCAAAATTATTGCAAATTCTCAACAAACACAATTCTGCGACTTTATCGATTACGAAATCTATAAACTTGACGTATATTCGAGAATAGTTACCCTTCAGATACATCTGCCGAAGTTAATCATTCATACTCACATATAATCATTAGTAAATGTAAACACTTTGTCGAGCTTACCATGTAACTAAATAATTCAGCCAATGGAACAAGCTCAAAATGTCATCACTCGTATACTTCTTTCCATGGCGTTTATTCGTTTGTTTTACAATTTTAATTGAAACCTCATCTAGTAGAATTTTTTTGTTACAAAATCAAATTCGCAACTTCAATTACAATAGAAACAATTGAATTGACAATAATTAACCAGCATGAAACTTACTTCTAATTGGCTTTATTTTGGTTCCTTGTTTCGTTGACCCACAAACCATTTTGATTTAAAGGGACATACACGGGCTCAATGAAAATCTTCATTTGACCAATGAAACCTCATACAAATAATCATAATGTTTTAATATTAACCCCGTTTAATTCATCCAAGTTATGCATCGATTATAAAAACTGCTAAAGAGCGTTTGCGAAATTATGGTTGTCTGAACAATCTGTTGATTCGGGTCCTAAATAGATTTCTTCGGATCTAGGTTCTTACCTCATACGCCATCCCGTTCTATGAGGGCACAGTTAGTTAAAACAGTGCATCTGTTGGGGGATGTTATGCATAAACTAAATTGCCCATTGACCTTGCATTCGAGGAATGATTAACAATAAATAAAATTTTGCCAAACCCCCCTGTATCACTCGAAGAATATACCTACATTGTCTTAATCATTTATAATGATTTTGATTTCCTTTTCTTCATTAAGCTTATATTTGTTCCTTATCAAATATGTCAACTCAAACAGTAGTTGAAGAAGAATTCAAACTGAAGAATGGTCATACTATTGAAATTGAAAATAGACTATCTCATTCCCAATCGGAAAATTCAATTGATTTAGGAAATCCAAATAACGAAATTAATGCATTAAGACCAAAAAATTCAAGAAATAATTCATATAATTCAATTAATGAATCAAATGATTTACCTAAACCTAAAGAGAAAACTTTTTGGCAAAAATTTTTTTCATTAGATTCAGAATTTCATCAAAATGAAGAAGAGAAAAAATTTGTTAGAAAATTAGATATTTATTTACTTACTTGGGGGGTTGTTCTGTATATCTTGAAAAACGTTGATCAAGCAAATTATAAAAATGCTTATGTTAGTGGGATGAAAGAAGATTTAAATATGTCCGGTAGTGATTATAATTGGTTATCAACTTATTATACCATTGGATACGCTATAGCAGCAATTCCTTGTCAAATTTTAATGACAAGAGTTAAAGCTTCTTATTTTATGGGAGGTTGCGAATTAGTTTATGGTATCTGTACTGCATTATGTTCAATTCCTGGGAATAACGTTAAACCTTTATTTGCTTTTAGATTTATTATTGGTGCTGCTTCTTCTTCTTCATGGCAAGGTATGATGATTATTTTTTTCAATTATTATAATAAACATGAATTGGGTTTTAGAGCTGGTCTTATTGGTGCTAGCGCATTTGTTGGTCAAGCTATAACTGGAGCATTACAAGCGGGGATTTATAAACATTTAAATGGTGCTCAAGGAATTGCCGGCTGGAGATGGTTATATATAATCAATGGGGCATGTATGACAATTCCAATTGCAGTTTTGGGTTTGTTTATATTACCAGATACTCCGGCTAATGGTGGAGCTCGTTGGATGACAAAAAGAGAAGTTGCAATTGCTTTGAAAAGAGTTCATGATCAAGGGAGAGTAACTCTACGTCAATTCAAAATAAAAGAATGTTTGAAAGCTTTCAAAGATAAAAAATTATATTTTTTACTATTAGCTTATATGCCATGGGATTTAGGTTTAAATGCAACTAGTTATATTAATTTATGGTTACAATCAGTTACAAATCCCGATGGTTCTAAAAAATATTCAGTTGAGCAAATAAACATTATCCCTATTGCTGGTTATATAACCGGTGCCATTGGTATGATTGTTATAACCAAAGTTGCCGATATAACTAGAAAAAGAATTCATGCTTTAATTTTTCAACAATTAATTGGGATTTTTGGTTGTATTATCTTATCGATCTGGCCCCGTTCTTTAGCATTGAAGTATATTGGGTTTTTCGTCATGTTCTTGGTGCAAAGTACCGGGGCTATATTAATGTCTTTTGTACCTGAACTTTGGGCTAAAAGACCCGAAAGAAGAGCTGTTGTCACCTCAATCATTGTTATATTGGATTTTGCTAATAACTCCTGGTTAAGCTTAACTCTTTGGAATACTCGTTACCTGCCAAGGTTCTCTGCAGGTTACAAGGTCAACCTTGCATTTGAAGTTACTTCTTTAATTGGTTGTCTTCTATTCTATTTCTATCTTTACAAGAATTTACTCAAGCAAAATCAACTTGAATCCTTAGATAAAATCGAAGAGAACATCAAGCCGAGAGACTTGAACGCATAATATTATTTATTTATTCTACTCATTATATAGTCATAGAGATCAATATAGAGATCAATAGTCATAGAGATAAAGTTGTAAGAAGAAATTGTCGCAAATTAAAAAGAAAAAAATGGACGAAATTAATTGGCGGAAAAACAAAGATCTCACTTTCTGCTGCGTTTCCTTAAACAGAAAGAGAATATTGCTCATATTACAATTTAACATCTCTAACTTTATAATGGCGATGTTTGATAATTCATATAAAGATAAAGTGACTCGCTTCTTTATGAGTATTTTGGATATTCTTTCAACAATAAAATGGAAAGGGTTGGACCACTGAAGGATATAGAAAAGGTTAACTCTAATGAGTCAGCTAATAGTGATAATCCATTTTTACAGAAAGAAGATCCAAAACAAGATATCCGATTAAATACAAATGAGATTCAAGGAACAGCTTATAGGAAGAATTTCTTTGTCAGAAACTTCACGGTTACCTACGAGACCATCGAAGAAAGAAACTTTGTTAGAAAACTCGACGTTCTTCTTCTAACATGGGCTTGTTTATCTTATTGCATTAAAAATATCGATCAAAATAACTATAAGTTTGCATACGTGCTGAATATGAAGGAGGATTTGCATATGAATACCGGTGAAAGAGATGATTATAACCTTTTGAATACGTTATTCGTATGTGGGTATTTGATTGGTATAATACCATTCCAGTTATTAATGAATGTATCACCAGCCTATATGGTTCTTTCTGGATGTGAACTTTTATGGGGAATTTGTACGTTTTTATGTGCTATCCCCCAAGATAAAGTAAATTATTTATTTGGACTTCGTTTTTTAATTGGATTTTTTGAAAGTTGTAGTTGGTCTGGTATAACTTTTGTACTTTTCAATTATTATAATCCACAAGAGTTATCCTTTAGAGGTGGTCTTATAATGGTAGCCACCCAATGTGGTAGAGCATTTACTGGATTTATGCAAGCTGCCATTTATACTAACTTAGAAGGATCTCAAGGTATTCCTGGTTGGAGATGGTTATTCATCATCAATGGGGCAATTACCGTTGTTATTGCACTTTCTGGATTCTTTCTTATCCCTGATACTCCAGATAATGGCGGTGCCAAATGGATGACACCAGGAGAAATTTCCATAGCTAAATCTAGAGTTGAAAAATTGGGAAGAAGAACAGTTAGAAAATTCGAATGGAAAAAATATTTTAAACCTTTTTTAGATTATAGGTTTTATATCATTACCCTTGCATATTCAGGTTGGGACTTAGGCTCGTCTGCTACAAGTTATATAACTTTATGGTTAAAAGCAATGAAAAACAGTGATGGTACTCCAAAATATTCTGTACAACAAGTTGATTTGATCCCTGGTGCTGGTTACCTTTTAGCAGCTTTAAGTATTATTATTGTGACTAGGTTTGCTGATTTGACTCAAAAAAGAATTCATTCTCTTGTTTTCCAACAAATTTGTGGTGTTATTGGTTGTAGTATCCTTTCTGCTTGGCCCAAAAGTAATGGTGCCAAATTTGCCGGGTTTTTCATCATGTACACAGTACAATCAACAGGTCCAATCATTACCTCTTTTATACCTGAGATTTGGCGTCTAGATAACGAAGTCAGATCAACAATCATTGTTATGATTGTTATTTTCACCCATGTCATGAATGCATGGTTACCTTTAGTAGTTTTCCCAACTGATCAAGCCCCTCATTATAAAGCTGGTTACGAAGTTATGCTTGCATTCAATGCCATGTCTTTGATCGGATGCGTGCTATTCCATTTCTTTGTTTATAAGAAATTTAAACAAGAGGAAGACTCCATTGAATTCGAAAAGTAAGTTTATAGAATATTAATTTTTTTTGCAGCAAAACAAACCTTTTACATGTAGACTACCAATTTCTGAGTCTTAAAAACAAGATAAACCGGTTAATTGACTTTACATTCCTATCAAGCTCATCTTATCTCAGTTTATCGGACATTAGTAGCTCCGTTGAGTTTCTTTATTCTTTTTTTTTTTTTTTTTGCACCGGATGAAAAAAAGAGCAATACGAATAATTATAAATCAATAAGATTCTACTCTCGAACTAATCCAAATGAAGGCTGGAACCAAAACCGCAAAGAATGAAGCAAGTGACGTTGACGAGGAAGATACTATAATGTATAAAGGAAGAAGAATCTCAAGAGATGAGAGACTTCGACAAATGAGAGAATCTCAGAAGAACTTACGAAATCGAAGAAATCAAGAGATTGAAGATTTAAAGTTGGAGAATCAGAGATTGAAACAAGTTATTAAAGATTTGGAAAATTCAAGAAAGATTGTATCGGATACTAATTCAACACAAGGATTCCTGCAAAATGAGTTGATGGAATCCATTCTTGAGAATGACATCCCTGAGCATTTCCAATTTCTACTGAAATATGGCCCAGAAAGAGCTTCAGAGATATTTGTAAGTAGCCATCACTGTTTTTTCCAGCTATTTGCAGACAAGACTTTGGAATTTGTCGGAAAATCTTATCATGAAGGTTACCCTTTAATAACTAATGATGGGTTATTTCAAATAAGTCCAGTGTTTAACGAAAATGAAACTTTTTTCAAAAATTATATAGGAGAATTAATTGAATTTCAAAGGAAAAAGGAATTTCCAAAAAAGTGGTTAAAAGGAGAAAAATGCTTATCAAAGGGAGTTTTGTCACCAATAGGAATATTGAGATATTTATTAGAGTATGTCGACTTGAAAACAGTCAATACTGATATATTAATAAGTTGTATTGTAACAAGAGCATTTGCATCAGAATATGGACCAGCCATAAAAGTGCATATGTTGAGTCAATGTGTGGAAGATTCTATAAATGTTGAATTTGATCATTTTTTTTTAACGGATGAAATAAATTAGAATATGCATTGAATTAAAGACTAAGAACTATTAAAAAAAGTAATTAAAGAAGTGAATAGATTATGAATTATATTATTGATGAGTTCACTAACTTTGAATTCCAAATATCGATGACATGATTATAAAGATTTAATTCATCATTGTTAAATTTGATTAAAGTACCTTGATCAGAGGGATCATCACCTCTAAAAGCACAATAAAAGTAACCATCACAACCTAAAGAACGATCTTTTTTAAAATTATCAACCATTGAAATTTTAATATTTTTAATAATTGTTGGAATTATATCATTTTTAGGAGGGATTAAAGCAAATTTTAAATCGATTGGGTTTGAATAACTTTTTTTCATTTTTGCTATAGAGCTAAATTTTTTTCTTAAAGATTTATACCAAGTATAATCCCAAAAAAAGGCATAATTTTTTTTACATATATTTAATCCACCATTAGTCCATAGTAATTTAAGATTGGAGTCAAAGTGGCCCATTTGAGTTGAACAAATCAGTTTAGATGTTTCATTATAAGTTCCAATTGCTGCTGCATTATTATCATTGAAGGAAAATGAATTATGATTACCAATTAGTATTTGGCCAATCCAAAAAAGTTCTTTATCACCATAAACTGCTTTTGAAGTTACATCATTTAATTGTAAGTTAACACTGGCTAATAACCCAGCGAAATGAGGTTTTGTTCTATTCATTATTACCAAACCACTTTCCATTAAATGCTTTGTTCCAAAATTGAAAAAACCATTTTCAGCAATGAATGATTGATCAACCGAAATGTTGAAGAATTTTTTTTCAAATCCAGAAGGTAATAAAGATTTATAATGAATTAATTGATAGTTATCAATAAATTGAGGTAACAGACGATCTTTAAAGAAATGAGCGTTGTATTTCAAGTAATCTTCTAAATCGAAAAATTTTGAGGGATTTATAAAGGGAACAACATCAGTATCCATTAATATAATTTCTTGAAACAGATTAAATAACATTGAAATCCATTTATTTTTAAAATGAGTGAATTTTTTCAGAAATTTTTTGGAAATTGAAGGAGAAGCATCTACAAACCATAAATCTTGTGGGGAAGAATTTAAATTTAAGAAAGTTCCATTTGATAAATTCAAACTTAAATTATCTCTAGCCATAGATATTAATTTATTTTGATTCGTTATTGATAAATCTCCTTTATGTACAAATTGAATTGGTAAAGTATTTGACCAAAATCTTAAAATCTTCAATAATGAGAGACTTTCTTCAATATTATCTTGATTATCACTTATACTTATCACAATACCTTTATTATTAAATTGATTAATGAAATGATTCCAATTACAAAAAGAAGTTGATTGAGGTAGAACATAAGATTGATTATCCCAATGAGTATAAATTGGCAGTTTACCAGTGAAAAATGGGGATATTAAAGATTCAAAATTAGAACAATTATTTAAATTATATTCATTTTGTAAAAAACATTTTGAATATATTCTCAACAGCTTTAATGTTAATTGTTGATTATCATAAATTTCTTGGGGTAAATTATTAAAATATTCAATACAATTAATTTTTAAATCTTCTTTTTGCTTAATAAGTTGATTATATTTTAATTGATTATTTAAATCATTTTTTTTAATTGAAATTAATGTTTTATTAATTAAATTATTTGAATTCCAATCAAACTTTAGGATTTTTATAAATAAACATAATTGAAGTAATAAAAATAAAAATGTAAAACGTTTATTTGATATCAATCTATGAATTATCATTCCTAGAAAAACTAAATAATTTCTTGTATATTTTGATATATATTACTTTGTTTATATATATGTTTATATATTTTGACGAAATATTTATCTACTTAGGCTAATCTCCTATTAATCAATGCTTATTGACACTACGAGTTTATTACTTATAGATCACTAGTATAGCCCCATGTGTCATAACTTAGGATTTCTTTTTTTTTCCCTGATGCTTGTGTTTTGTCACACGGTTTCTCTCAGCCTTGTTTCCAAAAATAATCGTTTATGTGTTGGAGTGGACCAGTGCTGACAATTTAGCCTATCAGCGGTTGATAAAGATGCTCACCATCAACCTTTGGTTGGTGAAGGTTTGGATTGGGGTCAAGTAATTTGTATTGGAGGAATTTGTTCTTTTTTTCAGTAATTTATTTTGTGTAACATACGTCAAAAAAACGGCTTTCAACCCTAAGATGTTCTGCAGGTTGATACGCCAATATTTACAGGTTAGCCCATGTTGATCGTAGGTTTTTTTTACATGTTGATGTTAGCAGGTTATATTAGATTATTTGCAGGTTAGAGCAGTTTAGTATACTCTTTCAACTCGTTTAATACCTCTGATTTCATTTTATAACCATGAACATCAGCTAAAGGAAATTGATTATTTTTAACTTCATTTTGATAGTTGTTCAATGCAGCCACGCCTTTTTCGAAAAAATTTTCATAAGATTTAACAAACTTTGGTTGATGGGGATTATTATTCATGCCCAATACATCAGCCATCACCAAGACTTGGCCGGAGCAATATGGACCAGCACCAATACCAATGGTTGGTACGGACAACTTATTTGTTATTTCTTGTGCCAATTTATTTGGAACACATTCTAGTAAAATCAGGAAAGCACCTGCTTTTTGTAAACTTAAACAATCATTATAAATTTTAATAGCTTGATTTTTTGTATTACCTTGTAGTTTGAAACCACCCATAACGTTATGATGTTGTGGGGTTAATCCAGTATGGGCCATTACGGGTATACCAATTGAAGTAATTTTTCTTATTAAATCAAAATTTTCTTCACCCCCTTCGATTTTAATTCCATTTGCTTTACCATATTTTACCATTTTAATACATGATTCAATTGCTTGTTCATGAGATTTTTCGTAACTACCAAATGGTAAGTCAGCCAATATAAAAGATTTTTTATTACCTCTATAAACCAGTTTGATATGGTATAACATTTCTTCAAATGGTATTTCATTTGTATCTTCATATCCTAATGCAACCATGGCTAACGAATCTCCCACTAAATTAATATCAAATTGGCATTCCTCGGCCATTTTAGCACTGATATAATCATGAGAGGTCACCACCGATATCGGTTTACCCAGCTTATACACCTCATAAATATCACTTAAAGTATTTCGTTTTATACTTGAATACGATGAATATCTTATACTTGTTCTTGCAATAACTTTAAACATCGTTATAGAAGAAGCGATGATGAAATTTTTCATTTTTCGGATTTGATGCGAATACTTTAATACCGTTGCATTACATTGATGTATGGTATCATATATTCTATAGCGTATGTATCATGTATGATATCTAAAGTAGCAATGATAGTATTGACATTAAAGGTAATAAAGTACTGACATTATAGTGACATTATAGTACTGACATTATAGTGACATTATAGTACTCACATTATATCTAAGTGAATAACCGAAATTCTGTCAACTGCTTGTCAATCACTATTCGACAATCAACTTCTGACAATCAAATTTTACTCAATTAACTATATAATTATTTAATATGAACTATAAATCGTTCAACTGTCTCATCCGTAAAATCTAGCACAACTTTGTAGAGGATGTACTGGAGTTAACGTATTAGTAATGATTTTCCGTCTTGATCGGCCCGTAGTGAGTTTACAGTTTCTGGAACATTTTTTTTGTGATTGCCATTGCTCTATAAATACCAGGATCAATTCAATCTTCTCTGCAATTTAAAAATGTTTAGATATTTTAATCAATTAAAGAATATAAGATTCTTCTCAACCAGGAAAATGCCAACTTTTGATTCGTCTTTCATCACTAATCACACTTGTCTTCGTATTAAAGACCCAAAAATTTCAATTCCCTTCTATGAAAAAAATTTTGGTCTTAAACATATTAGTCAATTGCACTTACCAGATCGTACTTTATACATTTTAGGAATTGAAAATGAATCAAATAAAAATTTGAATTGGTGTGCCAGAGAAGGTATTTTAGAATTATGCCATCATTCAGGTAGTGAAAATGACTCTAGTTTCAAAGTTAATAACGGTAATGGTGAAAAAGATCGTGGGTTTGGTCATATTTGCTTTTCTGTTGATAACATAGAAGAAGCTGAAAAGAAATTATTGGGTAATGAAGTTTCTTTCAAAAAAAAATTATCTGACGGTAGACAAAAAAACATTGCTTTTGCCTTAGACCCTGATGGATACTGGATTGAATTGATTGAACATGGTGTTAATAAGGTTGAAAATAAAACCGATTTATCTTCTTACAAATTAAACCATACCATGATTAGAGTAAAAGATCCAAAAGCTTCTTTGAAATTTTACCGTGAAGTTCTTGGTTTCAAATTATTCCATACCAAAGTTTTTGAAGATGCTAAATTTACTCTTTATTTCTTGGGTTATGAATCTCCAGATTTCAAAGAAGATTCTCTTGATGTCTCTACCCAAGCTACTAAACAATCAGTCTTGGAATTAACTCACAATTGGGGTACTGAAAATGATGATTCTTTCCCAGGTTACCATGATGGTAATTCCACCGAAAACGGTGCAATTGCCGGTTACGGTCACTTTGGTATTGCTTGTGATAACGCTGAAAAATTATGCAGAGAAATTGAATCTGAATTCCCTGAAGTTGAATGGGCCTTGAAATACGGTGAAGGTCCTGCTAAAATTATTGCCTTTGTTAAAGACCCTGATGGATACCAAGTTGAAATCTTTAACACTGATTCTTTCAAAGACTGGACCGATGGTAAGCCTCCTTTATGAAAATTTAAATTATGATTATATATTTAAATAAATAATAGTATATATAATATATAAATCGATAGATATTACTAATTATGTTGCAAAACCACACACCCGTGCACCCGATGGTAGCTATTGTGGCGAGAAGTGACAGAAAGATGACAAACTCATGAAGCAATTGAAATATAAAAATCTACTTGAACTTCTTCTTTATGATATCTTCAATTCTTAGAAGAAATACTTTCAATCCAAGTTTATTCAAACGTACTTTTACTTCTTCAACAATGGTTTCTCAAGCTACTACTAATAAAGTTCAAGCTTTAATTAAAGAACACCCAATCTTTGTTGCTTCCAAAAGCTACTGTCCTTACTGTACTCAAACTAAAAAAACTTTAGCTTCTTTAACTAAAGATGCTTACATCATTGAATTGGATGAAGAATCTGATGGTGATGAAATTCAACAAGCTTTATATGAACTTACTAATCAAAGAACCGTTCCAAATGTCTTTATTGCCGGCGAACACATTGGTGGTAATTCTGATCTTCAAGCTTTAAACAGCCAAGATAAATTAGAAGCTAAAATTAAAGCTGCTTTATAAGTTTATAAGCTATAGATTTGAATTTTAGATCTAGTGTATCATGAAATTTTCAATTATTGTAGTATTTCAAGCGTAGTGACTTAATTGTTGTGTTTCAGCTATTCATACAGTGATAAATCAATAAAAAATGCCAACTACTTTCAATAGATATACTTGTAAGATTCCTACTAGTATACCTTTGGTAGTATCTTCATCTTATCTTAAGAGTAAGTTGGGACGTGTACCACCCCAAAAAAGTTAGTGAAAAATTGTGATGAAGTGAAAAGTCTTGATTGATTCCAACTGGACTATTCATTTAAAGATAATGTCAAACATAAGATTACAGGTGCTTCAGGCAGTTCCTTCGATAGACCCGATTGTTGCAGACTACGCAGTTGGGTATATTCAACATGTTTCTAATTCTACTGAAGATAGTGTTTTGGCTCAACAAGTTGATATTAATCAAGAAATGAATTATATAAAAGATTTATTAGTTGATGCTGGTGGGGTTGAGGATAAAGTATCTGGATTATCTACTACTTTGAATCAACAATTAACTAAACAATTGAAAGATAATGTTGCTAAATTAGAAATTACTGGTGATACTTCTAAAAGATTGTTGGATGTTAATTTATTACGTCAAAATAATAGTAAAAGAGATATTAATTCTTCTTTAGCTTTATTAAGTGCTAGTAATGATATTGAGCATACTGGTAGACAAATGGAAAGTAGAGTTGATAAGAAGAAATTAGAAAAACAAGAACGTAAAATTGCCAAAAAAGTTGCTAAAAGAAATAATAAATTTGTTCAATATGAAGCTTCTAAATTATTAAATGAGAAACAAACTGATGATTATGACTCTTTCTTTTTGGAAATTAATCCTCTTGACTTCGGTTCAAGTGCTGGTAAATCAAAAGATATTAAAATTGATAATTTCGATTTATATATTGGTGACGGTCAAAGAATTTTAAGTGAAGCTTCTTTAACTTTAGCTTACGGTAGAAGATACGGTCTTGTTGGTCAAAATGGTATTGGTAAATCCACTTTATTAAGAGCTTTATCAAGAAGAGAATTAAATATTCCAAAACATATTTCAATTTTACATGTTGAGCAAGAAATTAGAGGTGATGATACTCCTGCATTACAAAGTGTTTTAGATGCTGATGTTTGGAGAAAAAATTTATTAGGTGAAGAATCAAAAATTACCGAAAGAATCAATGAAATCGAAAAATTAAGAGTTGAATTTGATGAAGAAAGTAATGAAGTTAGAAAATTAGATAATGAACGTGAAGATTTGGAAAAACATTTACAAGATATCAATGATAAATTATATGAAATGGAATCTGAAAAAGCTGAAAGTAGAGCTGCTTCAATTTTATATGGTTTGGGTTTTACTAAAGAATCTCAACATCAAGAAACAAAATCATTTTCTGGTGGTTGGAGAATGAGATTATCTTTAGCAAGAGCTTTATTCTGTAAACCTGATTTATTATTACTAGATGAACCTTCTAATATGTTGGATGTTCCTTCCATTACTTATTTAGCTAAATATTTACAATCTTATGAAGCAACTGTCTTGGTTGTTTCACATGATCGTGCATTCTTGAATGAAGTTGCTACTGATATTATCCATCAACATTCTGAAAGATTAGATTATTATAGAGGTTCGAATTTTGATTCTTTCTATTCAACAAGAGAAGAAAGAATTAAAAACCAACGTCGTGAATATGAAAATCAAATGGCTTACCGTAATCATTTGCAACAATTTATTGATAAATTCAGATATAATGCTGCTAAATCTTCTGAAGCCCAATCTCGTATCAAGAAATTGGAAAAATTACCTATTTTAGAACCTCCTGAAGATGATAGAGCAGTTACTTTCAAATTCCCAGACCCAGATAATCTTTCTCCTCCTATATTACAAATGCAAGATGTCACTTTTGGTTATTCTCCTGATAAAATACTATTGAGAAATTGTGAATTAGATGTTCAAATGGATTCTCGTATCGCATTTTGTGGTGGTAATGGTACTGGTAAGACTACTCTTTTAAAATTATTAATGGAACAATTAAGCCCTCTTGAAGGTTTTATAAATAGAAATGGTAGATTGAGAATTGGTTATTTTGCTCAACATCATGTTGATGCAATGGATTTATCGTTGTCTGCTGTTTCTTGGATGTCTCAAACTTTTCCAGGGAAATCAGATGAAGAATATAGACGTCATTTAGGTTCTTTCGGTATTAGTGGTACTTTAGGTTTACAAAAAATGCAATTATTATCTGGTGGTCAAAAATCAAGAGTTGCATTTGCAGCATTATGTTTAGCCCAACCTCATATCTTGATTTTGGATGAACCTTCAAATCATTTGGATACCCAAGGTTTAGATGCTTTAGCTGACGCATTAATTAATTTCAAAGGTGGTGTTTTAATGGTTTCACATGATGTCTCCATCATTGATAAGGTATGTAGAGAAATTTGGGTTGCAGAAGATAGTAAAGTTTATAGATTTCCTGGTGATATTCATGCTTATAAGAAACACATCCTTGCAGCAGCTGACGCTGCTGGTGTTGTTAAGAAGCATTAATCTACACTATTTTCACCATATAATGTATTTCTTATATAACCTAATCATTTACTATAGACAGTCGTAGTATGTCAATGTGCGGGTCTTCCGATCTGATGTTTACAAAAAAAAAAAAAAATATGGAGCGAAAGATCGGTATAAAATCAACTGGTCTTTCCTGAATTCACTGAATACTCCTAGATACTTAGATTAAATAAAAACGCATTCTATATAATTTTGAATTTGGAGTCCGTGTACTCTTATATAAGCCAAAGAAAAAACACAAAGTATGATTCAATTTACCACTTTATCGATCAAATCAAAGGTTGGTTTAGGAATACTACTATCTTATACTTCTTTCGAAGTATACATGCAATTGAGGACCAGATACTTGGTTTACTCGCGTCAGCAGAAGTTTAGTAAGCTAATGAAGGATATCTCAGAAGATGACGATGAAGCAATAAAAAAATATAAATCTGCCACCATATCCGGAATGTTCATAAATCCATTTGAAGAATATCGACCCCAGACTGGGTTTGAATTTTTGTTTGTCAGATTGATGGAAGCAGTAGAAAGTATCTATGGTAATAAGATTGAACTTCATGACAAGTATCCTTCGCCAAGTGGTGAGTTCAAAGAAGTTGGTGATTTGCTCAAAAGTCATAAACCAAATCTTGAAATAATGAAAGAGAATGCAGTAATTTTCCAAGAATGCCTCTCCAAAAATAATTTCAAGAAACTCTTTAGTTCTTCTGGCTGGTTTAATTCACTCACTAGTAATATTCCGGCTGTTAACAATCAGATGTTATTCACATGGTTGGGTCAATCTTGCTCATTGATTCAAATATCAGGTATCAACTTCTTGACTGATCCCATTATCAGTGATCATCTTATAAGCCAACATTTTGGTCCCAGGAGGCTCATTAAATCTCCTCTATCTCTAGAAGATATAAATCATGCTACCAACAATAAATTAAACTTTGTAATGGTTTCTCATGATCATCCAGATCATCTTGAAATGGATTTTGCTAAAAAAATTGGTAATTCAGCTACCTGGATTGTTCCTCTTGGAATGAAAAAGAAATTAGCCAGGAAAGGAATTTTCAACATCATAGAAATGGATTGGTGGGATACTGTACCTCTTAATCAATTTATTACTTTACAGAATCCTGAAAGTAAACTACCTGATAAATATGAAGTTGTTTGTCTTCCGACAATGCATTGGTCTGGTCGTTATATATTAGATTCAAATCAATCTTTATGGGCATCATTTATTATAAAACGTAACGGAAAATCCATTTTATATCATGCTGGGGATACTGGTTATTGTGAAGAGCTATTTAATTTAATTGGTAAGAAACATGGTCCAGTCAAATTAAGTTTATTACCAATTGGGCAATATTGTCCATCGTGGCATCAGAAACCTCGCCATATATCACCAGAAGAATCTATCAAGATTGTTAATAACTTATCATCTAAATTTATGATGGGTGTACACTGGGGGACTTTCAAGTTAAGCTCAGAGCCAATTTTGGAACCAAAGAATTTATTGTTAGATTTAACTAGCAAGCTTAATAAGAGTAATTTTTATAAAGTACCTGAGTTTGGATTGACATACTTATATGACTTAGACAAGGATACTGAAATTCAATTCCATCAATAGATTAGCATTTATAGACTTACAATACGATTACTTACAGATGTGCTTTTATTAATTAGAGAATTGGTATTCGAAACAAATTTTCATAAATAAGAGAAGATTTATCTTTTTTTTTTTTTTTTTGTAATTCAGAGAAATACCAACAACCGAACTATTCTCTGACAGAAAAGCAAACAAAACAGGAAAGACAAGCAAGTCGGAAAACCAATAACTCAAAGAAGTGTATACACTTTTTTTGCAGCAAATGAAATGTAAAAAGAAAAAAAAATATTACGTAAAATTATGGAACATCATAAAGAAATGATAGCCATGCATAATGAATTAATAATGCAATTAAGAAACTAATGTACAAGCCGATAAAAATAATGATAAATAATTTGAATAACCCATTTGAAATGAATGGGTCAACGATGCATAATGGAAGGACTAAAACTATTATAATTCTGAATTATCCAAGAAGAAATAATTACCACTAGATTTTTGTTCTTTATCCATTTGAGAATCTAACTTATTGATTCTTGGTCTAAAAGAATTTGGATCTCTTCTAAAAGTAACATTCAAATTTTTCAAGAATCTATTACAACCAGTTAATAAAGATTCTGGAGATCTAGCATAACTGTCTTTAGAAGGTTGACCATCGAAAACAATAACTCTATCAGCCAAATAAGTAGCCATGATGAAATCGTGTTCCACAATGAAAGCAGTCTTTTTAGCGTGAAGAATAAATCTTCTAATAACTTTAGAACAGACAATACGTTGTTCAGAATCCAAATAAGCAGAAGGTTCATCAATCAAATAAATATCAGCAGGAACACCCAAGGCCAAGACAATGGCGACTCTTTGCAATTCCCCACCAGATAAAGTTTGAACTTCTTGATCAATGATATTATCAATTTTTAAAGGTTTAACAACATCAGTTTGAAATTGAGGATGTAAGAAAGCAGCTCTAATCTTTTTGAAAAATAATTGTCTAACGGTACCTGGGAATTTTGGAGCAATTTTTTGAGGCTTCATTGAAATATTTAATTTTGGAATTTCTTGACCATTATCTGGAGCAATAGCACCGGCTAATAGTTTACAAAAAGTAGTTTTACCAGTACCATTTTCACCCATCATAACCAAAATTTCCGAATCGGTGAAATCACCACCTTCCACGGTTAAATGGAAATCACCTTGAGTCTTTTTCATGGAAGGATATTCCATGGCGTTAGTACGATCCAAAATTAAACCATCGGCAGCATCAGCTAATTTAAATTGTAAGGATTCATTTCTGAATCTCATATTTTCAGTTGGAATATGACCATCCAAGAAGATGTTAATACCTTCTCTAACTGAAGCAGGTAAAGTAACTACCCCATAAACAGAAGGAGCACCATAAAGAATACAAACAAAATCGGATAAGTAATCCAATACTGACAAATCGTGTTCAACACAAATGACATAACATTCTGGAGATAATAAAGATCTAATTAATTCAGCAGCTCTTAATCTTTGTTTAACATCTAAATAAGAAGAAGGTTCATCAAACATATAAACATTAGCAGCTTGAACACAAGTCATAGCAAGAGCAAATCTTTGTAATTCCCCACCAGATAATTGAGCCACTTCTCTTTTCAAAAGACCTTTTAATTCCATAATATCAACAATATATTTAATATCATCTTTACGTTCCAATTTACTTTTCAAAATCCCACCGACATCTTTGACCGGAGATTTAGCTAAAGCTCTTGGAATATTATCAACGTATTGAGGTTTAATAATAGCTTTAATATCATCTTCTAAAACTTTAGTGAAATAATTCTGTAATTCAGAACCTCTAAAATGTTTCAAAATAACTTCCCAATCTGGAGGATCATCATACTTACCTAAATTTGGTTTTTGTTTACCAGCTAAAATCTTTAATGCGGTTGATTTACCAATACCATTAGTACCTACTAAACCTAAAACTTGACCTGGTCTTGGAGTAGGCAATCTGTGTAACTTAAATGAGTTAGCAGAATATCTATGGGTGGTTTGAGAATCTAAATTAGTTGGTAAATTAATAATATTAATGGCATCAAAGGGACATTTTTTAACACAAATACCACAACCAATACATAATGTTTCCGAAATAAAGGCAATCTTGGATGTTGGTGCCACTTCAATACATAATTTACCAGTTTTAACTACTGGGCATGCTTTACGACATTCTTGTCTACACTTCTTCGGTTTACACCTATCAGTGGACACAATTGCAATTCTAGTACTTTTCTCAACCATCTTAAGCTTGTTCCTTGTTTCTTTTTAAAGCACCTGTTTCAACTCTCTGAAATCACTTATAAAGAGTATGCCGTATAAGCAGTTGTAATAAGTTGTATAAGTTAAGTTGAACGTTAACAAATTGATAAATTTTTTCNTTTTTTTTTTTTTTTTTTTTTTTTTTTTTTTTTTGCACAGTTTTTTTTTTNTTTTGTTAGCACTTTTTTGTTAGTACTTCTTTAGTTGTTTAAGATGATGTACTGCACAAAAACAGCCTTTTTTTTTGTTTCTGCTACGTTGAGCACTGGTCTCACGTTTACGCGCGCTGTGTGCGACTCCACGCGTAATACGCAGTACTTATTACAAACTGTTCGTTTATGATTGGCTGCGCACATCCCGACGCTTAAGAAGCTGTTCAGGCGGACAGCGTACAGCGCCTTGCCGTGAGCAGTTTCCAAGTGCCATACTGCACTCACGGACCATAACAACTGTATTTGGGGAGACGGTGGTGTACGGGCCCAGTATTCACTAAGTTACCCGGACTACTGGGTGGAAGTCGTGCGGTGCTGCACAATAATCGGGTAACCCTTTTTAGCCGCCGCCCGTATGCAACTAACCCGTACACCATTTGTATAACGTCATGCACGACCTTTTTCCCAAACCCGCGAAAAAGTTTATAAAGACGACAAAATCCCCCAAATGAAATAACACTTTAACACCACTTTTGTTAGTTTTACTCGTTTTTTAATAGTTCTTTTTTTTTTTTTTTTTTTATTGGTTTTTTTTTTATTGGTTTTTTTTTGTTTTGTTAGATAGGCAGTTTTTGCAACTATTTTTCACTGGCTGCTGGGTATTATTACCGGGTTGATCAGATTAGTACTTATTCCGGGTGGGATTAGTTGGTGGAGCTTGGTGGCACTATCCTCGGCGTCTTCCAGGGTTATTGTTGTGGGTGCTGGCATTTAGTGGTGGTTGGTCTTGGTGTTGTTAGGGGATCCAGGGTTGCAATTTGGCTGCAACTTGCAGATGTGCAGCATTTTTGGATAACTGAATTCATTGGAATGGACTATTAGTGGGAAGGGCTCTGGATTAAGGTGTGTGATGGGTGCTTCAGCGATTCGTTGATGTTTCTATCAGGGGCCTTTATCCAGGTGTCGTTCTTCTGTTTAGTCTATCCAACTTTGACCAAAACCGTTTGTACGCTCCTAGTCTGTGGTGTTCCTGTGGTCTAGGTTCAGGTTTCCTGACTGGTATTCTAGCTGGCATTCTTGTCTCTGATATTCTGGTACTTCAATGGTGTTTTGTTTTCTGACCTTCAGACAATCTTTTGAAGTTCTGGTCTTGCCAATTGGCTTTGACTGCTGATTTATTTGGCTTGTCTGGCTAAGAGGTGGACTGCACGCTCAGTATACCAGAGTTCACTGAATGCTAGTAGTCCGTGTCATCTAGCGTTACCTTTTAACGATTTTCATTAAATACTTAAATACATTCAATCTTAATACGTCCAATTGACATTGTAGAAACACAAACTAAAATTAAGGGCAAGGAAAAAATACCGCCAACTTGAAAAGCCAAAAAAAAGGCAAAAGAAAAAAAAAAAATAGAAAAACAGAAAAATCACCAAAAAAAAAAAGAGGGAAAACTCAAAAATTAATTTTAACCAACGCCAGATCTTTTGCAAGTTAAGCTTATTGTCAACTTAACCATCTCAACTATCCAAACGCATTCACTTGGATTCACTAGTGAACTCCCTGTTGCTTTTTTGTATACTTGATAATACAAAACCTTTTTTTTTTTTGAATTTTTTTTCTCTTCAAAATCTATCTACTTTTCGTTGTTTAGGTTTAGGTGAGATACCCATTTCGTTTCCGCTTTTTATCATTGTCAAGTGTTATTCGAAGTAATTCCTTTTCTCTACCCCTTGCATTCCTGCTTCTACTTACAATTTGAATCAAACCGAGATTCATCTTGTTTATTTTGTTATTGTTATTGAAATTAGCCGCTCAATAATTGAAAAACTGAAATATTTTTCAATTACTTTTGATCCAATAGCTATATTTCGTTACCATTACCTATAAGCTGGTTCATAACTAGTGTTTCTTTCCTATTGCATTATCCGAAACATTCTTTGGTTAACTATCAACTGTTACTTGTTTTTAACTCTTATTCAATCCAAAACATGGTTAAACCATATATCCCACAAGAAGCTTCTCAAAATCCAGAGCTATATGGGTTAAGAAGGTCTCATCGTGAAAGACGTGGTGCTTCAATCGTTGAAAGTGATGACAGTGATGAAGATGATTTGAGGCCGAAGAAAAAATCCAAACGTAACGCTGCTGCTCAAGATTATCAAGATGAAGAAGAAGATGATGATGAAGATGATTTCGATGATGATGATGATGATGATGAATTCATGCTTGATAATAAAAAACGTAATTCTAAAAAATCGTCGAAAAAATCATTGAAAAAACCTAAGAAACCATCCTTATCTTCAGTTCCTCAAGAAGTTAGGTTTTCTTCTAGAAATAGTAAACAAGTCAACTATGTGGTTGATTATGAAGACGATGAAGATTTATTGGAAAGTGGTCCAGAGTTTGATGAAAATGATGATGAAGCAAATGGTGATTATTATTATTATCAACAAGCAGTTGAAGCCGAAGACGAACGTGGAATTGATATAGTAATGGATCATAAAATTAATAATGAAGTTACTGAATTAACCGATGAACCAAAACTCGATTACCTATTTAAAATAAAATGGTCAGATGCTTCCCATTTACATAATACTTGGGAACCTTGGTCAACTTTAAAAAATTTCAAAGGTTTTAGAAAAGTTGAAAATTATATTAAACAATTCATAATAATGGATCAGGCTATTAGAAATGATCCTCTAACTACAAAAGAAGATATTGAAGCAATGGATATAGAACGTGAAAGAAGACGTGATGAACAAGAAGAATATACTCAAGTTGAAAGAATTGTTGATAGTGATCGTGTTGAGGATGAAAATGGTGATTCCAAATTACAATACTATGTTAAATGGAAAAGACTTTATTATGATGAATGTTCTTGGGAAGACGCTGAACAAATTGCTGAACGTGCTCCAGATCAAGTTTCTCGTTATCAACAAAGATTAAAATCAAAAATTTTACCTAATTTATCAGCTAATTATCCACAATCTCAAAGACCAAGATTCGAAAAATTATCTAAACAACCTTTGTTTATTAAAAATGGTGAATTAAGAGATTTTCAATTAACTGGTCTAAATTGGATGGCTTTCCTTTGGTCAAGAAATGAAAATGGTATCCTTGCAGATGAAATGGGTTTAGGTAAAACTGTTCAAACCGTTAGTTTTTTGTCTTGGTTAATTTATGCAAGACGTCAAAACGGTCCTCATATTGTAGTTGTTCCTTTATCAACTATACCCGCTTGGCAAGAAACTTTTGAAAAATGGGCTCCAGAAGTTAATTGTATTTACTATTTAGGTAATACTGAAGCAAGACGTAACATAAGAAATTATGAATTTTATACTGCTAATCACAAACCAAAATTTAATATTTTACTAACAACTTATGAATATATTTTAAAAGATAGATCAGATTTAGGTTCAATTTCATGGCAATTCTTAGCTGTTGATGAAGCTCATCGTTTGAAGAATGCAGAATCTTCCCTTTATGAATCCTTAAAGTCATTTAAAGTTAGTAATAGACTTTTAATTACTGGTACTCCATTACAAAATAATATTAAAGAATTAGCTGCATTGTGTAACTTTTTAATGCCAGGTAGATTCAGTATTGAACAAGAGATTGATTTTGAATCTCCCGATGATGAACAAGAACAATATATCAAAGATTTACAGAAAAAAATTCAACCTTTTATTTTAAGAAGATTGAAAAAAGATGTTGAAAAATCATTACCTTCTAAAACTGAACGAATTCTAAGAGTTGAACTATCAGATCTTCAAACTGACTATTATAAAAATATCATTACCAAAAACTATTCTGCTTTAAATGCTGGAAATAAAGGTTCTCAAATCTCTTTACTAAATGTTATGAGTGAATTGAAAAAAGCTTCTAATCATCCTTATTTATTTGATGGTGCTGAAGATAGAGTTCTTACTAAAGCTGGATCTAATTCGAGAGATAATATTTTAAGAGGAATGATTATGTCATCGGGTAAAATGGTTTTATTAGAACAATTATTAACTAGATTAAAGAAAGAAGGACATCGTGTTTTAATATTTTCCCAAATGGTTAGAATGTTGGACATTTTGGGTGATTATATGTCAATTAAAGGTTACCAATTTCAAAGATTAGATGGTGGTATTGCCTCAAGTCAAAGAAGAATTTCCATCGATCATTTCAATGCACCAGATTCTAAAGATTTTGCATTTTTATTATCCACTAGAGCTGGTGGTTTAGGTATTAATTTGATGACTGCTGATACTGTTATCATTTTTGATTCAGATTGGAATCCCCAAGCTGATTTACAGGCAATGGCAAGAGCTCATAGAATTGGTCAAAAAAATCATGTTTCTGTATATAGATTTGTTAGTAAAGACACCGTTGAAGAAGAGATTTTAGAAAGAGCTAGAAAGAAGATGATTTTAGAATATGCAATTATATCATTAGGTATTACCGATCCAAACTCCAAAAAGAGTAAGACGGAGCCATCGGCAGGTGAATTAACCCAAATTTTAAAATTTGGTGCTGGTAATATGTTTAAAGCTAATGAAAATCAAAAGAAATTAGAAGATTTGAATTTAGACGATGTTTTAAATCATGCAGAAGATCATGTTACTACACCAGATTTAGGAGAATCTAATTTAGGTTCAGAAGAATTTTTAAAACAATTTGAAGTTACTGATTATAAAGCAGATGTCGAATGGGATGATATTATACCACAAGAAGAATTAGCAAAATTAAAGGATGAAGAAAAGAAAAGAGCTGACGAAGAATTCTTACAAGATCAAATTGCTATGTATTCTAGAAGAAAAGCCGCAGTTAATCAATTAAATGGAACAGAAGCAAGCGATGATGAAGATGAAGAATTTGATAGTGATTCTGGTAAAAATGGAAGAAATGCAAGAAGAAGAAATCAAGATAATCATCAATTATCCGAAAAAGAAATTAGAGGAATTTATAGATCAATTTTAAGATTGGGTGATTTATCAGGAAAATGGGAACAATTAGTTGAAGAAGGTAGTATCTCCAATAAGAGTCCAGTTTTAATTAAACATGCGTACAATGAGATTATTAGTACTTCTAAAACTTTGGTTAAAGAAGAAGAGGCTAGAAGAAGTAAAGTTTTAGCTGAATTAGAACGCAAAGCTATGGAACTGAAGGATAAAAACATTGTTAATGAAGATGGAACCAATCTGATGGCATTATGGGTAGCTAAAAAGAAGGAGAAAAAAGCGGTATTATTTGATTATCAAGGAGTTAAAAATATAAATGCAGAATTGGTCTTGATGAGACCAACTGATATGAAATTATTAGAAAGTTTAATACCAAAGGAAAATCCTATAAAATTTGAATTGCCCAAACCACCAAAACAAGTTACATCATGGAGTTGTGAATGGAATGCAAGAGATGATGCAATGTTATTAGTTGGGGTTTATAAGTTTGGATATGGACAATGGGTTCAAATTAGAGATGATCCATTATTAGGATTGCAAAATAAATTATTTTTAGAATCTATTAATCCAAAAGCTACTAAAGAAACAAAATCAGTTAAGAAAGTACCGGGTGCTGTTCATCTTGGAAGAAGAGTTGACTACTTGTTCAGTTTATTAAGAGGAGACGATGAGCAACCAACTAATGGCACTACTAATGGAACAACTACTAAAAAACGAGTACGTAAAGTTAAGGCTGAATCACCAAATCCAATAAGTAATGGTAAGACTAATAAAAAGAAATCGCAATCTCCAGAAATTATGAAGGTTAAAAAACCTAAAAAGGAACCTACCAAAGTTAAAAAAGAAGTAGAGGAAGATAATGAACTTGAATATGAAAGTATGGATGAAGATAAATGCAAATCTACTTTGAAGCCAGTTTCCAAATCATTAATGAAAATTCATAAAGGTAATAAAGGTTTAGATAAACATGAATGGGCTACAATTTTAAGAAAAGAATTGATTAAAATTGGAGACCATATTCAAAATCAATCCTCTAAACTGTCACTGGTTGATAAAACTAGAAAACATTTATGGTCATATGCTGGATTATATTGGCCTGCTAAAGTTCCAAGTAAAAAAATCACCGATATGTATTCTAGAATCAAGACCCAATCTTCGGCTCCAAAAAAACCAAAAGCTGCTTAATGACTTTAATTCCTCTTTGTATTTCAGACACATTAATTAGATACATTAGTTCTTTATATCATACATTATTCTTTGTATCATACATTAATCTTTTATACCATACATTAATCTTTTATATCATACATTAATCTTTTATATCATACATTAACTTTATATCATACATTAATTCTTTATATCAGATACATTATACTACATTATACATACGAACAATACATCAACCTGTGTTCGGGTAACCTTTTCAACTAAAATGAAATTTTCATTTTTCCATCGTTCTTTTTTTTTCAAACTCATCTCTTGATTTGTTCTGTGGTTTGCGCCCTTTTTAATTCTTTACAAACAAATGAAAATTTTTTGTAGGCACTGAAGAAAAAAAAAAAATGAAAATTGGACAAAAAAAAAAGAGTATCACCATAAAACAACTACTTCTTTTTTTGTAATATTTCTTAAATAACCACTTTATTTCGTTTTTTTTGGATAACCATACATTCTCATTTTTCAGTAGTACTTCGTTTAACGAACAAGATTGAAAAATAGAAAAAAAAAAACACATAAAGTAAAAAAAAATATAAAAAAAAAAATTAAAAATTTAAAAAAGTAAAAAAAAAACTAAATTTTTAATTAAAGATGTCTGCCGCCACCGATGCCACCCAAGTTCAAGAATCTTTAGACAAATTGTCTATTGATTCACCAAATGCTGGTTCAGAAACTACTGTTCCAACTAGTGCTGAACAAGAAGACCAAACTGAAGGAGCCAATGTTGCTGATACTTCTGCTTCTTTGTACGTTGGTGAATTAAACACCAGTGTTAATGAAGCTTTATTATTTGAAATTTTTTCTCCTATTGGACAAGTTTCATCTATTAGAGTTTGTCGTGATGCTGTCACCAAAAAATCTTTAGGTTATGCTTATGTTAATTATCATAAATTTGAAGATGGTGAAAAAGCTATTGAAGAATTAAACTATAGTCCAGTTGAAGGTCGTCCATGTCGTATCATGTGGTCTCAAAGAGATCCTTCTTTAAGAAGAAATGGTGATGGTAACATCTTTATTAAAAATTTACATCCTGCCATTGACAATAAAGCTTTACACGATACCTTTTCAGCTTTTGGTAAGATTTTGTCTTGTAAAGTTGCCACTGATGATATGGGTATCTCTAAATGTTTTGGTTTTGTTCATTATGAAACTGCTGAAGCTGCTCAAGCTGCTATTGAAAATGTCAATGGTATGTTATTGAATGATCGTGAAGTTTTCGTTGGTAAACATGTTTCTAAAAAAGATCGTGAATCTAAATTTGAAGAAATGAAGGCTAACTTCACCAACGTTTATGTTAAAAATATTGATTTACAATTTTCTGAAGAAGAATTTGAAAAATTATTTAAACCTTATGGTACTGTTACTTCTATTTACTTAGAAAAAGATCAAGAAGGTAATTCAAAAGGTTTTGGTTTTGTTAATTTTGAAAATCATGATTCTGCTTTAAAAGCTGTTGAAGAATTAAATGATAAAGAAATCAACGGTCAAAAAATTTATGTTGGTAGAGCTCAAAAAAAGAGAGAAAGATTAGAAGAATTGAAAAAACAATATGAATCAACTAGATTAGAAAAATTAGCTAAATATCAAGGTGTTAATTTATTTATCAAAAACTTGGATGATTCAATTGATTCTGAAAAATTAGAAGAAGAATTTAAACCATTTGGTTCAATCACTTCTGCTAGAGTTATGGTTGATGAAACTGGTAAATCTAAAGGTTTTGGTTTCGTTTGTTTCTCTTCTCCTGAAGAAGCTACTAAAGCTATTACTGAAATGAATCAACGTATGGTTTTGGGTAAACCTTTATATGTTGCTTTAGCCCAACGTAAAGATGTTAGACGTTCTCAATTAGAACAACAAATTCAAGCCCGTAATCAAATGAGAATGCAAAATGCTGCTGCTACTGGTGGTATTCCAGGTCAATTCATTCCTCCAATGTTTTATGGTCAACAACCTGGTTTCTTCCCTCCAAATGGTAGAGGTAATGGTCCTTTCCCTCCAAATCCTCAAATGATGATGCCAAGAGGTCAAATACCTCCTCCTCAAGGTCAATGGCCAAGACCTGGTCCAAATGGTCAACCAGTTCCAGTTTATGGTATGCCTCCAGTTTACGGTGGTGATTTCCAAAACCCAAATGCTGCTGGTTCTCCAGGTCCAAATAACCGTCAGCAAAGAGGTTACTATCCAAACAACCGTAATCAAGTCAAACGTAATACCAGAGATTTAGCTGCCATCATTGCTTCTGCTCCAATTGAACAACAAAAGAGAATCTTGGGTGAAGAATTATACCCAAAGATTGTTTCTACTGGTAAAGCTCAAGAACCTGAAGCTGCTGGTAAAATTACCGGTATGATGTTGGATTTGGATAATCAAGAAATTTTGGCCTTATTAGAAGATGATGAATTATTCAATAATCATTTCGAAGATGCTTTAACTGCTTTTGAAGAATATAAAAAATCTTCTGAAGGTGTTGTTGAACCTCAAGTTTAAGCTTTCAAAAAGAAAAAACATCCTTGGTTATGCAAAACAAGTTAATGATTTATCAATAATTTTATGAATAAAAACTAATCAAAAAAAAAAAAAAAAAAAAATTTATAAAGAAGTCACGACAATAATAATAATAATAATAACACCATTATTATCATTATTATAATAATGATGTATCTTGGTTACGAAAAATACAAAATTATGTATCTATTTATATAATTAATCTTTATATATTATAAAACTGCCAAAAAAAAATGAGATAATATTGTTTTGAATTATTTTTGCAACTGAAAAAAAGGATGGATTTTTCTAGAAATTTTGATCACAGACAAATCCGTACCACTGTAGATTTTTTCTCCCTGAAATCCGTTTTTTTTTTATGTTTGCACGTCCATTCACCGCGTGATATTTGATTGCTAACAGCTAATATACCAACTAGTTGACTAGTTGACCAAGTATATATATAGGTTGTATTAGAATTGAATATCCGATTGAGTATTGGGAAAGAAGTGTTATAACTGGTAACTATCTACTCTTTAGTTGTGTGTCTTTTGTTTTATTCTTTTATTGACTTTTTGCTTTAACTTATCTTTAAATGACTGCAACCGATATTAGAATTGACCAGGATAAGTTTGGTGAATGCTATGCTTACCCTTCATCTAGAAGAGTGGTATCACCAAAAGATTTTGAAGGGAATGATAAGCTCAAGCTTAGTGGAAGAGTCTTGAACGTGTTACCACTGTTACCAACTCAAATTTATAAGACGGTTGATTCGAGTACTAATAATGAAATTTGGGATGTTGAACCAGTTAGAGGTAATTCTGCTTTATATTCGTCGCAGTTTTTCTTGGATCAACAAACTGAATGGGAAACTCATTTAATTGGGTGGACTGGTGAATTGGTTAATAAAGTTAATAGTACTACTAAAGTCTTGAGTGAAAATATTCAAGATGATCCATTGTATTTAGACGATAGAGATAAAGAAGAATTAGAATCTAGAATTAGAAAATGTTATAAATCAGATAGAATTCATCCGGTTTGGTTGTTAAGAAGAGATCAACAAAGATGGAGGAAATATGCAGAAAACGTTTTATGGCCAGTATTCCATTATATTCAAGCACCTCCATCTGATGGGAGAGAAGAAGCTAATGCATGGCATGATTACGTTAAGTTCAATGAGGTTTACTTTAAGAAAATTAAAAGTATTTATAAACCGGGAGATATAATATGGATTCATGATTATTATCTTTTGTTATTACCCCAATTATTAAGAATGGAATTTCCAAATGCTTATATTGGTTTATATATTCATGCACCATTTCCTTCTTCAGAATATTTCCGTTGTCTTTCGAAAAGATCCCATTTATTAGATGGTATGTTGGGTGCTGATAAAATTGCTTTCCAATCAGAATCTTTCCAAAGACATTTTTTAAGTTGTTGTTCTCGTGTTTTAGGGTTTGACGTTACTAAAGATAAAGTATTGGCGTATGGTACTAATATATCAGTTGAAACTTTACCAATTGGTATTGATACTGAAAAAATTGAACACGATGCTTTTAGTAAAGATTCGGGTGTTGATAAAAAAGTCAAAGCTTTAAAACAAATTTATCATGATAAAAAGATTATTGTTGGTAGAGATCGATTAGATTCGGTTAGAGGAGTTATTCAAAAATTACAAGCTTTTGAAACTTTTTTACAAATGTATCCTGAATGGAGGGATAAAGTTGTTTTAATTCAAGTTTCAAGTCCTGGATTTTCACATAGTTCTAAAATTGAAAGTAAAGTGACTGAATTAGTTAATCATATTAATAGTGAATATGGTAATTTGAACTCAACTCCAGTTTTACATTATCAAATGAGAATTAATAAAGATGAATATTTAGCTTTATTAAGAGTTGCAGATTTATGTTTAATCACTTCAGTTAGAGATGGTATGAATACTACATCCTTAGAATTTGTTATTTGTCAAAAAAATAATCATTCGCCTTTAGTTTTATCTGAATTTACTGGTACAGCTTCTGTTTTAGATAGTGCCATTTTGGTTAATCCTTGGGATTCAGTTGGTATTGCTAAAACTATAAATGATTGTTTTTCAATGAGCTCAAAAGATCTTGATTCTTTAGAAACTGTTTTATATAAAAAAGTTACTTCAAATACTATTCAAAATTGGACTTCTAATTTCCTCACTCATTTAATTCAACAAGTTGATTCATCTCATCAATCATTTTATACACCGGCCTTGAATAGACCATTATTATTAAATAATTATAAGAATTCTGAAAGAAGATTATTTTTATTTGATTATGATGGTACTTTAACTCCAATTGTTAAAGATCCAGCTGCTGCAATTCCTTCTTCAAGGTTAAATAAAATATTGGACGCTTTAGCTGCTGATCCTAAAAATCAAATCTGGGTTATTTCCGGTAGAGATCAAGCATTTTTGGATAAGTGGTTAGGATCTAAAAATATTGGTTTATCAGCAGAACACGGCTGCTTCATGAAGGATGTTGGCGAAAAAAAATGGGCTAATTTAGCTGCTGCTTTCGATATGTCATGGCAAGTTAAAGTTGATGAAGTTTTCCATAAATATACTGAAAAGACTCCTGGTTCAAATATTGAACGTAAAAAAGTTGCATTGACTTGGCATTACCGTCGTGCTGATCCAGAATTGGGTAGCTTTCAAGCGGAGCATTGTATTAAAGAATTGAAAGAATCGGTTGCAAAAGAATATGACGTTGAAATCATGTCTGGTAAAGCAAACATTGAAGTTAGACCTCGTTTTGTAAATAAAGGTGAAATCGTTAAAAGATTAGTGTTAAACCCTCACGGGGCTAAACAAGATACTCATTCTGTGCATAAAACTCGTGATGATGTTCCAATTGATCAATTACCAGACTTTATGATGTGTCTTGGTGATGATATGACTGATGAAGATATGTTCAGATCATTGAAAGAAATTGAAGCCGAATGGCACTTGAAAGATTTACCCAAAAATAAATTTGGTTCTTATGGTGTTTATCCAATTGCTGTTGGACCTGCTTCCAAACAAACCATTGCTACATCTCATTTGAATGAACCGGCACAGGTGTTAGAAACATTGGGCCTATTGACTGGTCATGTATCATTATTCGAAAGTGCTGGTTCTGTTGATTTAGATGATCGTGGTCATATAACAAATAGTGAATCTTCCGAAAGATCAAAGTCTGCAATTAAAGCTGCAAGTTTGAAAAGGGACGCCAGTTTGAACTCCACTAAACGATAGAATTTCCCTCTACTTATTTTTATTCTTTTACTTAAATTCTGTTCTTCATATCATATACATGTAATATATACATATATACATTCATTCAAATAGTTCAGCATGGTAAGTAAATGGAACATTATTCCATCTGCGGAGGCATTAATGTATCTCCGGACGCCCAACAAAAGCTTCAACGTTCACTGCGGAATTAACTGGAAAAAAAAAAAAAAAAGAAATAAAGAGGGAAAAATATAACCGTTGTGATATTATAAGAAGATTCGATAAAATTTCATTTCTGTATTTCGAGATACTTGTCCTTATTATTCAACAAGATGTTTAAATGGGGGTTTAGATCTAATCTTAAGATTCATGGGGCAGACGAGCCTAAGTCTGCACAACTTCAATTGAAGGATTCTAAAGATACAATCAGTTTATCTAAGTTAATCCGAGAAAAATTACCAGTTATTGATACTAGTAAGAAATTATGGTTGAACCCATTTTTATTCAATGGGACTTTACAGACATTGTACTATACGAGTCACGATAGTTCCAAGAAGTTTCTTGTTTATTATGGTAGGGAAATTTTCCAATACAATGATGGAGGAATTTGTTCATTGGATTGGGTGATTCCTAAACCAGAATCCAAAGAAGAGTTTGATAAATTGTACAAGGAGACCCTTCCTGAAGACTCACCACGTTTACACCCAAGATCCAGATTTTTCACCAAAGAAGAGCTTTCAATTAAAAAGCAAGGATCAACTGAAGAGACCAGTCCAATTTTAGTTATTTTACATGGATTAGGAGGAGGATCTCATGAACCGCTTATTCGTAATTTAGTTGAGAAATTTAAAGAAGATTCCAAATCTAAAGATTGGGATATTTTGGTTATTAACTCCAGAGGATGCTGTCGTACTAAGATTACTACTGGGAAATTGTTCACTTCATTTGCAACTGACGATATCAAAGAAGTATTAGTTGAATTAAAGAAAAGATATCCAAACCGTCCAATTTACACTGCAGGTTTATCATTTGGATCTATATTAAATGCTAATTTATTAGGTAGTCAAGACCCAGAAGTTAAAAAATTGATTAAAGCAAGTGCATTAGTTGGATGTGCTTGGGATTTACATGACAGTGCCTACCATATTGACGCCTCATGGACTGGTTCTTATTTATTCAATCCTTCCTTAGTTAAGTTCTTAAATAAAATTGTTAAAAACAATTTTAAAGAATTGAACAGTGCTGATCCTAAAATTTTTTCAAAAGAAAGTTTACAGGAATCGAAGTCCCATACCAAAACTTGGCAATTTGATTCTTTATATACTTGTAGAACTGCTGGTTATGATAATGCTTTTGATTATTACCGTGACGCTAGTCCGGTCAGAAGATTGAGATACATTGATGTACCAACCTTAGCCATTAACTCTACCGATGACCCAGCAGTCTCCTGCAGAATTCCTTGGATGGAAGCTGAAAACAATTCCTATGTTAATATTCTTGAAACCGATTTGGGTGGTCATTTGGGTTATGTTCAATACTCCGGTGAATTCTGGTGTACTCAAGTAATCCACGATTACTTAACTGAATTCGAAAAATTAATTCAATAGATAGATATAGAACGTTTGTGTTTCATTATTAACAGTTTGTATTGTGTTCTTTTCGCAGCTATTTTCTTTTGTATTCTACATCTTTCCTTCGACTACTCTTACTCCTAATCCTTCACTCTATGGTCCACGGTGTTCTGAAGGCTGGTAGTTAGAATACCCTGGCTCCTCTTGCCATAGCTGAACCCATTCGAATACTTGCCAATACGGTGTTTTGTAGTTTGTGAGACATAGACCCTTCAAACAATGCACATTTTCACTTACTCTTGTGTCCATAAAAGCAACGATGGCCCCGATACAAATTACTAACTGAGTTGTACGCCTTGCCCAAGGCGAATAGTACCGGTAAAATGGTAAAGTGTAAGATGAGATGGAAAAAAAAAATAGAATAGCGCAGCTTCGCTTATTCTTTTATTGCTCATCTTCCTATTCCCAACCCTATTGCTAACGGAGCAGCAATCGGTCTATTGGGTCGGCCAATCCAAAGTTTTTTTTTAGAATACCTACGAACTAAAATACAAAGCTTTTTTGCATATGAACTACATTTGTGGGAAGTTAACGTCAAGAGCATTCGTTTTTCCATTGGTCCCTGTCTCCCTTGTTGTAAATCCATAGACTGAGAATGTAAATGGGAACTTCTTGCCGGTTGAGTACCGTATCGACATGTACTCTATGTAGAACAATCTGCTAATTGACCCTTGAGATCGACCGAACCATCGTCTATTTTGCCTTTAATTTAAATTTGCTATCAACTTAATAGTGTCCCTTCGATGGAAACACGAAAAGCGACCGGAAAAAAAAAAATAAAAAAAAAAAAAAAAAAAAAAAAAAAAAAAAAAAAGATGTTTGGTGATCCTTTTTTTATTAAAGAGACATCGATTCTTCATCTTAACTCAAGCACAGCTTTACTTTCAATCTCACCAAGGGGAAAATGTTTAAACATAATGTCAAGGACTTGTCCCTTTTCGAAATCAAACTCAAGTCACACCACAAGGACTTGATACTTGTTAAGGGGAATGAATATGAATCCGATCCCATTCCTTTTGAAGGAAGTGTCAAACTTCTGATTCCTCAGGATATGCACGTTAAACGGATTAGACTTTGCTTAGTTGGTGAATTGAATGTGGAATTTTTTGAACGAGATGAAAATCGAGTTATTGTAGATCAAGTATATGATCGTTTATGTTTATTAAAGACTGAATGGACTAATTTATTAACTAATGCTCATGGGGAAGTTAAATATGGTAATTATGGTGATACTTTTATTCCTTTTAATAAATTGGAGTCAAAATTGAAAAAACAATTGGTGAATTCAAAACCAACATCTAAAAATGGTTCTAGAAATAGTTCTAGAAATGGTTCAGTTGTTAGTCTTGATGCAACTAAACAACAATCATCAGGTAATACTTCTCCTTCTAATAGATCACCATCTCATTCACAATCGACCCTGTTATCTAATATTCAAGATGATCCAACCCAAGATACTGAAAATACTTCAGCCGCACCTAATGCATCAGACGTTTCTTCTCCTTCGGATAAAGATCGTTCCAATTCATTTTCCCAAGCATCTAATTTACTGAAGCCGCCTTCTCATACTTCAGCTCGCCCTGCCTTTATCAGAACCAAGTCTCAACCTTCTCCTAATAAACTTTCAAGTCAAAAAGATTCTTCAATTATAAAAGTCCCCAAGTCAGGTATAGATGGTACCCCGTATGAAAATCTCAAAACTTCAAGTTATCATTCATTTCTTTTACCAAAGGGTAATTACAATTTACCTTTTAAAGTTAATCTCCCCGCTAATGTTTGTGAAACGGTGGAAGGTTTGAATCCTGGTAAAGTCTTATATCGTATGGATTGTATCATCGAAAGAGGTCGTTTTGAAAAAGTGTTCCATAAAACAAAACATGTTAGAATTGTTAGAACTCTTCATCCTCAGAATTTAAATTTGGTAGAAAGTATCGATATTAATAATACTTGGCCTGGGAAAGTTCAGTATAATGTTAGTATACCTAAAAAGGGTATTGCGCTTGGCTCTTCGATCCCAATTCATATTCTTATCGTTCCAATTGCAAAAGGATTAAAATTGAAAAACATCAGTGGGGTTATCGTTCAACATTATAATGTTCAACATTCAGAAGGTAGATCTCCGGAATTCGAAGAATTATTCGGTAAACAAAGTTTATCAATTGGGGACCCTTCTACTTTCCCATTAGATCAATGGAATATCAAATCTCATTTCAAAGTTCCTGAAAACCTTAAATCAATCACTCAATCTTGTGATTTGAAAAACAATATTGTTCAAGTTAAACATCGTCTTCGTATTTCTATCCAATTGAAAAATAAAGAAGGACATGTTAGTGAATTGAGAGCTAATTTACCCGTTTGTGTCTACATCAGTGCTAATGTTGGCCATGTTATTGGTCGTCACTTCGACGTTGATCATCATCATGGTACTTTCACTCCTGTTAACGATAAAGAGGATATTCTTTTCAAGAAAGATCGTGATAGACAACATTCAAAAGATAATACAGCTAATCCTCAAAGTCCACCAGCTATTGAAGAAAATCATGATATCACGGCTGATGATGATCAAGATGCTGAAGATGATGAAGACTTGGATCGTGCAGAAGATGCTCCTCCTTTATATCAACAACACGTCTTTGATAAAATTTATGATTCTTCCCTTCCACAAACTCCTTTAGAACAATTTCGTTCTCAAAGTATGGCCAGCTCTCCCGTGGGCTCAGCCCGTCCCTCCATGCAAAATGTTCAAAGTTATTTTGATATTCCTAGAAACATTGACAGCTATCTTGATAGTAGTAATAGTACTCCAGGGGTAACCTCGACTACTGATTCTGCACCAGGATCCGGTCCAAATTCCAATCCTATTTCAACATCAAACTCTTTTTCTAATTTAACTGTGCCCAACTCACCTAATGCTGGTACTTATGATCATAACCAGTTTCTTTCCTTACTTGCTAATGGTAAAAGCCGTGGTCGTTCTGGTTATGCAAGTGGAGCTCGCTCTCCCAATCTCGATATCAATGTTTTACTGAAAGTTCCATCTTACGATCAAGCTGTGGATGATGACGACGATGATGATACTAATGAAGATTTGGCACCAAGTTACGATGACGGTTACCCATCCCTTAGTAAATCTGTATCCATAGCATCCATGGCAATTCCTTCTCATTCTAAAACCAATCAACATCATTATCACCTTTCATTACCGAAAACACCGAAGTTTGGACGTCATAAACAAAATTCAAATATACCAAGTAGTGCTCCCCACTCTCCTGTAAGAGGATTCGAGCCTAACACTAGCTTCAGTGGACACTCAATAAGTGCCCGTTCTTCAAGCACCGATTTGTCTTCAGGTAAACCTAGCTCAAATCTTAAAATTCACGGTGTCCCCAAAATTTTGCATAAGAAGAAATAATTTACCGTGTCACTTTTAACCTAATTCACTCCTTTAACGATATTCAATTCTCCATAGATCCTTTTTAAAATACATTTATTCAGTTCTTAATTTCTTTAGATGTTTAATATATTATTGTAACTCCCGTACACCAGCAGTAGTAACTGGAAAAATCTTTGACACGAATGTATTTTCTCTCAAAAATGAAAAATTCACTTTAGACTCTTCATAACACCCCAATTACAACCCAAGTATAGAATGTCTGCTGTTCCTGCTGGACCTCCAGGTAGTGGTACTGTTCCAATCAACCCATCACAAAGATCTCCGTTGATTATTTCTGTTGCAAATTTCTTAAAAGACAACAAAATTTTAAAACAAAGAACTGGGTTATTGAATAATACCGAAGAAGCTGAATTTTTCAGATTCAAGAGATTACAAAGAGCCTTATTGAGTGATGAGTATAAGAAACAGCAAAAGAACCCCAAGTACGAGTTGATCCCGATCAAAGATGAGGAAGAGGCCAACAAAATATTCTTACAATTACTTTCATCCCAAATGATTATACCAATTGATAAATTACACTATAGTGAAATCAAACAAGTTAAAGGGTGGAAACCAAATAGATCCAAGCCAACTTTAAGACCATCTAAAAAGGCCAGTTTTGAGCCAAATGGCTATTATGTTTGGAATTATAATAAACCAAATCCATTCATTTTATTATATAGTTTCTTATTCATTGCTGGTGTTTTTGCCATTATTTTATTCCCATTATGGCCAATGTTTATGAGAATTGGGGTTTGGTACTTATCCATGGGTTTGTTATGTTTGATTGGTTTATTCTTTTTAATTGCCATCATCAGATTAATTATATTTGCAATCACTTATCTTGTATTACCTCAAGCATTTTGGTTATACCCTAACTTATTTGAGGACTGCAGTGTCATCGAGAGCTTCAAACCTTTGTATGCTTGGGACCAACCTAAATCCAGTAAAAAGAAGTCTAAGAAATCAAAAGGTGGTTTGTCTGAGTCTTCTGATTCTTCTACATCTGCTACTGCTACTGGTTCTGATTCTACCGGTTCTGGTTCAACTACAAAACGTAAGGTTGTTTTAGAAGAAGTCGATGAGTAATCTTTTCTGTCTATATCATGTATACTAATGTTCATTCTTGAAATGTAACTCAATAGAATATGCTTTATTTAAAATGGAGTATTTGTTTAGTTGTAATTGCGATAGCGTATTCTCACTGTTTGTCTCTTTTTTTAGAGTAAAATTAAGTGACCGTGTAGATCGCATCCTTACTTCCTTACAGTCGAACCTAACAACCTGTCTTGAGTCGAGTTTCTATTCTTTGTTAAGGTTGAGGTGGTATATTCAGTGGGAATATTGATTACTGGCTTGTAATTGATTTTTTTTTTTTGACGATTTAATCCTCTTTAAGTCTTTTCTTGTTTAGATATCGAAATATGGGGGTGGTTATCAACAATCTTACATTTAATCAAGATTACTCCTGTTTATCGGTGTCGACTAATAGATATCACAAGATCTTCAATTGTGATCCATTTGGAGAGTTTTACTCTTCCAATTCTCAATCGTTTAAGAAATCGCTTACCAATTCCATTGGCAATGATCATGATTTGATTAGTTCCGAGATTAAGAAGATTGATGATAATAGCAATGACGATGATGATGACATATATCCTACTGCTTATTTGAGAATGTTATTTTCAACCTCATTGACCATTATAATCCCGCAATCGTTTAGTAAATTGGGGAACAGGCTACTCAAGATCTATAATTTGAAGCAACGATTAAAAATATGTGAATTGACCTTCCCCTCGAATATTATTGATATCAAATTGAATCGGAAACGATTGGTTGTCTTTTTGGAAATCGGGCAGATATATATTTATGATTTGAGTTGTGTTCGACTTATTAAAGTGTTGGAGATTAACTCATATCTTCATGACTCAATTGATGACGATGACGACGATTCACCAAGGACAATTACTGATGAATTTATTGGGGATTTAAGTACTGATGACAAATCATACTTAGTGTTACCAATATCGGTTATAAATGAACAAACTGATTTATTTAATAGCAATGATAATGTATCAAGTAATGGGGATGTACAATCATCCCCATTGATTAAGCCAAGTGATTCGGCAATTGTTAATTCATTGAATTCAGTTATTGGTTTCACTCAAAAGAATAAACAATCATCATTATCTACAAAAGAACATATAAGTTTAGAAGATTTGAAGAAAGATTCCAATGGATGGATTTTAATTTATGATACGATTAATTTACAGCCTAAATTAATATATAAAGCACATGATGCATCAATTGCGAAGATCACTATATCAAACGATAGCTTCAAGATAGCCAGTGCATCAACAAAGGGAACAATTATCCGAGTATGTCATTTAAAAGAAGAATTTGAATCGACCAAACTTAAAATTATTCAAATAACAAATTTAAGAAGAGGGCATAATTTAGCTAGAATCAATGCATTAAGTTTTAGTCTTGATAATACGATATTAGGATGCGGGTCTGAAAGTAATACCATTCATTTTTTCAATTTGGTTAAAGAAGATTCAAATCAAGAAGAGATAACCACAGACGATTCTAGCTATAAAAATAGTGAATTGAATGAAAATGAATCGGTGGTCACCTCTAACAACGATGAAGACGATAGTGGTAGGTCTTCAGAAGACTTGAATGAGAACTTAGCAAACTTATTAATTTCCAAAAGACCTTCGAATGCAACAATGACAAGTAATAATTCAGCAGGAGAAGATCCTATCCCGAATAATGAAGATGCAGAATTATCAAATAAAAATAACTATTTCTCCTTGAATACTTTGAAAAAGACAACAAAATTAATTAACAACCAATACACCAAATCAATCATTAAGAACTTACCTTATAGAGAATACTTTGATAATTTAATTTGGGAACCTCCTCGTCGTTCTTTTGCGTACATTAAATTACCAGAATACACTCCTCCATCATTCGATACCCGTCACAAAAATCACCAAACCCTGGGTCCGTCTTCTCCCCAAAGTATCCCTCATCCCAGTTCCGATTCTAAACATAAAGTTGAAATCGGCTTCACTAACACCGGCATCATCATGCTAGCATCCTACCAAACAGGCAACTTCTACCACTACCAATTGCCCAAACATGACATGAACGACGATTCAAGAGAAGAATGCTATCTCATCAACCAGTACACCCTTCTGTAACCTAATACATACTCATCTTCGTACTACCATTGCTGCAAAAAGCATCCTTTTGTTTTTTTCGCTATAGCCTCGGACTTTCAGTCCTACCCCTCGTCCATACCCCTTATCGTTTCCCGGAAACTAACTCCACAGAAACTCAATTACTCTCTGTCACTGGCCCTTGCCATGCTAGTTAATCTCTGTAACAACACGGTCTATGTAGTATACATAGATACAGACATGTATATATTGGATCCCGATTTATAGTGTAGTGGTGCGTGTATTGATCGAAAGTTTGGGGTTGCTCGAAATGAGAAGTCAAAAAAAACGGGAAAAAATTTCCATTAATCCCCCTCCATAGTTAAACAAACGGTGGTATCCCTTTGCATATATAAGAGATTGAATCCTCTGAAATTGGCCCTCGTACAAGTTTACTTTTCCTTTCGTCATGCTAAGATCAAATATAGCTTGTGTCTTTAATAGTACCAAATTAAGGTCTTCTTCAGGTATCAAATCAATCAATACGATAACAACCAGAATGTCATCTAGTAAAAGCAGTGTTAATTCTATTCATTCCCAACCAGCAATTAATGTAGTTGGGTATGCTGAAGACGATGTTTTATTTTCCAATAAAAACTTATCTAGAGTTATAACTTTGAATAGACCAAAGAAGTTGAATTCTCTTAATACCTCAATGGTATCTAAGATTACACCAAGATTATTAGAGTATTCCAAATCTAAAGTCAATAATATGATTATTTTGAATTCTAACTCTCCTAAAGGGTTATGTGCTGGTGGAGATGTTGCTGAATGTGCTAATCAAATTAAAGAAGGTAATCCGGGTTATGCTACTGATTTTTTCCAAAGAGAATATAACTTAAATTATCTTATTTCAACTTATGCTAAACCTTATGTTTCCATCATGGATGGGATTACCATGGGTGGTGGTGTTGGTTTATCAGTTCATGCTCCTTTTAGAATTGCTACTGAAAAAACTAAATTGGCCATGCCAGAAATGGATATTGGGTTTTTCCCCGATGTAGGTACTACTTTTTTCTTACCAAGATTGGATGATAAAATTGGTTATTATTATGCTTTAACTGGGGAAATTTTAAGTGGATTGGATGCTTACTTTGCTGGGTTTGCTACTCATTATGTTCCTTCTGATCGTATTCCTGCTTTAATTAATCGTTTATCTAATTTACAACCTCCGGCTTTAAATGAACAAAATCCAAGTGAAAATGAATCAAATATTTTGGAATCAAGCCGTGAATATTTCTCCCAAGTTAATCATGCAATTGAAGAATTTACTGAAACTAAATTACCTAATGATTATAAATACCCATTGGCTTTAGAAGAAATTCAATTGATTAATCAAGCTTTTAGCTCTAAAACTATTGATGAAGCTTTAACTATTTTTGAAAAACATGGTAGCGATTTTGCTCGTAAAACTTTTGCAAAACTCTCGGCCAAATCTCCAACTTCTTTAAGAGTTGCCTTTGAGTTGCTTAATAAAGGTGCTCAAAATTCTATTCGTGATCAATTTGAATTGGAATTAGTCACTGCTTCAAATATTATGAATAGAAAAATTGAAGAAAATGATTTTGTTAAAGGAGTCAGTCATAAATTAATTGAAAAAATTAAAGAACCTGCTTTCCCTGATTGGACTCCAATTGAAAATGTTAACATTGAAGCATTATTGAAGAAATCAATTCAAACAGTTAAATTACAAAATCCTTTAATTGAACAATTCTTTGGAGTTAACTTTAATAATTATCCTTTCAATATGGGTTTACCAAATAATAAACAAGTTGAAGATTATATCACTGGTAATGATGGTTCAGGTAGATCTTATTTACCAACTCCATCGGAAGTTACCAAGCATTTCAAAGCCACTGGTTATGATAAGTTGGGTCTTGATATTAAATTAGGTAAAATCTTAAGTGTTCATGGAGAAGCTTCTAAATACGATAATAAATACGTATCTTGGAAAGAATAATTTCAAATAAAATTTAATCATTTGTACATAGACTAATAAATTTTCTATAATTTATTGATACCAAAATTTTTTCATTGTAGAATTACATAAAAAAAATTCATTTAATATTACAAAATACTTACTTAAATTTTTCTAAAACCAAATCTTCACCTAATTCTTCATAATCACTTTTAGTTATAAACCAATTGTCTAAAGCAATATTTGTCCCACTATTTTCACCTTCATCAATATTCAGTTCACTAAGCATACTTGCTAAATTACTTGCACCTAACCAACTTCCAAATTGTTTATCCCAAATATTATTAATATCTCCAAGAGGATGATTTTTCAAAGCGGTGGAATATAATTTATAACTTTGGATAGCTGGATAATTGTTGAAATACATATGAGAGCTTCTTTTCAAATCTTCAATAACTCTTTCAGTTAATCCATTCGCTAATGATCCACCACCAGTGATAACAATATTCGATAAAAGATCTCTTAATGTTTCATTAAATTTAGCATGAGCTGAATGCAGTGGGATTGTGGTACCTGCGTGTTCATTACTAAAGGAAGAAGTGATTTGGTGTTCCAAACTTTTCAAAGTAAATATAATTAATTGGGACAAACCTTGAGTTTGAGGTTTGTCAATAGTTGGTTGAGGTATTGAAATATTTGGTAATTGATAAGCGTGGGGTTCGAAAATTGGTTCCAATAAACGATGTTTTTCATCTTGATTAACTGTAACATAAGAGTCATTATCTAATTGATAATTAACTGGTTCACTATAGACTTGAGGAGGAAGGGCTAAATATGGGTTATATTGTAAATTATTTTGTTGTTGTTGTTGTCTGATTTGAGCTTCTAAAATTGGACTCATTGATTTAATTGATAATATTGAACTTTTAAAATCATGTAAAACATTATGACTTATATAATAATTTTTGAAAGATTCTGATAATTGCAATTTAGAATCTTGAAATTTCTTTGGTAATAATTGATTGAAGTAATCATCTCCTAATTTTTTATTGAAATAATTTAACGAATGTAAGTTAACAAAATCTCCGGCATACTTATTATGGAAACAGGCTTTTGATTGAATTATCCCATCAACAATTGGAGTCACACTAGCTATGGATGAACCAACATCAATAACAAGCCCACTTGATCTATTCATATGATATAATTGGGCTAAAGGAGTTTTAACTAGAGCAAATATTGGCACTTCTAAAGTTTCAAAAGCTATTTGAGTAGTGGCAAGTTTATTCTTACTAGTGTTCCAAGTTGGTTCTGTTAAAAGCAATGGATAATCTTTTGAATCAACTTTATTACCTTGGTCAATATTATCATAAACATAATTCCAATTATCAACGATATGGTCAAAATTATATATTAATCCATTATCGAAAACAGTCATTACTTCCCCTTCAGGATTGGTTTCAATTGTATCGTCACCGATGTTTATTTTCCCATCGGATGTACTGGAATAATTGGTATTGAAAACAAGTGAAGGTAAATCATCCAGGGCAAACCCTGCCTTGGTAGTATATGAACCATTGTCTATGACAACGGCTGGAGAAGTGTACGTCATTAGCAAAGGTGTAATCAATAAGAACCAGTAATAACAAAACTCTAATTGATAACCAAAGTCTTAGATGAGCTCAGTAGATTTGTATGGAATGGTAATATCAGTAGGAAGTTGTTGATGTTTTTGTTCGTTTTTTTTCTCAGTCCTCCAATTGTACGGGTGTTTTGTTTCCGGGTAATAAAGGTGAGATTTTGCAACTTACTCTATTACTCTATTACTTTACTACTTTGTTACTCTATTACTTTATTACTTTGATATTACTCTACTTAAACTGCTGCTCTACATTTCAGCACTTACATGGAATGACTGAGCTGTGTCTTAATTAATTTTACCTGATTTACTCAAAGGTTTTGCCAAAAATCTCCAGAATTTAGGTAAAACTAGCAACTTCTTACATTACACCAGTCAATAAGAACATATTAGAACACTATAAAGACTACTTATTTTCACTGAGTTTCAGCTTCAAGAGCTTGTTTTCGTTACGTAACAAGCCCAATTCAACCAATAAACTCAGCTTATTACTATAACTAATCATTTTCAATAAATTTTCATTTTCATTGGATAAGATTGATAACTTATTGATAATTTTATGGGTTAATTCTTGCTCATCAAATTGACCATTTAAGGAAATTGATTTCTGATTGTCATTAGTGATAGAACAACTAACCAATAACGCTTCTAATCTTTGTTTTGTATTTTCTAACTCAATTGTTTTTTCATTAAGAGCCTGGGTTAAATCTCTAAATAATTGATGATAATTAGCAGGAACCGTCATTGAATCTAAATTTGTTTTTGGATTAATCTTTTGCAAAGACTTCAATTGTTCAGATAAGTTATCAATTGTTTTATTTTTCAAAGCCAATTCGAAATTTAATTGTTCAATTGATTTATTAGTATCATTGTTAACAAAATTAGTATAATCATACGGATTATAACTTTGAGCATTTACGTTTAAAGCAATCGGACGCTTCAATTTATCATCTCGTTTAATCTGATTTCTCGTAATATAAGAATCAGAATTGTACCTAGGTAATGTATTTGTTTGATAATTCCCATCTTCATAATATAACATATTTGGTAGAACATCACCGCCAGGGTTAGCAACCGGTCTCCAAAACTTATTTTGGGCCAAACCAGGGTTGGCGCTTGATTTGGCACTCGAATAAGCACTGCCCAAGCTGGTTTCACGAAGATTTTGGATCATCGAAGATGATGAATGTGACGAGTCACCGTCAACCACATCCAAGTACTCTTGATTGCCTGCCATCCCTGGCGCCGTCATATTTGTCATTCCAGACACTGTCATACCCGACATCGTCATACCAGCCATACCAGCCATGCCAGCCATGCCAGCCATAGACATACCGACTTTCAGGTTATTCTTATAAGTTAGTAAAAGATCAAATGCGGGAGAAATCTGAAACATACACTCTGATAAGAATCCATACTAAACTGTTCTACTTGTCCTATTAATTTGGTACTTGTAATTCTGATACACCTGTTACAACAATACCTACTTGTATCTTGTACACCGTTATACTTGTATCTTGTACACCGTTATACTTGTATCTTGTACACCGTTATACTTGTATCTTGTACACTTGTTACAAGGAAGAAGTGAGAAATTTGGGTGTGAAATCATTTTGCAATTACTCGCTCTACACACAATATACAAACACATAATATTTATCTAAAAACCATACGCAGCGTTACCGGCGCCACCAGCGTTTCCAAGCAACTGCTTGAGCATCTCGCCGTTGGGCGAGCTCAACACCTGCTGGGGGAGCTTCAAGATACGGTCCTCCAAGTTCTTCCCAACCAAAAACTCTAATAGCACATCGGTGAAGTGATTACAGTTATTATCAAATAAATCATATTTGATGGCAGAGTATTTCATCTCTTCGTGGTTTTTCAACTCGTCCAAAAAATCTTCAAGGATGTCTTCCGTCACGTAGGTGTGGCCCATGTCAATGACCTCCTTGGGAGTTCCGTACTTGGTGGTTCCTGGCTCGGGCCATGATTTTATTCCTTGGTCAATGTAGTGCTCTTTCCCGTATACAACCACCGAGGTGTGGTAGATGGCGTCGATTCGGCTGCCCAAGATCATGGGTGAGTACACCGCCGCCATTCCGTGCGATAAGTCGTACACGTAGACTTTTACTGAGAAGCTTTCCTCTGTCATGTTGCTGTTGAAGTAGTAGTTGGAGTAGTAGTTGTAGTAGTTGTAGTGGTAGTTAAGTCGCCATTGAGAAAAAAGGTCGTGCCGCAGCCCGAAGAGAAAACGAGAAAAATACGCTGAATCAAATTTTCATTCTTAACAGGTCTACTCGGACATCCAAACGCTATTAAGTAAACGCTGATAACGATTAGATAGGTATTCGTTATTGTTGAATTGTTGCCGAGTTGGTATAGTGAATCGGTGGTACGAGTTTTCTTATAATGATATAGTATTTTGAAAGAAGTTTATTCTGTTGCTATCTTTTAATGACTCCCAAATTTGAAACCGAAATATATAATCTATAAATGTTACTGAATGGTACTCTAGGTGTGTTACCTGACTCGATTGTGAAAGAAATTGAAACTCATAAACAGACTTTGACCAATATTTTATCTAGTAAATTTGCTGATCAATCTTATATACTAGGACTTGATAGAAATGTTGATGCTAAATTTTACCATTGGATTCTTGATGATTTGAATAAGTATTATGATCAGATTGAAGGAAATCAATATGAGTATATTCCAAGAAATCAACAAGAATTGATAAAATTCAATACCATTCTTTACTTTGATAAAATATGGAATGATTTCCACTATCCGATAATCAAATTTTACCAATATCAACATGCATCCTTATTTAATGAAATATTACAAGATTTCAACCAGTATATCTCAAATAATGATAAAAAAAATCATAAATTTAAAGTTAAACCAGTAGAAATGAGGAAAATTTATGACTCTTTGAATAAATTTTTGAAAGAAGTTCATAATTTTTATACCAATTTATTGAAAAAATTCACTCAATTTGAAAACCCTTTAATATCAAATCAGTTTTTATCAAACTTTGATATCCCTCAAAATGAAATCAGAAAAACTTCAAATCTTGATTTGCAAGAAAATTTATCCATTTTAATCCACCGTTGTCTATTAAACCTAGGTAATTTATCCCGTCATCGTTCTTTCATTGAAATGTCGTATGTCACTCCTTGTTTATCGAATTCGAATTTTTGGAAATTCCGTAATTTGAATTCTGATTCAAAATCGTCTTTGGTCAAACCTTTATTTGAAAAAGCCCTAAAGTATTATCATGCTTGTATTCATATCTTACCCTCTTTTAATGAACCTTATAATCATATCGGAATGATTTATAATTTGATCGATGATAAATATCAAGCTGTTTACTGGTTCCTAAGATCAAATTTCACCGGTTCTAATGAATTTAAAGTGGCTACAAATAACTTATTAGCCATTTTGAAGAAAAAAACCTGGCTCACTGATCAATTATTAAAATTTTATAATGATTCTTCTAAGTCAAAGAAAAATATCAAGAGATTAAATTACTTATTCATTTGTTTGATTTGCTATTATTTTTTACCAGATCTTTATCATAATGGTCCTAACATCGTTAAAAATTTTAAATATATTAAAGTTGAAAATGATTTTTTTAATCAAAACTTCGTGGCTTCAATCATGCCAGTTAACGATATTGATTTCCATTTACAGCAACTTATTATTTTATCTTGTTTCCAAAAATTGATCGATAATAACTCGGATGAAGATGTGAAGTTTAAATTTAATAAATTTGTATTCCGTTATATCGATAATTTATTAAATTTTTTAACTAATATTCCTTTGAAAAAATTCAAATCTAAAATTTTGATTTTATCTAGATATATTCTAAATTGGATTAAAGAAAATAAACTGATGTTAAGAATTTTACAATTTAAACATTCTACCCTCGAAGGTCTTGCTAATTTATTTAATTCTCTTTTAGATTCAATTGATGTCTCCCAGTCAAATGATGTCTCCCAGTCAAATGATGCCTCTCAATCAAATGATATTAGTCGTTTGGAATCTCAAGATTCAAGATTTACTAAACTCACAGAATTGATTAAAAATCAATCAAGACCAATAAGATATTATCTTTTCGATGAAGATGTTTTAGTAAAAGGATTATCTATCATCAAGTTCAACTTTAAAGATTTTAAAGATCAACACTTGGCTGATACCAAAGATTCAAATATCCTTAATGGTGATTACTCTTGTTATTTCCCTCAAGGCTCTCAAGACTCAGATGATAAGTTTGAAAATTATATTCCCTCATTTTTCGATAACTCAATGGTTGTTAAAATCCATAAATTAATTGAATCTGACAATAGTTCGTCAGCAATTTCAATTATAAAAAATGAAATCGAATATTACGAACAAGAACTAAGAATTCAAGCAATTATTTTGTTAGGTAAAAAACTTATCGAAGTTAGTGACTTGGGCATTTCGTTTGATCCTAATTCAGTGAGGTTTCAAATCAGCAAAAAGAAAAAGTCTTCAGTTAAGAAACAATCTCCTCCAACACCTTCTCAGTCTTCAAAAGGAACATTGAAACAAAATAGAACAACTAAGAAAATTCTTTCAAAGGGTTCCGACATACCGGAGTCATTGAAAGCTGATCAGTCAGTTATAACCGTCGATTCTGAGTCAGAAAAAGATAATGAGAAGGTGGGCGACGACGAAGCGGAGGAAGAAGGAGAAGAAAAAGAAGAAGAAGAAGAAGAAGAAGATGATGATGATGATCCGCTTGCTAATATTGAATCACGTATCTTGAACCACACTCAGAGGCTCCAACAGAGATTGACTTCAAATAAGGGCTCTACTGAAGATGTTCCTGACCAAAATATTAATGAGCATGGATTACAGACTATGGTGGATTCATTAGTCTTTGAAACAGAAGATAGCAGTATCGTTGCTAACAGTGATTCCAACTCGCAAGCTGATTCCAGCAAAATATCTTTGGGTGATAATTTGGTTCCAAATCATAGCCAACCTAATTCAAGTCAAAGATTGACCCATAATATTTGGAATCCTAGTAGCATTTCGAATAAAGATTCGCTACCAACAAAAATTTCAGACAGTGCTGACAGACTTCTTGGTAATATGAATGCTTACTCGCAAATATACGGAGTGGCACCCCAAGGTCAAATACCTGCAACACCACCTATGGTATTTGGTCAAACATACCAACCTGCCGCTGCTCAGTTTCCTCAAAATAATCAATTTGGCCTAGCTCCACACCAATTCAATTATCCACCACTCCCTCATGTTTACGGTCAATCATCGCAGTCCCTGCAACAACATCCAAAACCACCACATCAACAGGCCCAAGTTCAACAAACTCCAGACGCAGTGACTTATTTAGCATCTCAAACAAATGGATACTCATCCCCAGCATTAAGTTCCATCACTACACCACAACCTCAATTTGGCCAATTTTTAGGTCAACCAAATCAACAATTTGCATCAGGACCTCAACAATATGTTCCTCAAACTTATTCACCAATGCCGCTGCAATATAATGGCCTACAATATACTGCCCCCCAAGGCCAAGCTGCTCCCCAGGTAGCTCATTTCCAAGGTCCACAAATCCAGCAAAGCCAGCAAAGCCAGTTAACAGGATATAATTTGACCCAACCAACCTCCTCTCCTACCCCAGGAGGCTTTGGGGCATAATTCTTTATATAGGTTCTAATTTCATGATATCCTCATTTAACAGTATTGTAGTAAATCAATCCTTGCCATGATAAGCGAGTACGAAATATGCAATAGCCAATAGGAACACTTCGTGTCACAGATGACTAAGCTCACCAGCCGTAATTGCTTCATATTCTATACGACGAGATGCTTATAGAACTACGCGTTTACTACTTCAAAACCACCTGATCTTATGATTTCATGGCAGTTTCTGGTGCTATAACCTAATCACCTAACTTTATTCCCTACTAATCAACCCATTCGTGGTTACCAACCATACATTCGTTGACGTGTAGATTGCAAAATTATTTAAAGGACAGATGTGAAATTTTTCAAAAATCGATGGTTCGATATGACAAAACAACCAATTTGAAGATTTTAGTGCGTATTGGAACTAACAAAATAAAAAATAATAAAAAAAAAACGTTTCTTCTCAGTTTTTCAGTATTTCGATCCAGAATAGAATAAATTCAAGATTCCATTTTTATTAAATCGTCTACAGTTTCATAAAGTATATGGTAAAACTGAAAGAAGACTCGTTGTTCCCAGAGAGAGAGAGATAATTAGACACACATTCGCTAAATCCAAGGTTCATCAAGAATAGAGAGCCAAATTTTTTCGACTTTTCCTATAATAAAATTGAACATTGAATAAAAGATGTCAGGCGATATCACCCATAGGAAGCTGAATGAAACTTATACGTTCAATACCCCACCTGCAGATGCTCCCATTGAAGTCTTAAATGAGTTTTACTGGACGAAAGATCTCGAACCTCACGTTAAGAGGAGAAAATTAATCTTAGCAAAATATCCAGAAGTTAGAAAGTTAACAGGATATGAAACTAAAACCAAATGGTATGTTATGGGGGTTGTTGCATTACAAGTGGCAGTAGCATATTACTTGAGAAACGTTCATCCTTTTACTTTTAAATTCATAGCTTTAGCCTACGTTATTGGTGCAACTGCAAATCAAGCCATTTTTTTGGCAATTCATGAACTTTCCCATAACTTACTCTTTAAAAAACCAATTCATAACAAGTTATTTGCAATCTTTACTAACATTCCAATCGGAATTCCTTACTCTGCCTCATTTCAACCTTATCATCAATTGCATCATAAATTTATGGGAGATGAAAACTTAGACACTGATTTACCAACAAAATTTGAAGGTATAATATTATCAAACTTATTGGGTAAAGTATTCTTTGCTTGTTGCCAAATCTTCTTTTATGCCTTGAGACCAATGTTTATTACTCAAATTAGATTCACCTATATACATTTACTTAACATCATCTTCCAAGTCTTTATAGATATCATTTTAGTTAAAAACTTTGGTTGGTATTCTTTCTTCTATTTCGTTATGTCATCGTTCTTAGCAGGTTCTTTACATCCATGTGCTGGTCACTTTATAGCCGAACATTATGTTTTGAATGAGAACAATAAGCCAAGACAGAGTAACGATAAAGATGGTAACATTTCTCCGGATTTATTACCACCTGAAACTTATTCCTATTACGGATCTTTGAATTTAGTCACTTGGAATGTTGGATATCATAATGAACACCATGACTTTCCTTATATTGCTTGGACTAAATTACCTGAGTTGAGAAAAATTGCTGCCGAATTTTATGATCCTTTACCTCAAGTTAATTCTTGGTGTGGAGTCATTTGGTGGTTTATATTTAATGATATAAATACTTTATGGAATAGAGTGAAAAGAACCGGAAAGGAAAAGCATGGTCATAAAATTGATAATTTGGATCAAAATCAAAATTGAAATTTAAAGAAAAATATAAAAAAGAATTGTATGTTATATAAATTTTTGTAGATTATGTTAAGTATACCACACGTATGAGATTATTTGAATGTCAATGTATAAAAGTATATTCTATAGAAACGGTATTTACAAATTATTTAAAGTTGATTATAAGTTTTGTAACAAACGAGTGATTTCATCTAAACCATCTCTATTCAACAGAGATAACTTACCTTCGACAGATTTAACAAGGTCTTCAACCTTAACAAGATCACCTTCATCACTATCATCACCTTGACCTAAAACTTTAACCCTAACTTGACCTTGAGGATATTCTTCTTTACCTAAAATAACCGCAACTTGAGAGCCAGATTTATCAGCAGCATCAAACTGTTTACGAATATTTGGTTTGGCTTTGTATAAAAATTCAGAGTTAATCCCTGCAGACCATAATTTATTAGTGACTTCCATTCTTTCTTTTAAGAAACCGTTCCAACCTTCACCACCACCAAAGGCCATGACGAAAACTTGAGTTTGCGACGAACTTAATTTTTCTAATTGTTTTGCAGCTCTTGCTTTAATAATAGAGAAAATTCTTTCGACACCAAATGAAATACCAACACATGGAATTGATTTACCATTGGAGAACATACCAACTAAGTTATCATAACGACCACCGGCAGCGATTGAACCAACACCAACGTATTCAGAGGCGTCTTCAACTTCCTTGGTTTCTTTTTTAGCTTTTTCTTTTAATTCATTAGCATTAGTTGGTGGAGCAGAAGCAGCAGTAACGGCTTCATAGATTAAACCAGTATAATAATCTAAACCTCTTGCTAATGATAAATCAAAAGAAAGATGTTTTTCAATACCAAATGCTTCAACGTAGTCAGCTAAAATTGACATTTCTTCAATACCTTTTTGGGCTGAATCGTTTGATTTCAAGATTTCAGCATTAGTTAAGAATGTTAAGACATCACGAATAGTACCGTTGACTTTAACAAACTCACCAATTTTATCGGCAACTTCTTCCGGTTGATTTTTTTCAACAACCATTTCCTTTTTAACAGCTTCCCAAGGAGATTTATCTAATTTATCAACAGCGGAAGAAATTTTTCTAACATCATCATCTTTAACACCACATGCTTGGAAAATACCATCCAAAATCTTTCTATGATTTAATTTAATTTTGAAATCATTAATACCCAAACCAGTTAAACCTTCAGTGGTGATTTTTAAAATTTCTGAATCTGGAACCATAGTATCGTAATTACCAGCTATGTCGAAATCACATTGGTAAAATTCTCTCATTCTACCTTTAGTCATTGCTGGTTGATCTCTTCTATAAACCTTAGCAATATGGAATCTTTTAATGTTACTGATCGAATTACATGCGACAAATCTGGCAAAAGGAACAGTCAAATCGTACCTTAAAGAAGTTAATTCACCACCTTGATCTTCTAAATTATAAATTAATTTAGAATCTTCACCATATTTACCAGTCAAAATTTCTCTTAATTCAAAAACTGGAGTATCAATAGTAACCCCACCGTGTCTTTTGAAAAGTGAGCTCAATGAACCAAAGACAGCTTCTCTGATGATCATATCCTTATCAGCCCAATCCTTGGTACCTTTTGGAGTCTTTAACAAGAATTGTTGATCTTGTTTCTTGGATTTCTTACTTTGTTTCTTGGATTGAGCTGGGGCAGCTTTTTCAACCGGGGTTGAGGCAGCAGCAGCAGCAGCGTGTGTAGCTTGTTCGGAGGACATCTTATAAGTTCTTCTCAATAACGGAATGGTCTTGCTTAAAGGACTAGTCAACCTTTGAAACATAAACTTTACTAGAAGTGACGAATGTCTGAGATAAGTGATATTGGATGAGTTCAATTTTTTTTTCTCACTGAAAAATTTGATTGAAAAGATGATTGATTTTTTCTCTTAACAATTTGCAATCTTATGATGATTGAGGTACAGCTTATATTTACCATTGAAGTCATTATAGTATAAAAATCTATGAACAGGGAAAAATCAAAAAGGAAAAAAAAAAGCTTAAAAAAAAAGTCAGATCTATGCAATAAAATGGTAGTAACTAAAGGAAGAAAGAAAGAATTGAATTCAAGAAATCATTACTCATAAACTTAATTGAGTGGTTAATCTTCATTGACGGCGTTTGGTCTAGAGTACTTCAATCTCATGACCCCATCACTAAGGATTCTTTTACCCCAGTTACCAGCAGCAGGATCACCAGTTTCATCTCTACATTGTTTTAAGAAAGGTAATAAAGAAGTACCACCAGTACCTTTTTCTTCGACCCCTTTCTTTTTAGATTTAGCCAAACCAGATCTTAATGTAGAAGACGAACCCAATTTACTTGACTTTTTAGCTTGAAGAACAACATAACGAGTAACGATTTGAATATGTTTATCTCTAAAAGCTTTCAACATTGCTAAACAAGCATCATAACTTAAAATCAAGTCAGGGTTTTCAACTTGATTTTTTAAAACGTAATCACGAACATTGGAAATTTTTTCCAATTTGGCGAGAAAGTCTTGATGTTTACCAGGCATATAAAGTTTCATTTCATTCATAAAACTATTTTCAGTAGGTTTATTCAAATTCTGCTGTTCATGAGGAGCAGGTCTTTCACCGGTTGAAAAATGTTTAACATTTAATAAGATATCTAAAAATTGAATTAAAGAAGATTGTGCATTGGAACCACCAGCATAACTTCTTGGAGTTGATTCATCACCATAATATATACCATTTTTATCCAAACCAACATCAGCCATACCTTTCCAACCAGCAAGATAAGGTCTGATTCTAAAATAAAAAACGTGGGGGTCACACATTTCTTCCATTTTCATCAAGACTGAACCTAAATTATCAATACATTCAGCTAATTTTTGTAAATTGGATACTAAAAGTTCAATATTATCTTGCTCAATGTTTTTTAAAACTTCCATACCAAGTTTGATGGCAAACGATCCTTTATATTCAAAATAAACACTCACCAAGTAAAACCAACTTTCATCAATAGAACCAGTGAAAGTATTTATTGTAGTCAAATTATCAAGATCAAATTTACCCTCATTGTCACAAGTCTCCGAAGGTAAGATTTCTTTGAAATTCCAAAGACATAATCCAGAGTAAGTGGCCAAAGGAGGTAATCTAAGATATTCTGAAACTTTCAATAGCGGGTTTGCTATTTGCTTAGGTAATTTGTCAGTGGGTTCACTAACTCCCCATATATAAGCATGAGCTAAAAATGTTAATACCTGGTAGGCTCTTCTATACTGAGCATCATCTTCAAGCAACCCGGTCTCTAATTCTGGCATCTGATCAACCAATCTTCTTATTCTTTTAGTCAATATTAAGGATGGTAGGTTATTCACCAATTCTTCCCATGGCTTATAATAATCCTGAGGTAACCTAACTAACGGGAACTTATTTGGTAAAAACCCCGATGTAGGAAACACATCAAAGTCTTCCATACGCAATGTATCACTCATTTGTTCTTCTAGTGTTATTTCTCTGGTGTAGTTCTAGGGAAGAAAATGATGGATTTGATAATGGTTATATACTTCCGCAGTTTGAAAATGGCGTCATAAAGAAAATTTTTACTACCAAAAAGAAAAGTGCGGTCTCCGGTACCGACTTCTCCATTACTGCAAATTACCAACTGCTAGACTGGACTATAGTTTATGGAGTATATTAGGGTCTTTGGACCTTATTAGCGGTATTGGAGCTTATTAGGGTAATTGGAGCTTATAAGAGTATACTGAAGTATACCAGGTGTGCTAGATCTAAGACATATTATATAGATTCTTATAGATTTACCTATACATAAAGTTATGTTGGCAAAAGGACATTTTCCCCGGAATCTCTTTCAATACCCAATTCCAATAGTTTGCCGAAGACAATACAGAAATCCTTAAAGAATAGTGATTGGTTATAAGCGTATACTCTAACCCACTTTGCAAATTGTTCATCTCTAATTAACTCCAAATCGGTGTTTAGCATCATTAGAGATTTATCCCCATTATAGTATTGGGACCTACCAGTTTCAGGAACAACTCCAAGCTGCCAATCTTCTTCTAAAAGGACTTTATAAAACTGATTATCGAATTTTATCGGATCTTGGGTCCATTTACCGTCCCACCCACTAAATTTTTTATGGCAGCGACCCAAGCCATGAGCCCCTAAGAGAAGCACCATTTCCTGATCGTTGAATCCCATTCTTCCAAAAGTTGATCTAATATGGGAAGCTGCTTTATCACCAAATGGTAATCGACCATTTGGAGGTACTTTATCACTGGTTAGACAATCGACTCTACCACACTTCCAAGGTATGGTAGGACACCCCATTGATTCAAGGGCAATTTTGCCAGCCAAAGTCCATAAATCCGAATAACTAATACGGGGGTAATTTTGTTTAATTGGTTCGAGAGCATTTCTTGCAATTTCCAATCCAGTGTTACCTTCGTCGGTAATTTCTGGTATAAATCTCATGGTTGCGCCATTTGAACCACCAGTTTTGGTTTGTACATCATAAGTTGCACAACAATGCCATGCCAACCTGAGTACTATGGGTGCTAAACTGCCGTCGTCATAGTTAGGCTGAGGTAATATTGACCTAATTTCATTCGATACTAAGGTAATATAATTGGTTTCATTAACCCCAATTGACCGGATAAACTTTGAAGGCTTGGGAGTAACCTTCAATCTAAGTTTATGTGTTCTATTACCGTTTTGAACATGCAATTCCACAAAATTCGAGTTGATTCGAGGAGCTTCTTGTACCACTGGTGAGAATAGCTGAGGTGGTGATTCTGACTTCCCCAAATTGAGTAATTCATTTGGGTTCAGACGGTAGGCCAATTCTTGCTTCAATCTTAAATAATCCTGAAACCCATCTTTTTTGGTCAATTGAATTCCCCCGAATGTATAACTAGGTTTTGCCTCTGTAGTTAAACCTGGAAGCTTATTGATAACACACACTGGGCTATGTAGAAGATACCGATCAAAGATGTATTCTGCATTTAATGATAAATAACCTAATTTTTGTAAATTTTCTCTATTCAACTCATTAAAATCATGCCATTCGTCGGCAAAATGCGTGAAGAGCTTCACTCTTGCCATACATTTATAGTAAAACAAATGGAGCCTTTGCATCAAAGTCAATCTTTGATTCTTCTTATGCTGTAACAAGATTTGGTACTCGACATGATCATCAGAAGGTGATACTGGGGGTGAGCTATACAAATGGAATATTTTGGCTAACATGCGAGGAGATTTAACCACTCTCTTGACAAGCCTAAGCAACGAAAGACCAATAAATAGCATTATCCGGTAGCACCAAACAATGCCTACTTGTGAAAATAACCAAGGAAGGAGAAGATACTTGAAAATTGCACCCAAAACACCCGTCGCCTGTTGCACGGCTCTGCGCCTGAAGGTCGCTCTGCTTCTCAGGGAAGCCTTGCTCAACTTAGCCCTGGGGTTAAGATCGTTGTTATAGTTTACCGGCATTGTCAGATCTAACGTATTAGTTTGTGGTTGCAACCATTTACTCATATATATATGGATGTATACACCCATACACCAGTAAAAAGGGGGAAGGGGGAATGGGTCTTTCTGTTTGCTTCAATTCGGGGTATTCACACGACCAGAATTCGAAAGACCATAGTAGATAAGACGGTATTCGAAAATGGCTCCTAGTACGAGAAAGCTAGCATAGTCAATTGTGTGGTGGGCATATAGTTACAATATTGTATGTAGAGGAAAACCCTGAGTACGGAATTTTAGGGTCATGAAATTAGCACCGGTGGAAGAACAAAAAAAAAAAAAAAAAAAAAACTATGAGCGAAAAACCGTAAAATCGTAAATTATCAAAACGTATCCATAATTGCACGGAGAAAAGAAGATAGGAAGTCAATTAATCAAATAAGTCAAGATGTCATTCAAAGGGTTTAAGAAGTCAATAGTGAGGGCCCCCCAGAATTTTCGTCAAAAGATGAATATGGGAGAAGTCACTAGTGATGCCGTTTATCAAGATGCAGAAAGGAGATTTAAAGAGATGGAGAGTGAAACCAAGAAGTTGAGTAGTGAATCCCAGCGTTATTTTAAGTCAGTGAATGGGATGTTGGATTATCAAATTGATTTCAGTAAAGCCATTGAAGAGATTTATAAGCCAATTAGTGGTCGATTAAGTGATCCAAGTTCTACAATTCCCGAAGATAATCCGGAGGGGATTCAAGCCTCAGAACAATATAGAGAAGTAGTCAATGAATTAAAGGAAACATTGAAACCGGATTTAGAATTGATTGAAAAAAGAATTGTGCAGCCAGCACAAGAATTATTAAAAGTGATTCAATCGATTCGTAAAATGGCTACTAAAAGAGATCATAAACAAGTTGATTTAGATAGACGTAATAGAACATTTAAAAAATATGAAGAGAAAAAGGAAAGAACCCCTAAAGATGAAGAAAAAATGTATAGTGCAGAAGCAGAAGTACAAGTTGCACAACAAGAATATGATTATTATAATGAATTATTGAAAAATGAATTACCAATATTATTTCAAATGCAAAGTGATTTTATCAAGCCATTATTTGTGAGTTTCTATTATATGCAATTAAACATTTTCTATACCTTATATCAAAGAATGGAAGAATTAAAAATTCCTTATTTTGATTTACAAAGTGATATCGTGGAAGCTTATCATTTTAAAAAGGGTAACGTCGAAGAACAAACCGATGCAATTGGGGTTACTCACTTCAAAGTTGGCCACGCTAAAAATAAATTGGAAGCTACTAAAAGAAGACAACAATTAATGGCTAACCATAATACCGGTACCACCAACAGTGCCAGCACCACTGGCACTGGTGAGCAATTACCAGCTTACACTTCTGGCCAATACTCTGGATACCAACCAGATCAAAAGGCCACTTACCAACCAGATCAAAAGGCCACTTATCAACCTCCTCAATACGGTACCCAGTCTGCTTCTGCCTCAACGGTAACTAGCCCAGTAACTGGGTACTCTTCTCCTTTGAGTGCACCGGCAATCCCATCCTACGGTGCTAGCCAAACGTGTACTGCATTATACGACTACACTGCCCAAGCCCAAGGTGATTTAACGTTTACTGCGGGCTCAGTAATTGAAATCATTGATCGCACCAGTGACGCCAATGGTTGGTGGACCGGTAAGTACAATGGTCAAACTGGGGTTTTCCCGGGTAATTACGTTCAATTAAATTAATAAATCATCTAAGTCAGTTGTTTAATGCTTAGCTGATACTTAAACGTTGATACTCTTATTTAAATTTAGATAGTTTGCTTAATATACTTTAGTTTGTTTAGTACCGCAATTTACGAGTCAACATGAAATTGCATGTTCTAGAAGTATAAATGGACCCAACACCGTCAGTCATCTCCAAGTCACTATCGCCAATCGACCATCAGTAATATTTGACGGCTGGATATCCTCATCAATTGATGTACTTATAAAATCGATAGTCTTGACCCTGTTCTATTTTTGTAAACAACTCCATAAGAGCAAAAAAAAAAGACCCGACCCCCGCGCACGACCCTTTTTGGAGCCCACCCCCCGGTCTTCATCAACAACAGAAAAACACCCAAACACAAATTTTACCAGTTACAGTCACAACCGCCGATTGACAACTACAATTAACAACCAACAAGCAAATAATCAATTAGCCCAGTTACATTCGCTTACTTTCATCAACAAGCTTAGTGGAAACAACGTCATTCAAATATCATCATAGAGAAGGAAAGAAAGCGAAGGATTGCCCCTGCATTTTATTTGAGTATCATCACCCTTCCCATTAGATACTTATTAAGCCTTGTCTATTTATATTCCTTATATATTAGATCTTATATTATTGAAGAAAGCGAAAGAACGGGATACCGAAAAGGAAATCATACCAGTTTTGAATCATGAGTCATTCCCTGTCTCCAAATAATCGAAATTCAATATTTGGCTGGATGAAGAATCTAAAACGTGGAAGTTTAATGTCAAATGAAAGTGTTAATGAGATTACTTCTGATAATGACCTATTAATCTCTGATTCAAAATCTCCTTCCAAATCATTACTTTCATCTAATTCAAATAATCAACTACAACCAATACCGTTCCCTCAGCAACATCAAAATGAACATCAACAACAGCAACAACAACAACAACAACAACAACAGCAGCAACAACAACAACAGTCAAATATATTCAGCTCAAACTCACCTCATCAAGAATTTTTACGACCTTTACTTCATCATAAATCAAGATCAACCAATAATGTTAATCGTGTTCGTTCAAATTCCTTAAATCAATCAGAAAAATCTTCCAGTATAAGACAACATCGAGATTCTTTCTTACAACATAATCCTTTAGTTGATGAAAATAGTAAATATTTCGGAGTAAGTTTAGAAGATGCAATCAATCAAGCTGCTGCTAAAATATCAATTCTTACTAATGAAGACTCTTCAAATGATCAAGTTTTACAATATGGTAAAATTCCAATTGTAGTTGCTAAATGTGGTGTTTATTTGAAAAAAAATGGTTTAAATATCGAAGGTATATTTAGAGTTGGTGGTCTGTCAAAACGTTTAAAAGATTTACAATTAATTTTTAATACTCCTCCAGATTTCGGTAAAAAATTAAATTGGGATGGTTATACTGTTCATGATGCTGCTTCCATTTTAAGAAGATATTTAAATGCTTTACCAGAACCTTTAATTCCTTTAGAACTTTATGAAGAATTTAGAGATCCTTTAAGAAAACGTCCAAGAATTATTAATTATATGAAATATAAAGCCGAATATCCAAATAAACCTTTAAAATCACAAAAACAACCAACTGATTCAAGTGAAACTGAACCAAAATTACCTTCTTCAGTCAAATCAAATACTCCAATTAATAATTCAAATTCAAATTTATTAGATTCTGAACCTTTAACCGAAGCAAATATTGGTCGTCTTAATAGTACAAATTCCTCAGTTAATAATTTAAAAATTAATCATTCAAATTCAGATTTATCAAATTTAAAATCGGATAATGAAGCTGATATTGAACAAGATGATTTAAATAATAATGATGATGCAAAACATGAAATTAAAAAGAAAAAATCAAAAAATTATAAAAAATTGACTCGTAACGTTCATGAAGCAATTAATGAATACAAATCAATGGTTGATGAATTACCAATGCTATCTAAGCAATTATTATTTTATATTCTTGATTTATTAGCAATGGTTCAAAATCATTCATCTGAAAATTTAATGAGTTCTAGAAATTTAGCAGCAATTTTTCAACCTTCTATTTTATCCCATCCAAACCATGATATGGATCCTGTTGAATACGCTTTATCTCAATCAGTAGTTGAATTTTTAATTCAATATGCTTATAAATTATTACCAAATCAAAACTCTGATGATGATATTGCCAATAATAATAATAGTGATAATTCAAATATAAATGATAAAAAATCAAAATCATCTTCTCCCAATACTGAAAACGATGATCAATCAAATGATTTGAAGCCTCCTCAACCGGTTTTCAAACGTAAACATAGTAAATCATTATCTTCTACTAATAATAATGATGATTTAATTGGTTATCAATCTTCCCCTTCTAAAAAATTGGTTGATACTTCAGATAATGAATTTGACATCACCGATGTTACCGATAATGAAGATTCAAATGTTGATGATACTACTAATTCAGATTTAGATGATGTTAACTTCCATAGCCTCAATATTGATCATAATAATAACAACAACAATAATCACTACCCTCAAACAGATATTGATTCGGGATCAGAGTTCAATTTTGGTCATGACCATGACCATGAAGATAATTTTAATTTCAATCACGATAACCCTGGTATTTTAAATAAATTAATCAATCAAGAAGAGAAAAATGATGCCGAAAGTGATTCATTAAGTAACCCTCCTAATTCAAATGTGGCCATAATTGTATCCACTCCATCATCTTCTTCAGTACCTAAAATGAAGTGATTCTATTTATTTATTTTACCAACGTTTTTTTTTTGTATTTATTTATTATTATTACTCTTCTTCTTTGCTACATATACATCTCTTTGTATTCTTTTCTTTTCTCTAATATTGTGTTTATATAAGCTTTTGATTTAACTTTTCGTTTAATCTCATTCTATTTTTACTACATTTCCTTCTGTTTTATATTGTCATATTACTTTAATTATAGAAATTTTTTGAAGTTAAACTCGTAAATTCTTTTGTGAAGTAGAAATTTGTTGGTGCACGGGCTATACGTGTGCGAGTGTCAACAAAAGTCGATAAAAAAAAAAAAAATAGAATAAGTGAAAAACACCAGCTTTGACTTCCCCAATAAACCACAATGTCAGATGACGAAAGAATTAAAAGTGATAATGAAAATAAGGAAGATTTAGAGGAAGAGGTGGATGACTTGTTCGGTGATGATGAGGAGCAAAATGACCAACAAGATAATAGACAATCGAATGAAGACGAGTCTGAAAATTCTCAAGATGAAGATGAAGAAACTGAATTAAAGACGATTGATATATCTTTACCACGTCATGCTGTCACTAGCAAGGCCGAGGAGGACACTTATATTATTAAAGTTCCTGTTTTTCTCAATATTGAAGCCCATCCATTTGATCCAAATGAATTTAAAGAACAAGTTCATCAAAATGCAATTAATAGAAATAAAAGTACAATGAGTGAAAAACAAATGAAAAATGATTTAGTTGCTGAAAAACTATTAAATGAAAATAGTATAAGATGGAGATATTCCAATAGTGGGGATGATGAAATTATTAAACAATCAAATGCACATTTTGTTGAATGGGATGATGGTTCAATTTCATTAAAAGTTGGTAATGAATTATTTGATTTTAAAACTTTACCTTTATTTGATAACTTTTTAGTTAAAACCCATGATACTTACGAAATCTTACAAAATGATTCCATATTAAATAAATCTGCTAATTTATTACCATCCTCAACTTTCACTTCAACCCACCGTAAATTAACTGAAGCTTTAAAATACACCCAAAAGAAGGATACTATTTTAAATACTATAACTGAAAAAGATCCAGAATTGAAACAAAGGTTGGCTGATGAAAACGAAAGAAAAACTATGAAATTGAAAAGACAAATTGAACAAAGAAGAAGATTGCAAGAAGAAAAATTGGGTAAATCTTCCAGTCCTGCTCCTGGTGGAAGAAACAATTATGAATCAGCTTATGAAAGATTTGAAAGAACTTATGCAAATGAAGATTACGATGATGAAGATGATTTTGTAGCAAATGATGATGATGAAGTTGAAGAAGAAGAAGATGGTGAAGATTTTGATGATGAAGAAGATGAATTTGATAAAGGTGCCGAAAGATTGAAAAAATTAAAAGATGACGGTGAAGCCAAATATAAAAAGAAGTCTTCTTCCCCCTCTGATGATGAAGGTGCTACTCAAAGGAAAAGAAGAAGAATCATTGATAGTGATGAAGATGATGATTAACTTTGAAAAGGTTTTCAATGCATAATAAAAAAAATAAGTCAATTCCATTAATGTATTAATAGTTATATATCATTTATAAATATTTTATTTCTTTTATCTGTACCTTCTTTTATCTGTACCTTCTTTTATCTGTACCTTCTTTTATTTGTACTTTATGGACTTAAGATACTGTAGTGGTTTATTCATTTAAAGGTCTAACAAAAAGTTTAATTTTTCACCGGGAAAATGGAGAGCGAGGAAAATTAGTCGGTCGGACTTCACAACTTTTCAAAATCATTGAATTTTCACTTGATAAACTTTCCCATTAACTTTCAACATCTAAACTATCGATATGTCAATGTTACGGCCATTGAGATTATTATTACTCGGGGCTCCTGGATCGGGCAAAGGCACTCAAACTTCAAAATTATTAAAGCTGTTCCCCCATATTCATTCTTTGTCCTCGGGAGACGTCTTACGATCCCAAATCAGTCAAGGTACTAAAATAAGCAAAACTGCCTCAAAGTATATAAAAGAAGGTAAATTAGTTCCTGATGATGTTATGGTTGGGTTGATCTCGAGCCACTTCAAGCAGCACAATTGGTTAAACTCAGAAACCAGCTGGTTATTAGATGGTTTCCCTCGAACTGCAAATCAAGCCGTGGAGTTGGATAATTGGTTATCGGAAACGCAAAATAATATTAATTTGGTGGTTGAGTTAGATGTTGATCAAAAAGTTATCTTGGATAGAATTGAAGCAAGATGGGTTCATATACCCAGTGGTAGAGTCTATAGTTTAGATTATAATCCTCCTAAAGCCCCTTTCAAAGATGATGTTACAGGTGAACCATTGAGTAAAAGAGACGATGACACAGCAGCAGTCTTCCAAAGAAGATTAGATCTGTACAACAAACTTTTGGGACCTTTGAAAGATTTCTACTCCAAAAAAGGTGTTCTTCATACTGTCAGTGGTAATACTTCTGATATAATATTTCCTAAATTAGAAAGCTTAATAAAAGACAAATTTCAGAAATAGAATCAATTCCTTCAACCTGCTTAAATAGTTCAGATATGTGTAAATACTATGATTCATCTACTTTCAATTACCTGTAGTTAGAACTTATTAAGTGTGGGTGTATGGGTGTTTATTTGAAGCTGACAAAAAGTCAGGCAGAAAAAGCAAAAGTATTCCATTTATTAGAGCCTTTTTCAAGAAAAACCATCAAGTTTTATATAAGCTCTAAAGATAATTATCTTTGGCTGCTGGACTACTTCTTCGACCTTTCTCCCCATACATTGCACAACGGCATCCTTTATTTGGCTTGTCGTAATAATTTTACTCTTGCATTACGTACTGTCGAGCTTATAAGCGAAACAGTGACTTATTTATTCTGATCTTGCAAATATGAAGTTTTACATTGATGATTTGCCGGTGCTATTCCCATATCCTAGGATATATCCTGAACAATATGCATATATGTGTGATATCAAAAAGACCCTAGATGTAGGTGGGAATTGTATACTAGAAATGCCTTCAGGTACTGGTAAGACCATTTCCTTGTTATCATTAACTGTTGCATACCAAATGCATTATCCAGAACATAGAAAAATTGTTTACTGTTCTCGTACTATGTCAGAAATTGAAAAAGCTTTAATTGAATTGCATAAATTGATGGAGTTTAGAGCAAATGAGCTCGGCTTTGTTGAAGATTTCAGAGGGTTGGGATTGACCAGTAGAAAAAACTTGTGCTTACATCCAACAATCTCAAAGGAAAGAAAGGGTAATGTTGTTGATGAAAAATGTAGAAGAGTTACAAACGGTCAGTTGAAGAAAAAAATAGAGGATGGGGCAATAGACCAAGATACTCAATCAAACAATCCAGAAACTAACCAATTATGTTCATATCATGAAAAGCTTTATGACTACGAACAACATAATCTAATACCTGCTGGTGTCTACTCCTTTGATGCATTAATGAAATATTGTAAGTATGAAGGTACCTGTCCATATTTCACGGTAAGAAGAATGATTCCATTTTGTAATATTATTATTTATTCATATCATTATTTATTAGATCCTAAAATTGCTGATCGTGTTTCTAAAGAGTTGTCAAAGGACAGCATTGTTATTTTTGATGAAGCTCACAATATTGATAACGTTTGTATTGAATCTTTATCACTAGACTTAACTGATGATACTTTGAAAAAAGCCACAAGAGGTGCTAACAAATTAAGCGATGCAGTGGATCAAATGAAGTCACAGGATAGTGCAAAGTTACAAGATGAATACGAAAAATTGGTAGAAGGTTTGAGACAAGCTGAAATAGCAAGAGAAGAAGAGTTATTTATGGCTAACCCAACATTACCAAAAGATTTGTTGGATGAAGCTATTCCAGGTAATATTCGTAAGGCTGAACATTTCATTTCTTTCCTAAGGCGATTTATTGAATATTTAAAGACAAGAATGAAAGTGCTACATGTCATTAGTGAAACACCAAGTAGTTTTTTGAAACATTTGAAAGAGTTAACATTTATTGACCGCAAGCCCTTAAGATTCTGCTCAGAAAGGTTGTCTTTATTAGTGAGAACTTTGGAGCTAACTGAAATTGAAGATTTCAATGCTTTGAAGGATATTGCCACGTTTGCCACATTGGTTTCAACTTATGATACAGGATTTCAATTGATTTTAGAACCATTCGAGGCTGAAGGTTCTACCGTTCCAAATCCAATTTTATACTTTACTTGTTTAGATGCATCCATTGCAATCAAGCCAGTTTTTGACAGATTCTCATCTGTTATTATCACTTCTGGTACGATCTCACCTTTGGACATGTACCCAAAAATGTTGGATTTTGAAACTGTTATTCAAGAATCTTATTCCATGACATTAGCAAGACGATCATTTTTACCCATGATTGTTACAAAAGGATCAGATCAAGTTTCTATATCCTCAAGGTTTGAAATTCGTAATGATCCTTCAGTTGTTAGAAATTACGGTTCTCTTTTGGTTGAGTTTTCTAAGGCGACTCCAGATGGTATGGTGGTATTCTTCCCATCATATCTTTATATGGAGTCCATTATCTCAATGTGGCAGAGTATGGGTGTGTTAGATGAAGTTTGGAAGTACAAGCTTATTCTAGTTGAAACTCCGGATGCTCAAGAAACCTCCTTAGCCTTAGAAACTTATAGAAAAGCTTGCTCGAATGGTAGGGGTGCGGTATTACTATCTGTCGCTCGTGGTAAAGTCTCTGAAGGGATTGATTTTGATCATCATTACGGAAGAACAGTACTTATGATTGGTATTCCATTCCAATATACGGAGTCAAGAATCTTGAAAGCACGTTTAGAATTCATGAGAGATCACTTTCAAATTAGAGAAAATGATTTCTTGTCTTTCGATGCCATGCGACACGCCGCTCAATGTTTAGGTCGAGTCTTAAGAGGTAAAGATGATTATGGTATTATGGTTTTGGCCGATCGTCGGTTTTCTAAGAAGAAAAATCAATTACCCAAATGGATTGCACAGGCATTAAATGATTCCGATACTAACTTATCTACGGATATGGCCCTAGCAACAGCCAGAAAATTTTTGAGAAGTTTGGCTCAACCAAGCAATCCAAAGGATCAAGAAGGGGTATCAGTTTGGAATCTTGAGCAACTTGAAGATTATCAAAAGAACCATCAATACAATGGACCTCAAGCCATTGAAGGCGAGGTCAAGATTAATGAACACCAAAATGGCGAGAACGGTAATGATAATGATGACTTCATGGATATGGATGATGAAGATTTCGATCTACTTTAGTTTATCGATTTGTGTGTATATACCTACGTTTATATCGAGAAATAATGTGCATTATATATTTATTTTTAAGATCATTTAATCTACGCGTAAGCTATTTTTTTTTTTTCATACTCGATGTATTGAAAATGAAAATACTATGAATGATTAGTTATTATTACTGATAAGCTTAATATGTCAATTGAATACTATCCATTGATATTTGATCTTGGTTCAAGGTTTACCAGATCAGGTTTCGTGGGTGATTCACAACCTGCCATGACTCTACCTATAGCGAAGCCATCAATAGTGAAGTCCAGTTCAAATTGCTCTAATGATGAGTCTACACTAATTAATACTCCACCGTATCTAGATGTGAGTAACAAGTCGTTAACAGAAGACTTATCATACAAGCTTTTACTGAGCTTGAAGGATCATCCAGTTTTTGGAAAGTTATGCCAAATATATCAAAATGATCTACAAGAAGCGAGATGGATAGATTTTCAAACAGAACTACGTCAAGATAACAATCATTTATTTCAAAACCTTAAACTTCTTATTAATGAAAAACTACTAGTGCAGCCTAAAAAGATCAAATTGATATTAATTGATAATTCCCAAGCGGTTTTAATAAATTATATATTATCGAAATTTTTATTATTCGAGTTGAAAGTGAAGTCGATAATTTTCCTACCTGAATCCATAATGACAATGGTCGGAGCCAACATACGAGATGGTTTGAACATTGATATAAGCTGGAAGAAGTGCACAATAAATTATATTTATGATTTGAGAATATTACATGAATTCAATCATGAATCATTTCAAAAATTTAATGGGAACACTTTACATTACAAGATCATTGAAAAATTGATTGAGTTAAACGATGGGACTCTTAATAAAGAGCTACTTTCGAAAGAAAACTTGTTCGATATAGTCGAACTGTTTATTGGAAATGCCGTTTACGTTAAAGATATAGATGACGATAACTTGGATGAGAGAAAGTTTGAAATAATCCCCGGTATCCATATACCCAGTAGGATAAGACATGAAGTTATTGAGGCTGTTTTTTTCAGCAAGGGACATGACTTACAAGCAGGCGAAGGGCATTTACCTTCTATTATTAAAGAATGTATCAATAGGGTTCCATTGGATATAAGATTACAATTGATTAAAAACACAGTATTCAGTGGTGGTCTTAGTAAGATTCCTGGGTTTAAGACAAGATTTTTAGAAGAACTAAGGGCACTTGATATACCAGCCAAGGGCAAAATCACATTAGGCTCATGGACTGGGTGTTCAATGTATTGCTCGACATCTTTATTGAGACAAAGTCAAAAAATAGTTAAAAATCATGAAATTACACGAGATGTTATGAACGACTTAGAAATCAAAGATAAAGGTATTAATCTAACTGCATTCCCAAATGATTGGAACTCTCTATATAGTTAATCTATTTTAATCTTGTTCACTATCATTGTAGTATTCATCTCCCTCTTCTTTCTCCTCCTCTTCTCCTTCTTCTGATTCTTCCTCGTGGAAGAACTTTGCCCATGGATATTTTTCGAAATATTCATCATCTGACATTCCGAAAATCATACAGCGTAAGTTATAATAACTTAAATTAATGCAATCCAACCAACTAAAAGCTTTAGGTTCTTCCTCAAAGTTTTCTATTTCCAATTGTAAAACATTTAATAATTTCATTTCATCACTTTCTTCATTGAGGTCACTGAAAGGAGCGTATGCAACCAAGGGGTCAAGAAGCAACTCTGAATCATGAATATCAAATTTCAAGTCAATTGATTGAGGTAAAGGCTTAGTCATGTGAGGGTCAATATAAACTTTGACGGTAGGTTTTAGTGTCTCTGATAATAAAGTTGGGTAATACTCGCTATCTGAAGAAACGGGATGAAGCTGATCATTAGGTAGAACAGGAGAACTTTCATAGAATACCTCGTTATCGTCTTCACTTTCATAGCTACCAAAAGCGTCTTGATTTTCACTTATTTCATTAAGATGATTCTTAGCAAAACTCAACTCTTTATTTATAGGAGAATCAGTGAGTCTCGAATCATCATTTGGCGCGTCACTTAAAGGTTTCTTGATTGAATCTGCAATCAAAAATTGATCATATTTCAAAAAGGAAGGAACATTTGAATGGTTGTGAGGATCCAATTGCTTCAAAGGGGTGATATGGTGGTAGGATTTTTGCACTTTTAATGGAATGGTATTCAAAGTCGGCAACTGACCAACAAAATTGCCAGGGACTATGTAATTGTTTTCGTCAGTCATGCTGGTGTATTGAGGAAGGTTCAAAGTGGATGAAGATAAATTTGATCAAAGTAGTAAAATTTGTGGAGATATCCACAAAATCAAAAAGACAAAAATAGTCCGAATCGACTTCACAGACTATTTTTTGATATCATTGCTATTCATCAACGTTCCGATATACTCCTTCAAGTATGAGTTTTCATTATTGTATTTATCACATAACTTGGAGGTATCTCTGATGTTATTAATTAGCAAGTTAATTTTAAATTTCAAATCGAGAATTTGGTTGATTTTATCTGATTGATCCGGATCTTTATCATCTGAAGTGTCTCCGTTTCCTTGTACTTCCCCGGAGGCATTTACTTGTACTTCTTCGGTTGCAATAACTTGTGCTCCTTCAGGAGCCTTATCACCATTGGAGTGCTCTTCATTGGAGAGCTGTTCTTTGGTTTCACCATTATCCTTGGTGACTTTTATGCTTGGGGCTGAATTGGCATCAATGGTATTGTCCTTCTCGATATTGGACATTGTAAAACAGTAGGACTAATCAGCCGTATAAGATGTATAATCAATGAGCTGTTCAATGAGAGGATTTGATATTGTTTAATCGAATAAATACGGTGGAGGTTTCTGAGCACTGACACACGACTACAATTCGACCACCAAAAACTAAAAAAAAAAATAAAAGAAAGGGTCACCTAAAAAAAAAAATATAGAGATAATTTCACATTGACCATTTGGTATTTCAATCCATAGAGTTCATTACAAAGAACACCAATTGACAATCTGGTAATAGCTACGTCTTTAAAATGTCCTGGGAAGGGTTTAAAAAAGCAGTCAGTAGGGCCGGAGCCTCGGTAGCCGTTAAGGAAGTTGATAAGACTATTGATAAAGATTTTGATGTTGAAGAAAGAAGATATAAAACATTAAAGACCAACGGACTTAGTATCCAAACTGCCACCAAGGGATATTTGGATTCCGTGAGAGCAGTTACTGCATCCCAAGTTACCATTGCGGAGATTGTATCCAATTTGTATGAAGAGGCCAAACAAGGAGCCAGTGTATATTCGGACGTCGGGGGATACTATTTACAAGCAGTCCGGGACTTTGATGAAGAGACGGTTAAACAAATAGACGGACCATTCAGAGAAACCATATTAGATCCCGTTACTAAATTTAGTGGATATTTTAACGAAATTGATGATGCTATCAAAAAGAGAAGTCATAAAAAAATCGATTATGATCTGTGTAAAGCTAAAGTACGTAAGTTAATTGATAAACCAGCAAAAGATGCCGGTAAATTACCTAGGGCCGAAAAAGAATTAGCGGTTGCCAAAGACATTTTTGAAGATTTAAATGAACAATTAAAAGCCGAATTACCAGAATTAATTAAATTAAGAGTACCATATTATGATCCATCATTTGAGGCTTTAGTTAAAATTCAAATGAAATTTTGTACCGAAGGTTATTCAAGATTAGCACAAGTCCAACAATTTTTAGAGCAAAGTTCAAGAGACGAATACGCCAATGGTTTACTAGATGGGAAAATTGATGATCTTTTGGTGCAAATGAATGGTTTGAGCATTGCAACTTTAGGTCATAAGTAATTGTTTTTCATCATGCTACTAATATATCTATTTAATAATTTTACTTGTAGTATCACGTTTCATCGAAATAATCATGTTACCTAATCTCTCCCGTATGGCAATAGTCTGATGATCTACTTCTGGGTCTTTCTGGTGTCTTCTTATCACCGGCACATGCGGTCTCGGTCTCGGCCAATCACTGGCATATCGACGTAGTATATAAAGCCCCCTGCTGGGGTTTGATAACTGTTTTAAATCATTTTAGCCATTCAAACGTTCGTAAATCCGTTTTCGTTCTGCTGAGAGTGTCTTTTTTTTTTTAACCGAAGAAAATTAACGTGTGAATTTAATTTGGTTTTCTGTCAAAATCTGAGAATTGGACTTTTTTATTTTTTTCTTTGTTTGGTTAAGCTTCTGTTAGCTTTTTTTTTGCGATTCGATCAATCACTTTCTTCTTTGCTTTAGAATCTTCTTCTTTTTGCCAAAAAAGCTACCAGTTCCATTGGTTATTGGTGTTGGATACTGTGGGTTGTCACTGTTAGTACGTGTTACCTTTTATTTTAGCTTTGTCTTTAGGTGCTGCTAGATCTTGCAAGTTTATTCCAGTTGCAGTGCGCTAAAAGACAATTTAGCCGCTGACTACAATTAGATACTTTTATCACCTGCTTGGTTTTTGCAATTTATTGGACGTAAGCTGCCCTTGTGTACTTTGCTGCTTGCTCGGGTTATAGACCATTGGACTTCGTATTAAATTGAATCCCTTTGAGTAGCGGGTCTACGGTGTTTGGTACACTTTGTTGGCTCGGATTTGATTGGACTTTTTGGGCCGTACCTCTCGGTGCTTCTCGTTTTTATTTTTTTTTTGCTTTTTGTTCTTTTGGTATTTTGGTTTTTTTTCAGCTCTCACATATTTATTGGGAACAATCAAAACGAACAAAGAGCAGACAAGACTATCCATTGTGTGCTTTTGGTTTAGTTAAGCGGGTGTGAATTTTTTTGTGCTGCTTTTCGAAAACTAATTTTGTAAGAGTCTGTCTTACCTTTTTTTTTTCTCTTTCTACTTTTTGTTACTTGTCAATTCTCTTTGGGGTTTTGATTTACCGCTCTTCCAAACTTTTGGTTACTGTCTTGACTGGTATTGAAGACACTTCTTTTTTTTTCAATCTACTTTACCAGGCTTATTTTTGTCTTTTCCCCTTTTTATTCTATCTTCTTTTTTGTTTTTGATCAATTCTTTTTTTTTTTTGTTTTTTTGATTTAATTTTTTTTTTTTCTTTCATTTCTTTGTCTGATACTCTTCACCTACGTTTCTGATCGCATTTCCCATATTCAATCCTTATAAACCAATTGGTACCTTAAGCCAATTATTTTTTCCAGTCATTTTGTCATAAAAAAGAAAGAAAAACAAAACAACCATATTAGTCGATTTGCCATTTTAAAGATATCCAATATGAAGATTCCGTTTCTGGATAGATTTTCACAGTCTAAGCCAAATTCGAAAGACTTTTATCAAAATATAAGTTCAAGACCTTATCCCAAATTAATTATTAAATTTATCACCTTCCTACTAACTCACCCAAAAACAATAATACTGGTTCCTGCCTTATTGGTGTTTATCCTTTCGTATAACGTGGTTTATGATTTTACTGTAAAAAAAATTAATGGTGAGTTTGCTAACTACTTTGGTGATTTTTCAATAAATCCTTTAATTGATCATCATCTATATAATAATCAGTTGTATCAAAATAGTCTATCTTCAACTTTATCAAATATTAATCATGGAGTCACTGATTTATCAAATGTATCATTATCTAAAGTCGTATTAGCAAGTAACGATCTTCACGACTTCAATGTCTTGGGATTTGATTTTTTGAATAAAACAAATTATTTAACTCATAATTTATCGAATTCAATACCGAGTAATCCCATAATAATCTCCCCAATTTCGTTAGCCAATATTAACTTTAATTTATTATCCAACATTACTCTAAATGATTTTCAAAAATCAAAAATTGAAAGATATTTTTTAAAATATTTAAATTTTAATCAAAATAGTCAGTTCATTTCCTTGTTTTTCGATAACATATTTAAGTATAATCACTTTATCGAAAAGTGTCAATTATTAAATCTCTATATCATTCATGATTCAAATATTGATTTACATCATTACATCCCTTCATTATCCTTGGATTTCATTAAATTCGTTGATTTATCATCCACCTCTTCATCATTGAGTGTAAAAGATTTTGTTCAATATTATCTCATCCAAAATAATTTACATACTTCAGCAAAAATATTTATGAAATTTGTTAATGGTTTACAAATTTCTGCTATAATTGTCTTTATTGGCTACATATTTTTATCAATATCAAACCAACATAAAATAAGATCGAATTTTGGTCTAGTATTTGGTTGGTTACTAGAAATTATCATAAGTGCAACTGCTTCAATCAACTTGATTAGCTATATCCATAATTATAAATCTTGGAGACTAATATTTGATCCTTCAACTTTTTTCACTAAAGCTGGCTTTATTTTTAGTATTATGGTTTTAAGTTCAAGAACTTTAACCAGAATAATTAATGATATAGCAGGTGATAACTCTTTTGAATCAAATAATGATATCCATAAAAGATTGTTCAAATTTTATGTTGGTATTAATACTAGTACGAAGAACTCCACTAAAATATTACAGATATTTGATTGTGTTTTCAGAATTATAGGTATTGATTTATACAAATTTTACATCCCAAATATTTCGAAAGTTTTATGCTTTAATTTAGTTGGAATTATGTCAATTAATTTCATTGGCACTATCCTTTTCCAAGTTTATTTTGACGGTAATTTCATGCAATATATATCTATGAGATTATTTAGATTTGTGGAAGCAGTTATTTTCGCCTTATTTATCGATCATTTTCTACAAATGACTTATCTTGTGGGTATTATAACTGTTGATTTAAATCGTTATGAACTAAAAGATTTGTTAGATCAACAAACAAATGAATCAGATGAATCTTTGCCAATTGCTCATGAAGTGAACTTTTTCTCATCACTATTACTAAAATTGTCCAGTCCAATAAATTCAAGACCTGACAGGTCTTCCATTAGATATAGATTAGGTCAATATTTACTCAAAGTTCGACCTTCTAGCTCAATCACTTTCTGGTTTATACTATTCCCGTTATTCCAATTACTTCATTTTCTAGTAATCATTACAAATTGGGTAATTCTAATTCCGTATAACTTGATCAATGATCCAAATTCAATTATTCATATTGGTTTCAGAAATATAATTGTTAATAAAACTGATATACTTTATTACCTGGAACTATTCTCAATTGTTTTGCTCATAATAGCGATTTCTCAATTGATTTTCAAATTAGCACATTATAAGTATAATGATGAATTGACAAAGTTAGATGATGATAAAAAATTAAAATCTAACTCTCGTGAAAGTTTAACAACTTCTGATTTTGAATTGAATGATGAAACTAAATTTTTCAAATCAATTGATTTGAAAAACGGTCATGATCTTGATGTTTTGAAAATCAACACTAATTCTGTTACCTCCTTTTTAGCCTCAATTGGCTTAGATCATAAAATCTTGATTTGGAGTCCCTTAAGTACATCTGATGATTCAAAACCAATCAATTTATCATCAACAAATAATGATGGTAAAGAACTTTGGCCTATAAATCACATCAATATAAGTAACGATGGGAACTTTATTGTTTTGATTAACTTCAAATATGGTATGATAAAATGTTTTGAAAGGGACGCATTGAAATTCATTTGGGAACATAAATTACCCAATGATATACTATCCAAATTTAAAGATAACAAACTAAAAATTTTGGAATCTTTCTTCAGAAAGAAAACTGTTCCAGGTTTTTTAACTAGAAAAATCCTACAAAAGAAAAAAGCTTTACAAAAGAGCCAAGGTTTACTTGGTAGGAGTAGAAGAGGGAGTGATACTTCAATAATTTCATTTGGATCCACCATAAATGCTAACTTCCCTCCACCGTTAGCATCTTTGAAGAAAACACAGGATGATAATATCAGCAAAGAAATTCAAGAGCTAGAGAAATCTCTTAATAAAGAAGAATATACTATTGTTCTATCCACTGGGGAATTGATCACTTTTTCATGTCTGGATGGCTCCATGAATACATCAAATATCATTGAAGATATATACGGTGATGCTGAAAATCTATTCATCAATTCTGCTGCAAAGATCTCTACTTCGAGAGTCAGTGATCGAATTGTTTGCAATATAAGCAACATTGATATTTGTGTGGCTACCGTCATCAATAATAGCTGGAAATTTAGAAAATTACCAGTTCAAGATGATTTTTATAACAAAGGTTTGAAAGTTGCAACCCCATTAACATTATCATTAAATACGATTGATAACCATGAGTTCAAGTCTAAATATGATGAAAGGGAGCAACAAAAAACACGGCCAGAACCAGAACAAAGTACAGTAAAGGAGAAGAAGTATCAACAAATCAATAGACCGGTTGTTCTTCCTATTGAGTTTGTTGGTATGTTTTTAAGAGTAATTGATTTAACGGCCCAATTAATTGACGCTCAAACCGGGGTAATTTTGAAAACATTTAATATTGGTCATTTCAAGCCATCTTCATTGAAAGTATCACATTCAGAACCTACTCATTGTAAATTTTGTGGTTGTGCCTCAATTCAATCATTCTCTATAGTTTACGAAGATTTTTATGATAAAACAATTATCATTCATAGTTTCAGGCTCAAGGCCAAGAGATCAAAGAATAATATTTGTCTTAGAGTTGAGAGAGATCCAAGAGAAATTAGATGTTTGGGTTTCAATGCAGTAACTGAAACTCAATATTGGTATGAAAACATTGAGTCGTGGGCTTTAACCGATGTTAATTTAATAGTTGCCTTCAGAAGGAAGAATCACGATCCAAATAGTGATAGTGAAGAAGATATTGAAACTTTGGATAACAATTTGTCTACCGCTTCTAAACCAAATATTAAAAGTTTGATAGAACATAGTGGTTTGAGTTCATTACGTTCTAGAAAAACCGGATTCAGCAGTCGTGAATTATTTTCAAAATCTTTCAAGTCAATTCTGGAAGAACATAAAAATAAAGCGTCCAAGTCATTGAATGATATTTGGGAAAGTTTTGTTATAACTGTTGCAAATGGAAAAGTTATCAATTATAAGATTCCAGAACTCAGTAAGGATAATAGTCAATTGATTACCAATAGAATCAATTCCATCTCAAAGTATGGTTTCAAAGCAGTTGCTGTCAGTTTTGGTAACCTTATTAAGATCCTTTATCTTGGTAATGATAAATTGATTGAAAATGAATTGTATTATTCTGGAACTAACACCACTATGGGTGATGTCTTTAACGATCGGTCTGCAAACGAGAAATCCGACAACAATTTATCGGTCACCTCGAATCCTGCTGCTACAAACATGAACGAGTTGCTATTCATTAATAAGAGGCGTAGAATAAGAGAAAAACATCTGAAACATTCGACCGTAACGAAAGAATAATTAATGTTTCAACCAACATGTCATTTGTATAAATAAATATTTATCAAGAGCTTTGAATATGTAGAAAATCGTTTCTTTTTGCGGCCTTTTCTTCTTTGCTACCTCTCGCTTTTTGGCGCGGATATTGTCGTATTTCTAAACCGGTAGTGTACGGGTGGGTACGGATGAGGTCATTATGACGGGGTTTGAAACTCATCTCTAAGAGTATATAAGTAAAGGCATATTCTCTGAATGCAGCGAAAACTCGTTCAAATCACTATTATTCACCTTTTTATATTAACTTTTAACACTATTGCAAGATGAAAATCATTGACGAAGAAGAGAAAAATGCCTCCATTAACAACATGCTTATTGAAGCAGCCAAAGGGATCACCGTTGGTTTAGGTGTTAGTTACGGTCTTTATAGATTTATTCGTTATAGATACCCTGTTGGATATACCAAATTCAGTACTTCTGTCAAAGCATCCATTTGGGCAATGCCTACCATTTCCTTGGGTGCTTTCTTTGCCGATGAAGGTACTGTTAAATTTTCCGAAAAAAATACCCGATCAGATTATTTGGAAAGATTAGAAAAAGAAAAATTGGAATCTTATAAGAACTTATCAACTACTGACCAGGTATTATCTAAATTAAATGAGCATAAATATAAAATCATTGTTGGTTCATGGGCAGCATCATTATGGGGATCATGGAAAATAGTTAATAAGGATAAGTACATGACTACAGCACAAAAAGCAGTTCAAGCAAGAGTTTACGCCCAAGCAATTACTGTTGTTTTACTATTAGGTACCATTTTACTTTCAATGCATGAAGAAAAAATCAATAAAGGAAAACCTGCTCCAGTTCCCGAATGGAAGAGGTTCCTTGATGAACAAGAAGCTAAAAAAAAACAAGACCAACAAATACAGCATTAGACCTGCTATAGACGCTTACATAGCATTCATGATGGATATGACCTATTTTTTATTACGTATAACTCATTTACATAAAGGGGACTAATATAAACTTTTAATTTGATTCATTTGTAATTTCTATTCATTTGTAATTTGTATAGTGTTCATTTGTAATTTGTACAGTGTGGAATGTTGCAAAAAAAAAAAAGTACATCTGTCCCAACAAAACTAATTTTTCAAACCCCTGGTGCGAAAATCATGCCATACTAAACTTTTTTTGCAATAATTCAAAAGAAAAGAGATGTATAGCGATTTGACTACATGGTTGGGAAGTATAAGAGTACACACATTGATAATATTAAGCACATATCCTAGTGGAAAATGTTAATAATTAGAAGAAAGCCATACGACGGTAAAGGCAACAAAGCTAATCAAACCCGTCTTTGATTTCAAAAGCACCAAGTCTAAATGTAGCATTCTCCCTTTTCAAATAGTCTTTACGATCATGATAGTCTTTTACACGGCCCCTCACATAATCAGTTCCACTTACAGGATCAATATCTTCGTATAACCCTAATTTTTTGAGTAAAGGAGAAGGGGCTATACTGATATCGACATCACCAGGTCTAACAAAATAAAAAGTTCCTATACGAGGAGCATTTATTTGATCATTAGGGGGACGAATGACGCGATGGATCGTCAGTTTGAAGTATCCACCACTCCAAAACAGAAGAGTGTCACCGATATTACAAATCAAACCTTGATCCACGGGTTTAACGTATTTCCAGCTACCATCGGATAATCTAATTTGAAGTCCTGCCACAACTTGATTATATAACAATGTCAAACTACCAAAGTCAGTATGGCCCCTAGCCCAGATCCTTTCCACTTGCTCATCATCTTCTATAGAGCGAGGATGATACCTCATATAACGAAGGTGGTCGTCGCTAGCTAAGTCATAAGCATGGCGATCAGCAAAATAATTCTCTGGTAATTCAAGAATAATGGCAAACAACACGAGTAATTTTCTAGCAACTTCAAAAGCTTTTCTAGATAATATTTCCAATTCCTCACGATGCTCTTGAATGAATGGTTGTTTGAAATACTCATCGTACTTATGGTCGCTTGTAAATTTGGCAATATTTAAGGTCTCGACATTATCTCTTACATCAGTATCGAAAACTTTTTTATTTCCTTTGATTTTATAACCAAAATAATTGCCTTTCTCAAATTGAACTTCCTGTGCTTTTTTCTCTTCCAAAGTATAATCTTCAAAGAAATGTTGACCTAAAGCATACTGGTGGTTAAACTCTTCCTTACTTATTCCATGGCCAACAACTGCCCAAAACCCATCTTTTTCAACCGCTTGCTTTAATTCATTGGCAAGCTCTTGCTTACCACCTGGTTGGTCAAACTTACCAATGTCAACTGTTGTCAATTCTGCCCAATCCAAATCTTCTTGGGTCTCTTGTGGTGCAACCCATTCTTTAGGTTGTGGTCTTATCGTAGCAACCGTCATTTTTGATTAGTTAACTTTTCGGCAGTCTATTCGACAATTAATCAACTTTTTATATAAATTATGAACCTTTTTCCAGTAAAGCTCAACATTCATCCCTTGAATTTGCAATACCATTCAATGGCTCGGCTCGGAGAAGTCTCCGTTATCATTAATAAAGTGCTGTAGTGTTCTAAATCAGTCCAACATGATCTCCGAAACTGTGGTGGCTTCGGTTTAATGTACCCGTTTCCCTTTTTGGAACTAATTGCGAAAAACTAAAAGATCCACCAAATTTGCAATGTTGCTAAAATTTAGTGATAATGGTCCGGAGAGATTTATTTGTCAATTGTTTTGATGTAACAAGATGCCACATCAGATTCTTGGGCTAATAATGTATTACAGTTTGTACATTTCCACAAATGATATTATATAATAGATCAAATCCCTCTATTTTAAATTTTATTGATTCTTTTGAGTTTGGGTTTAAATATGAGCTCAAACAGTTTAAGCCGTCAGGAAGATTCCGTAGGGAACATTTTTCGCAAGTTTGATCCATCATTGAAAAAAGATCAAAGTGTCACTGTTAGCCTTGAGGAAAATGATTGGGAATCGGATAATGAAGAGCAAGAGGAAGAGTATCACAAAATTCTTAGAAAAGTTGATTTAAGACTTCTTGTCCCGTATTCATTTGCATATGTGTTCACTCAAATTAATAAGAACAATATTTCCAATGTTGCAATTCTAAATCAGGAAACTGGGAATAATATCAGACACGAGTTGGGAGATTTAACATCTGAACAGTGGGCATGGTGTATTAGTATTTTTTATTATCCATATCTTTTCTTTGAAGCTATTTTAACCCTTTGCATGAAATTGGTTGGACCTAGACCATGGCAATCAAGAATCATGCTTACCTGGGGTGGGTTCTCAATGTTACAGGCAGCAACAAAACCAAAAGCTTCCGAGCTCCCTAACACAAGTAAAGGATACGGTCTGTTATTAGCTGTTCGTTTTTTTTTGGGGCTATCTGAAGCTCTGTTCTTCACATCCGTCCTTTATCACTATAGCTATTGGGTTCCGGCAAGATTATTGAGCCAAAGAACGGCGATCTTTTATTCTTGGGGGATGCTAAGTGGAGCAGTTAGTGGGATTTTGGCGTATGGTATATCATTCTTGAATCAAAAGGGAGTCGCTGGACATGAATTGAGCGGCTGGCAATACGTTTTCTTATTTGAAGGAATACCAACAATTCTAATTGGTATTTATCTGATTTTTTTTTTGCCAAATTATATCCCCGAATCAAAATTTTTAACCGGGGACCAAAAACAATTATTATTGAAGAAACTCCAGAAAACGGCCCCCAAAAAAGACGATAAGACTTTTTCATGGAGCGATATTAAACTGCTTTTGAAACAGTCTCATTTTTACTCATTCACAGGGATTTGGCTATTCCAGGGAATTGGAGGTTGGGGAATTAGTTATTCCTTACCTACTGTTATCTATGACTTGGGCTTTACTGGTACTGCCGAAACCCAATTACTTAGTATGCCTCCTTCCATTGCAGGATTCATACTATTGAATATATTAGGGTTCTTGCTTCAAAGACAGTATATCAAAGTCTTTCCAGTAGCCTTTGTTATGACTGTTTTGCAAATTGGTTGTTATATTGTCTTGATCAGTACTAAAAATAATGCTGCCAAATACAGTATGCTTATTATTGCAACCGCAATTTCAAATTCTTTATACCCAGTTCTTTGGCCTGATAGAATAAGAGTTGCGAAAGGAGCTAGTTCAGGAACAGGATTAGCTATTGGATTCACCAATTCTATTACACAACTCAGTGGAATATTAGGAGGCCAGATTTATCAGTCTAAGTTTGGGCCTTTATATAGAGTAAGTTATGCGATTTCCATTGTCTTTTGTGTTTTGTCTTGTCTATCAGTTGCTTTAACATGGTACTTGGTTGTAAGAGATGGTTTATTAGAGACAGAAGGAGCAGAAAAAGATGAAGGAGTAGCAGTAAAAAGTGGTTGAAGGGGATGTAGGTTTTCAATGTATATATCAAAATGACTAGGATATTCTTTTCTCTTGTGTAATCAATAGTTATGTACAAATTAAACTTTTGGTAGAATTTACTATAAATTTTGGCATGAAATCGACAAATATCTACCAAAATAAACTTGGGTGTATATTCTCCAAGAATTTGATATACTTCGAGTTTGTTTGTACCACAGGAGCAACGGTTCCGACTCCCCTCTTGCTAAATGTCTTAAATATTCCAATTTAAGTTTTTGAATACTTTAAATCCAATTTGTGTTTGGTGTTTTCACAAAAAAGTCGAGTGTTCCGGAGTTCATCTGAAGGCAGCTTGTCCGAGTGGTTAAGGAGAAAGATTAGAAATCTTTTGGGCTTTGCCCGCGCAGGTTCGAATCCTGCAGCTGTCGTTATATTTTTGTATATGCTCTTGTAGCCATGTTAATGGTGGGTCAAAGCTGGAGTGTTTTTTTGTAACTGGAAGTATCGTGTAAAGATGGTTCAATGCCAGAGATCTTAGTGTAATTGTGGGGAGAAGGTCAATTTTCTTTCAGGTTCGCATTTTTACATTCTCAAATTGAGAAAGCTGCCCGCCTCCTCGTTTCTTTGGCTTGGTCTACATAGACAGGATTAGTGGGTGGATTAATAGAATAAAGGGGAATGAAAAGGAAATGATTGCAAAACCTACCAGTGTAAAGAGCGCATTTGATGGTTTTTTTTTTTTTTTTGTTTTGTGAGAAAAATTTTTTTTTTTTTTCCTCAAAAATAATCTCTTCTCATCTCTCATCGCACCCAAAGTGAAAAAAAAAAGAGACATTGGTTTTAAAGTCTTTTCAATAAATCTTCTTTATCACGTTAGATAATATACCACCATGCAGTTAGCTGTTCACCAGGACGATGCCAACATTTTGTTGAAGGAAAGAAACAATTTGACCGAGTCGACCTTAGATAAATACAGAACTGCCGGACAAATTGCCCAAACTGGATTAAAATATGTTATTTCATTAATTAATGATTCATATCATTTAGGAAAAGTTGATAGACCATACAGTGTACAAGAGTTATGTATCTTAGGGGATTCCATGATACATAAGTTATTGAGTAAAGTTTATGCAAATACTGAAAAAGTTAGAGAAAAAGGGATTGCGATGCCGGTCAATATTGATGTTAATGAATTTGTTAATGGATTTTCACCAGAACTTGATGATAATAATGATTATACCTTCAAGCAAGGAGACACTGTTACTATTACCTTGGGTGTTCAAATCGATGGGTATACTGCCAATATATCACATACTATTGTGATCTATCCACCAGGGGTTGAAATTGAAGGAGAATTGAAACCAAGTGGACCATTATTAGGACCAGAGGCTGATTCTATGATTGCCAGTAATATTGCCAACGAAGCGGTTGTTGCCTTATTAGGATTAAGTTTAACTCCAGAAAAATTAAGTAATTTACCATTACAAGCCATTGGAGGAAATGACAAGGTGATTAGTGGTAAAATGATAAGAAATTTAGTTAATTCAATTGCTGAGTCATTTAATTGTGTTGTTGTACCAGGATCTAAGGTGAGAAGAGTGCGTAGATTTTTAGCAGGACAAGCTGAAGGGATAGTTGCCGAAACTGATTTTAAAGGGGTTGTTTGGGATGAATCTGATCAAGAAACCAATTTAATGAAGAGAAGTTCAAATGATACTGAATTAATCACTCAAGAAGATGCACGTAAAAGTGGGAACATTAGTAATAATTCCAGTGCAATTCCAAGTGATGAATTTATTATAAGTGCTGATGAAGTTTATAATATTGATATTAAAATGACTTCAATTAATAAATTTGAAAAAGAAGTTGGGTTAATTACATTGAAAGAAATTGATGAATTTAGTGGGAAAAATAATCAAAAAGATGAATTTATTAGTAAATCAACAATTTTCATAAGAGATTTTGCAATCACTCATCAATTAAAATTGAAAAGTTCTCGTAAATTATTAGGTCATATCGATAAAACATATTCAGTTTATCCTTTCAAATTATCTCACACCTGTGAATCCTTCCCAATTAAATTTAATGATAACATTTTCCAACAATTAGATAAAATAAAGAACGAATTGAAAACCAATAAATTAGGTTTAAGTGAATTAAGCAATAGATATTTAGTTAGGGGTAAACCAATTCAAACCACCCAATTTTTACCTTTAGAAATCATTTTGAAAAGTGCTAATCCAACCGGTAGACATGGTATTGATTCAAATAAACCAGTGTTACCAGGTATGGAAATCCCATTACCTCAATTAGGAATCTCTTCATTAAAATTGAAATCTTTATTGAAACATTCAAAACCAGTTGGTGGTGTTTCCCGAGAATCCACCACCGTGGTTTTAAATTCAAATAATCAAGAAGTCATTAGATTAACCGGTGGTAATAAAACCGTTAATCCAAGTTGGACTCATTCTAATTTCCAATTGAATGACTCCATTAGTCAATTTGTTAATCAATTAAGTGATTTAACCCAAGACTCAAGATTCGGCATCAAAATTAAAGAAGTCCAGCCTTTGAAAATCAATAACGAAGTCTTAAAAATTGAAGATTCAATGCAATTAGATTAGTCTGCAAAATAATATATATCTCTCTTTGTATACCGGCCAGTGTAGCGGTACGGAGGCAGCACCGGTGGGAGGAGGTACGGATGGGTGTCGGGTGGGATTTCCCGATTTGCCACCAGCGCAGTGTTCCTCCCGACACGGGCGGCGTGTCTGAGCTTTGTTCTTTTTGTCTGAATGACAGACAAAAAAACTATTGCTGAACATTAACAGTTCACCCGATTCCGCTAATAAAGAAAACCCACTAACAAAACAAACACTCAAATTTTTTTTTTTTTTTTTCAGTTTTATTTTGTTAGCGTTTTTCGCTGTCTTTTTTTTTCTGTTGTTTTCTTTTCAATTACGCTCTTGTTACTTTGTTAGCCTGAATTTTTTTAACAACTTAATATATAGTTCTTTTGTATTCCTACTTTTTCCCTTTTTTTTCCCTTTCTTTTAGAAATTGATTTTTTTTATCTTTTTTTAATTTATACCTTTCCTTATACTAAACGTATGTATTTCTTGAATTGATTGATGGCTGAAGTTGATTCAGGGTCGGAAAGTGGTTGATTCGACACTTGATTTTCATTTTATTTTATTTTATTTTGTTTTATTTTTTTTTTTTTTTTTTTTGACTTTTCACCGTTCTCTATTTCTCTTTGAAAGAATCCGCTGTTTGACCGTTATTGAAGGATTGATTGATTGTCCATCCATGATATGTTCTCGAGTTGACGTGTTTGTGGGTGGTTTTCCCGTGCCACCATCAATTGACTGCACGAACACTTCCGATGTGTGCTTGTCTACCTGATCACTTGTTTACTGTTTGATGGGTACTTGTTTACCTGAATATTTGATGTTTCACTGATTTGCTTGATGTTTTACTGATTTGCTTGATGTTTACTTTCGATGAATTGATGTTTACTTTCGATGAATTGATGTTTACTCTCTGAATCGATGTTTACTCTTGATGAATCATTGGTGGTGGCAAGGGTTCAAATGATTCGATACAACCATAAAAGATTGACAAGAGGAAGTGCAAGACGTATACGAGGCGTGTACCAAGGACCAGCTACAATGATTAAATGTACCCGGTACATGGTGATGCAAGGTAAAGTTGATAGCATACAATGGCCAAATGTTTGGGTGTTTAAGGGTGGTGAGAACAAATGTACTTTTTCTTCTAAATTTGCTTTTTTACTCTAAGTGTTTTTTTTTTTTTTTTTTATTTTTTTTCCTTTTGCTAAATCTGAGAACTTGAATCAATTACATCAATTTTTTTTTTTTTCAATTTTTCTTTTCTTGTTCAATTACTAACTAATCAATCTAGTATACATAATACAATGCCTGCCTCTCGTGAAGATTCTGTCTATCTTGCCAAATTAGCTGAACAAGCTGAACGTTATGAAGAAATGGTTGAAAATATGAAGGTTGTTGCTTCTTCCGGTCAAGAATTATCGGTTGAAGAACGTAATTTATTATCAGTTGCTTATAAAAATGTGATTGGTGCTAGACGTGCTTCCTGGAGAATTGTTTCATCAATTGAACAAAAAGAAGAAGCTAAAGGTAATGAACAACAAGTTAGTTTAATCCGTGATTATCGTTCTAAAATTGAAGCTGAATTATCTAAAATTTGTGAAGATATTTTATCAGTTTTAACCGATCATTTAATTTCTTCTGCTCAAACTGGTGAATCAAAAGTTTTCTACTATAAAATGAAGGGTGATTATCATCGTTATTTAGCTGAATTTGCCATTAGTGAAAAACGTAAAGATGCCGCTGATTTATCATTAGAAGCTTATAAAGCTGCTTCTGATGTTGCAGTCACTGAATTACCTCCAACTCATCCAATTAGATTAGGTTTAGCCTTAAATTTCTCTGTCTTTTACTATGAAATTTTAAATTCTCCTGATAGAGCTTGTCATTTAGCTAAACAAGCTTTTGATGATGCAGTTGCTGATTTAGAAACTTTATCTGAAGATTCTTATAAAGATTCTACATTAATTATGCAATTATTAAGAGATAATTTAACTTTATGGACTGATTTATCTGAAGCTCCAGCTCAATCTGAAGAACAACCAGCTGAATCAAAACAAGATGAAGAATAGATTAATCATTAACCCCCATCCAGTCCCGCCTACAAGTCCTTATATCATATTGTTTTTATTCCTTTTCCTTTTTCACTTGCCAGTTTTATCTTTTTTTTTTTTTTTTTTCTTTAGTATATTATTTGTGTTGATTAAATAAAATGTTTTTTATTATTGTTCAAATTTACCAAAGTATATATAAAATGGCAATATACTAAAGGGAAGAAAAAAAATCAAATGTCTATGTATTATTTATTTTTTTTCTCTACTTAATAAGAATTGAGAATTGAACTAATAATCCGAGTATTTATCCACTGTAAAACCCGACACTGTATTTTTTCACCCAATCTACCGTCTTCTTTTTTCACAAATTATTATATTCTCTCTTCTATCTCTATTCAATCTAATATTACTAATGGAAGTAAGGGATAAATGGTCAGACATTCCCCCATTTCCAGCAACCAGACACCAGACACAAACCCGGGGTGACCTCACCAGACAAAAAAGGAGCCAGTGCGCGCCGACACCACACCCGCAAAAGGGACAGACATTTTACTGGTGTCGGGCCGCTTATGTAAGCACCCGGTGGTTTTACGTGGTGGGCGCACGCCCGGTTTACTTCCATTTTTTTCGTTTTGTTTTTTTTTGTTCTCTTTTTTTTTGTTCTCTTTTTTTTTGTTTTTTTCGCGCGCGTTTATTTTTTTTTGGTTTTTGGTTTTTCGTTTCAATTAGCAATTAGGGACACGTACACCAGGAACCCATGTTAATTGTCTGTGTGGTTGGCGAATTGATGGTGTTGGTGTAGCTGTAGCTGTATTGATGCATTGATGCATTGATGTATTGATGTGTTGTTGGTGTATGGTGTATTGATGTGTTGTTGGTGTATGGTGTATTGTTGGTCGGTGTATTGATGGTAGATGTATGTTTGATGTAGGGGTTAGTGTAGATGGTGTAGAGTTGTTATTCAATTGGTCGTCGCTTGTTTTTTTTTTTGTTGTTTTTTTCAGCTGTCTTTTTCCTTCGTCGTCTTCGACTATTTCTGATCTACAACTTTTCAATACAAGTTTTCGTGTTATCTCTAAGGATACATCTTTTTCTTTCCTGATACTTTGAATACGTTCGATCAATTCATAATGCCTGAACCTGTTGGAATTGCCAATTTACCAAATCAAAGGTATGTATTAACAAGATATAAAAAAATGTTGATTTGTTTACAATACTAATTCTTATATTATAGATATAAAATTATATCTGATCAAGGTGCTACTTTCACTTTAATGGTGGCTGGTGAAAGCGGATTAGGTAAAACCACATTTATCAATACTTTATTTCAATCATCATTAAAAATCCATCAAGATCCAAATGAAAGACATAATAAATTTTCAAATCCTCATCAAACAGTTGATATTGATATTGTTAGAGCTATTTTAGAAGAGAAAAATTTCAAAATTAGATTGAATATTATCGATACTCCCGGTTTTGGTAATAATGTTAATAATCACGATTCTTGGACTCCAATTATCGATTTCATCGATGATCAACATGAATCTTTTATGAAACAAGAACAACAACCTTTTAGAACTGATAAAAAGGATTTGAGAGTTCATGCTTGTATCTATTTCATTAGACCTACTGGCCATTCTTTAAAACCTTTGGATATTGAAATCATGAAAAGATTATCAACTAGAGTTAATTTAATTCCAATTATTGCCAAACTGGATACCTTATCACCAAATGAATTGGATATCTTCAAAACAAGAATAAGAGATATCATTGAAGCTCAAGATATTAATATTTATACTCCTCCTTTAGAAATTGAAGATCCTGCTAGTGCTGAACATTCCAAACAATTAATTGAAGCAATGCCTTTTGCTATAATTGGTAGTGAAGATGAATACGAAATAAGCCCTGGTAATTTCGTCAGAGGTAGAAAATATCCTTGGGGTTTAGTCGAAGTTGAAAATGATAAACATTGTGATTTTAAAAAATTAAGATCTTTATTATTAAGAACTAATATGTTAGATCTTGTTTTATCTACTAACGAAATACATTTTGAAACTTATAGATCAATCAAATTAGGTGGTGGCTCCAATAACGATGATGATGATTCAAATAATCAAAATAATGATGAAAATAATGAAAATGGTGATCAAACTAAAAAACAAGCTCCTAAAAAACCTAGAAGATTACATAACCCTAAATTTAAAGAAGAAGAAGATGCTTTGAAAAAATTCTTTACTGAACAAGTTAAAGCTGAAGAACAAAGATTTAGACAATGGGAAACTAATATCGTTAATGAAAGAAATAGATTAAATCAAGATTTAGAAGAAATGCAAACTAAATTAAAATCCTTAGAAGATCAAGTTAAAAAATTACAAATAACAAAACGTTAATCTGATCGTCTGTTTTTTTTTTTTGGACCCATCATCTCTGTACAATAATTTATCTTCTTTCTGGTTTTTAACCTGTGTTTTTTTTTTTTTTTAGCAATTTTTACTTCATCAAAGTTCATCTTTATCTAATTACATAGAATTATTTTCTCTTTCTCCCCCCATTCCTGTTCTCCTACTTATAGCTTAATCGGGTTTGTACTGGTTATTTGTTATCTTGATAATTTTAATCCTTTTGAAAATTTTATTTTACAGTGTAACTTTTTTGCAATTTATTCGTATGCACGGATGTTTTATAATCACGTGAATGTCACGTGAATGTCACGTGATGTTTTGATGGTTTTTCAATTTCTCGTTCTTCTACTCTTTCCTACATGTTATTATTCTTATAGCTTATACCGTAAACTGCTGTACCCTGTTTCATTATCTCAAAGAATGGCCGATAGCGAGTTGATAATAGGGGACAGAATTAAGAAAATTCTGGAGTTGAATCAACTCACCAAAGATCCCCTCTTATCAAATTTATTCGACCAAGATGATGAAAAATATAAGCAAGAACTCGATGATATTTTGAATGATAACGACATTAATAAACAAACTCCTTTCAATCATGATTCAATACCTTCACTTGAAAACGAATCAGACTTTAAAGATAAAATCTTACATAATATCAAGCCCCAATTGTTCCATCCTCCTGCAAGCTCAAACATTCCAGAAATTAAAATTGTTGAATCAACTTCTCCTTCGAAAAATGCAGCTAAATCACTCCAGAAAGATGTGCCGTCTCCTTCTCGTCAATCTGCCAGAAATTTAATTCCTGCTAATGCAGCTCAACATACATTGAAAAGACGCCATGAGCACGATTCAAGGTTTGATCATAGATACACAAAAATTCCAAGAAATTTATTACCTTCAACAAGACTTATCACAAATCGTATACCAAAACCAAAATCAAATATTAAATCCTTAAAATCCCAGCAAGAAGTAATTGATGAAAACTTAAAAGAGTATTTATCGAAAAGCATTTCCGATCTTGAGATCATTTCCACTCCTGAAAACTATCCAACTGAAACTCATAGTGTTTCATCATTAGCTGAGCTTTATTACTTAACTCAAACCTTGCCCTTGATCAAATTATTACCCGGCTGTCATAAGACTCTAATGACTGATAATTTTGAACTGGCTTTATTTGAAGGTAAAATCGCTGTTTTATATTCGAGAATTGAAGAATTGAAAAGACAAAGTAAATGGTCTTTACGTCAACCCATTCGCTATTACGATCCTTTTCTTTACAATAAAAAACATAAAAGAGTCAAGAGTTTTCATTCAGATAATTTATTGAATGAAGGTAACTGGATGGCTGCTGATTTTAAGGAGTCTTCAAAATTCAAAAAGTCTTGCTGTTTCAATATGGCTCAATCTATCATGGATTATTGGACTTATGGTAAGATAATGTGCATTAAAAGAAAACCCATAAAACATCTTGATGGTACTTATGAATTGAATGGAGAGCCAATTGACAAATCTTTAATTGAACCTGAACCAATGGAAGTTGATGATGAACTTAACTCCAATAAAGAAACAGTCAAACAAGAAGATGAAGAAAATAATGAACAAAGTGATAAAGTTGAAAGTGAGGTTAACCAAACTCATGAAATTAAAGATGGAAATGAAGCATTAGATTCAAAGACGGTTCCAGAAAATAAAAAAGATGATGTGCTTCCAGAACCTGATTCTAAAGAAGATGGAAAAGTTGAAGAAATCCAAAGTAAAGAATTGCCAGACGAAGAGTCAATTTCTGCTATCGATGTCAAGTTATTGTTATCAAGACCTAACCCCAAGGATGAGATTGTTCCACCAACATTACCAAAAGTCACCGAAGAGGATTTACAAAGAATGGGTAAGAATAGAGAGATTAATGGTATGTTCAAACTCAATGCAGATATCAATGATATGAAAAAGATTGATCAATCCATTATTAAGAACTTACCAAAATTCACCGCATTTGATGATGATGATACCACACAGATTTCAGGCTCGCCTTTCAAATCAGAAGTATCCCCAATGGTTTCAATTTCGCGATTATTACATCCCTTCGAAGACAATGACGATTGGTACAAGATCGTCTTAAAAGATTCTAAGAACAGTAATGCCAAAAATAGTTCCCAAGGCCCTCCTGAATATCAAAAGGGCCTTTTTGGTTTTCAATCCCATCGTCGTTTTAATTATTTGAAGCCTCCTAAGCCACCTTTGATTAAAAATATCGAATACAGGTCACCAACCATTTGGCTTCCCCAAGATGATAAGTTTTTAATCCATTATGTTGCAGAATTTGCATTTAATTGGGATTTGATTTCAGAACATTTACTGAATACCTCCTCAACTTTGAAAAAATATGAATCCAACATTGAAAGAAGAAATCCTTGGCAATGTTTTGAAAGGTATATTCAATTGAATGAAAAGTTTCAATTTTCTGATATGAAGGGGCTTTATGCATATCATGCTCAGCAGTGGTTGGAACAGGCACACAGAGCTCAACTGACTACCAAAAGAAGGATCTCACCATTAGGTGTTGGTAATGAATCAATTCAAAGAGGTCACCGTAGATTGAGATGGGCTTCGATGTTTGATGCAATGAGAAAGAGCATGAGAAAGAGAGAAACTCAGGCTGCAAAAATCGCCCAGCGTAGATCTACCAATAATGACACTGGAGCTTCCAATGCCAACCCTAATACTAACGTCAATTCCAATGGCAATCCTAGTAATTCTGCCGCTTCCCCTAGTAGTGGAAGTGGAAGTGGAACTAGTAACAGTGATGGCGCTAATAGTGAAATGAGTAATAACGGAGCCAAACGCGGTTCAGATAGAGTTCCTACTCCCGCTGAATTATCTCGCTTGAAATTTGAAAGAGATAAGTCTATACAAGAGGCCTATATGAATCAACAGGCGACAAGATCTAGAATGATGGCCGCAGTTGCCCAGCAGCAAAGGCAACAACAGCAACAACAGCAACAACAAAGGCAACAACAACAGCAGCAAAGGCAGTCGCAACAACAGATTCCACCGAATGCTCCTGTGCCCGCTCCAAACCAACAGATCTCTCCTCAATTACAGCAACAACTGACTCATCAGCAACAAGTCCAACGCCAACAATTGCAAAACAGAGTTGTTCAGAATTATCAACAAAGACCTCCTCAACATACTGGGCAACCCACATCTCAACAACCTTTAAATCCACAACAAAGACAATCGCCGCCATTGAATCCAAGTGTTCCATCTCAAGGAAGTGGTTTATCTCAACAACCGGTTATTCCACAGACTGCCGCTAACCTTACCCCTCAACAAAGAGCTGCTATCCTCAGTCAACAAAGAGCAAACACTGGTAGCCCAGCACCATTAGCTGGAACTGGGCACCCTAGTCCAACTTTGACCAGTGACCCATTGGGGCAGGGTCAAAGGGTACCTCGTCCTTCGTCAGGTCAAATTACTGGTGGGTCTCCTTCGCCTCAGTTACAACAGTCTCAGCAGCAACTTAATGTACAACAACAAAAGCAGCAACAGATGAGACAACAGGCATTCGCTCAAGGTTTGGCCAAGCGCCCAACCACTCCGAATGGAACCCCTTATACACCAGAACAGATCCAGCAGTTATTGCAAATCCAAAAACAAAGAAGGCTCATGCAACAACAACAGAACCAAGCTGCTAAAACTGCTACTTCAGCTCAAGGGAATACTAACTTGAATATGCAAAATCAATATCAGAACAAGAGGCCGGTAAGTGCTAATACTTCGCTCGGTCAACCAGGTAACCAATCCCAAAGCATACGTACCAATTCTCAATCACAGGGACAAACATCACCACCTCCAAATTCATCATCCATGTCGGGGGCTGCTAATCAACAAGGACAACAAAGAGCAGGTGGTCAGCCTTCTAAACCACGAATTCAATTCGCTCCTGCTCAAGTCTCAGCTATCATCAATTCTATCCAGACCAAAAATCCTAATTTAACCAAGGAACAAGTTACTAGACTAGCCGCGACTTATTTGGCCAATTATCAGCAACAACAACAAAATAGGATGAATCAGCAACAACAACAACAACAACAACAACAACAAAGCCGATTACCGCAACAATCTGGATCCAATCAACAAGGAAGTACTCCCCAACCACAGCGTTTGTCTCCAAATTCACAAGCTATAAATCAACAGAGACAACAGCAGCTTGCATCCTTAACTCCTCAAGAGAGAAACCAACTTCAAATGTTGACTGCTGCCAAAAAAGCACAACAGCAAGCTCTTCAACAACGCCTGCAGCCTCAACAATCAATCAATCGCAACCAATCACCCCAATTCCAAGGACAAAATCTTGTTCAAAATTCCCCTGGTTCTCCTATGGTATCTAATTCCCCAGGTATAAGCTCCCCTCTTGATGCTCAAAGTCTATCCAAACTACAATATGAAGAGAGGAAAAAGCTTTTGATACAAAAACAGCAGCAGCAGCAGCAGAGAATGAATAACACTATGTCCCCAACAGTCAACTCAAACGCTTCATCTCCTGCTTTGTCAAATGCTAGCCTCAATCTTCACCATGGAAATCTGGACAACAACCCTAATTCTGACAATTCTATGAACTGATCAGTGTACTGTAGTCTTAATGTATTTTAGTGTATTTTATTATTAATATATATTTATGTCTTTCATAATTCGAGCTAGATCATGTAATGAAGTTTTTTTTTTTTTTTGCAATCGTCTCACTGTTTTTGTTTTTCTGCTTTTCGTACTGTTCTCATACTGGTAAAAAAAAATTGAGAAAATCATCTACCAAAATAGACCGTTTGGAGTAAACTCATAAGAAGTATCTATCTACCGGAATATATTTTAACTTCGTCGAATCTCCAACGGTTTTATATCCATTTGCAGCTCTATGAGTTTCGAATCTTATATATGACAATCACTAATATAGACCGCTTTTAATCATGAGTACAGGACAACTACATGATCAACAAGGGTTTAGCTCGAGTCTTCATCCTCGACCCGAGATATCTACAATCATGTCAAGGGGTTCCAGTATGGGAATATCGCTGACTCCTGGAATGAGTGTTGAAAATAAAAACTTTCAAATGTCTAGATACATAGATGATTATACCCAACCGAATCCGAGAGAAAACTTTATATCACTTCGTTTACCTCAAAGAGTGTTTATCTGGCTATATTCAATTTCATTATTTTTCTTTACTGTTTTAACAATTGGTTTTGTTGCAGTGACACCTATTGATGTTATCAAGCAAACTTTGGGGACTTCTTCATCAGGTATAAAGTTATTTATTGTCATTATTATTTGTATTGTGTTTTTGGTTGCTTCTCTTTTCTTATACTTTCTGAGATTGTATCAAAATAGGATATCTCTTAATGATATTCCATCGAAGTCAGTTTATATTCCTTTTTATGGGGACTTGTCCAAAGATGTATGTGCATACATTGATAAAAAGCTAGTTGAGTGTCTAACAGATATCAAGGTGAAGGCTGGTCCTTTGCATAATCATGATGTTGTGATTAATCATCCAGGAATGGCTCCTCCAGAATACATTCAGAAAAGAAACAAGAGCCCAAGCGGTGATGGTACTTTGTTACCACCCAACAGTTGCTACGAGGATGTCATAAGAAGTTTGGGTGATAGATTTAGCGTTGATGGTCGTATATTGACCCAAATAGATATTCCGAAATCTTATTCTTTCAGAGAAATGATAATATCATTAACGAAACTCGTAAAAGCGGGAGAAAATCCTCCTAATTTTCCTGATGTTAAAAAAATGATTGAACTCTATGAAGAATTTAAATTCAGCGGAGAACTTATTAATGAACGAGATCTACTCGTATTTATGGTGGAATTTGATAAATTAGCTTTCTTTTTTCAAGGTTCTTTTGATACTAAAGATAAGTCAATGGATCAGTCTAGGCCCCGAAAAAGTTTTAATTCTACAAAATATAGCACTGAAAATGGATACGATGATTTATTACTAACCAACTCGAATAATAAATGGTATTCTAGCATATCAGAACTGGCGCAATATCCCAGTCAAATGTTTTATAGTACCAGTGATCTAGACGATTATCCAGTTAAGCCAGGCAAGAATCATGATAATAAAGATACGTCATTTTCACCTTATATGCAATTAGCTGCATCAGATTCTAATACATCAGTAATCAACCAAACTAAATTGAAAAATGAGAAATATTCAAATTTATCATCTGATGAAAATGAATCTCCGGGTCCTGAAGAACCTATTAAGTTTTGGTCTGGTACTTCTCTTGACCGTTTCAAGCAGAGAAACTATAGTGCATCAAGTAGCACTGGATCAGTTGTCAAGAGGAAGTTAGCTCTTAGCAGCCCGCAATCCGATTCATGTTCGGTTCGTAGACCAAGTAGCGGCTATCTTACGGATTATGAAGATGAACAATCACAGAATGGAGGTGAAGTTGGTCAAGAAGTAAGTTCAAGTATACCTGGACTACATTATCTTCATACAGGAGTTGATGCAACCCATGATGATAAATTAGACAAGAGAGATTATAAAAGGGGTAGAAAATCTTCAGAAGAGGGAGTCCGATATAGTAATGATTTTGAAGATTATAATATCAATAGATACCCGTATGAAAGAAGGTCTGGGGTCGGACAAAGGCCAAATTCTAGTATGAAATTAACTGACGTGGACATCAAGAGACTGAGACTGAAATCACCAGAAAAATTGATCTCCGAAAAATTTCGAAGATCAGATAGATGATGGTTCTATCATGCTTTTATATATATGGTTGTGTATTATTTATTAGATATTATGTTCTTTATTATATAATTATGGTAAATGCAAATCGTTTAAATCATTAATTTTGGCGTGGTTTGACAACACCATCATGGATAAAATAATATACTACCGTTCCATCATCGTTGACTAATCCTATGGTAACTCTTTTAGGTCGACTGTTATTACTTTCTACTAAATCAGATATACTAACAAACCAAGAATTGATTTCTTTCAAAGTTAAATTTGCCTTATGGGACATGGGCTTGGGAATAATCCATTCCCTTTGATTCTCAATGTCATTACTATCCAATTTACTTGGGGGAATTCCTGATAGAATCTTAAGACTCAAATCTTTGATCGGGTGTTCCTGGACGTCAGTCCAAAGATTGTAATGTGACAAATTGGTCTTCACTTGTTCTGAAAGACTAGAATCGCTGGACATTTGTGGTAAAGATCAAAGGAACCTCCAGTATGCAATTTGGAATCTTCTCAGTAGTGGTATTGAACAATAAAAAAAAAAGTCACGTGAAGCTCTTTCTAGGACCAAAAAGGGAAAAATAAAATTTTTCATCTTATGAAACCAATCCGTCAGATCATGATTAATGAAACTTGCTAAGATAGATCAGTACAATACTAGTTTCTGGTCTAGAATAATGGTAGAGATAGGCACATTTTTGTAGTGTTTCGTTTCAAAGACCCGTTCTCTTGATAAATACGAACAAAATTTATTTCTTTGATGACAGTATGAAAATCACATACTGCCAGTCGTCGAAGTAAAGTATTTTCCGTCGTTGAAACTGTATTCAAACTCCTATAAGCAATAATATGAGGTGCTACTGCAGTAAAAGGTATTAGTGCTGTTGTAGTCCTTCACGGAGCTTTTTGAGGCGCTTGATACCTTCTATTTCCTATATTATTTGACCAATTGCAGCAATACAAAAAACAAGGTTCAGTGTGTACTGGTGACGAGGTTTTGTAAAGGGACAACTCTATTCTAGAACTGCTTGTGGTTGCAATTTTATTTTTTTTTTTTTTTTTCTTTGTTCTTGTGAGGTCAAATCTCTAGATTTAGTAAAATGTATAGCCTCTGCTAACTCCTAGAAATAGGGAATATGCCATGCATGTTCGGCAGGAAGGTACCTACAGCAGGACTGTTGTTGCTGTATGGCCTTTTTCCTTAGTAATGTAGTGAGATCTTGGGGTAAATTAGACTTTAAGTGCTGATACAAGCGATGCAAGTCACTTGTGAGGCTCGGTTTTCTATAATGGGTGTTTTGATAGTTGGCGTTCATCAGATTACCTGATTAATCAAACTAGAGTGAAATTGGCCACCCGTCACCTCACAACATGTTCAGATCAGAGTAAATAAACAAATCTCGAAGTGGTTTCAGAACTAGTTCGACCTACTAATAGATTGCAAAAAAGAAAAAAATGAGTATGATGGCACTAACCTAGATTAACCAATCTCTCACCAAACTAACTAATTCAATCAAGGGTTTGAATTAAGAACAAGAAGGGATACCTTTACCCCAGGATCTTTTGGTGGCAAAAGGTTTGAAAGTTTGTGTTCGCTCTAACTTCTAGACCCTAATATTGTATTGATGAAAGCCATTAAAAATGACAGAAAAAGAAAAGCGGGTTGCCGGCTGCTTTCCTGTATCGGAGTTTTTTCGATCCAAAGTGAAAAAGTTTTGCAAAGGCTTTTTGCTAAGGTCAAATCAAGATTCTTCAACCATAGCAATACTTAGGAAAGGTCAAAGACGTTTACTCTGTTGCATATGCTTTCTCGAGATTGAGCAATGTTGTAGCACTCAACTACTTTACTGACATGATTTCGTAGGCTGAGATGCGTAATAAAAATATGATTTTTCAACCAACTTTATTTGCGCTTCAGTAAAGTTTAAACTTGGAAGAAAAGAAACAACTGAATCTTCTTTTAATGGAAAAACAAGCCGCTTGTAAAAATAGGAGTATTATTTTAAAGAGGTAAAAATGAAAACCTTGCAACTTTTCTTTTCCAAAGATTACGAGTCATAATTTATAGACCTTTCGATTAATCCCGATACCTTTTTCATCGATACTTCGAATGTGTATAGAGGATAACGTCTTTTTTTTTTCTTTTGGTTTGCATAGTAAGAAGGTTTCTTTTTCCTGAAACTGACCTTGTCGGCTTATAAGGTGAAAAGTTTTTTGTGTAAGTCGATTCCCCATACATGAAGGATTCGATTTGATTCTAAAGGAGCTTTGGAAACGCTACTACTGCTCTTCGGCAGTACTAAAACTAAATATCTATTGACATAATACTTTTTTTTTTCTCTTTTGGTGGGTTTTTTCTTCTTTTCGTTTTTTTGCAACATCCAAATCTAGATTCGTTTTGAGGTTTAGTTTCAAAGCCTTTTCTTTTTCTCTAGCTACGTCTAATGTAAGATGTAGGCAATTAATGTATTTAATTTAAGTAATTTTTAGCCAAATGTATGTCAAAAATGATTCTGACTATAGTATTTCATAAGACTTCGAAAAGTATATAAATCAAGTTAGATCCACCCCAGAATTACTTCTTGAAACATCTAGATAGTAACCAATACATTCTTTAGAACACTATATTACCATTCTCATTCACCTATACATTCCTTTCGTTGGTGACAATTTTTAACTAGATTCATTCATTAATCAATAGTTAAACATTCATTTTATCCGAAGTCAATTTTTTCCGCTCACTCAATTTTTTTTGCAATAATTCAAAATGTTGTTCACTAACTTTTTAGTCTATGCTACTATTGCAGTCACTGCTAGTGCCGCTCCTTTTAACTCTACTCTTGGTAAAAGAGATGGTAATACTTGTCAATTTCCAAAAGGTAAAGGTTTAGTTGCCATTACTTCTGATAAAGATAATGGTGGTTGGGCCATGTCACCAGACCAAAAATGTACTTCTGGTAACTATTGTCCTTACGCTTGTCCATCAGGTAAATTGATGGCCCAATGGGACACCAAGGCTACCAGTTATAAGTATCCAGAATCTCAAAATGGTGGTTTAAAATGTAACAGTGATGGTACTGTTTCTAAACCATTTTCCGATAAAGATTATTGTGTTGATGGTGAAGGTACTGTTAAAGCTAAAAACAGTGCTAATGATCAAGTTGCCTTTTGTCAAACTGTCTTGCCAGGTAATGAAGATATGTTAATTCCAACTAAAGTTGGTGGAGGTTCTCTGGAAGATTTAGCAGTTCCTGGTCCTGATTATTATGCTGGTACTGCCGCCCATTACTATGTTAACCCACCAGGTGTTTCTACTGATGATGCATGTTCTTGGGGTTCAAAAGACAAGAGTCAAGGTAACTGGTCTCCTTATGTTGCCGGTGCTAATATGGATGACAATGGACAAACTTTCGTTAAAATTGGTTGGAATCCAAAATATGTTGAAGATTTCGATAACAAGAAACCAGATTTTGGTATCAGAGTTACTTGTGATGATGAAGGTGATTGCAATGGTTTAGATTGTGAAATTGATCCTTCAAGTACCGGTTTTAATGGTGTTAAAGGTTCCGATTCTGGTAAGCAACAAGGGGCCTCTTACTGTATTGTCACTGCTAAAAACAAAGCCTCCGCTAAGATTGAAGTCTTCAGTAAAGGTAACTAATGATTGTTTTCGGGGTAACTGTACATATATTAAAAAATCGGTTTGGTTATAGAGTTTGTATATATTAAAATTTTAAAAAAAAAGTTGTTTTATTACTTGTTCAGTGTAGTGAACCATTCTAACCTCTAAATAGATAATTAAAGCCTTACATTAAGCTTCTTTGGCTCAACTTATACTTGAATTAGGCTTGAGTTAGGCTTAACGGAGCAGGGAAAGTCGAGAAACACTCCGATGATCCCTTAATTTTTTTGCAACGCTCGCGCTTTAGACGCTCAAACTTAATTTATCAACTACTTCTTCTTCCTTGACATCACAATCACTTGCCTACATCCATTGGCCTGGCACTCCAATTCAGTGACCAGTTTCCAGACTTCCCGGAGATTAAATAACAGTATCATCTACTCATATCGTCGCTGGGTATTTGCTTAGTTACCCCCAGAGTATGCTATAACACTAAAGGATAAGATTTGCTTATTAATATATGAAAGGTTGCTGGACTCGGTGATTCATTATTGATTCCTCAGTCATAACTGAATCTATTGCTGTAACCAGGTTTTTGTTATTGGGTTTTACGTCTTTTTGTTGATTTTCTGAACTGCTGCGGACTTTTTTGAGCTTTTTTGAGGTTAGTCTTTTGTTAGAGCTTTTGTCGTTTTGTCTGTCTTTTTTTTTTATCTTTGCAGTTATCCGTCTCTTTGACGTTTTTTTCGGTTGGTGCGTTAGCCTCTTTCAAAGGCTCCTTCCAGCACTGAGATTAGATCGAGCGAAAAAAATTGAATTCATCAAAATATTTACAGGCTCCGTTTGTCTTGCAAAGATCGTGGAGTCCGAATAAGCTATATCCGTCTCCGTTTGTGTTCCCCGTTCACAGGCTAGCGGATTTTTTTTTGTTTTTTTAGCCTTTTTTTTGTTTTTTGGCCTTTTTTTTGTTTTTTTAGCCTTTTTTTTGTTTTTTTAGCCTTTTTTTTGTTTTTTTAGCCTTTTTTTTGTTTTTTTAGCCTTTTTTTTCCCTATCCCTACAATTCATAAATTAGTTGCTACTTTGTGGGTTTCATAAAGACAGAAGCGACTTACAACAGCTTGGGTTGCACCTGATCAACAACTTCTCACCGGCTTTACATCAAGCGATTATTGTCGCTTTCATTTGTTTTCGTCTGCACCTGAAACTTTTTGGGTCATAAAGTATTCTTTCCTGAAATTCTTAATTGGTAATTTTTTTAGGTCGTTCTTTGTCGTTATTTTTTTTTTTTTTTTTAGGTTTGCACTAGGAAGAATTCTAACGTTCTTTGACATTGTCGATCTCTATTGAAAATCTAATTACATCTAGATGTTTCTTTCTCGTGTTATTTTTCTAACAAATTAAAAGAAGGGAAAGTAACGTCAGCAATCAATCATATCACTTCCACGATGGCTGGCATAGAGAAACCAAAGCCTCTAAAGGTCTTTGGAAGAACTCATTATGCATGTACTAGATGCAAATTATCCAAGATTCGTTGTTCAGGTGAAAAACCGGCTTGTGCCAATTGCAAGAGTGTTAATAAGGAAAATGCTTGTGTGTATCCTAATAGAGATCGAAAAATCGTGATTATGGAAAGTGATTTGAATAAACTTCATGATCGAGTGGGGTATTTAGAATCGTTGGTGAAAAGTAATAATTTACCATTTCAGTCACAATCAGAAAGTAATAATACTAACACAGCGCCGCCTTCTAACGAAGTATTAAATAAGCCTTCACAATCTTATAATTTTAATCAAGTGCCTTTTCATGATCCTTCAATTCTTAAACAACCAGTTAATTTTACTGCTGATAAATTTAAACTATCTAATGCGTCAAAAAATGAAAATGATTTTATTCAAGATCGAGTAATTGATCATATATTTCCTAGTGAACCTGATTTATTAAATCCTTACACTGAAGAGAATTATCTCTTACCTGACATAGAAAATGATTACCTTCAATTTAAGTTATTGGCTTTATGTTGTCATCGTTTACCCGAGAAAGAATATGCTCTATGCCTTATAAATAAAGTATATAATACTTATTCTTCCGAATTCTACTTAATCGAACTTTCAGGGATTCTGAACTTAATTGAAGATATTTACACAATTTTTGATTTGCGTGATAAAATTGAAGAAAAAAAATGGCTTTCAATGTTATCCGAAAAAAATTCCTCGGTTTCTTTATGTTACTTGTTTATAATTTTTGCATTTGGTGAACAATTATTAAATGTTAGTTCTACATCTCCAAACTCTCCAAGATTGATCGATAATACTTCCAATGCAACAAAATCAAAACAAAAGATTCCTGGTATTGATTACTATTTGTTGGCTGCTCAATTATTTAGATTGACTCAAGAAGAAATAACCTATCAATTCATTCAAAGTGCTCTTCTATTGGCTTTATATTCAGCTAACCTTAATAGGTATAATACGGTCTACAATTACTTTGGGGTTGCTGTTCGATCTGCTGTTGCAAATGGTTTCCATCGGCAACGAGAATCTCCGGCTTTCGAGGATGAATACTCTAAACTGTTACAAAAAATCAATGATGAAAAAGCTAAAAGACTTTGGTGGTCAATTTTTGTTATTGATACTGTTTGGGCTTCCAAAATGAATATGCCAGTTCACATAGAATATACTGATACAGATGTTGATCTTCCAATTGAAAATGGCGTGGTGGATTTGGGTGACGGCTTTAATAGTGAAATATTAGAAGTTAATGTTCATCTTACAAAATATATTGCAAAATTCATTAAGATTATTTATGGCCCAAATATAAGAACGTTCTCCATTAATTATATCAATACCGATCAATTCAACCAAAAATTATTAATAAAAAATATCCTTCAATGTCTTGATGACCTAATTGACTCCTTTGAAGTTCCTGTTCTTAGTCCTTACAAATCTTATAATGTCATTGAACCTCATGACAGAAATATTGGAAATTTATTTCTTCGATTCCATCAGCTAATGATTATAATTACAAAACCACTTCTATCCCTTGTATTCAATGCTAATTCAGCAATCTTGATTGAGAATAAACAAGAAATTGAATTGGCTAATGCCAGAGGTTTGCAAGCTGCAACATCTACCATAGAAATCATCTTGAAATTTTACGAATTTGATAAATTGTTTGTTCTTGGATTTTGGGATAGTCAACACTTATTTGCTGCATTATCATTTTGCATCATGGTTCATTGTGCGAAGGCGACAAATGAAGAGTTAATTCAAAAAGCTATCGCCTTATTGGGGTTCATGTCAAAAAACAATAATATAAATGCCCAAAATTGTATGAAAAAATTATACCTAATTTCTCAAGTATTAAACGGTATTCCCGAAATGAGTTTTCCATACGACTTGAATGCTGATATCACAGAATTTATAACTAAAAAGGTTGATCCTGGGTCTAATCAAGTTATTGATGAGGTTTTCAATCCCTTTATGGATAAGCCTCAACCATCAGAATCTATAACACCGGTTGGATTGTTTGAAAATTCTCGCATTAGTGTACTTAGTAATGAGTCACGAAATTTGTTGTCTTCCTTAATCAATACCATACAAAGCTGGGATAATTTTAAAGGTTTGCCTATTCATATTTATGGTACTGCAAGGACAAGTAACACTATCAAAAATCTGGTTTAATATACGATCTTACGAACATTTAGCATATCAATTACAATTTAAATCCCAAATCCATGATTTAGGTATTTCTTTTATTCGTTCTTTTAATTCTTCTTGTATTTTTATATAATTTTTCCTCATATTGGCCAGATTATCTACTATAATAAAAATTTACTTTAAACTCGTTTAATCATTTACATAACTGAGATGCTATGAGAGAGCATCTTCGAAATTGAATTGCACATCGGAATTCAAATGTTGTTCAATCATTTCGGTCCATGGCCCAACAAAGTCTAAACCAATATTTCTATTATTCGTAAACCAGTCAATTACTTGACTATCACCTATCAGGCTATTCAAAGGGTTACCAAGATCAGGGTCTAAAGAAGAGTCATTTTTTATCTGATTTTCCTCTTCGGGCCCTATTTCAGTCTCTTGGGTTGATTGGGTTTGCAAGCTAGTAAAATGGGGGTTCATGTTACTCTTTGGGAATTGGAATGAAGAATCATGATTGATCGATGAGGCATATTTTGAGCTCTCGTCATGTTGGAAATTTTGGTTGATGGTATCCTCTTGTTGATCATAATTTGAATAATCACGTTTCGAATTATCTTGTTCTTGATCGTTTCTTTCATCACGATCTTCGAATATCGATTTCCCTCCTTTATTATGATTGGAGGATTTGGAACTTCCAAAATTTTCATCGTAATTGTTGTTTTTAGCTTTAGATTTCATTTCAGAGCATAAGTACATTAAGACATTAGAGTATCTGGTACATAAATGTAATTCGTCTGGGGAGCAATCACGTAAAGTAATTGCAGCTCTCTGTATACTCTGTACAATTTCATCTATTGAAATCAATGATAATGAAAGGATTGTCGAATCAAATGTATCAAAACTGGAATTAGCATTGATATTTGCTTCTGTTGCAGATGATGATTTGTGAGCAGTAATTGTAAGATAACATTTAACTATAAAGGCAACAGCTCTTACAATTCGCGTAAGCCATCTAATTGGCATGAATCTCAAAAGCTTAAGCTTATGTACCCTGTGTGCTACCAATAACATTTCATTTGCTGCATTGAAGGCCTGTTCAATATACTTTGCACTCCTGGATAATTCGTCTAATTTCAAATTAATTTTTTTGTATTTCAAATCTTTCAAAACTCTTGGAGAAGGACTCAATGCCAATGAGTAAATGTATAATTTGGTGTAATTATACTCAAAAATGAATGATTCATTTTCCACTTGATTTCCTAGTTCTTTCGAGATCCTTGAGCTCTTGTTTTCTAAATGCTCTTGTAAATTATTCACATTTCTCAAAATCCTGCTATTTGAAGGAATCAAGAAACTTTTATATTTATTCTTCCAACCATTTATCAATGGACTAATAATGTTCAAAACGGAAAGATTTTGACGTTGTGAGAGGCTACCTAGTTGAGCCTTATAACCATACAATGCTTCATGTCCGAGGGAAATTATCTGCAATAATTCAATTTTAGCTTTCTGAACTCTGGTAAATTTCAAAATGTTTTCACAAGAAAGTTCTTTCAAATCATCTTCACTCAAGCTAAGAAATTTATAGTCATCATCTTCACCCTCTTCCAAGTCTTCTTGAGTGATTTCATCTTCATCTAAATCGACTTCAGATAAAGAAGATGCAAGCATCGAGCGACGGCTAATATTCATGACACTATTTATCTCTGCAATATGAGTAGCCAAGAAAGTGTTAGAGCTAATTTCCATGAATCCAATGTCCTGGGCTAATCGTACTGCAGAACCAATAAGCATCCATGACATTCTATAAGATCTTCTCATTGCACCCAAGCCAGTTGGTTCATCAGAAAGGTTGTTCGGGCCTTGACCCAAGCTGTCATCTGCTCTATTTGCATAATCATCCCACCTCCAATGAATCGCTCTTGGGTTCCATTCTGTGAAGAGTAAGAATGCGAAGACAGTTGCAATAGATCTGGTACTAGCTTCAGCCCATACTGTTTGCGAGATAAGCCTTTGAACATATAACCATAATCTATCATGGACTTCAATATTTCGGGGAACTCCATGAGGCCCACCCAACGTACTAGCGTTATTTTCAAAAGGATAATAACGAGCTGAAATGGTAAGAATGGCACATAAAAGAATTGGATAACCACTTAAAACCTTCGGTGAATGTAAAAACTTGGGAACATAAGGAAAAAATGGATGCATTGTGGAGAAGAATAAATTAATCAATTTTTCTGCTTCAGCTACTGAGAGAATACTGTTTGGACCCCCAATATAATCTATATCTGACAAGTTGGTGGTCCCTTTGGGCCTAACCAGCTCACCATTTTCTAAAGCGGGCATTCTCATTCTCTTGTTTTTTGTTTTTTTAATGTAAGCAGGTATTGAAGATGCAACCGAAATTGGAGGTTTGGAAGACCCTATATTTTGAGCAGATGGAGATAGGATACTCGGTAAGTCGAAAGAGCTATCATTAGCATTGATCGAAGAGGCCACTTGCTTTCCTTCTGAAATCAACCGTCTATCTTCATTATCTTCTGTTTGTTCGTTTTGAAGCTTGGCTTCTAATTGTTGGTGTCTTTTTCTAGCATCTATGCGATCTCTTTCATCTGCTTGTGCAATAGTTCCGGCAGCATTAGCAAGAAACACTAATGCACCTTCCATAGTGGAAAAATGGTTATTTTCGGAGTTACCAGAAGTAGCAGATCGGCTAAGATTATTAGGCTTTTGGGAATCGTTAGAAAATGAGTTTTGGGTAGTATCCAGGGCTACGTTTGGCACTAGATCTGGAGATTTATCCGTCAAAGGAGGGGAGTTGAATCTATTAAAAGTATTATCCTGGCCGTTATTCAATTCCTGGTTTTCGGCATATAGTTGAGTTGTTCTTGAGCTCGATAATACATCATTATTATCAATTAAGTTTTTGACTGGAGGTAATTTGGGTAGTTGAGAAGAAGCTAATGCTGGAGGGACTCGGTTATTTTGGAGAGGTAAATTAGGATCCGACGTGATAAGTGGAGGTGATGAAGATTCTGAACCAGAGAGATCTCCATTTTGTCTTCTCTTTTTACCATTTATAACATTAGTAGATCCTCCTCTTTTCGATTTCACAAATGTACAATCCTTTCTCTCTCGTAAACATCGGGCACATTTACCGTCTCTAGGGTTATCAACTGAGCCCAAGTCACATTTCACCTTTCGAAGCCGGCAGTTTAAACAGGCTCTGTAGTTCCTCTTAAACTTGGTTTTTGGGGTCTCTGACCTAGATGGTCCAGATGAATTAGACTCTTGAGTCATATTTTGCAAGTTATCATCATTCTTCGTTTCGGAGGTCTCTACCGATCTAGATCCGGACCTCGTACTTGGTCCACTCATTGTTACTTATGACAAGCCGATCAAGATTATAAGCAATATTTCGATTACAACAACGAGATCAAACTTCAAGTAAAGACCTAATTTTGAAGTCAAAACTAGCAAAAAAAATTTCAAGCCTAATTAAAGTGTTTCCGTCCACAACCGCACTTTTTTTTTTAAGCTTTAACGAGAAAACTGATTTTTTTAAACTATGCTCGAAATACTCAACCGATCTATTAATTTTAACTGACACATGCGGTCCTAGATGGTCGAACTAATCAAAAGAATCAAAAAAGAATGCGATTTCTGTGGATCGAACACAGGACCTTCAGATTAACTGGACTGAAGTTTTCTTCAGTCTGACGCTCTCCCAACTGAGCTAAAACCGCTTGTAAGATTCGAACCTAAGACAAATCTAGACTTCTCACGTGCTTCTCGGCTGAGCCAAGCGCACGATTTTTGATTTTCAAAAATAATTTTGTAATAGGTCAGATAAAATTATTAGATTTTCAAAAATTACGTCAAAAAAAATTTTAGCCATCTCAAAGATAACTTCGACCTTCTACCTCCAACTGAATACAGTTGGGAAGAATACAACGCACTCATGATGAAAACATTGCCAGATGCGGCTTTTGAAAATCTTCCTACGATTAAACCGGATTTTTTCAAAAGACCAGCTATAAGCATCAAATCACCAAGTAAAAAGACAAAGACGCGGAACTTGGGTCTAAACAGCTCACAGCTATTGCCTCTTGCTCGGCAGACAAATGGAAAAAGTTTTGGAAACATATCAAGACCTTCTATTTCTCTCTCGACGTCAACACTGATCACATCCATATCTTCAGCCTAGGTCTTAAACTCTGGACATTTGTGAACAGCCCCAATGTCTGTTTTGTGGTCGCCAGGTCAATCCCAGATTTTCCCGGGACCTAGTTCCAGACGAGTTTCTCACCCATGTCTATTTAGAGTGCCCTGCAACTTATCTTATTTGGGCGTACTGCCAGTGTCCTTCGACACAAAATGTCCCCGACAGAACTTGGTCTCTTTTTATAGCCAACGCTTCTCTGGTCACTAAACAAATCCGAACTATTAATAGATACCACCTGATCCTTTTAAAAGTTCAGGACTTTCCACTATCGCAAAAGCAGGAGTCAGAAAGACTTCCTGCGCTACGCAGAAAGGCTGCGAAAAAATTGGTATCTTATTATATTTCGGCACTCAATCTATAAATTAAACTAAGTAGCTACTCTGGGAACTCAACTCAACCAGTGCCAACCATTTCTATCACACCACTTAATTCAACAAGGGTTTTCTTGACTAAACCTAGTCATTCCCACTCTAGGTATATATTAGTAAATAACTATTAAATATATATTCTTATACGTCAACAAAAAAAAAATTTTTAAATTCTTGCTTTATAGCCACCAGACAGATCCTAAATACTCAATAGTTTGTCTCATAAACTCACTTCTCACCTTGCTCTCTTGAAGTGCTCGTATTTGGAATAGTGCAACTATAATCCGCGTCAAATTCTACCTACTGAAGAATGGGCCTTCAAATTCAAGAGTATCAGGTAGCATCTATTGGTGTTTCCAATTATTCCGATATCCAGAGCGTCATTGGCGGTAAAAAGGGTTTTGGGAGATTTCATAGACAAGAGTCGGAAAGGCTTGCTGCATAACGCAAATCGGCTGCGAAAAATTGACTTATTATATTTCGGCTCTCAGTCAATAAGCTAAATTAAGTAGCTCCTCGAGAATTTATTCTATCAGTAATTTTACAGCTAGTTCCGCTTCTTCGCTTCCTCCACTGTTTAGTGTTTCCCTAATTAGGCACATATCAGTATCTGAAGTTAAATATATATTCTTAAATGTGAAAAAAATTGTATTTGACGACCTAAAGTAAAGTGAAAGTCTTATTCAATTACCCTTTAAGTGATTGATGACCTCATTTTGTGAAAAGTAGATTTGATTTAGAGTTGCGTTCGAATTGGCCTTCAATTCCGTCGGGAGTATAATATGCCACAGAGGAGAAACATCTACGCTCCGAATTTATAATAAGTTTTGAACTTTTGATTTACAAGAAGGATTCAAGCTTTTATGAGGATTAAGTTTACTTTTCTTCGCTTGATTTGTTTTTTGGTCCGCTCTATTTAAATCAAGCAAGCTTAAGAAGCTCTTTGACCATCTGATAAACAGAATTTTCCAAGTCAATTCATTTTTGCCTTCAAAATAACATGCTTTTACTAGTCTATCTTCCCAATGTTTGTTAATTGTTATAATTTCGAAAAAAAAAAAAAAAAAAAAAAAACTATATATCCTCCAATTTTAGCCTTTGTCTATAATCTAATTGTAGTTGACTTAATTTTTGCAAAAACCAATATTTAATATCTAAAACTTTTTCATCCAGAGGGTTTTTATGCTCTAGTTTAACCACACGATTTTTGTTTTTTAGTAAAGAGTTATTATTACTGATCGTGGTGGTGAATAATTCTTTGTAATCGACACTCCCTGGTTCTTGGGTTTCTATTTCGGTAGCTAATTCAGCTATGATCGAGGCACCTCTAGCTCCAAATACTCCGGTTGGAATATTGTCTTTTTCACTTCCTATGGTTATGATTTCTTTTTCGGGATTTACCAATTTGATCATCTTAGTCATCCTTTTATTCTTGCTTTGTGATCCACTAATCTTAATACACTCAATTTTGATACCTCCTTTATCCTCTATGATATCGATAATTTGTTTCATCTGCAAAACTAAAAACTCTATCGTAAGATAATATTGAATCACCAATTCAGTTAAAGGGTCTTTCTTTAAGGCACTATCACCATTCATTGTAATTTCTCTCATATCAAACTCATTGAAAGGACTTCTATTTCCATATTTATCACCATAATAAAAATGATCCTTTAGTAATTGAATGAAGCTTCTACCCTTTGATTCTTCCTGTTTTTGTATTTCCAGTTCTACGTATTCAAAGAAATCGTGCTTTTTTGTCAAGTTAGTATACTTTTGAGAAAGCTCTTCAAATAGTTTCCCTGTGGCTGGTTGACCAAATTCATAGAGGGATTTAAAACTTTCTTGGTATAATAATTGATTAAAAGGTCCCCATATACCTTGTATTGTATTTCTCTTTTCACTTGCTAAAAGAAAACAAGTTGAAGTACCCGCAATCATCGATAACTCTGCATTATTATTTCCATCATTTGAAATCAATGAATTAGGGTCGGTCAATGAAGATATCCAACCAGAGTAGCAATCAATGCATCCATGGCCTATTTCGAAGTCTTCGATTGGCTTAAAGCTAGCTGATACTTTGCCAATCAGTTGTCCTATTGGGGGAAAGTTCAAGTTAATACCATTGGAAGCAGTTCCACCAACTTCAATATTATCGGCAACTTTTAGTTCATTTCTCAAAAATGAAGAGCTCCAACCTTTTATTGAGCCATCCATTGCGTAATTAGACTCGATACGAGATAAATTTTCGTTCAAAAGCACACCTTGGCTAGTCTGGTTCGATAAGGCATAACTAAACCAATCGTACATTTCAAATACCACCAATTTTTTCTCAATCTTATGAAAAGAGACCCAATCGCTTAGCCATTTTAGTTTGGCTATTCCCATTTCCGGTATAACTCGGCCACCCATCGTTGCTAGTATCTCTGTGGGTAATGACTTATTGAGATCATCTGCTTGTTTGGAAGCACGATTATCCATCCATAAAATGATATCCTGTCTTGAATTTTCATAGAAGGTACTTTCAAAATCAAAGTCCACCGGGAATGGACATAAATAATTAGTATTATTTATATTCTTTACCTCTCTCACCACCATAGAGCAAGTTGCCCCAATAGCGATACCATTTCTTTTCTCATGAGCTACTTCGGATGGTATAGTTTCGATCAATTGTTGGAGAATCTCTGCCGAAGATTGGGTTATAACCCGGGGATTTGAATCTAAATAGTTTGAAGCAATCGGCAACACTCTTGTTGTTGGCTCTCTATTCTGCGATCTGATATACGACCGCACCGATCCCGTCCCAATATCAATACCGATGAACGTCATGATCGCTATGGAACTTCAAAAAGAGAGATATAATATTCGTTTCTCGAGATAGTTTCAAGATTTTTGCTGGAGACAAGGTTTTTGGTGGGTACACGTCTAGTGTGTTTTTGCAACCCTATTGATAAGTGTTTTGAATAGCAGCAATTTCATGGATTAATTTGCTGGAAGAGTGGCCCTAAGTAACGAAATACCAGTTATTGAATTAAATAATTAAGAGTCGAGTAGCGAGTTTACAAATGCATTTTCTTGTTTAAGGGGGGGGGTAAGCCATAATCATTTAGTTGGTAAAACCAAAGCAATATTAGTTTTTTCACCTCGAAACATGCCTGTTAGGTAAAGAGGTTTGGTTTCGGCCAACATAAACAAATAATTTCAGTTTGAATTCAGTGATTTCACTGAATTTTCAACTATTTACGTCAAAATCGACTACATATCTTAAAAAAATCGAAACAGTTATCCCCATCCCACTGAAGACACACACGATAAGGTTTGATACTAATATATATTCAAAAATATTGAAATTGTATCAAATGCATCAAATTTTGCAGCTTTGAATATAGGGTTGGATATTTTTACCGGAACACACGACCTTCGATTTCAATCATAACCCCCCGCGTAACGAAAACTAAAGGTGTGACTTACAATAAACATCTGTTATTAGAGAATCAATTTATAATTGAAATAGACTTAATTGAATAGATACAATGAGTTTTGACTCCTTAAGTGGTCTGGATTTGAATGGGGCCTTTAAAATCGCCAATTTCTCTGTCGCAGGTTTGACGGTATGTACATATAAACGGGTTCGCTTTGTTTGATACAAGATACTAACTTATGATAGGTGATTTCTGGTATATCTCAATTATTCAGTGGATTGTGAGTATTTATCAATTGAATCGATTATTCATTAGATCTTTTATTAACAAAAATTATTTCTAGTCATTCAGTATGTTAATTTTTATTTAGATTATTCGTGGAGAATACTAACAGTAATAAAGTTTCTTTCTGGTCTTTATATTATAGCATTTGGTTTAGGTATTGGATTCCTTGGTATGTTTTTTTTTACAGCTGAATAAAGTTTATTCGATTGATACTAACGAATTTTCCATTAGAATTTAGAGTACCTTCAGAAGCGTACACGTACGCTTCTTTCTTGTTTTCATTCATTGGTCGTGGTATATGTATGTTTCTTTTTTATTCTTATATTAACAAGGCGTAGTTACTAACAAATCAAATAGTCTATACTTTTCTAGGAATTAGCATTAATCTGTCTAGTATCTTTAGAATCTTGGCTGCACTTTTGGTTTTCATTATTGGGGTCGTTTATATCGGACTCGAAGCAGTTCCAAGCATTTCTCCTCCCCAAAACATGAATGCTGAAGGAATTGCTATAAATGATGAAGATATCATTTGAACAGACTGCCTGCTTCTCATTCTCAATTAGCAAAGCAATCCCACTTTTTCAGCCTCTAAGTAAGACACCCCAATAAACTTTCGAGTCACTTGTTTAGTTTAGAAATCTGTTTCTTGTAGAAGTTGCAAACGAAAAATTATAGCCCTTAAAATAGAATTGATAAATTAGATTGTGCGCTAACTGTCATTTTTTTGCTGTTGCATTTGTAAAAGCCAAAAAAAAAATTAAAGTCTAAAACTCTTAACTGAAGCTTTAATCCTTTCCTTAAACTTATATACGATCTATATAACTTTGCATATCGAAGCAATGCCAAATAGTCTGATTACTGAGAGTTATACATGTCAATTTCATCTCTAGCAGGTCCTTTGGATGCGCCAGAAATACGGCTACCCAAGTCAAGCTTCGTTTCATTTAGATTAAGTTATTCGGATTCAAAAACTATATCAGAAAATGCTAAGACCATCTTTCTAGGAAAAGTCCCTGCGTTTTTGCTGGATGAAAAACATCATAGCTTCCTTTCCAAATCAACTCATAGGGCAAGGTCAAAGGTTCAAAAGAAGTTTAAGTCCACGGTTAGTACAATTCATAGTTCGGTCCGAGGTTCTTCTATGCATAAAGGTAATGACGACCTGAATTACAATGAGAAGTTCAACCGGAGATTGAAAAACCAAGTGAAAACTGAATTAAGAGCTTTGAGAAAACAAAGTAAACATTTATCTTCCTCTGACTTACCCAGCCTTCATAGGTTATCAACTGAACTGAACGGCGAAACAATTATTGATAGTGAGCAAATTAACGACTCTGAAGGGACGTCCTTTCTTCTGTTTACCGATGCTCGGGAGCAGGACTCAACAGAAGCTTCTACTTATTCATTTGACAATTATAATCCCCATGAAGATGTCAAGTCTCCGGTAAAAGATTTTTTCTCTCAAAAAGAAGAAACGCCTACTCCTATACCAATTGTAATTAATCCGGCAGAATTTCCAGATATTTCAGATAATTATTTAGATTACCATAACGAATCTTATATCGATATTTCTGGCTCAGTCTTGAGTAAAGAAAAACTATTGCCCGTAGAAACTGCCCCAGAAAGTTTCTTGAATTTGCAATCGACTACTACACCTAATTCTAAACCCAAAGTTAAATTTGATGACTCTTCTAACCAAAGGAAAGGCGGTTCTAGAATCAGTATAGCTCTACCTGAACCAGAAAATCCAACAGAGGATACTTTTGTGAAAGCCGCCAAAGAACACGAAAGATTTCGTAAGAAAATCAAGAATTTAGCTAAGGCTTCTAAAGGTAAAGCTAAGGTTAAAAATTACGATATTAGAAATAAAATTTTGAACTCCCTTTTGAAAAATTATCAAGCTGGAGAGATTATTCGTTCTGAGAAAGTACTTCTATTAGTAAAAGAATCTTTTCAAGTTCTGCATGCAGAAACATTTAATGAAAGTGAACCGTTTGATACAAGGGTTTATGAACGGTGGCATGAATCAGTGATGATTTTCAGAAAATCGAGGGATATTAATAGGCCATTTGTGATTCAATTTTACGACTCTCGTAGTTTGGATAATTCTAAAAAGAAACCAAACTTTCAAATCTTTCTTAGTTATTCTACTAGGGCTCAATTCTACAGCTGTCTTGATAAATCCATTTGCTTGACTGTTCCTAATGATGAAGGTTTAATGATATACATTTTCAAGAGCCATTTTCAACAAGACTCGTTGAGATGGTTATCATTAATCAAGCAGGTTACTTCTAATGATTTGACTCAACCCTTTGACGTTCATATTCCTGAACTAGAACTTGCAATTAATTTTAATGTTTCTCATGATTTTTTGAGTAAGTTCATGGATGAAGAAAAATTTATCACATTCAATAAGTTAGACAATGGATATCAGATCAGACATAGTGACATATTTGAATATTTGTTTCAAACAGTTAATCAACAATTACAAGAATTGAGTTATAATAAGCCAAATGTAAAATTGTTTTTAGAAAAAACCACCAATCCTTGGCTATGTTATAAATATTATGATAGATTAGAATGGGTTCAAAAAAATGCTGAGACTTTCTATCTTCAAAATCAGCTTCTATCTAATACTTTCCATTTGGAGTTTCGTCAACCTATGCAAGATCCCAGAGAAATACAAGTTGAAAATACGTGCATGATCGAACCATACCCTATCGAAGGTTTTCTTGCCAGATTAACAAACACTTTAGGTAAAGAAGTATCGTTTCTTAGAACGTTTCATAAAATCTCTTACTTCTATACTAGCAATAATATTTTATTTTTCACCAAATATTATAGAGGCACACCTCCATCCCCAAATAATCAACTTTTAAAAGATGATGGACTTGGACTTTTGAATAAAGAAATCCCAGAAATATTTTTGAAGTCTCCATTTGAACTAGACGAACATGACCATATAGCTTGGCTCGATTCTCCTGAATTTGAAAAGTACGATGAAATAGCATTATCAGATTTTGAAAGAAGAACACAACAAATTGCAAAAGCAGAAGGGTTGTTAGACCTAACTCTTGTTAAAAGCATCAAGGCCATTCCATCTGATGAGATACATAAGACGCATAAGTTGCTACAATGTGTTCTATGGTATTCGGTTAATAATCCGAGCTACTTGGAAAATGAAGATATCGTTGACTCTGCATTCCAAATCGAATTACTAAATGGAAGTAAAATCAAACTACAAGCATCTAATAGAATGATCAGAGACGAATGGATAAACCACCTCAATTCTTTATCAGTATATTGGAAAGCAAGAACTAGTTTCCAACTAAAAAGAATTAATGAAGTCCGTAAAAAAAATCAAGATTTGCTAAGAATTAACGAATACACTGACTCAAATATCGTTCAAGAATCCGACTGTATTGAATTTAAGCATTCATATGCAGATACAATGATACATAATATCGGAAGTTTGTCAATGTCCAAGTGTGTATCGATGAGTGGAATTCTTTATCAGAAACAAAAAAAACATTCGAACTTCAATCAATACTATGTTGTACTTTGCCCGGGGTTTCTTCTTTTGTTTACTCTATATAGACGTTCTAAGGCTACTGGCGCCTGGAAAAAATCTTCATTCTTCGAACACTATATGACTATTCCTATAGCTGAGTCTTATGTCTATTCAGGAAATCTCACGGCAAATGATCTTCTTGAAATAAATACGGGTATACATTCAAATAATCCGGCACAGCATTCATTACCAAGACTATATGCTGATGGTTGGAAGTCAGCGGAAGAAGAGCCAATGTGTTGTTTCACCTTATGGTTTGGCAGAAAGAGACAAATTGCTGGCCGTGATAAGTCTGTTCTTAGACAAGAGGTGTTAGATGATATCACAGAACACGAGAAAAACAATAGTAGACCTAAGAATCCTGGTATTATTAATATGATTAGAAAGCTGGGATTTACAGGTAAAAGTGTTGTATTTCGTGCCAGGTCAAGACAGGAAAGGGAAATGTGGGTTTCTAGAATTCATAACGAAATAGATCGGTTTTCAAGAAACTAACCGTCCATATATATATTGTCATTTATAAATCAGTCATCTATCATATATCAAATAAATCACATATCATAAAAGAATATACATTTATTATTTAAGCTACATTATGCATTAACGCATCATCAACATAAGATTGAAGACTGGTCCAGTCATCTTCATTTTTTGGATCCTTGAAATTTATCAAGGCCTCATCAATTAATTCTGCATCAGAATCAATGTCACTATCACTCATTCCACTATTGTCTTCGTTTTCAATACGAAGAGTTGAAAATCTAACTTTTTGAGATGCAAAAGCACGGACTATTGGGTCTGTTCGCTCAACAAATAACCTATCAATGGCAGACTTGTTAACAGACAGTTTAATTTCAAAATTGTCCATTATTTCTCCAATGGTTTCATTATCCAGATCCGAATCACTGTCATCGTTAATAACGAGATTCTTTTGTTTGCTTACTGGAGATTGAAGAGATGGGTCATTAGTTTCAGTAAATTCAGTGATTTCAATTCTAGTTTCTGGGTAGTCCACCACTTCTTCGGTAGAAGTTTCACTACCGCTGGATGATTCATCTGACTCTGAAGTAATAGCAGAATCTTTAATTTGTTTAGTAATATTGAGGAATTGTGGTTTATTCATGAGAGGAGTTTTAATAGATTCTTCATAATAGTCAAGTTCGTCAGTATGTATTGTCGGAGCAGGATATTCAGCTCCTTCATTTTCGTTAAGTGATGAATTTGCTAATCCAGGCAATATTATTGTAGATGTTAGAAGTTCGGGAGGAAAGATAAACAGTATATCACAAATTGCTGCCACCCATTTTTCAATAATGGAGTCAATATTGGAATGTAACCGAATGTTCAAATCTTTAGTGGTGGATATTTTGAGAACAGAAGACTCCGGGGTCTCAACTGTTGATCTATTCAAGTCAAGTGGAAAGAATAATGGAGATTGATTATTATCTGACCGGGCTACCAAGTAATGTGTGAAAAGATAACAAGTTTTGGGTTGAAAATCAGCAGGCCCATTAATACTAATCAATAGTCTGTCTACCAATCTCAAAGGTCCAAGGTTTAAAAGAGATGTGAGAGTTATTTGAGGACAATTATCAATTAAATCTTTAATGAAGTGATCTTTCAAAGTATTTATTGGAATATCTTTGTAATCATTTATACGAACACTTACAGTAATTGATGTTGAAATACTTTGGCAAGGTGACAGACAATCACTTCTTAAAGATAAGAAGTTAGTATCGGTGCTGATAGTTGTTTTAATTGTATTCAGAGGTTGAAGTCCTTGAATTTGGCGGGGGGATTTATCAAAGAAGACGTCACCAAAGGAAGAGGAGATTGGTGTAATTAGAGGCGGATCCGGTGCCCAAAGTGATTTATCAGGTATTTGGGGCTTGGGCAGTTTAATTATTGAACAATCGGTTGAAATAGGTATATTCGGACCAGTCAAATCAAAAATAGAACGAGGATTATTACGATTAAGCAAAGTGTCAGTTATAATCTTGCTAATTAAGTTTTGATGAACGGGCTTCATTCTGCAATTAGTTGAATTTGAAATACAAATTGAGCCATTGCAAGTAGGAAGATTATTTTCAATGAATAAATTTACCTCCATTGATTCATGATCCAGTTCCAAGAATATTTCGACAATACCATTGATGATGATAGATAAGCAATCTCCATGAATATAGTCGCCGCAGGTAAGCTCGATAACTTTTTCCAAGCCCAATTTTGTTTGGAGTGGTTCTTCACAGATGAAACATTTCCGCAGCCTCAAGGAATGGTTCTTGGTGCGTTTTGGTTGATTAGTATGGGTGAAGATAAACGGCTGAATTTTGGGCCCCTTTGGTGGGAAAGGTGCCAGTAATAAAGGGTTAGACGCATCATGGGATACTTCGAAGGAGTTGACTTTAGAAAATGGACTTGGGCTTTCCAAGTCATTAACCAAAGGAGCAAAAAAAGGTTCATCACAGGGTTCTAAAGGAGTGAGTAAGTCAGAAGTTGAATTATTTGCATTGGTGCTTGAAAATGAATGAATCTTTTTACCACGGAATGAAAATGGTTTTTTAGGGCTACTTGACAAGTTTTTTTTAGATGAAGAGGGGGGAGTATTTAGTCCTAAGGGATTTTTCGAAGCAGGAGGAGGAGGAGGAGGAGGAGGAGTCAGAACAGTAAAGGGTTTTGCTGAAGAGGAAGAAAGGGAATGTTTCCGGTGATTATTCGAACGACCAGGTGAAGATGAGAATACCGAAGTATACTGGGATTGGGGTGTAATTGGAGTCATTAAACCAGTGCTATTAAAGGAAGACGAAGACTTTGAATCAAAGAAACTTTGAGAAATAGAATTAGGAGATGTATTCAGAAACGAACTTGAACGAGAAAATGAAGGAGAAACAGAGAAGACCGAATCATTGAAAGATGAGTTAAAAGAAGTAGATTTCAATAATTTATTCCTCCAATCTTTTCTTTTATCAGAAGGTGTGGAAGATGTTTGCAGCATGATTGAAAAAAGTTACACTTTAAAGTTACAAAAGGGAAGAGTACATCTGTCGAACATGGAGATTTGAACTAGTTATATACAAGTTTCAAGTTAAACTTTTAAAATAGGGTTATATTGGCAGTCAGTATTCAGCCATGCAAAAAGAGCTAAAAAGGAGAAGCCAGGAACAATATCCCCATGCAGCTTTATCAAGTAGGGAAGTACCAAAATAATCGAATCTGAAACGGAGAATCTAAGGAGGTGCTTAAGAACACCCACAGAAAATAAGCGAGATATTTTACGATATCCAAGGTATTATTCCTTCTTAGATTGGATCTAGTACGAGATGCATGCAATCTCAACAATAGAAACTCGGGTGTTCAAGCAAATGTGCTTTGATTGAAAACCCCAACTTCGTTGAACTATATCGTCCCTTGTGGAAAAGTGTATTGTAGTTACTAAATCGAGTGCTGGATGTCTCCTTTATTTTCTGGGAGTTTATCTTGTTGTTTTAGTCTTTTCAAAGATCAGCTATTGTTGAAGCCTTAATTGTGAGTTTTCAGTTGAAATGCCTTAACCTAACACCTGACTTTCTGCAAAGTGGTCATAGCACCATCAAAACAGTCGTATTCAAAGAGCGTTCCTTCTAGTCCACAAGAACTGTAAGAACCAAGGGGGAACCATTCTTCTTACTGGTCGGCTCTTCCACCCGTGCTGTTCCCAAAACTATTACCTTCGTATTCCTTGCTTATCAGTACTACAACTGCAAAAAAAAACTGCAAAAAAAACTGCAAAAAAAACTGCAAAAAAAACTGCAAAAAAAACTGCAAAAAAAGGAATATGAGCCTTTGTGTATTGGGTTACGGGTCTTTATGTTTGATGTACGGGTGTGTACGTGTGGCTTTTCTAAGTTTTTTTTTTTTCGCTGTTTTTCACCTACTTTTTTTTCCTTGTTACAAAAAAAAAAAAAAATCCGGTGTTTTTAGGAGCAAAACTGTCCGAATCCTTTTTGTCGGGAGTATATTCCCGGAGAGCGCGCTATCTGAGCGGATTTCTTTGTCCCGTTGGTTTATCTACTCGTATGAGAATGCTCTCTGTACTGACAGCGAGATGTTATGGAGTACGTACGTGAAAAGTACTGCTCATTGACAGGGCCAGGCGCTGATATGGCCACACGTATATGACAAGGGACAATTGTAGAGATATTCGTACTAGAGTTGTCCGGAATTGTATGATTTAATATCGCTATTCTAAAGGGAAAAAAACCCAACTTCAGAATTTTTTTTTTTGTTTTGTTAGTGCGACTTCTGCTTGTTCTTCTCTCTTGATTTTTTTTCTAATTTATCAATACCAACTTTTCCTTCCTTCCTTCCTTTCTTTCTTTTTCTTTTCAATACCAAAGGTTTTATTTCTTTTATTCAATTCCTTTAAAAGAATAAAGTATAATGCTTCGTGCCTCTGTTGCTCGTCCTTTAACCAGGGCTTTCCCTACTGCCATGGCTAGAAGAACCATGGCCAGTTCTTCTAGTGATTTGGTTACTATTGAATTACCAGCTTCTTCATTTGAAGGTTATAATATTGATGTTCCTGAATTGAGTTTTGAAACCGAAAAATCTACTCTTTTACAAATGTATAAAGATATGATTATTGTTAGAAGAATGGAAATGGCTGCCGATGCCTTATATAAAGCTAAAAAAATTAGAGGTTTCTGTCATTTATCAATTGGTCAAGAAGCTGTTGCCGTTGGTATTGAAGGTGCCATTAATAATAAAGATACCGTCATTACTTCTTATAGATGTCATGGTTTTGCTTATATGAGAGGTTGTTCAGTTAAAGAAGTTTTGGGTGAATTGATGGGTAAAAGAAATGGTGCCTCTTATGGTAAAGGTGGTTCAATGCATATTTTCGCTCCAGGTTTTTACGGTGGTAATGGTATTGTTGGTGCTCAAGTTCCTTTAGGTGCTGGTTTAGCTTTTGCTCATAAATATAGAGGTGAAAAAAATGCTTGTTTCACTTTATATGGTGATGGTGCTTCTAATCAAGGTCAAGTTTTTGAATCTTATAACATGGCTAAATTATGGGATTTACCATGTATTTTTGCTTGTGAAAATAATAAATATGGTATGGGTACCGCTGCTTCTAGATCCTCTGCTATGGTTGAATACTATAAGAGAGGTCAATATATTCCAGGTTTAAAAGTTAATGGTATGGATATCTTAGCTTGTTACCAAGCTTCTAAATTTGCTAAAGACTGGTGTGCCAATGGTAACGGTCCTTTGGTTTTAGAATATGAAACTTATAGATATGGTGGTCACTCTATGTCTGATCCAGGTACTACTTACAGAACTAGAGAAGAAGTTCAACATATGAGATCTAGAAATGATCCAATTGCTGGTTTGAAAGCCGTCTTGATCGATTTAGACATTGCTTCTGAAGAAGAAATCAAATCTTACGATAAAGCTGCTAGAAAATACGTCGATGAACAAGTTGCTGAAGCTGAAGCCGATGCTCCTCCTGAAGCTAAAATGGATATCTTATTCGAAGATGTTTACGTTCCAGGTTCTGAAGTTAGAGAATTGAGAGGTAGAATTTCTGATGACACTTGGAATTTCGAAACTGGTACTTTCACCAACAGAGTTTACTAAGCTCTTCAATTACGATGATATGTTTTTGTCTCAGTATATTCAAAAAGATTATATATAAATTTTCTTTTCTAATATCTAAACATTTTGAAAGAAAATATCAATAAAATAAATTTTGAAAATCAAGAAATAACTGTATCTTGTATACATATCCAACCCCTAATTTAATATATTCTTTCTTCTATATGATATCATTTTATATTTGTAGTTTATCACTTTGTTCTTGTACAAAAAGATTCAGCGAAAAAAAAAAAAAAAAAAAAAAANAAAAAAAAAAAAAAAAAAAAAAAACTAAAAAAACGCAAAAAAAAATAGAAAGCTACTTCTGCGCTGGGATGAGATATCGCCATCTTCTTATTCATAAATAAGTACATCACAACCGCCCATTGGTAATTGATCCATTATTATATATAATGTCGGGCGCGAGAAATGGCTTAAATAGGCTGTCAAAGCAGGAACCAACTCAGAATAAAGTATTGCAACCAGATAGAAAGATGAGATCTAATGATGAGTCTGTTAACTCAAATCCTTCATCTCTAGCGGGTCAAATTTCAGCGAAAGATATGGGTTCAAGAGTTTCAAAAGATTCTCCAGCGAAGTCATCATCTGAAAGCTCCTCGAGATCAAAGAGCCAATCCACTAAACCTTCATCTTATAATTATTCATATTCTGGAACTTTTGAAGATATCTCCTATCAACCCACTAATCCTCAAACCTCACATGTCTTTGAATTAATCATGTCCGAAATTTACCATTTTCTTCCTGACGTTAGTAACAGTGTCATCCTTTCAGCTGCAGACTTGCTCTTGGAAATATTAAAACTGGAAGAAAAACCAATAACTTCAAAACGAAAAGAAATTAACGAGTTATTGGGAGCGAGTCTAGATGATTTACAATTTAACGAATTGGTAAGTTTATCCAAACAAATTACAGATTATAATGTCAAAGAAGATATAGAGCAGGACGAGGATGAGGCAGGTGATGGGGTTGCAGTATTATTTGATGATGTAGATAATGAAGATAATCTAGGTCAAGGATTGGTTGACTCAAATGAAGAAGAAGAAGAAGAAGAAGCTACCGATACACCTAATATTCAAAGCAACCTCGATAATGATCGTCCTGCAGAAGATTCTCTCGGAAATGAAGAAACTATAATTGACTCCAAAAGTAAACAGACATCAAAATCAAATTTAGTTCCTTTTGGTGAAATAGACCCACTTTTTCTTCATCGCAAACTTTCATCCATCCTTCTGGATGCAGAACTGTCCACTATAAGTGATAAATCGAATGCATTTTTCCGTTATTTACTGGATCATAATCTACCTACTAGAGATTTAGAAAATGAGTTGATGGAATTAATGGAATATGATCATTTCGAATTTGTTAAATTATGCATTGAAAATCGTTGGAGAATTGTTTTTAAAATCAAATTGACAGCAGATCAAAGCGAAGAATCAATAAACAAAGTCTTCGATGAAATTAAAGATCTTGGTCTTGAAGAACTTTCAAATGAATTGAGCACTTCCATATTTCCAAATGAAAGAAAAAGAAAGTTAGCATCTGATGAAGAGGAAGAAGAATCAACCAAAAAACCTAAAGCCAAAGGTGAAAGAGTACCAAAAATAGTTGATTTGGATAACTTATCTTTTGACCAGGGTTCTCATCTCATGTCAAATACTAAAGTCAAATTACCCCAAGGTTCATATCAACAAAATAAAAAGCTTTACGATATTATCAGTGTCCCACCACCTTCTTCGCCACCTTCTTTGGAAGAAGCCGATGAAAAGTTGGTATCCATACTGGAATTGCCAGAATGGGCAAGAGATGCTTTTCCATTCTCAGAAACAGCTACATTAAACAGAATACAATCTAAAATTTACCCAGAAGCATTTAACTCTGATGAAAATCTTCTTTTGTGTGCCCCTACTGGTGCTGGTAAAACCAACGTTGCCATGCTTAGTGTACTAAGAACCATACACAATCACAGGGATCCTGAATCGGGCCATATCAATCTTAAAAATTTTAAAATCGTTTATATAGCCCCCTTGAAGGCATTGGTCCAGGAACAAATGAGAGAGTTCCAAAGAAGGTTAACTGCAAATTATGGAATAGTAGTAAACGAGCTTACAGGTGATTCAAGCTTAAACAATGCAGAAATTGCCGAAACTCAAATGTTGATTACTACTCCTGAAAAATGGGATGTTATCACTAGAAAAATAGATGAAACATCTTTCACAAATTTAGTTCGATTAATAATTATCGATGAAATTCATTTACTACACGACGAGAGAGGGCCTGTCTTAGAAAGTATTGTGAGTAGAACCATAAGGCAAACTGAAACTTCTGGCCAGCCGGTTAGATTAGTTGGGCTTTCGGCAACTTTGCCCAATTATGAGGATGTTGCCAGTTTCCTTAGGGTAGATTTCAAAAGGGGTTTGTTTTACTTTGATTCCTCGTATAGACCTTGTCCTTTGCAGCAACAATTTATAGGAATCAAAGAAAAGAAGGCAATCAAGAAAATAAATGCAATGAATGAAGCATGTTACGACAAATTACTAGAATGTGCTCAGAATAAACATCAATTAATTATATTCGTACATTCTAGAAAAGATACTTTCAAAACCGCTAAATGGCTCAAAGATAAATTAATAGAGGAAGGAAAGCAACATTTAATCCTCAAATCAGATGCTGGATCATCTGAAATATTAAAGCAGGAATCTCAAGACATGGATAATAAAGGATTAAAAGAGATTATTCCTGAAGGCTTCGGTATACATCATGCTGGTTTAAACAGGAAGGAAAGAAGTGTTGTTGAAGACTTATTTGCTCAGGGCCATGTCCAAGTTTTGATTTCGACAGCAACATTAGCATGGGGTGTTAACTTACCAGCACATACTGTGATTATTAAAGGTACTGAAACTTATTCCCCGGAAAAGGGTTCTTGGGTTCAGCTTTCCCCTCAAGATATTTTACAAATGTTGGGTAGAGCAGGTAGACCTAGATATGATAAAAGTGGTGAGGGGGTAATCATCACATCTCAAGATGAAATACAGTATTATTTGGCGGTATTGAATCAACAACTTCCGATCGAGTCCCAATTAATGAGTAAACTTGTTGATAATCTAAATGCTGAAATTGTACTAGGCTCAGTGAAGTCAAGGGACGATGCTGTTCGTTGGCTAGGATATACCTATTTATACATCAGAATGTTAAAATCACCCGCTTTATACCATGTTGGTGCAGAATATGAGAACGACGATTCTTTATTTTGGAAGAGAATGGACCTAGTGCATTCTGCTTTGACCATTCTTGATTCCAACAAACTAGTAACTTATGATCCTGGTGATGGGCATTTAAAATCCACTGAATTGGGAAGAATTGCTTCATATTATTACATTAATTACCCAACCATAAATATGTATAACACTCAGTTAAGGCCATGGATGTCAGAAATAGATATTTTGAGAGTCTTTTCTTCCTCAGGCGAGTTTAAGTTTATTCCTGTGAGACAAGAAGAAAAATTGGAGGTATCAAAATTACTTGAAAAATGTCCATTCCCAGTGAAAGAAAACCCTAATGAGCCACTTGCTAAAGTTAATCTATTATTGCAAGCTTATATTTCGAGGTTAACATTAGAGGGATTCGCGTTAATGGCTGATATGATATATATCACTCAGTCAGCCGGAAGACTCTTGAGAGCAATTCATGAAATTGTATTACGTAAAAATTGGTCATCATTAGCTAAGACTACTTTGAATCTCTGCATCATGACTGAAAGACGAATATGGCTAACTAATTCTCCGTTTAGACAATTTGACACTAAAGTTCCAAAGGAAGTCATCAAGGCTACTGAGAGCTCACATTTACCATGGGTCAGCTACTTCAATCTTAATGCAGCAGAATTGGCTGAAGCTATCAATTTTAAAGGTCATAGTCAAACTGCATACGAAATTTTACAGTATTTCCCAAAGGTCTCCTTAAGCTACTATTCTCAACCTATAACACCAACGATAATTCGGGTACAACTAGCTATCATCCCTGAATGGATTTGGAACTCCGACTACCATAGGCGTCTGGAACTGTTCTTACTTTTAGTAGAAGATTGTGATGGTGACAAAATTTTATACTCCGAATCTATCTTCATCTCTAAAGTACACTCAGAGCGAGAACTTTTAGTTGAGTTTACTGTTCCAATATCGGAACCTATACAACCAAATTACTATATCACTTTGATTAGTGAAAGATGGTTGCATTCTGAAACGAGAATTCCTTTGCTACTTTATGATACTAAGTTTCCAAAGAAGTTCCCAGCATTTACTGAATTATTTGATTTGCAAAGAAAATCTACTTCAGCTCTTAAATTACCAGAATTTATTAATTTTTTTAATTTTGAATATTTTAACAAAGCTCAAACGCAGGTATTTGACATTTTGTACGGCTCAAATGAAAATATATTCGTGGGACTAGCCAAAGGAAATGGAAAAACAGTTTGTTCTGAGTTAGCCATACTCAATCATTGGAGACAAAATAAAGGGAGGATTGTTTATATCCAACCATGTCAACGTATTATTGACAAACTCTACAAAATCTGGAATAAAAAATTTGCGTTTGTTTCTGAAGATAAAGTTATTAATAAGTTGACTGGAGATCGCACAGAAGATTTCTCATTAGTATCATCTAGTCATTTAATATTATCCACTCCGGAACAATTTGAGGCACTTTCGAGAAGGTGGAGACAAAGAAAGGCAATAAGGTCAATCGAACTTATAATAGCCGACGATTCACATATAATTGGAAATGGAATCCAAGGTGTGGCTTATGAAGCCCTATTAACCAGAATGCGCTTTATCTCCGATCAAGCACAAATGGAACTTAGGATCATCGCTTTATCGTCGCCATTGTCTAATGCTAGAGACTTTGGTGAATGGATTGGGTGCGAAAAACTGAATATTTTCAATTTTAATCCTTCATATAGAGTTTCTCCCATAGAAGAAATAAGACTTCAGTCATTTAAGTCTTCAAGTATCAGCACCATTGCTTTACAAGCTTTACCTTCATCTTATGAATTTGTGAAAAGTAATCATTTAATTGGAAACTCAATCCTCTATGTTGCTTCTAGGAAAGAATGTTTTGATATCGCGTGGAGATTTTTGATGAAAAGTTCAAATGATGAATGGAATTTGCTTGAAGTAGAAGTGGAGGATATTGAGCCCTATTTGAACAAGTTGCTGGACAGAAAGGTAAAGGAGTTGGTATCTGCTGGTATTGGGGTCTATTATGATAGCATGAGTGACATTGATAAATTAATTATTGAAAAGTTGTTCAATAGCAATGTTTTAAAAGTTTTGATCTCTTCCAAGGAAACTGCCTTCTATCTGCCTGTCACCTCACATGTTGCAGTATTAGGAACTCAGGCATATGAAGGGAAAGAGGCACGTTACCTTGATTATTCGGTCAATCAGATTCTTGAAATGGTTGGTAATTGCCAAAATGAAAATGGGAAAGGTAAAGTATTAATTTCCACCAATTCTTCAAAGCAATCTCATTACAGTAAATTTTTGAATGATGCTTTACCAATTGAAAGTGGTATGAATACCTTTATTCATGAACCATTTATCAATGAAATATCGAATGGTACTTTCAGATCAAGACAAGATTGTGTTGACTGGATTACGTATACATATTTTTATAGAAGATTGCAGCAAAATCCAAGTTATTATGATGCCAAAGACACATCCCATTTAGGATTATCTGAATATTTGTCGGAGCTAGTTGAGGATACTTTGAAAGAATTGGCATCAGCAAATATGATTGAACTTGAAATTGATGATGATGACAATGAAGCTAATGAAGATGAAGATGACGTTGAAGAAATTTCGCCCTTGAATCCTTGTATAATCTCTTCTTATTATGATGTTTCTTTTATTACCATGAAGGAATTCAATAAGTTAGAAAACAAAACCAAATTGAAAGGAATAATGGAAATTCTTACATCTGCTTCGGAATTGGATGTTATACCAATTAGACCCGATGAAGAGTCTCAATTGAGTAAGATATACAGTAAGGTGCCGGTAAAAGCAACTTCTATTGATTATTACTCTCCTTACTTTAAGGCATTTGTCTTATTACAAGCTCATTTTTCCCGTATTGCTTTACCCCATGATTTAGCCAATGACCAAAAGCTTTTACTAAAAATAATTTTGAGCTTGCTTGGTGCCTGTATTGATACTTTATCTAATGAAGGTTATTTAAACGCTATTAACGCTATGGATTTATCACAGATGATTGTTCAAGGTGTCTGGACCAGAGACAGCCCATTGAAACAAATTCCTTTTGTTACGGAAGAGATGTTGGCTAGAGCCAGAAAGTACAAAGTCGAAAATATTTACGACGTAATGTCTCTAGAGGATGACGAAAGGGACGATTTGTTACAATTACAAGGTGAAAAGTTAAACAAGGTTGCGGAGTTCGTCAACAAGTACCCTAACATAGATTTGAGCTACGAGCTTGATCTCTCGGATTCAGTCAGATCAAATGAACCGAAAGAAATATCGATTATTTTAGAAAGAGATGAAGATATGGACGATTTGGAAGTTGTTTCCGCTCAATATCCGTACCCGAAGACCGAAGGGTGGTGGATTGTTATTGGAGACAGTGCCTCCAGACAACTTTATGCTATCAAGAAAACTCAAATTAGTAAAGAATCTCAAAATGTGCGTATGGAGTTCACTGTTCCTACTACTGGTCATCACAAACTATCAATTTGGTGCATGTGTGATTCCTACGTTGACGCTGATAAAGAGATAGAATTCGAAATAGATGTGAAGCAAGGTGACACCGAAAACTAAGTCATTCTGCTCTGTATTATATGTATATATCAATAGATTTCCAGCTTATTTTGCATCCAGAGTACTAAGATTGACAAACGTTGATTTTTTGCGTAGTTTTTACTAATTTTTTTCGCTGATTTTTTTTTTTTTTTTTTCCAATCAAATTTTTACTTATTTCTTTATCTTCGGCGGACATCAATATTAATCTATTAAAGTAAAGAACCAGTCAAAACATGGCTTCCCAAAGCAAAAATGTGTTGACTCCGTATATAAAGTCACTTCTTTTGAATCCTCCTAATCTTTCCCCCGCCGACTTAGAAACTGTTTTGAGGTACATGTTCAAAGGTATTCCATCTACTGTTCAAATGGCCTCTTTTTTAACTGCATTACGATTAAGAGGTTTAGACCATGATCCTAAGTATATAGCTGCTGCTGCTCAAGTGTTGATTGAATTCGCATCTAAAGTAGACCCGGAATCACTTCATTTAGAAGGTTATATCGATATAGTGGGGACTGGGGGTGATGGTCAAAATACTTTTAATGTCTCGACATCATCAGCCATTGTTGCATCTGGTATGGGATTAAGAGTATGCAAACACGGTGGGAAGGCATCTACCTCTACATCGGGATCGGGAGATCTTTTGAAGTGTTTGGGTGTGGATCTTTCGTCTGTTAACTCTACTACAACCGCCGATATTGTGAAAAAGACTAACTTTTGCTTTTTGTTTGCTCCTTCATTTCACCCAGTAATGGGTAAGGTAGCCTCTATAAGAGCTGAATTGGGTATCCCCACCATCTTTAATATCTTGGGTCCTTTAATCAACCCTATGCCCTTAAGAGCAAGAATATTGGGGGTTTACAGTGAGAATATTGGTGAGTCATACGCACAAGCAGTATCGGAAATGGTCAAATCAAGCAAACACCATGAAAGAACAATGATTGTTCATGGTAAGATTGGATTGGATGAGATTTCACCAGTTGGTTTTACTAAGTGCTGGATAATCGATAAAGACGGGGATATAACCATAAATTATATTTCACCAAAAGATTTCGATTTACCAGACCACAACATTGACACGGTTAAATCGGGTACCCCCGAGGAAAACGCTCAAACTTTGCTTCACATCTTACGTCAAGATCATGAAGATTTCAAAATTAAAGATTCTGGTAATCATCCAATTGTTGACTACATTCTTTTAAATAGTGCAGCACTTGCAGTAGTCTCTGGTCTTTGCACTTCTTGGGTCGAAGGGGTTGAACTCGCTAAGGAATCCATACGAAGTGGTGCTGCAAATTCAGAATTGGAAAGTTTCAAAGCGGCCATTCTGGACTTGCCAGAGATTTAATAGACCTTCTGTATATAATGTAAATTAATATATATATTTAACTATTGTTGTTGGTGTATGGATGTTTTCTGCTGCAATTTGTGGTCGCGTCCGGTTTTGTTTTTATTTCAAAAGATATTTTGATAATGATGAGATTTAAAATATAAACAACAGTTCTTTAAATCTATTTCTTTTAGAGCAGTTTAGTTAAAGTTGTTTCAAGCCGGTCACAGCAGAGTGCATCACATCGATTTGAAATGTTCTCACTACAAAATCTAATAGGAACCCCACTGGGATCCAACAATAAAAGGAAGAATGGATATGAATTTACTCCCATTGGTAATAGATCGCGTAATCCTAACTCCAATCATCTTCAGACTAACGATAATGCTATGAATAGAGGGCAAGCACGTTATGAATCTCAAAATATGGCCCAGGACAAACTAGACGATCAAAGCCTTATGGACTCAACATTTGATGATACTATTGATAATTTGAATAATACCACTCTAACAGGATTAGTCGCTCAAGCAAGATCCAAAGCTCCTCCATCATCCAAAAATGCAAACAGCTTCCCCAATGCGTTTGGCCAGTCAAATCTTGTTGATGGTGGAATCCACTCAATCAAAGAACAGCAAAATGAAATGAACAGACTTCATACTGAAAACTATAATTTGAAAATCGAACTAGCGACTTTGAATAAGTTTTTAAAACAAACACCAGAAGAACAACGACAATTGGCTACTCAAAATATCGATTTAAAGCAGCAAATGTTGGAAATTATAAGACAAAATAAAGAATTGCAAGCTACCGTAAAGGAATATGAATTTCAGTCTAATAAAGAAAATGTTTCGGAAAGTGGTCAGAATGACTTTGTTAACTCTATTAAAATACAATATAAAGAAATAATACAGGAAAAAGATGATCAACTCACCCAATATGAAAACCAAATAGAAACTCTAAGGCTACAATTAGAACAACAAATAAAAGATAAACGAATCCCGGATGAAATTCTTGAAAGGCTTGAATTTTTACAAGTTGATAACCAAAGCTTGAGAAGAAAAATCGATGATATTACCACCGATCTGAAAAATATGCCGCAGGATGTAATTATACGGCTAAATGAAGCTAATGAAGAAAACCGTTCTTTGCAAAAGCAACTTGAAAACTTAAAGAAAAATAATGGAGGTAGTACCCTGGATTCAAGCCAGTTACAAATGGCTCAAAAAAGAATCAGCGAGCTTGAATCGAAATTCAGCAATGCAAATAAGGAAGTGCAAGACTTGGAGTATGAACGTGATTCATTTGAGAGTTCTGTTAAAAATCTTCGTCTTCAATTACAAGATAAAATGTCAGAGTTGACCTCTACTGAGAACGAACTTAAACGATGGAAAGATAAATACCAGGCAATAAACGCTGAGTACGACGGATTTACTGCCTCCAGAAATGATAACTTATCCAAAGTAAGACACGAACTTAATGATTTGAAACAACAAAAAGACATGGAAACTGAAAAGTTGAAAAGAGAAATGAAATATCTTCAGAAACAATTAGAAGAAAAGACTCAGGAAGAATCTCATTTACGAACTGAATTGAAGCGTTTAATTGATTCGGGCAATTCTGCATCGAATAAATCTGCTGAGATCGAAGTCTATCAATCCCAAATCAATACTTTAAGGTCTAAGGAAGCAAGATTGTCCCTTGAGAATAAACAAATTAGGGATGAATTAGCAGAATTGCAGGATCAAGCATATCAAGTTAATGTGAATGCAAGTAGACTCCATATGTTTCAGAAAGAGAACGAAGAACTCCATGATAGACTTAATTATTATGAAAAGGAATATGGAATGGCACAAGAAGCTTTGGAAAGTGCTGAGCATGATCTTGAAAACTTCAATAGTAACAAATTAAGGTTGGAAACGAGACTTCATAGTTTGGAAAGAGATAACGAAGGCCTTTTGAGTAGATTGAAAAATATGACTAAATCTTCAACTGATCCAGCTCTTCCGGAACTAAGAGACCATTCCAAAAAACGAGATGAACATGAAAAGCAAAGTTTAATTGAGGAAATTGATGATTTGAGATTTCAAGTCAAGAGACTACAAAAAGAATTGGATTTTGAAAAGACTAATAAGGACATACCAAATCCTAACGTTTCTTATCTTGAGGTAGAATACCAAAAGATTTCGAAAGAGAAGAATCAATTGAGATTGTCAAATGATGAACAAGAAATTGAAATTCGGGAGTTCAAGTCGAAATGTAACAAATTACAAGCAACAATAGAAGATAAGGAATCTCTTATTGAATCCCTCGAGTCTAGAGTCAGAGAACTCAATAAGCAGATGAAATTATCCACACTTGACGGAAACGATAATAAAGATGAGCTATTGAAATTGAAAAATCACTATGAGTCAAAATCAAGAGAATTAGAAGCGGAATTCGGAAGACTTGAAAATGATTATAGAGATCAAATTGCATATTATAAAGATAGAGTTAATTCAATGATAGATCAACAACTTGAAGGTGATTATCATAAAAGAAGCATGGAAGTTCCTTCTATTTCACCACTCACTACTTTATTGGAGCAGCAATTGGATCGTGCAAGAGATTTAAATAATGATCTTTCAAAGAAGTTATCTGAAGCCTTAAGTAAAGAAGAAACATTCTCAACACAAATTAAGGCATTAAACTCAAATGTGGAAGAATTTACGCTGAGAAGCGAAAAATTACAAAAAGAAAAGTCCAAACTTGAAGAATTAGTTTCAGAATTAAAGATTGACAGTCAAGCATTGGAAGCTGAAAATAACAGATTGGAGTTGAAGTCAAAAAATTTGGCCAATGAGCTTAATACCTCTTTCAAGCATTGCACCAAATTGGCATCCAAGCTAAATGACCTTGATATTTATGGCAATAAAGCTTCTGCCATTAAGGAAGACGATATAATCAGGGCACAGAGGAATAACGCTTATTTGAAAAAACAAATCGATCAACTTACTCAAAAAATGTCTTCAGCAAGTATTTCCGCTACTTCAGCATCTAAATCGACTTTATCAGACGAGCTCAAATTAGCCAAACATCAATTGCAGTTTTATAAAGCAGTTCTTCACGATATTAATCTTAAGTCTAATGATTTAAGTTTGATGAATGATTTCATGATGAAGTCTATCAAGAACTCGAATCAATCTATCAAAAATGAATTAGTTAAATTAGCACATTGTGGGATTTACCCTGATTACTCTTCTATAGAATTGCAAAGGTTGAAGAACGGTGGTAAGGTATCTTTTAGAATCGTTGCTCAATTCGTATTGGCAATGGTAAAGATAAAGAGAAGAAGTGAAAAAGCGGAGCTTAGAAGAATGAAACTTGCTGAATTGAAGAATGAAATTGAAAAAGATAAAATCACCCTTCTTGCCGGTTAAAATGGACTTTTTACGATAACATTTTACGTTTGTATATTAATGTAAATACACAAATTAATTATTCTTAGGAAACACTATCTAACAATTCTTGTAATTGGTGTCTGTAGGTTCTTGTCGGTGGACAACTGTCTAGTTCGGCCCACTCGAGGAGTCTGTACCGAGTATATTGATTGTCCTTGTTGATGGTGAAACAGTTGATTGGCCCCGGGTTGTTGAGGAGTATGGTGAGACTGGACCTGAGCCTGGGAAGTAGATCCACTGGGTAAATTAGACTTAAGAATAAATGTATTGTTTCCTGGGCCCAAGTAATCAGAAGCAGATGTAATAGAAAGATCGCCTGCGTTTATACTATTACTTGTTATGTCTGATGGAGCCAACATATGATTAATTGCATTCTCGGTAGCATATCCGTTTGAAAGAAACTCATTCAACGCTAAAGTATCTGAAGTGGTCAACTCATCCATAGGATTTGTCAGCTTGGTGTTAATAGACTTCAAGATTGTTTTATCTGACTGTTTATGTAACGAGCTTGATTCCTTAATGAATTTATCATATATCCCTAAATCAGTCCACACTTTTTCTTTTAATAAACTTCTGTTCTTATAAACTTTTGCGCCAAAAGTTGATGAATTTATTGGAATACCACCATCCTCTTCATCTTCTAGTAGGAATTGGGGAAATAGACTCGAGGTGGCCTCGAACAAACCTTGTGTATCGATATCATCAAATGGTATTGGATCATCTTGCCATTTCTCCATATAAAGAACTTGATTAAGATCGTCCATATGAACGTAAGTAAATGTTGAGTCTCTATATGACATTATAGAGGACTCGTATTTGAGCTTTGTATCTGATAGTTGAATGTAATTCACTTCTAACTCAATCGTGCTGCTCGTTGTTGCTTCTTTTCATATAATGGTTTTTTTGTTTTTTTAGTTTTCACAAATCGGTGCACCCTGCTGCGAAATTACGAATTTTTAAACATATGACTTATTTATATTAATATTTACTATGATACCATTATTATACAATTATATATATTATGCAGCAGCTGAGACTTCACATAAGCCTTCAAACAAAGTTGGTTTAGGTTTGAAACGATTCTTATCATAGTTTGAAGTCTTAACTAATTTGAATGCACCAGTACCAATACTCATGGTTTGACCTAAAATGATACATTCAGAAACACCTTCGATTTGATCCATCTTCATGTAGAAAGATGCATCGAATAAATGATCAGTGGTTTTTTCGAAAGATGCCAATTGTAATACAGAGTCCCTCATTTTACTTAAACCAAATCTTGTAATACCAAGAACTTCACCTTTATAAGTCATGACATCACCCAACAATTGAATATGACGAGGATCAACACTCATACCATGACCACTCATGGTATTATCGATTTCTCTGACAATAGATGACCTAGCGGCCTCAATACCCAAAACTTCGTATATTTCAAGAACATGATTGGTAGTAGTTTGCTCTCCGACAATACCGTCGGTACACATAACATCTTTCAAACCATAACCTTCAACTAACAATTCTCTCTTATTATCATCTTTGATATTAATAACTGCACGAGAAATATTTGGGAACCCCTTGATGACGATATCTGGCAATTGTCTCTTTAATTGTTGCATTCTGAAAAACAAGGAGTTATTTGCGTCAGAACTCTTATAATCAGATGACAAAGTCTTAGCCAAACTTTCACTCTTTGACTCACGAAGAGTTACCAAGACATTAATTTTATCTTTACCAGTAATAGAAACGTCACTTTGTGAGATTTTCAATTTTGGTGCGTTTACAATGGCATGAGCAATACTATCAATTGAGAGTTCTAATTGTAATTTTTCAATTGTCTTCATATCAATTTTAAGAGATAAGTATGCCATTTCATTTTTATAAACATCTTCAATATAGTATGCAACATCTTTTAATGTGGTCTTCTCAACTCTACCCTTAACCACACGAGCAGCAATTTCATCTTCACTGTTAACTAAAACAGAATTGATAATTGGTGTCGAGATAACTTTAGAAGCATTGATAATTTCCTTAATACGAGGAACACCCAAAGTAACATTCATAGAGGCAACACCGGCAAAATGGAAAGTCTTTAAAGTCATTTGAGTACCTGGTTCCCCAATAGAATGAGCACCAATAGCACCAACTGCAGTACCTGGTTCAACCTTAGCTTTAGAATATTTCAACATACATTGTTTCAAAAATGCTTCTATTGACTTTGATGAAATCTTCAAAAGTTGGTTGACAGCATTTACTTGTAGGTCTTCGTCATCGATTATCATGTTGTCTTCTGAAGGTTTTGTAAAGAATGGCTTCAAAAATTTACGTTCACGGATTTGAGCAAGTTGAGTAGCCTTCTTTGTAGTAAATTCCCTGATAGATTTATAGAATGAACGTTCTGCATCGTGCTGGTCAATATATTCAATTTTATCAGAGTCCTCTAAAGGCACAATCTTACCAACATTATCATATCTAACTAACGCTTCTTCCGAAGGAACTAAAATCGAATCTACCAATTCTATTATTTCATATGGTAAAAGACCAATTTCGTTTTTATCAAAAGTCACATTAAAAGCATGATCCCACTCACGGGCAAAATTAACAGGTTTTGCATCACCTTCCATATCGAAAGGATCTAAACCATCATCACCATAAGTGAATTGAACAATACCATTTGAAGAATTACGAACAGTGTTATCATATTGAGCAGATAAATCTTCTAAGGACTTCATCAATCTTCTAGACATATAACCGGTTTCTGCTGTCTTAACGGCAGTATCAACTAAACCTTCTCTACCAGAAATAGCGTGAAACAAGAATTCTGGTGGGGTTAAACCGCTGAAGAAAGAGTTACGAACAAAACCCTTTGATTGAGGAGTTTTAGAATTTTTAGTGAAATGAGGTAAAGATCTGTCTTGGAAACCATCTGGAACTCTGTTCCCAGAAATAATTTGTTGACCAACGACAGCCACCATTTGTGAAACATTCAAGGTAGACCCTTTAGAACCACAGGTTGCCATAATCAATGGAGCATTTAAAGAGTCTAACTCTTTGATACACACATCCCCGACTTGCTCTCTAACCTTGGATAACAAACCACCGATTTTGGCTTCTAAAGTTTGTTCTTCATTACAACCAGGTTGAGTTTCTAATTTACCTCTATTATATAAATCAATCAATTCATCACACTTAAGATAAGCTGCTTCGACCATCAATTCTTTTTTCTTTTTCAAATCACTACCAGGAGTCACATCATTGATACCAATGGAAAACCCTCTATTACCGAGATATCTGGCACATAATTTGGCCATACGATTCATTGCAATGGCTGCTGCGTCAGGTCCATAATCACGCAATATGGTATAGAATACTGAATGCTTTTTACCATCACCTAAAGTAGATTTATCCATGACACCACTTAAAATGTTTGAGCCTCGGATAATGACATAACCATCGTTAGGTGACATTTCATTTGGTAACCCTTTTGGAGGAGGAATATAAGTTTTGTTTTTAGCGTCTAGATTAATAACGACGTTTGATCTCTTGTTTGGTTTAATTAATAAGGAGAATACTTGTTTACCAGTCCACAACATAACAGGTTTGAAGATGGTTGGAGGTGGTATGTCAAATTGAACATCAGCGTCAGACATCATGGACAACAATTGGACCAAACTAGCTCTGTCAAAAAAGGAGTCTTTATGGGAAATAAGATATGAACCCGTAATGAAATCTTGAGTAGCTGCAATGATTGGTTCACCAGATTTTGGGGTAAGCAAGTTATTTTTGACACCCATTAAATTGATAGCTTCAGCTCTTGCCTCTTCAGTTTGAGGAACATGCAAATTCATTTCATCACCATCAAAATCAGCATTATATGGAGTACATACACATTCATTGAGACGGAAAGTTCTCCAAGGTCTGATCTTTGCGTAATGTGATAAAATGGATAATCTATGTAAAGAGGGTTGTCTATTAAATAAAACGACATCACCATCTTCGATATGTCTTTCAACAACATCACCGATTTGTAAATTTTTGGATAATTTAGCACGATCACCAAATCTTAAATTTCTTTTAGCAACTTCATTCTGTCTCATAAGGTAATTAGCACCAGGATGAACATTGGGACCATTTAAAATTAATTTTTGTAGTTTTGACTTGTTGTAACGGGTACATTTCTCTGGATAAGTTAAAACTTTAGCGACACGATCTGGAACAGCCACTTCATCAATTCGTAAATTAGGATCAGGAGAGATAACAGTTCTACCTGAAAAATCAACTCTTTTACCCGATAAATTACCTCTGAAACGACCTTGTTTACCTTTTAATCTTTGACAAAACCCTCTTATTGGTTTTGCGGCTTTGGAACCACCACCACCAGCACTTGGGAGTAGCGCAGGATTAGCTGAATCTGAATTTATATACATGGCTACCGATAATTGCAAATAATCCCACTGTTCCATTAAATTATTGATTGAAATACCCTTTTCGATACCGGCTTTGATCAAAGATGAAGTCCAAACAACCTCAGTTAATTTGACCGTTAAATCATCTTCATTGGATTGGGCATCCATCATAACTGATGGTCTGATACAAACAGGCGGAGCAGGTAAATATCTCCATATATATGTTTCAGGTCTACCACCTCTTGCCGGATCTATCCCGAATAATTCACAATCGGAAGGAGAAATTTGTTTGAAAAGGTTTAAAACTTTCAAAGGATTTAAATCATCATGAACTCTTTTAATAAATTTTTCTAATTCTGGATTTCTTAAAAACACTTCGTCAAATTCTTTATCCCAAAGTTCTTTTTCAGGAGTGGCCTTTTTACCAATCCAACGGAAAGTATCATGAACAATTTTAAGTGCAGCTGGACCTGCACCACTTGCTGCCTTTTTAACAACCCCATTCACATGATTACATTTCAAACATCTTCTTTGTTTTTTACATTGTTCCAATACTTTTTTCAATATCTTCATTCTTCTTAAATTATCAATATTTGGCCTTCTTAAATCATTTAAAAAGCTTCTCTTGGACTGTTCGTCCAAAAGAACTGCTGAACAACTCTTACAAATTGACTGAAGAACTTGAATAATGGCTTTAAAATATCCCACATGGAAAACAGGTAATGCAAGTCTTATATGACCAAAATGACCATGACATGATGCCAAGTTCCCAAAACAAGTGGCACATTCTCCCGAATTAGAAGAAACACCCATTTTAGTATCCAAAGCACCACCAACTTTAGCCGATCTATTCTTCTCTAAATCATATAAATCTCTAGTTTGAACCTCCACTTCGGATTGTGCAACGATATCTTTAGCAGAAAGAGCCCCAAACTCGAGACCCTTGATGCACTTGGGAGCAACATCAACAACAACCTCTTTCATAGCGGCTTTGAAGGAGACAGTCAGACTTGATACCGAATTGATTTGATGATGTTTTAAAAGGAAAAAAAAATCAAAAAAATCGATTTTGTGAATTAAATGAAAAAAAAAAAAAGTTTTTGAGCAGAGCACCTTATACCTCCCAGTGCGGGTCACGTGCCGCGGTAGCAGCAGCCTCGATTGCCTCGTTGAAAAAAGAATTGAGATTATGAAAAGATAATCTTTTATGGTGGCAACAACTACTTTAACGGAAAGCCAATTTTACAATGTCCAGTCAACCAGGTGCTCAGCAGCCAACTGTTGAAGAATCAGAGAAAAAAGTTATTAAAACATTAGAGGAAGATGATGAATTTGAAGATTTCCCAGAAGATACTAAATGGACAAATGAGTCTAATCCCCAACTTTCGTCAGCCAATTTATGGGAAGAAGATTGGGATGATGATGATAATCAAGATGATTTCTCTAAGAAGTTGAGAGATGAATTAAAGAAATCACAAAAATTATCTAATTGAAAAATAGCTTTCAAAATAGTGTATATTAGTATTACAAAAGATAAATTGCATAAAAATTTCTACAAGAGATACATTAAATGTAGACGTGAATTTAAATTTTTTTTATTATACATGATATATTAAGCATAGAAGTTTACTGATTTTGATTTTCTAGCTTGAACTTCACCAATTGCTTCCACAAAATCTTCGTGTTTAATGATTGATTTACCATTTCTCAATGCAATCATACCACCCTCCACGGTAACCGCTTTTAATTGGGCACCATTGAATTCATCGGTGGATCTGGCTAATTCTCTCCAATTGATTGAGCTATTATCACAATTTAATTGTCTGGCATGAATTTTTAAAACTGATTCTCTTGCTTCTTCTGAAGGTAATGGGAATTCAATTTTTCTATCTAATCTACCCGATCTTAATAATGCAGGATCTAAAGTATCAACTCTATTGGTGGCGGCCAAAACTTTAACACGATCATCAGAACCAAAACCATCTAATTGATTTAATAATTCCAACATAGTTCTTTGAACTTCACGATCCCCACTTTTATCAGAATCAAATCTTTTAGTACCAATAGCATCTAATTCATCAATGAAAATAATGGTGGGAGCCTTTTCTTTGGCTAAGGCAAAAGCATCACGAACTAATTTAGCCCCATCACCAATAAACATTTGAACTAATTGAGGAGCCGCTAATTTTAAAAAAGTTGCTCCTGATTGTGCTGCACAAGCTCTAGCTAATAAAGTTTTACCAGTACCTGGAGGACCGTACATTAATGCACCTTTTGGTGGTTTAATGCCTAAATTTTTAAATTTATCCGATTGTTTCATTGGTAATACAACTGCTTCAATTAATTCTTCAATTTGTTTATCTAATCCACCAATATCAGTATAATCTTCAGTTGGTTTTTCGTCAACCTCCATAGCTTTAACTCTTGAATCATACTCGGATGGTAAAGTATCTAAAATTAAATAAGAATCTTTATTAACCCCAATCAAATCATTTGGTTTCAAATTACTTGGATCAACTAATCCAATTAATGGAAGAAAAATGGTTTGTCTAGTAGAAGTCTTTATAACGGCCGATTTCCCTGATCTTGTTGCATCAACATCAACGTTTGCCCCTTGTTCACTGGCCTCTTTCTCTGCTTCTAAATCTAATAATTCAACCACATTTCCCACTAAATATGGTAATTGCTTATTATTATTGATTTTTTCTTGATTATCTTTAATTCTTTCAGTCATAACCGATCTTTCGTGAGATAATCTCTGAGATTCGGATCTCATCACTTTGATATCATTATCCAATAGCTTTGTTCTGTTTATAATATCCGAAGTTGCTGAATTCAAAATTTCTTGATCTATCATATCATCTTGGTTATTTTCTAATTCCTCCAAAGTAGACATCCTGTTATATAATTATTTGTGTTCGTTCCCTCTGTCCAACCAGTATTGGTATATAAGATAAATATGATGCAATTGTCAAAAGTAATTGGGTTCTATGAATTGATTCTATTCAATGATAGTTGTCGCTCTCTTGCCACTCAAAAAAAAATATCTGAAAAAAGAATTCATATAAAGTACTGCACTTTCCAGTGGAAAGTTGGTCCGGTACACGCTCCCTTCAAACACGTATAGAAGTAGTTATCAGTGTTGATATTCTTCAAGTAAACTCTTTTTTCACATTAACATTACATGTCTGCTACTCACAACCACGGACGCTCCCATTCGCATGCCCGGGGCCGCTCGGTCCAGCCAATGTTGGACGACGAGTATCTGTTCAACCAGTCTTTTTCATTTGGCTCCGGTCAAATGCAAAATGATCTTGAACCGTCCCATACCCATTCCCATACGGATACCCATACGGATACCCATACGGATACCCATTCCCATTCCCATACGAACAGCCATTCTCATACTCACGAGCCAATAAAGAATCCATTTGTAACCAATTCACTGATCAGCGACATATATGCGTCTTCTAAACAAGAAGTATTGGATTCAGATACCTCCAAAGTTAGCAAATTCTTAGGTACTCTACCTGTCCTTTTGGCCTTCCCCAGTATAATATTGGCTGCAAGTCTAGCGTATACGCCTTCGACATACTCAACTTCCTCAATAATCAATTTGATAGCCTTACTGATTCTTTTATCAAGCTTATTTTTAGGATTAACTAAAACTTTACTACAATTTCATATAATCTCCTTACCACAACAAGAGTCAGCTCCCTCGTCATCAAATACTATGTATCTACTTGTATCCATAGCAATGGTTTATTCGACTGCTCATTTACTTTCAGTTAATCGATTATCAGTGCTTTTCCTTGGTTTGTTTTTGAATCAATTTAATGCTTATACGGTTATTTCATTCATATTTGATTTTTATAATAACAAAAGTACAATCCCTGTTATTGGATATTTGGTGGTTGGAATCTCATTTAGACTTTTGTATAAAAAACTAGCTTTATCTTCCATCTCAAAAGCCTTAAACTTGGATTATCTGATTTTATTGATCACTGGATTGATTTCCTCCGTTGTCTTGGCTTTTGCTGAGAATTTAAGCTTGGTCATGATTGGTCTTAATGTTGCTGCATCCTTGGTTTTCATCATATCTTTACCCGATAGTTTTTTGAAATTAAGATCAAATCCAATCATTTTATCATTATTTTCCACTTCTTTGGAGTTCATTGTTTTATCAAACTCAATAAGTCCATTTCACCTAATAGTAAATGTTGTCACTCCGATTGTTATAAAACCAGATCGTTCAATCTTGGTCCATGTGGACGACTCGGTAGTTTCAAGTAATTCAGGTCAAGGGTCAATATTGAAAGAACTATTAGGACATTCCGATACTAGGGCCATCTTTAATTTTTTACTTTTGAACACTACATTCATGTTTGTTCAATTATTATATTCTTTCAGATCAAAGTCGTTAGGGTTATTATCAGATTCTCTTCATATGGCATTAGATTGCACGTCGCTTGCCTTAGGTTTAGTTGCTGGAATCTTACTGAAATATCCCATCAATCCTAATGGTAAGTTCCCCTTTGGTTTAAAACATTTTGAGATTTTGGCTGGTTTTACTAATGGTACCTTACTCATAGGTATTTCAGGAAGTATAGTTTTTGAAGCTATTGGGAGATTATTTAACCCTGTATCATTACAAAAGACAAATGAATTGATTATTGTTTCATTTTTAGGTCTCTTGGTCAATTTGGTGGGTATATTTGCTTTCAACCATGGCCATGATCATGGCGGTCACAGTCATGGTCACAGCCATAGTCATAGTCATAGTCATAGCCATAGTCATGGTGAGGACCATCATGAAGATGGTATGAATGATAATATGAAAGGTATCTTCTTGCACATATTAGCAGATACGCTCGGATCTGTTGGTGTTGTACTATCCACCATACTTATTAAATACTTCAAATGGGAAGGATTTGATCCGGTTGCATCTATTATAATAGCAGTGCTTATCTTTTTATCGGCTGTACCATTAATAAAATCTACTGCTTCGACCTTGTTATTAAAACTAAGCTCCGATAAAGAGTCGAGATTGAGATCAGTGTTGAATGACGTGGTTACAATAAAAGGTATCAAATCTTTCACAACCCCACGATTCTGGCCTTCGAATGACGAACTGATTTTGAATGGTTATATCCATATTCAAATATATCGAGGCGAGAATGGTTCCTATATTAAAAGACAAGTTGAAAAATCTTTTCAACAAGAAAACATCAACGTCATGATCCAACTAGAGAACGACTATGATGACTGTTGGTGCAGATCCAATTCGGGTTCTAAAAACAAAAGCTTTTAAAGCTGTATTTATAAACTCTCTTGTATACTAGAAATAAACCTCCGTACATTTTTTCATTGTGATTGTCTCTCTTCATTTAGATTGGTCAAAGCACACGACCAGACCTCAATGCTCATCTTGTATTATAAATTGATTTTCTCTTTGAAAAACCTTTAAAATACCTCTGATAAGTAATCTCACAAGCATGTCTCGAGTTGGGGTATTAGCATTAGGTCCAGCAGGTGTTGGTAAATCCACATTTTGTAATTCCATAATAGCACATATGCAATCTATAGGGCGTCGAGCTCATATAGTTAATTTAGATCCAGCAGCAGAGGCAACTGAATTTGAATTTACAATTGATATTAGAGATTTAATTTCATTACAAGATGTAATGGAAGAAATGGATTTAGGTCCAAACGGTGCATTGATATATTGTTTTGAATTCTTATTGAATAATTTAGATTGGTTGGATGAAGAAATTGGAGATTATAATGATGAATATTTAATTTTTGACTGTCCTGGTCAAATTGAACTATATACCCATATTCCAGTATTACCAACAATTGTTAAACATTTGCAAACCACTCTTAATTTTAATCTTTGTGCAACCTATTTATTAGAAGCACCTTTTGTTATAGATCGTTCCAAATTTTTCTCTGGAGCTTTAAGTGCAATGTCAGCCATGATTCTATTAGAGTTACCCCATATTAATATTTTATCAAAGATTGATTTAATTAAAAATGAAGTTTCTAAAAAGCAATTAAAAAAATTTTTAAATCCTGATCCTTTATTATTGAGTTCTGCCCATCCTGAAAAAGAAGTTAATCCAAAATTTACTAGATTAAATAAAGCAATAGCAAATTTAGTTGATGATTTTGGAATGGTTCAATTTTTACCTCTAGACTGTTCAAAAGATAGCGAATCTGTGGCTACCATTTTAAGTTATATTGATGACGTGACTCAATGGTCAGAAAGTCAAGAACCGAAAGAACCAAAAGATGAAGAATTCGAAGTTGATCCAGATTTTGATTAACCGATTTTGTGCTTTAATGACTCTTCACCTTTGTATATTATACTTGTATTTTAAATCAACCTTATTCACCTTATCATTTTGTAAGTATTAGTAAATTATTATCATTTTCAAATTTACGAAAACATCGTTATTCCATAGCAATAGCACCATATGTAACACTGACGGATCACCATCTCTTAAAGTTCTTCGATACTAGATATATGTTCAAGAAAATAAATTAAAACGAAGGAAAAAGAAAAGAAAACAAACGTGCTGACATATGTCACTAGGGCGATCAATACCTGTCTTTCTCTTTCAGGTATAGAAGTCTTCAAAGTCTAAATCCGAGTTCGACAATACTTGTACATAATGGATATCTGTATTGGTATTTACCGAACGGTGATGCATGAGCAACCCTTGACGTTTAGGGTAAATCCGCAATCTTCGTATGTAAGTGCCGAATTGTCACCGTCTTATGAGCTTGACACATTATTTTTATCTGTACGTAGCTTCTACTGCAGAAATGAAAAATGTCTGCATCTCTCGAGCTATTGGTCCTGAATAGTACCCGGGATTAAGTAGTCATCTTTTCCATGATGGAAGTACTGACTCGTTAGAAGGGTACTTGAGCATTCGCACTGCTTTCAAGCTCAAAACTTTTTTCATCCAGATACTCTTGCTATCGAACGGTTCAAGTCGGGCAATCAAAATAGAGTCAAGCACCTCCAGGATTTTGTGTACCCGAGTAACCTTAAAAGTGAATTAAACTCATCACGGTACTAAAGGGTCCTGAAATTTTTCAAAATTGCGAAATCTCAAGTTTATCAGTCAAACATCCGTACCGTTGAAAGCATCTTAAAATGTACGGATGTTTTTTGCTGGATCTTAGAAGGGAAAAAAAAAAAACCGAAAAAAAAATAGAAAATGAAAGAAGATACAAGGTTAGCATTACTTTTCACAATTCAATCGGTGGTTTAACATAAAATATGGTTCAAATCAACGAAGTCAAGGACACACAAACCAGGGAAAGCAGGACTGCTGCCCATACACATATCAAAGGGTTGGGTTTGGATGAACATGGGATTGCCAAAAAAGTTGAAGGAGGATTTGTTGGTCAATCAGACGCCAGAGAAGCCTGTGGTATTATAGTAGACCTAATTAAATCGAAAAAAATGAGTGGTAAGGCTATACTATTAGCTGGTGCTCCAGGTACCGGTAAAACAGCTTTAGCATTGGCCGTTTCACAAGAATTAGGACCAAAAGTACCATTTTGCCCAATTGTCGGTTCTGAATTATTTTCGGCTGAAGTTAAGAAAACAGCTGCATTAATGGAAAATTTTAGAAGAGCAATTGGATTAAGAATCAAAGAAACTAAAGAAGTCTATGAAGGTGAAGTAACTGAATTAACTCCGGAAGAAGCTGAAAATCCATTAGGTGGATATGGTAAAACTATTAGTCATGTAATTGTTGGTTTAAAAACTGCTAAAGGTACTAAGAGTTTAAGATTAGACCCAAGTATTTATGAAAGTATTCAAAAGGAAAGAGTTACTCCTGGTGATGTTATATATATCGAAGCCAATACTGGTGCTGTTAAAAGAGTTGGTAGATCTGATGCTTATGCCACTGAATTTGATTTAGAAGCTGAAGAATACGTTCCATTACCTAAAGGTGAAGTTCATAAAAAGAAGGAAATTGTTCAAGATGTTACATTACATGATTTAGATGTTGCTAATGCAAGACCTCAAGGTGGACAAGATGTTTTATCAATGATGGGACAATTATTAAAACCAAGAAAAACTGAAATAACTGATAAATTAAGATCAGAAGTTAATAAAGTAGTTTCAAAATATATTGATCAAGGGGTTGCTGAATTAATTCCAGGTGTTTTATTCATTGATGAAGTTAATATGTTGGATATTGAAATTTTCACTTATTTAAATAGAGCATTAGAAAGTGCTATAGCTCCAATTGTTGTTTTAGCTTCGAATCGTGGTATGACAACTATTAGAGGTACTGATGATGATACTAAATCTCCTCATGGATGTCCACCAGATTTAATTGATAGATTATTGATTGTTAGAACATTACCATATAATCAAGAAGAAATTAAAACAATTATTTCTAAAAGAGCTTCATTAGAAGGATTATATATTAATCCAAGTGCTTTAGAAAAACTCGCCATCCATGGTGTTACCAATTCATTGCGTTATGCTTTACAATTATTAGCACCAGCTGGTGTTTTAGCTAAGACTGCTAATCGTAATGAAATCACTAATGAAGATATTGAGGAATGTGAATTATTATTCTTAGATTCACGTCGTTCAATTAAAATTTTAGAAGAAAGCAAAGGTTATCTTTAATTGAAAACAAATTCGAAAATAATATAAAAAAAAAAGAAAGGAAAAAATAATTTTACTATTAATAAATAGTGAATAACATTGTAGTATTAGTTATGTAATATACGTTTATTCCAAACTACCTAAATTTGAAATTTCATTTAAAAATTCATTTGCAGTAACAATATCAGTACTACCATATATGATTGATTTTTTAGTTCTATTTGGTTGATTTGACCATTCAGTTAAATTTTGATATTCCAAATAATTACCACCACCAATTACGAAAACAATGGATTCTGAATAAGATTGTCTTTTAGGAGGTTTCGAATGGCCACCTCTTGATTTAGGATCTAGATATAAATAGTCATCAGTTAATTGAATGGAATTATTTGAAGCATTATTAGGATCCATTATTGCTTCCACAACATTAGTTATTGGTAAATTTTGTTTATCAGGTAATAATTTTTTCAAACCAGTTGCTAAAGAACTTAAACCTTCAGTAATTCTACCTTCAGTTAACCCGTATAATTTAGACGATAACCCATTAAATAGAGCTGAATTATCTTCTAAAGAAGACGTATGATTAGTATTATCAGTCAAAGAGATGTTTTTAGATAAATTTAAAATTTCTTTGAATTTCAAGATATAATTAAACCCATTCATATTAAGATCAGGATATTTTGAAGAAAAAATTTCTTTACATTGATTTATGAATTGTGAAGATAAGTTATCACATAAAAGATTCAAAATTAAGAAAGTTCTTAATTTATCAATTGAGTTATCCTTTTTAGAATCAGTTTTCAAGATTTCTAAAAATTGATTTTGAATTTTTGGATCATTAAAATTTTGTTCAATTTCAAAGAATTTATCCAAAGATTTAGCTTCTAATTCTTTTAATAAGGAAGCTAAAACATCCATATGCATATCTAAAGTAGTTTTTCTAGCGGTCAATTCTGGCAAAGCATCAACTGCTTGTTGAATATTAGTAGTATTATTTGAATTAGGGTCAATATCTTGTAAAGATGTTATACCGGTTCTATTAGTTAATTCTTGAGCATCTTTTTTATAAAGTTGAAGTTCAGTATCAGCACTTTCAACTGCATCGGGGAAAGGTAATTGAGAATTTTTATTCCAAAAAAAATCTTTTGGATCGACGTCATAACTTTTAGTTTTATCATCGTTAATTTTAATTGTATTTCTTTTCAATTCAAAGACATCACTCACCATACATTGGTAAATCCAAGAGTGGGAAAACATTGATGCTAAGTCAATATTTCTATCTAAAATTATTAATACTGGTCTTTGTTGAATTGATTGATAATTTCTTGAATTACTTAAATAATCTCTTAGTTTTGAATCTAATTGTCCTGATACTAATTCTGCAGGACCATTTCTTGGACATCTTATGATTGGTATATTACCTAAAGTAATTATTGTAGCTAATAATCCATCAGCAATTTTATCAGCTATTTTATGAATTTCATCTTCATTAGTTGAAGGATTATTAAATTTTGAAAAAATTAATGGAGAATCTAATGAGAATAAATTGGGTTCAGTTACTATAAAATCTAAATATTGGTCATAAACTTGTTTAATCTTATTTGATTTCCCAGAAAGTGATACTCTTTTAGCAAATTCTTCTAATAATTCTCGATTCAAGGTAGAAGTAAAGTTGATGTAAAAATCTTCATATTTGTCATTATTTAAATCATCAATAATTAATAAGATATTCTCAATTGTTGGTTCAACAAAGTAAATTACTGGGACATCTGGCAATGGTGATCTTCTACTACTAATCAACGGATGAATTGTGATTCCGCACCTTAAAAGATCATTCACCCTCAACACTGACGATATTATAGCTCTTGATTTTTGATCTAAAATCAATACTTTCCAAATTATTTCTTCATTCTTCGACGCTAATGTTAAATCAGCAGTTCCTTCTTTATTCAAATGGAGCATCCGCTCCAAATTGCCTGTTCAAAAAGTTAGTTGCCATTCGACCCCACTTCCATCTTCGTCTCACATACCTATCTGCCTGTCTCTCAAACTCAATTCTGTAGTGCTGGACATCCTTGATACTTTCTCTAACGGCTATCTTTGACCTGTTGGCCAGTTTGTTTTTTTTTCCACCTCGAGTCGTAGCAAAAGCTTACCTCCGTACACCCATTGCCTCCGTACCTCCCCCAGAGTTCACACCCGTACCTTTTGTGTTTAAAATCTCTTGTTTTTGTTTTTCCTTACTCCATTTCTACGCACTACGGTTCCTTATAAGGAACTACTTAGCACAACGGCTACCACGACAACTTGTCTTTGCTAAAAAACGAACAAACAAACAAACCAAAAAAAAAAAAAAAAAAAAAAAATTGATCTTTTTCTCGTTCAGCATACGGTGTATCTTGTTTTCCTACTGAGATTGGGGTCTTATACGACTTTGAGTGAGTTCAAGGGATGGTTCTGTGCTTGTTCTCTGTTCTCTGTTGAAGGTGTCGCTGGGGTTAACTAGGGTTTGATTCTGCCGCTGTTGTTTGGGTTAATTAATGAATGGTACNCTCATCTATAAACAGGAAGTAAGAGGCAAGAGGTAGTATGGAGAGATTGCAAAAAACTAAAAAAAGAAAAAGAAAAAAAAAAAAAAACGTCTAAAATAAACAACAATACTTGCAAAAAAACAGATAAATATATACAGTATAGTACAACCGGAGGGATTTTTTTTTAGTTCGTGAAACGGTCCATTAAATGTTTTCATTTGTGAGTTTGATCTATTAATTCATCTGTTTAAGGATGAATTCCAGTTCTTTGAGAAAATGACCAAGAACATTGTTTTTTTTTTTTGTTTGATCTTTTAAAAATGAAGAATACCAATTATCTATGTTGAAACATCTATAATGTATCCATCAATTGAATAACCTTGGTGTTACTTATACTTTAGGGCAATGACTTGATAATGTTGGAGTAAGTACGACAGCCTAAATTTTTAATGCGCTGCGCTAGTTTAATGTTGTGTTTTTTGTTTTTCTAACAGGTTTATTTTCATTATATTGTTATCCTTTTCAGTTTTGGATTTCTTAGTGGGTTGAATTTCCTATTTTTGAAGCAATTCAATTTTTAATGCCTCAATTTTTCGTTTTGTTGTCCTTTTAGTTATTGGTGTTTGGTTGTGTGATTTATATGGTTGATGTTAAACAATGACGTAACCAATGATTACTTGCTAATAAAAGAACTGAAGAAATGTGTTGATGATAACGACTCGATGATAATCAATTGATGATAATGAATTGATGATAATAAAATAGGATAATGGACTAATGATAATAGAATGAAATAATGGATTGATTATAATGGAAAGAATGACAAAAAAACATTATGATACTAACCCAAGATGAAAATGAAATATAATGAATAATCAACTGAGACATTAATGTGGTTACTCTTAAAAAAAAAGTAATGAAGCACCTCATAAAGTACTGTTTCACTTACTCTTGTATTCCACAATACCTCTCAATACTTTAATTTTCCCATAAATTTCATGATCAATCATATTTTCCTCATTTTTGACATCTTTGGGTTTATTTTTATGTTCAGTACCTGGCTTGGGCCATGTACATGTTAATCCTAATCGATTACATTCAGTACACTTTGGTCGAGTCTCACAACAACGTTTCTTTCTTTGTCTACAAGTAAGACACCCCATTCTTGATCGTTTAGTAACGGGTTTGGCTCCCAATATTTTCCCTGGTAAATCATTTGTAGCCTTAATTGATGATTTTCTGGATCTAGAACCTCGACTTGATGATGATGAAGTTGATGATCTTCTACCTTGTGGAAGTGGTATTGAAGATTGTTGATTTAAGGGAAGTGAATTTGCAATTATACCTGGTCCTCCTGGTAATTGAGGAGGTACTTGAGGAGCGTATTTAGTTTGATTTTGTTGATATGAAAAAGGCTGTTGACCTTGGGAAAATCCGGTATTATTCGAAGATTGAAATTGATTAAATTGGTCCCATTGATCGGTTGGAGGTATATTATTCATGGTTGGAAATACCGGCACTGACATCTGTGGTAATTGATATGGTTGACTAGATACAAAAGTATTTTGTTGGGCCTGTTGAGATTGTTGAGGATTTGGTTGTAAAGGATCTAAAGAGTGTAAAGCAGGTTGAGCTTGAGCTTGAGGTTGAGGCTGAGGTTGTTGATGTTGTTGAATTGGCTGCATATCATTATTCGAAGTGGGAAATGGATGTGGTTGTATGTATGGAAACTGATTTTGGTTTGAAGTGGAGGATCTGTTCGGTATTGAATTTGATGTAGGAGGAGTGGAAGAAGTTGAGTGGGATGAAGATTGGTTTAGAGCATAAGTAGATGCATGGGGTAAATTTGAAGATTGCTGACCAGTACTATTGGAAGCACTGTTTGGTAAAGAAGATGAAGCACTATTTGGGAATGACATTGTATATTCAGTTACTGAATTCGATTTATTAAAAGTTGGAGAATCAACAGTTTTGGGAGGTATGCTATTATTATCAGTCCAAGTTGAGTCTTTCCACAGCTTCATAACAGAATTTAATCAAAGCAATTAAGTAATTCAAAATGAAAACAAGGGAATATTCAAATCTTTGACTGCTGTTATTGTTGGGAACAGAAAAGTTTTTTTTTTTCCTATTGCTTAATTGATTATTAATTGGAAAAATAGGAACTAAAAAGTATAACTTTAATCAAGAATTCGAAGGAATTTGATTCTTATATATAATGATTGCAATGCTAAAATAATGATTGTTCTTCTGCAGAAAGCTTTCGGATATTAGTCTGCTTCTTCTTATTTTTGGGATGAATACAGATTAGATGAGAAAAAGAAAAAAACAGAAAATAATAAAGTTGACAGATATCTAAAGTATCAAGCTAGTACTAAGCAATTTAAATGATTTCATAAACGTACTGACAAAACTTCAGACACCGAAATGAAACAGAAGGAAGGACAACACAAAAAAAATTAAAATTAAAAATAAAATGAAAGAACAAAAATCAGATTTAAAGTACAGGGCAAGTGTAACGACAGACACGTAAGATGAATTTTGTTGACTCTGATAAGTGGTCAATTGGACAAGGTATTCAAAATGCGTTTGAAGGATTGAAATTGATAACTTTTCGAAGAAGGCTTTTCGACTAAATTCGATATACTCGAAAGCTTTATGGATATTCCCTATGGATTGAATTGACTGAAATTATTGAAGTTCAAGTCGTTTTTCTCTTTCAGTTGACCAATACTTGTAATCAAGATGTGAAGAAAAAGAAAAGAAGAAGTAAGTAACAGAAGCAAGAGAATCGAAACACTGACAGAAAAAGAAGGAATGAAGAACAACAAAAAAAAAAAAAAAAAAAAAAAAAAAAAAAAAAAAAAAAAAAAAAAAAAAAAAAAAAAGATAATTGAATTATAGAAACAAAATATAATTTTGGACAATTAGATCTGTTAAATTTAGTGAAATGTGTCTCAGGTTCTGTGTAATTCTTGTATTATTTTTATTCAAGTCCTGACTTGTCTACTTAACTATTTATTTCGGTTTCCCCGTCGAATGATGAAGTTTTGCGAATTTATCAAGACCAGTTTGATGACCGGACAGAAGACTTGACAGGACGGAAATTTAGCTGAAGACGAATTCAAAGATAGTTTGAAGGACGGTATACAATAACACCGAATAGAACCAGATGAAAAACGGACACGGACAAAAACAAAGAAAAAAGAAAAAACAACAAATATAAAATAAAAAAAAAAATAAAAAAAAAAAGAAAAAGTGTGTGAATGACAGAGGGATAGAAATGCTAAGAGGAAGAGGCTTGTCACACCACTGGATAGTGAATATTTAAGAGGAGGAGCATCAATTGGGTACAGCAGCCAATCTCTACCGCTAAAACGAGGCGACCAGGTACAACTGAATAAAAAGACAAACAGTAGGGAAAATCCGAAGTGTACAATTGATAACAGAAATCGGGGAGTATCAAGAGAATAGACAATCACACAATTGTAACTCCAAATTTGGGAGAATTGTCGATTCCAAAAACGATTCCAAAACCAAGTTTCAGAAAACGATTTCAAAAATGAAAAAAAACAAAAAAAAAAAAGTTTCAAAAACAAGTAAAGTAAAGCAAAACCAGTGTTAAAATCACAACTTGGAATACTAACCCAATTGTTGAAGAAAGGAAAAACTACAACCAAAACTAAAAAAATGCCAAAAGCAAGATGTCCAAAAAATTAAAACGAAAAAGTTGGTAGGAGGGAGTGAGAAAGAACGAACAAACCAAAAAAAAAAAAAAAAAAAAAAAAAAAAAAAAACGAAAAAAAAGAAACTGCTGTACCGGGCCAATTCAACAAAACGAAATAAAAAAATACAACAAAAAAATACAAAAAAAAAAAAAAAACATTACAAAATAAAAAGGCCAATTATGTAATTCCCAGTACTTAGATAATACTGATCAGAAAAGCCTTTTTTGACGGCAATTGAACAACCAAGATAATCTCAACAGAACATGTAGATCCGGAAGCAAAATAAGCATATACTTAATATAGAAACTGTAGAGAAAACTGTAGAGTTTTTTGTCTATTATTATTCTATGTTTTGTTTGTTCCACCTTGCGTTGTTCTATAGAACAACTTTAGCCAAATAAGCTTTCAATAGGAGATTGTACTTAGCCTGGGGGAGAGGCGATAAAGGAAACCGCCAAAGAAATGAAAAAAAAGAAATAAAGGGAGAGGTAAAGAGAGAGAGACCGATTTGTAGTAAGAATTACAAATAAGGTGTTTTGCAGATGATCATGAAACTAAACCCAACCCAACCAAAAGACAAACAAAGAAGTAACAAAAACAAATCGCAGTTTTAACAACAGAAAATAAAAAAATAAGAACAATTCAACTAAGTTTATTGTTTCGAATAACGCACTCTGCACCATAGCTGGCAAACAGAACAAGCAGCAAAACAAACAAGAGAACAAACAAAAAATAAAAATAAAATAAAAATAAACCAAAAATCACCATACAAACGAAAAAAAAAATACAAATAAAAAAAGAAAAAAATCCCAAGTGAGACTCAGCGCAAAACAGTTGGCACCAGGGAGAAAGCGAGCGAGAGTTTATTGCCACAGTGAAGAAAGCTAAAACTTTAATAATAAAACAGACAAGTATCAGTATCTAGTGAACAATCAAGATTAAGCAATAACGGATTCTGATGGTAGGATGTGTGCTAAGGAAGGCGGGCTGAGATCGGTGGATATACGTAAGATGGATTAATTGGTTTAGCAGACCAATGCTACTACTCACGGTTAAATCCAGTCGACGCAGTAGTAGACGGGGATGGGGGTTCACGGTAAGTTACCGTAAGGCCCATTGTATACAGGGGAGGAGACCCACCGCTTGGAACTGGGCGATACGCTAAGACTAACTTGCTAAGACAGTAGGTCCTAGAAGATACCCCCTCCTCGGAGCTAAGTGCAAAACTAAGCGAGCAAAGTTGACATCCAAGCACGTGAAAACGTCTTTTTCAGGGGCTGCCAACGATCATAACGCCCTAAAAAAAATAATTCCGATGCTCTATCAGGAGTTAGGAGAAAATATCCCGGAGCTGTCTCTTTTTTCATACTGTCAAGTATACCGTAAACTCATCTTCCACTTTACATTTCAGACATTTTCATCTAATTTTTTTGTGATATTATTCTTTTATCTTTTGTTCTGTGTTATATAATTTGTATTCGTATGTTCGGTAATGTATATCTTAAAATTCTGACATTTTTATTTTATTTTGTTTCTCTTTCTTTCTTTCCTTGCTTATTCGACGGCTTCTTTGGCATTACTCAGAGCTACCAACTCCAAATTACAAATTTATTACAAACTTTAGATCGGAACTCCTTCAGCGATATAATCATAAAATAACTGTTGGTTATTCTTGTGTTGCCCTTTTGGCCTTTTGTTTTCGTTCTCAGGTTTCATTCCATCATCGTTATGCCGTCAGTTGCCTATTGTGGTTGCCATGCTTGAAATTTGTTGTAGATACAATTAACAAGAGTATTTACTTACAATGATAATTGATCAAAAAAATAATATTCAATTATAGATTAAAAGAAGAAAAAAAAAAAAAAAAAAAGTATCTCATGTACCCCTAACCTTAAAAGTAATAAACTTTCGGGTAAGCAAACACCCTTAGCAGCAACGGCCAAGTCGCAAATTTGGTTCGCGACAGTTGTTCTGACTACTTTTTTTTGGTTGAGTATTTTCCTGCTGACTTTGTCTTTTTTTCCAAGTGTTATCTTTTTTGCGACTTGCTCGAGCAGCGGTTGTCTTTTCGTTCTTCGGCAGTTGCCAGTTGCCGTTTTTTATTTTTACGCGATATGGCGCCTCTTACTCGGCCATTTCTGCCCCTCTGCTCCAAAAGAAAATATCCATTTATTTTCTTTTTTTCTTCTTGCAGGCGCATCCCAAAGGATCAAACTACGAGAACTCCGAATCTCAAGCGAGAAATGCGCTTTTCCAACTGTTTGCTTGTTGTTTCTTGTTATTTGCGCTTTTACTAATTCGATTGTCGAATTATTTTCCATCAACTACATAAAATAACATATATACATTAGTAGGTAAAATAAAGTTAAGTCAATCTACACCATCTAAGGGTCTCGTTAAAGAGAGAACTAGTATTTAGGCTACGTACTCCACCCTAAAAGTTGTCGATCATCAAGTTGATTCTGTTTTTTCGAAAGCTTATCTGGGGTGGAAGAGGTTTTCATTTGACCTTTTCAAGTTTTTCTGTTGGCCTTGCCCCCCATTTATTCATTTTTGTAACTTTTCGTATCCGTTGGCTTACGTAAATATCATTTTAAACTTCATCGCTTTTACTTACTACATTTAAAATAAATATTTTTGGTTGTGTATATATATACTTGTTTTGTATGTACGGAGGTATTTATTTGTATGTACGGAGGTGTTACATTGGGGGAGCACCCATTGGAGCACCCATTGGAGCACCACCAGGAGGGCCACCAGCACCTTCTTTCAACGAAGAACGACCAGCCTTTAATAACTCGTCACATAATAATAAATTAGACGCAATTCCGGTGGCAGAAGAAATGGCATTTCTAATGACTCTAAAAGAATCCCAAACCCCTTCAATTGAAGGATCCATTGGTTCACCAGATTTTAGATCCACCCCAACAGTATGACCTTCAGAAATCTCATCTTGACAATTACCTAAAGTTTCTAAAGAATCCAAACCAGCATTCTTGGTTAATGTTTTAGGAACAACTAATAAAGATTCAGCAAAAGCTTTTATACCTGATTTGTTTTTACCTTTGAAAAATTTAGATCCATTTTGTAATAAATAATTATTACATGACATATAAAAAGCACCTGCTCCTGGTATAACTGATTCATCTTTTAAAACATTTGAAACGGATCTTAAACCATCTCTTATAGCATCTTTAGTTTGTTGCAAAATATGATTATTTGATCCTTTAATTAATATACTAGCCGATTTTGGTTGTTTATTTTCAGTAATATAAGTAAATTTATCTTCACCAATACTATTTTCATAAACTAATCCACTATATCCTAAAATTTCTGGAGTTAAATCATCAACTGAATTTTGTGCTTCACCTCCAACAATTAATTGTAATCTTTCCATATTTCTTCTTTTAGCTCTTCTTAAGGCTAAAATATTATTTTTAGCTAAAACATCTAATGACATTGGATCAATTCCCTTTTGATTTATAATAACAAAATTTTTATTTGAATTTAATTCACAAACTTGATTCTTCAATTCGATAATTTTTTTCAATTTTTCATCAACAAATTTTCTTTCACTAGCAACTAATTTTTCTCTTTGTTCTGCTGATGAATAGAAAAATCCAGAATTAACTTCAGTTTTTTCATATTCTAAACTAACATTTAAGATTAATACATAAGCATTTTCTAATCTTCTTGGCATATCTGGATGTCTTGCTCCATGATCTAATACTAATCCTTTAATTAATTCAGTATCTTTAACATTCCCATATTGCATAGTCATTATTTCAATCATATGTAAATCTAATTTTTTCATATCTTCATCAGATTTAACAGTTAATACAGCATCGGTGACAATAGGTGCTAATATATCAGTAACAGTTGAGTCAACTTTAGTCGATAATGATGATCTTGCTACTTGTAATAAAAATTCTCGATCAAATTTTTCCGGTTTTGTTTTAAATTGATTTAAATAATTTAATGCTTCATCTCTGGCAATATCAAATCCATCGACAATAACTCTTGGGTGAACTCCTTCATCGATAAATCTTTCAGCTTGTTTCAATAATTCTCCAACAAGTAAAATTACCGTTGTGGTACCGTCTCCAGTTATTTCATCTTGGGCAGTTGCTGCTCTAGCAATCATTACCGCAGTTGGATGTTGAATTTGCATCTCAGTTAATAACACCTTCCCGTCTTTGGTCAACTTTAATCCTCCAGATCCATCAACTAAAAGCTTCAATGTGCCTTTTGGTCCTAAATTACTAGCTAACACTTGTTGTAATCCTTGAGCAGCGGAGATATTCACTTGTAATGCTTGAGCACGTCTTAACGACTCTGCCTTGGGGTTAAGTAATTGAATCGAAGATGACATCCTTGTGTTTATTCTTCTCTTTCCAGATTCACTTGAAGGATCTCTCTAGTATTGATACAATGATTGATGGGTCTTCGTCACTTCAATGATGAGTAGATCGGTTTGGCCGCTTTTTTTTTCGATTCATTTTTCGTGTTGATTAGTTTTTTTTTTTTTTTTTTTCGCTGTTTTTTTACTGTTAGTGCGCGTCTGCAAAAAATGGTCTCGTTACCCGGATTTTTGGTTGATGCAAAAAGTGAAAACTAAACTTCCTGGTTGCAATTACATTGATGTCAATTGAAGCCAATTACATTGATGGCAATTACATTGATGGCAGTTACATTGATATAGTCACGTTGACATGATTCCAGCTTACTCATTGTAACAAGCCACTAAAAAATCTGAAGAGATTTCACCAGAGAAAAAATTGGCTGTTTGGTCAATTTAGTTAGTAAGATGACTCCAAATTTTGGCTTCTTTTGAGCTGAGTCTGTAAAGCCACCCTGGATGTAATCAGAAGTATGGTGTTTAGAGTATATCTTGTTAAATTTTCAATTTTTTAAAAATTTGCAAAAATTTCATAAAATTTCATAAACTTTGCAATGGTTACAAGTGTGAGTAAATGTATTTATGAGTAAATGATACATTTTCTTTTCATATCGGTTTTATTCTCAAGAATACAAAGAATTGAGCTGAATTTTAAACGTTCAATTTCTAAACTTGCATTTATCGATACTTTGAAACAATTAAGTTTAGCAAATTACTAGAGACTGGCCTTTTGAAATTTCTGTTCGACTGGGTATATGATTTAATGGAGGGGAAAGATAAAGAGGAAGCAAGTATAAATGAAGAGGAAAGGTTACAGAAATAACGGAATGAATAATGAAACCAAATTTAGTATTGCGTACGTCAATGCATTTATCTATGGAGCTCAAGCCTGATGTATCGAGGTGCTTTTTCTCAAAGGTAGGCAAATCTTTGTAAATTACGTCTGGTATTGAGGATTGGGTCTGGTATTGAGGATTGGGTCTGGTATTGAGGATTGGGTCTGGTATTGAGGATTGGGTCTGGTATTGAGNGTCTGGTATTGAGGATTGGGTCTGGTATTGAGGATTGGGTCTGGTATTGAGGATTGGGTCTGGTATTGAGGATTGGGTCTGGTATTGAGTATTGGGTCTGGTATTGAGTATTGGGTCTGGTATTGAGTATTGGGTCTGGTATTGAGTATTGGGTTTGCAGCTGAGTATTGGGTCTGCAACTTCGTCAATAATCTATTTGTTCAAGGGCCACACAAAAACCAATTTGACTTCTCAAGTACTTATAACCACACAATACATGTTAAACAAACACTAGGACCGCTCAAACCAAGCCCGCTGATTGTTTTTGACCTTTTTGATTCACTTACTCCTACAGCGGAGGAAAAACAAGGCATTTTTCAGCAAACAGTTACAGGTCCCTTGGCCCAGTTGGTTAAGGCGTGGTGCTAATAACGCCAAGATCAGCAGTTCGATCCTGCTAGGGACCATTTTTTTGTACGTCTCTAACGTCCACAAATCCACCGGCAGTGGTTGGAATTAGATCATTTGGAGAACTAAGCTTTAAAAAAGAGTTAATCACTTCACTTGAAGTATTAAGTTCATTTTTACTAACTGGGAATGCTTGAGGACCAAATACAAAACTTGGATTTATATTTTTAATCTTAAAGTTAACTTTATTTTCCTTGACATAATCCCAAGCAGCTTTTTCGGCAAATTTTTTCGATCCTCTATAACCAGCAAAAGAATCAACCAAAGCTTCGTCCCAGGTGATTCCGTTCCATGATTCTTCATTATTTGTATGGGCAGGGTTTTTCTCCTTTGTTGAAGTTGAAACTGCTGCATAAGAAGGAGTTATAACCACGTTTTCAATTTGACCACCGTATTTAGTAATGGCTTTCAATGCGTTGGTTGTACCACCAACGGCTGTTTTTAATAATTCTTCTTCAACATCCGTAGCCCTGAAGTGAAAGGGAGAAGCAGTATGTAAAAAACCTTGATTTCCGGATGTTTTTGTAAAGCTTCATCAAAGGCTCCTTCCTTAGCAATATCCGGAACCACTTCGTAAGAAAACTTAGAAGACCCAAGTTGCTTAGCAAGAGCATCCCCTTTCTCAGCAGAACGAACCGATCCAATAACAGTATAGTTTTTGTCAAGTAAAACCTTAACAATATGGATTGCAATGAATCCAGTAGCCCCAGATACGAAAACAGTGGTCATGATTGAGTAATGTCTTAATGATGAAAATCAACAACTTGGTATTTTATTCCATTCTTTCATCTGCCTTATATAGAAATGGCGGCAACCCAATAAGTAATGAGGATCAATCGGTTAACGGTGGCAGTCCATTCCGTCACTAGAGTCCACTATTACCAAACTTCACCTACCTGGTTGGCTGTCCTATCCAAAGAGTTACACAGTTTAACTTGTGTGAGTTTTTGATGCAACAAAACTGAACGATTTTTGGCGAGTCAAAAGTTTTTTTTCCTTCTTTTTTTTTTGCAACTTGCACCAAATGCTAAAATATCTTACAAGTGGACCAACAACTGAATTAACCTTGCAAGACTGTTTGTATTGTAAGTATTAACGGGCCCAAGATCAGTGCTAAATTTTGGTTGTTTTAATTGCTTCTAGGAAGATTGAATTCATGGGATGATCTAGAAAAAACCTATGAGATTTAGAACTCTTTGGCAGATGTAAAGTCTGACCTAAAAAGGGTACTGCCGAAGCCTAACCATCCTCTTTTTCTTCTATAAAGACTGTGTGTTTGCTGAAAGTGCCCAATGTGGAGTACTTATATTCGACGTGGCCATTTACAGTTATACAGGAGTCTAGGGCATAACCGTTTCTGGTGCAGATGTGTCTTGCTGCAAAATAGGAGCATTCTCTATGTACACTCAATATAGTTGACTACTTTATATGCTACACTAAATTATCGGTACAACAATTATCTTTTTAGGTTAATATAGAGTGTATATTTGCTTTTAACTATTGGGAGAAATATGTCATAATGACAACACGCAAACAAATCGGATTTTGGGAAAAGTCAAGAATTAAAGATTTTAGAAAATTGTAAAAGAATCTAAACCTTTCGATGACGGCAAGTTAAGTTTTTTACAGAGCGGTAACTAAGAGACCCAATAGAGAGCAACTGGTTTATATCGATTTTTCAATGAAAAGCATAAGTAGATATTAAGGTAAATTCCTTGGCCAATCCTTTTGGTTAATGATTAAAGTGTAGGCCAATGCCCACAGATAGTTTTCATTTGGCAATATATATTAGACTTCTAATTTTTATAATACTGGTGCTAGTTATAATAAAGTTATTTTCTCTTTAATACTAGCTAAAAGATTAATACATAAATCCACAACTCATAGTTAATCATATGTATCTGACTAATACCTTCCTGCATGTGTTATGGTCTTCGGTACCGGAAATGGTGTAAGCTAGCTAGACATTCGAGGACGATAGAGGTCTGATCTACCCCCATAACCCGGTAGACGAATGGGTCGGCTTGGTGAGTTCCATATGCTTCCACCAATGAGAATATGATGGCCCGGAAGCAGGATATGCAAATATTCACACATAATTAGTAGAAGAATGAGCCAAAAGCTTGGTCCTACTTCAAAGATATCTCTAGAGCCCAGTAAGTCACGGTTACAAAAGAGGCAAACCAGCACGGTAGTAATTCTTCCGAGCTTTAAAACAAAACAAAGAGACTATAATAGGCAAGCATGGATTCCATCAGAAGGTCCATTTACATTCACATATTGTATTGTATTTTGAACAAGATTAAACAATCTGAAAAAGAGCAAAAAGATACTATTTCGTAATTTATGCAAAAAAAAATCCCCAAATAATTAATTCAAAATGCCATATATAATATTGCCTCCATAGAATATGAGAAAACTTATAAAAATCGTAAAAAATGGAAAAAAAAAAAAAATTCTGGAAACTTGAGCTTATAAAAAAACTTAATACTTGCTTATAATGAAAAACCACAAAATTTCACTCAAACAGAAATGGTCCCTTGGCCCAGTTGGTTAAGGCGTGGTGCTAATAACGCCAAGATCAGCAGTTCGATCCTGCTAGGGACCATTCTTTTTTTTTGGAGATTTTTCTAATCTCCTCAATTTTTTTTTTATAAGCGAGAGAGCCTATCGCCGTTATATGTCTAATTTTTTTTGCAGTTTGCTAAGTGCACGCAACCAAGTTCACTACTTACTTAAACTAAACCGATAGATACTTTGAAACGATAATGTCATTAGTCTATTAAAACAGCATTTGCTGATGGATAAAAGAGATATATAAAACAAAAAAATAAATTATTATGAAGAGCGAACTTCGCTAGGAAATATAAATGCAATTAAGGAAAAAAGGTAGGATGTTTTTATGTACTTGGATTTTCGATCAGTCTTTCCTCTCTCCATCTTCCGGATTATACAGAGCAATTTTGAATGAACTATCACCATCAGCATCTTTAGATTCACTTTTGCTCAGTGATTCTTCTTCAATTTGTGTAGGTATAGGTCTCTCGGGAGAGCTTTGTTTGGGGATAGACTTCCTTTTTTGAGTCATTGAAAAAGGTGATATACCAGCAGCTTCATTTGAAGCTTGTGCGGCAACATTATTGATACCGGCTCTATCCATCCTTTCATTCAAATCAGAAAGGTTGTTTTTTGATTTTGTTGAATAGTTGCTAAATGAAAAATTTTTGAAGGGTGCCTGTCTCGAACTCACAGTTCGGGATTTGAAAAGCGAAGGTCTGTTTTCGATAGAAGGGCTACGTTGTTGTTCTAAATCGGTTTTATTAGACGATTGTCGACGACTTAATGCTCTTCTTATTTGAGTTCCTATGTATTCGGCAGACTTAGCTGGCTCAACATCAAACTCTGTTCCGGCGGTGTACACCGATGCATTATCATTTAAGTTTTTACTGGATTTCCCAGAGGCAATCGATCTTTCCCTTTCGGATGGAGGTCCCATACCATAAACAGGGAACACGTTTTGTGGAGATTTGTGTCTTTGGCGAATTGATGCAGCACTTGACCTTGACATCCCGGTAGCTCTTGAGGATAGAGTGGGAACTCTTGATAAATTTTCTTGTAAAGAAGGTTCATAGAGTGCTTGAGGAGGGGGTTCATTCGCCATTTCAGCACTCATTGAACCTCCACTAGAAATCTCTTGAGAATTTTCAGATTTTTCTTTTTCTGGAAGATAATCATCAGGATATTCTTCAACAATGTCATCTTCTTCAGGTACTTTTTGCCTCACGACTCTTGAATCTTGATTCAATTCCGGTTGTTCATCTCTAACATCGTATTTAGGTAAGTTCAAAAGTCTTTGATCTCTTTCAACAACTACAAGATGTAAGTACCAAGGAATGACGATTCCGAAAAAAGAACCACCAATCATGTTACCAATTGCTCCAGGTAAAAAAACTTTCCAAACCACGGTTGCAAAAGGAACAGGGGCTTTGTTTATCAAACCAATGACCAACATGAACATATCAGCAACTGAATGAGTAAAACCCATAGCAACAAAGGTGAATACTGGAAGAAGCATCATAAGAAACTTAACGTGTAAAGGTTTTGCCATCAATTGTAAATATATGGCTAGACAGACGAAAAAATTACCAGCCATTGCTCGAAGTAAAGTTTGAACAAATGAGTGCTCTGCCTTACTCACTAAGATTGCAACTGACCCTTCAATCATCAGCGAAGTTGATGTTACCTCAGAATAATGACAAAAAATATAACAAACAAATATATTACCCGCCAAATTAAACCACCAACTTACAAACCAACTAATGATTAGATCAAGAATTGAGACTGCTCCTCTGCATACACCAACACTGAAAAAAAGAATGTTTGAATTGAATAAATCAACCCCCATTATAACGACATAAAATAAACCAATCGGATAAACCAAACCTTGTATTAACTGAATTATTCCAGGATCGCTCTTATATATCTCTGGACAAAGTGATTGAGCCATTACATGTAACATCCCACCAGAAGTAAAAAATATACCACCCATTATCGAGTTAATAATCAAGGTATCAATTCGAAGACGGGCTTTTTTCATCGAGGTAGCAACCACCGCTAGAGCAGCCTCATATGTGGTCAAATAAAGTGAATCATCGCTTCCCATGCTTCAACACCAGCCTTTAAAAAGCGACTATTTCCAATAATATTTTAAAGTTTCGTTGAGAAAACAAATGTGCTTATTTAATATTGTTTTGAGCTTTAAAAAGATAATATAAGTAAATGTTGAATGATACTTAATTTCTTCGAAAACTTCAGTTTTCAAACATTCAGAAGCTTTGTTTTTCAATTACTATAACAGCGTTTCAAGATTCTGAAGCTATGTCCGCAAGTAAAAGAGGTAAGTTGTATATATATGTGTATTTTGAATAAGATGATGATTCGTGAAGCAAAGTTCAACTGCTTTTTTTTTTTTACGGGATTTTCAGCCGGTCTAAATGTTTTTGACCTAAAAAACGGAACAGTTTTGCGCGGGATTTAATTACTTAAATCAGTGCGGTTTAACCTAGGTTCTAAGAAGATACGCTTCCTACATCAATTAAACAGTATATCATTGGTTACGGATAATTACATTGAGCATAGGATGATGTGGATTATACAATGGTGAAGAAAAAATGCAAAAATTAATAATGGGTCTACTTATCATCAAGGAAAAGTAAACTCCGAGAAAAGTCAAGATTGGCACCGTTGGTCGTTAATTCTTTGTCTTGCGCTGAATCCTCTTGATTGTCAATGTTGGTAGTTTCATGCTCACCGTCGGTAGGCTCGTGAACTTGCGGTTGAGGTTGAGTTTGAGTGATGACTTCACTTTTAGAATCATTTTGTTTGTGCATTGTTTTTTTAGCAGCCGTCACCAAGTCTTTGAATTCGTCTTTGTAGGTGTCTACCCACAACTTTACCAGAAAGTCCTTGTCTGTAATAGATTTATTACTCAAACTATTTCTGGACGAAAACAATGAGGTCGAGGAAGATGCAGAGAAAGCCAGATGGGACAATTCCCACTGATTGAGTTTTTGTTTCAACAATTTTTCCGGTATCGGATGATTACTGTCTAAGTTTGAGTTGAACAATATATAGTACTGATTATAACGAAGTTCTAATTGGTATCGTGTGCCTTGTGTAGGAAGTTTTATTGCTGCTAATTTTTCTTTTAGTTTTGGGGTAGTTAATGAGCTGAAATTCAATTTAGGAAGTCTTCTAATATCCTCACGATTATGGTTCTTAACTTCATTAAAATAAAAATTCTCATGATCGATACGAGGCTTATTGGCAGGTTGACTTGATTTTGGCTTAATGGGTTGGAAAAATGATGAAATTGCGGTTTTGGAATTTGGTCTCTTCTTTTGAGATTGATAATTAGTAGTTATCCCTGGTGACTTGGATTTACGAAAATTCTTCTTTCCAGTTAAACAATCATCTATATGTTCAGATTGTAAAAGTTCGGCAGTCATTTGTTCAGAACATATGGGACATGAAACCATTTCTTGAGGAGACGGTATTGATTCTTTTACTTCCACAGACCTTATTTCACTGTTGCCATTCATTTCATGGGAGATACATTCCGTCTTCATCTTTTTGTTTGCTGGTTCCATTCCAAGCACTGTCGAGCTGTCATTGGCACTGTCACTATCTGAAATCACCTCGATAACTTCAGTATTTGCAACCCCTGGTGATTTTCTTTCCGATTCATTCAGTCCACTGTCTTCTTCTTTCAAATGACTCAATAGTAGAGGACGAAATGAACTATAACATGCAACTATCTCTTCTAATAATATCTGCCTTCTCAAATTACTTTCAAACTGTTCGGTTTGACATAATGGACAATGACTATTGATAACCAAATATTCACGAATACACTGAGAACAAAAAGTATGATTACATGCTGTTGAGACGGGGGCTCTTAAAAATTCTTTACAAATGAAACATCTTTGCAAGGAATCAAACTGGGATAGCTCTGGGATTTTAGTAGATTTCCATTCTGATGGATCAGTCACGTTTTGCAAATTCTTGGAAAACTGATTCATCTTATTCTTCAAAAGGCCCTGCTTTTTTCAAGATGTTTTCTAATCCTGTAGACTTTACGTGGTAGCGAAACGAAACCGATAGTAAAGAGCTTCGAGTTCAGTTCTATATACCGCGTACTATCTTTTGACTAATACAATTTTTTTTTGCTTTTGCTCATTTTTTATATGAAGGCGCGTCAGATAGTGGTAGCAAAATTATGTTGATGTCATTGAACTTAAATTTTTATATAAACGACAGAACAGGCATGATAGAACTATTACAATACAGATAATGTAATTATAAGCAATTAAACTATTTAATTAAATGGCCTGTCAATGCATCCGTGTGCGTCTATAATTACAATTCATCATGATCAGGCTTATTTGTTGCTTTTGATTTGGTTTTAGTTCTGGTTCTGGTAACTGTTCTCACCTTCCTCTTCTTCTTTTTGGAAGGTGTAGCACTAGATGTAGAAACTACTTCGGTATTTGAAGCAGCTGGTTCAGGAATGGAAGTTTTACTGGTTACAGTTTCTCCAGTGTTCGAGGTCGAAACAAAACTTGGTGTGCTATTGACTGATTCTTCTTTTATCGGGGAAGCAGTTTCTTCTGAGTTGAAAATACTAGTTGAGATAAGTTCAGAATCAGTAGCTGAAGATGGCTCCATACTCTCAACTGCTGGGACGGCTGACTCATTGGCACTTTCAGTGGAATCACTTTCAGACGCGGCTTCGGGAGAAGTCAGGTCAACTACAGTGACAGAGCTCGTAGTTGGCTCAGGTTCAACGGTAGATTCAGGTTCAACGGTAGATTCAGGTTCAACGGTAGATTCAGGTTCAACTGTAGATTCAGGTTCAGCTGTAGATTCAGGTTCAACGGTAGATTCAGGTTCTTCGGAAGCAGATACATTTTCCACAGATGCAGTGTCTTCATAATGATCAGTTTCTGAATTCAAAACTTCTTGCAGAGGTGATTCACTTGCAACCTCTTGGGTGGTGCTCTCTATCTGGGGTACTTCCTCTATATATGAACTGCTTTTTTCTTGATTGTCCTGTTCAACTTGAGCCTCTTCTTGATCAGCTACTTTGGCTTCCTCAACAAATTCATGGTTTTCAGCCTTTTGATCCTCCGAAACCAATTCTTCCTCAGATTCTTCAACTTCTTCTACCTCTTCAACTTCGGCCTCCGAATCATTGGCACGATCAGTTTTTGATTCTTCGAAATTTGATTCGGAATGTTCTGTTTCGTCACTAGATTCAGCCGGAGCCCAGGCGGAAGTGTTAGCAACAAGCAGAGAAATACTAGAAGTTATTGGATCACTAGTGAACTCAATTTCAATATCACTAGTAGTTTTATTTGACGCATAGGCAATATCGAGAGGGTCATTAGGATGTTCCAACGAATCACCACCTTCTAATAACGCTGATGAATCAGGAGTGGGCATTGAATTTGGACTTGATTTAATAATAGTCTCCTCATTCACAGCCTTGCTAATTACTGGAGTTGAATCATTAAATTCGATATCACCGGATACACCAGAGGTTTCAGCATCGATATTTTGTGTGATGCTTTCTATTATCACTTCATCTCCAATGGTTGAAGAAGCGTCAATTTCAGAGCTGGTGGCCTCAGAAGCAGATGGGATATCAGTTTCAGAGGCGACATCCGAAAACTCGGATTCAACTTCAGGCTCTTTAACTGGGTCGACTGCATCATCAGGGTCGGGAATCGTTGTTTCAGTGACAGTATCAGAATCAGGAGTAAATGATCCTTGGGATACTTCGGAAGAAGCTGAAGGGTCCCAAGAGTCCATCTTAAAATATTTTTTTGTATCATCATCGCCATCCACATTTTCACCTGATATTTTATCCTTGATGGCACCATAAGCCAACAATGATTGTTGTTTAACAATATCATACCCTATTTCCCCATAGTATTGAGAGATTTCAAGCCATTCATCTAATTGACCACTTTCATGAGACTTTTGAAGGAATATACCTAATAATGCAATGAATATAGTGAGGATTAAATAGTTAAGTATCGTACCTATAGTAGACTTACCTTTAGCAAAATTAGGAGGTAATTTCAATACAAGTAAAGAATTTGATGCACTTCCTGTGGCAAGAGAAAGACCATTAGGAGAGAATGATAAAGTTGTCACTGCAAAATCATGAAGTTTGGTAAAAACTTTTAAATTTTTAAAGTCGGATAATCTAACCAAAATGACTGAAAAATCGTTACCAGCCATAGCAATCAAATCTTTTGGCAAATTAAAGTCTAATGCAACAATACCTCTTACTTTTGAAGAAATCTGTTTTCGTTTCACAATTTTTTTCTCTGCTAAATTAAATTGAAAAATTGAAGCACCTGGTTTACCACCACGATTACCACCGGTGACTATGACATTGGAATTATCAATAAAACGAACTTTAGAGAGGATGAAATTATTTAAAATTTTAGTGATTGCAGGGTCTGAGGAAGTTGAAGAGATGACATTCCCGGTAACAGTGCTAAAAGTTTCGATTGAGTTCGAGGTAATATAGCATAAAGTCTTACCGTCATCATTCGGACTTAAATGGAAATCTTTAATTTCAACTTCTTTTTCAGGAGTGAACTTAAAAGTTATATCTAAAGTATCAGGCTTGAATACGCATATGGATGAAGGTATAGCAGAAGTCATAAAGCAACCCACAGAACTATTAGGAGATAATGCAATGATTTTTGGATATTCTCCAACACTTTCATTAGTTATATTGTCATCGAATTGAGCACCATCAATAAATTGTAAATGTTCATTTTGGGTGAAAACATACTTTCTTATGTTATTGTTTATATTCATCGATTTGATCAATTGACTTGATTGATTACAACCAAAGAAAACATTATAATTATTACTTTTTGAGTTTGAAGTTATACTGATTTCACTATCATCATCAGGAATTTTAGCAACATCCAAACACATTGGACAATCTTCATTAGCAGGTAATTCAATTTCTCTAAATCTCTGTAAACGTCGATTCTTATCTTCAGCCTTGAAGCTACATTTAATTGCTGTTATTTTATTTGGAATCCCATTTTTACCTTCACCACCACCACCAATAGTAACTAAAGTTTTATTATTAATAAATTTCGACCCATAAATGGGGTAACCCACATTTATGACAGCAGAATCTTTGACTGACATGAAGCGAAACGAGGAATTGAATCCTTATATTTATGGGTATTTATATTTCCTCAAAATACGAACAACACAGGAAACTTGTATTTGATCTTTCAGTCTGTATAGGTGTTCAATAACTCGGTTAGTTGTTTTTTTCTTCTTCTTAATCTGGAGCAAAATGATTGTATGCACACCTGGAATGTACGGATGTATCAGCGGGTGATAATCACACGACTCCATTTTTGTCCAAACTGATAACCGGAGAGATTTAAATAACTAATAATGACTATTAAATGATGAATAAGGGATTAACGAGAGAGTAGAATGAGTGTTGAAGTGAAGTCTTTGCTATCCATTCTGTCGCATGTAAGCCATGGCTACGTCGGTAACCGGGCAATGGTATTCCCATTTCAATTTTCTGGTTGGGATGTTGATAGTATAAATACCACCGACTATCTGAATCATCCAGGATATAGGAAATTCAAGGGTAAACCTACTAGTGCGGAATTAATAACCGACTTATTTTTAGGGTTGAAGGATATTGTTGACTTTAATGAAGAGTATGAAATCATATTGACGGGATATTCGCCAAATGATCTTATATTGGAGATAATTTATCAACAGGTGATGTCGATTTACAATAACAGCAATAAGAAGAAGCCGGTGTGGATAGTTGATCCTGTTTTGGGGGATAACGGTAAACTATATGTTCCAGATACTGTTGTACCGATATATGAGAAAATATTGGCTAGTGGAGAAGTTAATCTTATAACCCCTAATCAATTTGAATTTGAAGTATTGAGTGGTGGTAAGAAAATACGGGATTGGGATTCACTTAAGCTTGCAATCGAGGCATTCGAGTCAAAATACAATATACCAAATTTCGTCATATCTTCAATTATTATTGAAGATAAAATGTATAGTCTTGGATATCTGCATCAAAAGTTATTCATTGTACCAATTGAACAGATTGATTGTAATTTCAATGGATGTGGAGATGTCTTTACTTCCTTACTTACAAATGCATACTATAACAATCAATATCAATTAACGCCCCAAGTTTTAACTCTGGTTCTTATTAAATTGAATAAAATTTTACATCATAGTTTAGAACAAGAACATTTAAAGATTGGAGGTGAGATTAAAGATATTAAATTGGTTAAAGATATTAGAATCATTTCCCTGAGACATGTATTGTTGGAAGACGAATCCAACAATCCTTTGTTATCCAAAGTAGTATATATATAGATAAGTTAATTATTAAATAGAATCAATAGATCAATGGTGTTGCACCCTGTTGAGCGCGCTGGGGGTTTCCCCTAATTTTTTTTTTTTTTTACTACAAGTGAGTAAGTAGTGATCGCCACAAACTATTCTTATCTTATCAACTACGTTTTCTTTCTTTACTCCAGGGTTAGACATAAGAGGAAGAACAGTAATCTAGAATGATTCCTTTACTGGAAAAGCCGAGTACAAACCATCAGATACGCAACAATCACCGTGGAAATATAATACGGAGGGCATTGGGATTTATTTTAATTATCGGGATTATAATATGGATAGATGGTAGGAGATGGGATCCACCGAGATATGAAGTAAAGGAAGAAACTCAAAAGAAACCAAAGGGGTTTCAGATCAAGCATATATATCACCATGGAGCAGGAGAGAAGAATTATCGAGTACATCGTCGATTAGATATCACACCGGAGTTTATTTCGAATCAACCAGATGATATTGAGGTAGAGGATATTGAGAGTGAAGACTTACAAGCCATTTATAACGGGATGGACTGGCCCAAGGTACATTGGGGGAAGAATCCATGGACCATTGATCTTAATATCAAACATGCTCCGGGATTAGCTAAAAGATTGAAAGAGCGTCATACCCCCAATTTTATTGAACTGTATTTGGAATATGCAATGAGGATAAGGGGCAATCCGTCGCTACTTAACAAGATTGGATTAGAGTGGGATCCGGAAGAAGAGATCAGAATCCCCGATATGAAAGATCGAGATACAATTGTTAATTTAGCAACCATATCGCTGAATGCATACGTTAGGTTCCCCCAGAATAAAGAAGAAAAGAAAAAACTGGATTGGATAGATGTGGGAGGATGGGAACCGGATGAAAAACACGACGATATTAATTTTGGTTGGGAGGATATTGGATTAAGAGGACACATCTTTGTTAATGAAGAAGACAAAATTGTCGTTATTGGAATTAAAGGAACCCTGGGGGCAGGATTACCGGGAGGAGGAAGTGACGAAACCGGGAATAACGATAAAACCAACGATAATTTATTATTTCTGTGTTGTTGTGCCCGAGTTAGTTATATGTGGACCACTGTATGTGATTGTTATGAGAAAACCTACACCTGTAATCAAGATTGTTTAGAAAAAGAATTAATGAGAAAAGATCGATACTATCAAGCTACAATTGATTTATATAAAAACGTCAGTTCAATCTATTCAACAGAAGAATATGAAATCTGGGTCACAGGACATTCATTAGGAGGAGCATTGGCGTCATTATTAGGTAGAACATTTGGATTACCGGCAGTTGCATTCGAAGCACCAGGAGAAATGCTAGCCATGAAAAGACTTCATTTACCCCAAGCCCCCGGCATCCCCAAACACAAGGAAAATATATGGCATATTGGTAACACGGCTGATCCAATTTATATGGGGGTTTGTAATGGAGCACTGTCAAGTTGCAACGTAGCCGGATACGCAATGGAAACCGCTTGTCATACCGGGAAAGTTTGTGTTTATGATGTTGTTACCGATAAAGGTTGGAGAGTCAATTTACTAAATCATCGAATACATACCGTGATCGATGATATAATATTAACTTATAATGAAACAGCCGCCTGTGTGGAACAACCTCCATGTAGAGACTGTTTCAACTGGAGATACTCCAGTCATGACGATAATGAACCAGACCCTCCCAAACTCCCCAACCCGCTAAAACCAAGACCCCCAAGCACTACTGCTTCTACCACCATCACCTCCTCCACCACTACAAGTGCCACCAGCTCTACAGAACCAACCAAGAAATGCTTGGAGAGAACCTGGTACGGTTGGTGCAAAAAATGGCAGGATGATTAAAACGGGTAAAGTAAACGGTTTTGCATCTTTTTTCGAACAGGGTCATAGAAATTTCATTAACTAGAAATGAATTGTGTGCGCACACGCCCGGTACCCGACTCCAGTCCATACCTTTGAAATTTCTGGCCTGCACAATGGCCGGATTTGTTTTTCTTTTGAGTGGTTTGAGCTGTTGTTGTCTTTACTGAAAAGGGAAAGCTCATTATACCTGAATGACTTTTAGTGTATGACATTTACATGATATTTTTTAATTGTTTACTTAAAAACCTATTTAAATATAACATTAATTATTACCATTTCAGTTTATAAATTGTTTACAGAGTAGGTATTGTTTCCATTTATTTTGTTCTGTTTTCGTTGTCATCATTTCATTTCTTTTTTTCTTTTTTTTTTTTTTTTTGTTTTTTTTAGTTTTGTATCTTCGCTGTTTCCCTAATTTATATAACTCCTTGCTTTTCGTCAGTTTTCTTTATTAGTCCTGGCATTCTTTTTCTTTTTTGTTTGGTTTGGTTTAACCTTCTTCAATTTCAATCACCACAACGCCTTCTACTTTTCTACGCCCCATTGGTGTTCATCCATAATGAGAGTAGTTCAAACCTTTGTTAATTTATTTTTCCTCGCAGGAGCCACCTTACTTTTAATTTTCACTGTTCTTTCAGGATCATCGAAACATTTTCCATTGAACCGTTTCTACTGGATTCGTGCTGATACTAGTAATATCAGAGGAGCTCCAAATGAAGCTACATGGACATTTTGGGGGGTTTGTGAATACCATGATTTTTCCAAATGTACTTTAGGACCAGCCTACCCAGTTTCCCCAGTTGATAATTTCAACACTGAAAGAAATGTTCCTCATGATTTTATTAGTAAAAGAGATACTTTCTATTACTTGACCAGATTCTCCTTTGCTTTCACCATTGTTGCCCTTTGTTTCACTGGGGTGGCATTAATCATTGATATTTTAGGATTATGTTTCACTATTATTGACCGGGTTGTTATTGCATTTGTTTCTTTTGCTTTATTCTTTTTAGCTGGTACTGCTGCTTTACAAACTGCCGGGTTGGTTTTAGCTAAAAACGCCTTCAACGACGATAACTTATCTGCCCATATTGGGGTTAAATTAATGGCCATTGTATGGACTGCAGTGGTTTGTCTTATAATTGTTTGGTTAAATACTTGTTTTGCTAATATTGCCACTAGTTATAGAAAACACATGGCTAGAGTTCAAGCTAGCAAGCAGCAAGAGGCCGGCTATGCTCCTCCTCCTCCAGACGCAACCACCGGTGCTAATGGCCCAGTGGGTGATGAAAGCTCCTTCACTAGATCCGCTCCGGCTGAAAAAGATGTAGATGACGATAATACTGGTAGTGGTGGTATTAGATTTTTCAAAATTAAAAGAAATCACAAAGCTTCTGATGAAGAATCAGTTTAAGCTCATACCCTTTCTTCTATTTCTAAGTCTCTGTATTATATAATTAATATCTTTAATCACTAATGTTCCTAAACCCTTAATAAATTTATTCTTTTGCAACTACAAAGACCTGTACATAAACACAACCTCCGTACATCCCAAAGGGGGGGGGGGGGGGGGGGGTCCGCCAAATGCTTTTTTTTTTACTCCACATGGTTTTTATTAGCTGTTCGGGTTTAATCGGTGCTAATAGCCATTTTGTTTTTAGGGTACCATCTGTCAAGCTAACATTGATTTCAAATTAATCTGGTGATGTCTTTTCCCGGTCATTCTTGCTGCTTTTAAATTAGCTGTTCTTAAACTTTCTGTGCTTAAACTACTTGGTCTTTATTTAACTTATCTAATTGATTATTAAATATCTTTTTTTTCCAACTGTGAGCAAACTAATCTTAATCTCAAATTTTTAAATTAAACAATTGATTGCTTCTTTTCATCTTCGTATCCTATTCCTTTCCCATATATATTGTATTACTGCTTCCCCAAGGCTAGAAAGTATATAAGGTGTCTTTCTTTTTATACTCTGCTAGATTCATAGATTGCATTCCAGAATACTAAAAAGACATTCAGGTATAAGACATCCAGATACACTTAGATTCGTTGAGATACTTTCAGATACTTTCAGATACTTCAGATACTTTCAGATACTTCAGATACTTCAGATACTTTCAGATACTTCCAGATACTTCAGATACTTCAGATACTTCAGATACTGCCAGATTCTTTTAGGTATTTTTCTTTTAGTTACTGGGCATACACTTTTAAGAGCACTTCACTATCTAATCGGAACACTGTCGTGACGTCACAGGAGGTTTGCTTACCAGAAAAAAAAATTCATAATCTTCACCCAACAATCAAGAAAAAAAAGATACTCAGGTTAAACTACAAGCTCAATTCCCAAATCCTTTGTCTAACCCGTCTATTGTAATAGAGATAATATAAAGACAATACTTTTTTTTTTTTCAATTGAAGAGTTTGTCCTGTCGGTTCGCAGAGAAATTTAAGCTCTAACAAAAGGAAAAAAAAAAGGAAAAAAAGAAAAAAAAAAAAACAGAACAAGAAAACCTCTAGAGGAAGAAGACGAAGAGGAAGCACTGAAAAGCTCACCGTTTTGCCTTTTTTCTTCTACTCTTGCATTCAAGAATGCCATTATCCAAAATGAAACCGGTTCAAGAGGGTCTGGTTCCGTCAAATGAACACCAGCATCATCATCATCACCATTTTAGAAAGCTATTCAAAAGAGATTCCTCGGAGAATGAGTCTTCAACCCCAATGTCAAATAATGACTCGAATAATTCAAATAATGATAGCGAAAGTGTATCTTCGATGAAAGTATCCAGAACCCCTTCAATTCTTTCATTACGTCGTCATAATTCCAATATTCTTCCTCAAAAAAATAACGAGGAATCCTCGAATAATCATCATGGTATTCAAAATTTGCTTCACCACCATCATCACCATAAAGACCCTGTTGAAACCTCGGAAAAGAAAAAATTATCTAGAGCTGAAACAATTGCTCATTTACAACATATCAATAATAAAAATGCTCAAGCAAGAGCCAATGCAGGTCCTGGGGGTCAAAGAGGAGCTGCTTCGAATGCATTACATCAAACAAATCATCCTCATAATGAAAAAATCACTTATAATCCTTTTGGTATGAATAAAAATCCGTCTAATGATATACCGAAAAATCCTTCTTTTTATATGAAGGGTGGACCCGAAGGTGCTAGAGTCGTAGCAAACCCGGTGGCTGATCCAAATGATTATTTACCAGATGACTTACAACAAGAACATGTGAATTTATTAGAAGATTTTGAAATTGATATGAGTACTAAAAAACTAGGTGATGGTGGTTCTTCAGATGTTCGTATAATTAATGCAATTAGCCGTAAAAAACAATGTTATGCTTTGAAAAAATTCACTCTATTAGCTAAAGAAACTGATGAAGAATTTTATAAAAGAGCTTCGAAAGAGTTCATCATATCAAAGGTTGGGGGTGTTAGTAGGCACGTTGTTGATACTATTACAATGGTGAGAATTCAATCTCAAGCCAATTTAACAAGAGGGTGGGGGATTGTTTTAGAATTTTGTGAAGGTGGTGATTTATTCAATACCATTATTAAACCGGGTTGGAAAAGATCTTCTTTACTGGAACGTTATTGTATTTTCAAACAAATTGCTTATGGTTTAAAATATTTACATGATCATGATATTGTTCATAAAGATATGAAACCAGAAAATATCTTGATTGATGCTAATGGTGTTGCTAAAATTTGTGATTTTGGTGTAAGTGATTATGGTCATGAAGAATTTGGTAATTTTGATTCTCCTTTAAAATTATCAACTGCTTATGTTGGTTCTCCTCCTTATTCTCCTCCAGAAGTTATGAAATTAAAAGAAGTTAGTTCTTCAGAAGCTAAAAGTTTTGCTTATGATCCTTTTAAAATGGATCATTGGGGATTAGGTATGTTATTATTTTGTATCGCTTATTCAAATATTCCTTTTCAAAATGCTTGTTCAAGTGATCATGGTTATAGAGATTATAAATTCAATCGAGACCGTTTCAAATCAGATCATCCTTCTTTTAAAAATAATGATGATTATTCAAGAGGCCCTGGTTCTGAATTTAAATGGGCTGCTCAATTTCATTCAAATGGTGCTGCAAGAGTCGCTTGGAAACTTTGTGATCCTTCAGTAAATACCAGATATGATTTAGATCTATTGTTTAAAGATCCTTGGTTTGTTGGTTTAGAAATGTGTCTTTATGAACACTCTGATCAAACTGTTAATCCATTTGTTTCAAATATGTCATCATCTTCATCTCATACCAATACTAGACCCCCATCCCGTAAAAATACTTTTAATAGTAGTGATGAAGAAGGTTTACATACTCCGTTCAGAAGTATGTTAGATTTAAATGATGGTGGTGCAAATGCAAAAGATAATGAATCAATAAATTCTAATTCTTCATTAACAACAACTCCTTTAAAATTACGGAAAGATCATACTAATGTTCATACTTCTTCGACTCAAGTTTTAACTCAGGGCCAAATACAAGAAAATGACGAATCATGTAATAATTGTCAAAATATTCACAAGGATAATCTGGAATCAAATATATCTCCTTCGAAAGTGAGATCAATGTTGGATGTTAGTGGTGATAATCGTGATAATGGAACACCTTCATTACCTGCAGTTAAAGAAGATAATGAACATTCTAATAATGATTTGCATCATTCTAATTCAGGATTAGAATTTACTGCTAAAAATCAATTAAAACCTGAAGATACAGAAAAACAAGGCTCTTCTACTAATTCAATCAAATCAAATGGTACTGATAATTCCTCACAAATTACAAAGAAGGTTGAGTGTAATTGCGAATGTCATGAGTCAACTGAAAATGAACCAACTACACCAGATGGAGAGAAGAAGCCAAAGAAACAATTACCTGTATTACATAAACAGTTTCTTCGGTCGAATTCTCAAATTAAACTTGACTCGAATGGTGTTTGTGATTTAGGATATAAAATCAAAAAACATCATCATTGTGAGGTCAGTAGCGTGGCCGTTGCTGGCTCATTATCAAGAAGAGATCGATAAGCTAACATGGACGACTATAAAATTTTGGGAGGGGTTAAGGTTATATTCAATTCTGTTATTTTTTTTTTTTTTTTTTTTTTTTTTTTTTTTTGCAGTCACTTTTACTTTTATTTATTCTTTCTCTGCATTAATATTTTCTCTTAAAAAATACTTTATACATCTATATTTAATTTATACATTCATAGTATTTAATATTGTATTACATTAAAGATTAATGGACGAAGAAATATATTAAATTTATAGAAGTTTTTGATAATTACATATACAAAAAGTTACGTTAAATTTAAGCTTCTAAAGAAACTCTACCTTTTGGATTGGTAACTTTAACACCTAATTTTTTAGCTTTAGCAACAATACCAACTCTGTTTTTAGCGGAAACATTGTGGTTAATTTCAGCAGCGTATTTTTTAGAGTGTAATAATAAAACATCTAAATCTTTTTCGTTGGCAACATTGTAAACGTAGTGACCAGATGGGATTAAGTGTCTAGTTTTTTTGTTAGAACCGTAACCAATGTTTGGTTGTTCAATGGTACCTCTGAATCTTCTTCTGACACAAGAGTCGATACCTTTTTGTTTTCTCCAGTTTTCAGAAACACGCTTATATCTGTCAGAGTGGTGTCTCTTGAATTTTTTGGTAAACTTCTTAACAATTTTTTGAGGTGGAACAGCAGCGGCCACTAAAAGAACTTGTTAGTATCTAGTTAAATAAATAGAATAATATAAGTAAGAATAGAATAAGTAAGAATATCAAGGCTGCTATGGTTCACTTCACTACCCATTATTCATAGTCATCGATATGCTCATCTCGTTTGAAATCTTTTCAAACTTCTTGTAATGAATAGAAGACATGCACAACTTGGCTCTTGTATAGTCTGTGTCTTATACAGTAGATTGCACATATGCTGACTGTTCATATACTGACTGTCATACACTGATTGTTCATATAGACAGACTCCAGTCAGTCTTCTTATTTCAGTACATCCAACATCAGTTCAAACTTGATGACTTTAATCCAACAACAAACTCTTCACCTGCTATTCATTAACTTATTCTCTTCTAACATAATTATCATAAGGTCCGAACATACTTTTGACGTTATTGATTAAAAAGGTATACTGTAATAGTAAGTGTAAGAAAGGAGGTCTTTTTTTTTTTTATTAAAACTTGACTAGTAAAAATTTTCACCAAGTTTTTGGATTTTCTCACACTAAGGAAAATTCACTATTCACTAACAAACTGTTCGCACTAACAAAACAAAAAATAAAATTGATTTAAACAGTGAGCACCGCATACAAAACAAAAAAAAAAAAAGAAAGAAAATTACAATTTTCATTTTTATTCTCAGGGAGTGCACACAAGACAAAGCAATCCGTTTAGGGTACATGCCCTATAAAGACACACGTGACCAATCCAGGAGAATTTTCAAAAATATCAGGACCCGCGATAAATGGACACACCCCTTCTGTGAGGATGTCCCGTTTAGTACAGACTCACGACTTTACATCCGTGCATCTGGATAACTGCAAAAGAAGCAAAAAAAAACCGAAAATAGAAGAATGGCGGAAGATATTAGCTGGGAACAACTACAGCTTTGAAAGCTTCGAGGAAATGTACTCATGCTTTGCGTGCCAGGGTGTAGATTACTTGTGTAGCGATATGATGAAAAGGGGAGTGTCATTAGTGGATAGTTCCCTTGTGTTTACCATTATTCTATTTCAGTTATTTTATTGTGCTATGTTTTTTTCTGTTTCTTTGTTAATGAGCATCAATTACGGTTTGACTTAGCTGGTAGCTGCCAAAGCGATATCAATTTTTTCAATATATTCAATCCATAGGCTTTAGAATCAGTTAATCAACATAAATTAAACAATCCAAGCGATACATAATCCACTCGCTTCTATTTAACGTCTTATCTATTCGCATTTAATTGAAAAACAAGAGGAACATCTAGATAATTTACCCCGGTTGCTATCTAATACTCTAGCATTAATTGCACTATTTACATTAACATTGTGGGCTAGGAACCTAGAGGATAAGAAGATAAAAAAGGCAAGCGACTCATCATGCTAATGAAAATCGTTTATTACGGATTGGGTTTAATTGCATGCTGGTGGTTTTCATGGTACTTTATTGCATTGATTACTGGTTTCCATTTATGCTCAATTTCAATCAATAATGGGGTCCTGTTCAATGGATTATCATTTTGTTCTTCTAAGATTGTCATAAACTTGAAGTCCCTTCGTTTCAGATTATGGGGGAACACTCGAATGATTATCTTGGATGATCTTAATATAACGTTGTTGAATGATGACGATACCATTAATAAAAAACATGGGAAGTCGAAGTTGAAAAATAAGCCAAAAAATAGAAAACCAACTGAGTTATCAGAACTAGAAGATTTAAATTCGACTAAAATTTCAGTCTTACCAGCTAATAGACTTGCCAAAGTTTTACTGAGATTCATTCTTAAACATATTCCTAAAATTGATATTGAAATAAGAAATACTTCAATAACAAGCTCTGCTAAGTTCAAAACTAGAATTGATTATGCTAAATTTACTATCCTGTCAAGGTATAGTAAAAGACATGATGATGTAATTAAATTTTACTCAAACATTGTAACAACAAATGTTCAAATTCGTAATACTGCTACCGTCATGGAGCATTTACCTCCTTCTTCTTTAGGGACTTTTAGATTCCAATTAAATTACTCCATTCATATGTTTCATGGTGATTTACAAAATATCCAATTGAAAATATTCACTAGTGATGTTAAAGTATCAGTTTTCAATACCTTTAAGTATCTAATCAAAAAATTAAGTAAAGAAAATGATGGGTTGGGGTTACAACAAGATCAGGATGCGGCCACAGATGAAGATGAAGATGATATAGATCTTGATAATTTCAACTTTCCAAGAAGTGATAGTTTCCGCTATGATATACCGGCTGAATCGTCAAAAAGTCCACCATCAACATCAGAATCTTTGAAAGAAAATAATGATTCTAAATTTCAAAAACGTCTAAACAGAATTGTTAAACTTCATAATAAAATTTATTCAGCCATAAATGAAATTTCAATTCATGTTGAAAATACTTCATTTTTAGAAATCCCTTTTGCAACGACCGAAGATAATCAAACTTTTACAGAATATTTTAAACAATCACATCCTAGAACTTCAGTCTCCTTAAACATAAAATCAATGTCTGTAAATTTACAAAAATTATATGAGGGTTCGGCTGGGTTTGAAGTCTTATTTGATCCAAAAGTTGATAAACCTTTCCATGCTACAACTTCATTTCAATTATTGAAACTTGATTATTCAAAATTAGTCTACGATGAGATCAAAAAAACACACTTTGCCGAATCTGATGAAGTTCTCAATATCCCTAACTACAGTTTCACTTTCAAAAGTAATATCATGGATAACTTGGCAAATGGTTACGGTTTTAAAAACTGTATGGTTGAATTTTTCTCATCCGCAAGTAGTCCAATTTTAGATGTTGACACTGCTCAATTATCTTCTCTTCTTTATAATCTTATTTTACTTAAAAAGTTTTTGAAACTAAATGACTTGAAAAGGGAAAATAGAAAATTAGCTAGAAGATTGGAAAAAATCGATCTCAATGATAACGATGAAAGCTACCTTGCTTATTCTCATACTGGAGCAGATAGCCACAACCAATCTGTTTTTAACAATCAACAAAAGGAAATCAAACAAGAGCAACGCAATTTATTACTGAATAACTATAATGAATCAGATACTAGTTATAGCTCTCAAGATGCTGACGACATGGACGAAACGAAAATTGAGTTGGACTACGAGAACAGTTCTCCGAATAAGAAAAACTATGAAGCCGGTAGCTCTGTCAATGGCTCGTCTGCCAAAAGCTCTCCCCTTAAAAACAAATTCTTCAAGCTTCTTAATGATTACTACCCACGTCTAGATGTTAAGCTAATTATTGAACAACCAAGACTTATCATTAGAAATAATGATAAGCTACATGAACGTATTCAAATATTGAATTTTTCTTATTCCTTACTTAATGTTCACGTTATGACCACTGCTGCCAGAGATTATGATGCTAAATGCCATATATTGCATCCATGTACAACTTATCATGAAAAAAGTGATATAGAGTCAGCTAATTATACAAATGAGATCATCAAAAAGGAAATCCTAAGCCTTAGATCTGCCCATTTTCAATTTGATATTTTAAAAAATTTAAGAGTTAAATCCTTAATTGACATCGATGAACTTATGGTGGATTTGGGTGAGCTAGATGTTCTTGTCGGAATAAACAGACTCTTTATGGATGTTACTACAATGACCGACCGTGATATGAATACTGGTCTTATAAATTTGTTCTTGAATTCAGAAATAATCAAACAAAGAAGTGTGTATCCTTTGTTCCATCCTATGTTGGCCTCGCCTGGTCTATTGTCTTCGCCAGCATCGGAAGCCGATCTTAAAGGTGCATCATTGGAATCAAAATTATTCAAGGTTTTACCTCATTGGTTGGTAGAAGCTGAACTCAGGGTCTCTCATTCGCATGTTCATATAGGTTCGAGGTCCGTTCTTATCGGCAAAGACTATATATCACAAGTTTTTGGAAATGGATTTGATAAGGATTTCGGCTCTTCAAATCATAACCTTAGGGCAGTCAAATTCACCTTTGATGATTTCAAAGCAAAAATAAAAAACGACACTAGAAAACTGTCTTTGGATATCCCTTCGTCCACTGCCCATTCCTCAACTGACAGCCTAATACCACCTTCAATGGCTACTTCGCAGGATACTCTTACGTCTAATTTATTATCAGAAAATAATTCTGATATACTATTCTGGGCATTCAATATTGAAGTTAATAAAATCAATAGTTCAGTACGAAATGATTTAGTCACTGAAAAATTTGAGAATTTCCTTAGCGTTCCAAATTTCAACATAGAAGTTGGGGCGGTGATTCAGAACTCCCAAAAGAAACTAAGGATAGATGGTAATGTCGGTGAATTAAGAGGGTCCTACGATCGCTATAAACTTATGACGATAATTGGTTCTATATACCTCATCAAAGAAATCTTTATCAATCCATTTAAGTCAATCACAAGGAAGTTCAAGAATGATATGAAACGGTTTTCGAGTCAAAGGACTATCTCTAATCGCCATTTACAACCTAAAAAGTTGAAAGACTTTCTACATGGGGAAGTAAAAGTAGTTAAATCGGATTTAATACTCCACTTGAGTGATGATTTCAAAATCAAGTTACAATTATTCAACCTCATCAACATCTTTTCTCATGGTGTTCTCAGGGTAGATAATAGTTTTGCAAGGATTCTTGCTGATTCGCCCACCATTGAAGGATATTGGAGTCGTTTGGCTTGTATTGATGGCTTAAAAATTGATGTTAATGACCCTGATTTGAGTCACAAGATAGCCGTTGATTCAGAATCAATAAGATTGATACAGCCTCATTCCTTCGTTGTTCATCAATTGTTTGATAACTTGTCCATTTCCATTAAGACCATGAAACATTTAGTGCATGCTATGAAGGGCAATAATGAACTGAAAGTGAACGTCGTCAAGCCTAAGGAATCGAAAACTGTCAAAGTACCTAAAATGAAAATCACATCTAATAGGCTTTCCTTTTGCATGGAAGATGATCCATTTGAATCTGAATTAAGTGTGATTTACCAATTGGGTATCGTTGAACAGCGTAAACGTTTAGAACAAATTTCTCTCTTCGAAGAAAGAGCAGCTAATGAATTGAATGAGCATAATGAAGTAGATCTTGAAGATAAGTATGAAACATTGCTTAAAACCTTTTCTACTCAGTGGGTCAGAAAAATAAGACTGTACAAGGATAGGCTCAATGATGAAATTGTTTCTAATAGAAAGTTTTTATTTGGAAATGAAGCCAGTTTAGCAAGAAACGAAAATACCAAGATAGTCGCTTACATGAGCCAAGCTCCTTTGCTATCAGTAATAATGGATGGCTTTGACCTTGATTTACAAACAACCAAGTTTGACCTTCGCGATCTACCCCAATTTATCCATGATATGGGTCAAGGTGTTCCAAAGAGTACCAAATACTCTTTGATGTTTCCTTCATATATCCAACTCACCTTGACAGAACTAAGAATGCATCTTCGAGATTACCCGTTACCCTTACTCCATCTACCTCCTGATTCTCACGAAAAAGCACTCAATTTAGAAGGTCATCTTGTTATTTCTGAAGCCTTAATCAAAAAGGCTGAACACTTAAGAAAGCTTTATATCCCGTTAACAAAACACATGAAAAACATCGAAAAGGATAAGCATTATTCTTTGACCATTGAGAAGTCCTTATCTACAGTGAAGTTGTATACTGATATTCAAGTAAAATTTGGTTCAAAGCTACCCTCCCGGTTTGTGTGGGGCCAATCTTATCAGTTTGGAATACAGCAGGTCATGCTAAATTTCGATCAGTTTTCCAAACCTCCAGTTGACCCCTCGATGAAATTGGGATTCTGGGATAAATTGAGACTTATCATGCATGGTAAATTCAAGATAATCACCGGTCCTTCTAATGGCCTTGAGGTTGCGTTTAAGGGCTCTCGTGATCCTTATGACTTGTTTGATTCTTCGTCTGGTTTTGTATTGGCTTTCAGTGATAATGTGGAATGGAAGGTGAATGAAAACGATGACTCTCGCCTGTTTTTCGATATTAAATCAGACAAAATCTCATGGTACATTCCAAATTACCTCATCTCTCCTCTTCTTTCTTGGACCCGTGAGAGCTCGAAATTTGTCTATTTGCCTAATACTAAGAGGTTCATTTCTTCTTGTTTCGCATACTACTTGGACGATACGTCTAGTGACTCCATAGATCCCTTCGAGGTGCAGTCAGACTTGGTTGAAAAACAAGTTCTTAATTTACACGGAGGTGTTAACTTCAAGGTTGGTTTTATTTTGCAGAGGTCAGTATCACCAGACTCAGACGAAGTAACTGACGAATGCAAACCTCATTATGAGATCAACTTATACAATCCTGATTTTACAGGAAAAGATCATGATTCTTATGCTGGGTTCCGAAGTGATAAGCTTCATATGGCCATTTCCCTTTCTGCTAATACAGAAAGTAGTTATAATGCTATCCATTTAAGTCCTGGTGTTTTTAAACAGTTCTTTTCTTGGTGGAAATTATTCTCTGGTAACATGATGTTGCCAATAAGAAGGGGCGTGATGTTTGGTGAATTGAAAAAATCCATGAAGTTTTCCCAACATTTATTCACAAATAAGTTCCAATTTCGATTCAAGTCATTATTCATTTCTCATCTTTATCGAGATGAAACTATAGATTCCGAACAGGACAGTATAGAATGTGTTGGTGTAAGAGCTAAAATGGATGACTTCATTGTTGATCTTCACCAAAGAAAGGAACCAAGGATTGAAGTCCATGAAGGGTTATCTAGAAATAAGAAAATTATGAAGATGAACTTTAATATTGGTGAAGTACACCTATCTGGAATTGATTTGAGATTGATGCATGCTGTTTTCGACCAGGATATTTATTCTGTGAAGAAAGCTAAAAATGAAAGCAATTCCCACTACAATAATTTCGACAATGATGATCAATGGTTTGACATACTTGACTATGAAGAAGCATATCTTCCATCCTTAAACTCAAACCCAAGAAAGGTAGATATTTATCCTTTAATGTATTCAAAGAGATTTTCTTACTTGAGAGATACTGAAACGAATAAGTCCGAACAGACGAACACTCAATTGGGATCTGAGTCCACCCATGATTGTCTTTTAAAATCAACAGATGTTTATACCCCTCAGATTGAGTTGTTCAATGATCGAATTGAACAGTTGAGGGAGCAGATCAAGGAGAACAGGACCAAGAATTACTCCAACAAGAATTTAAACAACCGAATAGCTTCTTTAAAAGGAGATATTGACGAATGCAGACATCAAAAAAGAAGATTTATCAATAGGTCTGACGCTCACACTGACACTTCAAACGCCGAGAGCAAAGAAAATTTCCACAATAAGTTTGTATTGATTAGTATGTTCCTCAAATGGAATGTCAATAATAGAAACTTTCTATTGAAATATATTCACTTTGTTCAGTTGAAAAGTTCTTTCAAAAAGTATCTATCTTATGAATCAATAAGTACCTTAGAAGAACTCATTCATAGAAATGAAAACAGATTTACTAGTGACGAACTCAGTGCAATAACTAGTGGCTTTAATAAGATTAAACTGAATTCTTCAACTAAGGAATCCACTAAAACAAAGGAAACATCGAAAGATAGATTCAATGGTTTTGATGAAATAATCAGAAGAGTCAAGGATAACGAAAAAATTAATGAAGATTTTATGATAGAAATAATTTCTCCCCAAATTCAACTTCAAAGTGAAGATGCACCTGATTCTGTTGTATTGATCGCAGCACCTGGAATTGATGCTAAAATTATATCAGTTGTTGATAAAAAAACGAATTCATTGGTTATTAATGGTCAAGAACTAGAAAAGAGGTATGGTTTTATGTTGAAAGATGCAAATATATTTGTTATCGAGAAAAATGATACCAAGCATTCCAATAATTTGATTTTGAATAAATCTTCTTATGGTACAAAGACTAATTGGCCACCGTGGTTAGGTATTGAAATTTGTAAGAATGGTGTTTTAGCTGGTAAAGACAAACTTTTGGTTGAGAAATCCTCCTTGATGGTAACTTACGATCAGATCAAGCCAATGGCAAGTAAATTGTCTCAAATAGAGGAAGGGGGTTCCAATGATCAAGACTCAGAAGAAAAACAAGAGCCAGAACCTCCTCAGTCTGAAGGCATCTCCAATAGGCTTCGGGTGGATATGCCAAATTTTATCATTTCATCTACATCAAAACAATACTTTACTTTGTACATCATTGTGACTAGCTTACTTTTTTATTCTGAACCTATGAGTAAATCTTTAAGTGAAAAATTAGAAAAATTGAAATTTTCGATTGATTTTCAAGACTTAAGGGCTTTACATGCAAATTTGAGCTCGTCTCACAAATACTATCAATTGATGAATATTTTGTCAAATAACTATAACTTTAGACAAAGCATGCTCGATAACGAAAGTCTAAATGACTACTTGATGTTGAACATCGAAAGGGGAAATGTTGTCACTGATATCTATTTAATGATGCAATCTATTTTGAATGGTGATATCTATCAGGCGGGTAATGGTGCTCAACCGAAGGCAGAATGGATTTTGAAAGCTGATCAAATCATCTTGCACATGCTTGAAGATGACAGGACTCCTATTTTAGATATAGCAATTGCTCACGGTCGTTACACAAGAACAATAAAGGAAGACAATTCCAACGACAATAAATTACAAATTGAGATGATGCAAGGATTCAATTTATTACCTAATGCACATTATCAAGGATTTTTGGAACCTTTAGAAGCACCCAAATTCGAAAGCAATGAGCAAAACCTAATCAATGTTGATTGGAGTATGAAGAGATCCATCGGTGGAATCAAAATAATGGAAAATTTTCAAGTTAATTCGCAGCCGTTAAATATCAAGATTGATGAAATAACTGGTGAAAAATTAATGAACTTTATATTTAGAACTGAATTGGAATCAATCAATGAAAGTCCATTATTGAATAAACTGAAAGACATTGAGACTCAATCCGATGATTCAGTTGGTGAATCTGATTACGATGATTCATCTGCCGGTGATACTCAATCCCAAGGATTCGTTGAACAACTTGATGGAACCAATAAAAATGTCAAATTTGACGAAAACGCTTCTCATACCAACCCTCGGAAAAAATCCAATAGGGACGTTAGCAAAATGTCGAATCATGCATTGTCCATTTCTGGCAGTAGTGATTCTCAAGGAGTGATTGATAATGATATTGAGGAAATGATTCATAGATCGAAGAGCTATTTGAGTATAGTTTCGCTCAAGGCCAATCCGTTTTTGCTTCTGCTTTCTATTAAATGTAATAAGGGTTATCGTCGTGCATTAAATGTTGAAAATTTAAAGATCAAACTACCTGAATTATCAATTGAAAACGAAATTTTATCAGTTTTGGAAGTGACAATGATGATGAAAAAATTAATCATCAAAACTTTATTAAGTCACACTGGTAGATTATTAAGGAACAAGATGAGTGTTAAAAGAAGACTGGGTAAGAATTTTATAAACAAGCCCTTAAAACCAGTTAAGAAATACGTTAAGTTTACCCAAGTATCTGAACTTGCCGAAGAAGGGCTGACAGTTATGTCCGAGCCTTAGCAAATGCCATTGTAAATTACTTTAATTATAATTTCAATTCTCGTTTATGTATTACTACACTAGTTTAGAATTAATATATTAATTTATTAAATAATTTTTTTATTTTTAAGTTTGTAATTAAGATAATAATAACAAGAATGGAAAGTTGAAATAAGATACAAGAGTTGAAAGCCTATAATTCTTGGTGAATTAGAAGATGTCATGAGGTCATTAGGATAAAAACATTGTTTCGTACATGTTTGCAAACGGTATGCTATATATGCTGTCTTTTAACGTCACCACCGTTGGCTTGAACCTTCTTTTTACGTTTCGACTTCTTACCACCATATTCGTCATTTTCACTCATATCATCAGTTCTCATCAATGTTTGCTGGTCATTAATTGCCAAATCTGCAGTATTAAAACCAGGTATACCCTTAATTGGCGTTTTATCAAACTTCAACGCCTGCGCCAACAACTGAGGGTCAATTTCTTTAATCATATCAGGGGCTTGAGCTACCATTGGGTCTAGAAGAGAAGCTGGGAGCTCTTTTGTTGGTGGAATTTGGTGCTTCCCGGGTAAATCTTGAATATGATTTTTATATGATTTTCTTAGTTTGACACCTTTAGAACCATCTGGATTGGTTCTTGCTAAAGAGCGTGTAATTGATTCAAGACCGTACAATGCCATTAGGTTATCTAGTGGTGAAGGGACCGATATTTCATATTTATCTAGAATGATTGGTTAGTATAAAGCTTGACCTGGTTTCAAAGTTTTGCGATTCTCAACGTACTTTTTTCCTCTATAAGATAGAAATTAACTGCCTTTTGACCATCACTGACGTCTCCCTGGCCAGTCGCCCCATGATCTTGCATCTCCTCAGTCATTGTGAAAAGGAGCCTTTCGAGTTAACGAATAAATCGATTAGTATAGAATTAGAACTTTTATAGTTCAGTTTACTTTTTTCTTTAGTTATTTCTCAGTTTTTCTAATCCTTCTGTCGTTTTTTTTTCCCTCCCGATTAAACGTTAAGCTGTTTGTCAGTTTTCGCAATCTTTCTATTCTACAACTTATCCTATTACAACCATTAATAAAATACATATTTATTGCTATCTTTTTTTTTTCTTTTCTACCTTTTTGTTAAGAGTACATGCAGTTTGTCATAGTGCTTAAGAATACACATTAAGAGAAGAGAAAAAATTATAGGAAAAACAAGTAAAACGAAACGAAAAATTGGTGCAAAAATAGGGAATGTCTAGGATCTATATAAACATCAAGGGAGGTCGTTGGTTGTTGTGGATGAAATAATGCGGTAATGGCAAGAAGACGGTGAATGAAGATGAGGTAAGTCAGCGAGATTATTTACCAACAACTTCCCAACCGTCATCAGTCTTGGATTCTTCTTGAACAGACAATTTAGAGGTAGCTTCTTCTAAACCAGTTTCTTGTTTTGGAGCTTCTGGTTTGGTTACTTCTGGTTTTGATTCTTCTTCGTCAGAGTCACCTTCAACAGCTAAGACATCATATAAAGATTTTTGAGGGCCCTGAGGTTTTTCAGCTTCTTTATCTTGTTTACCCTTTTTATTGTTGGCAGTTCTATTTGATTTTTGACGTGGTTCCAAAGCTTGACCCCTTGTCCAGTCAATATCATCTTTCTTTTCGGTTCTGTTACTTCTTTCTCTTGGAGGTAATTTTGTAGTTGTTGATCTAGCTGAACCCCAATCGAATTCAGGTTCTTCTTTTCTTGGTCTTCTTTCTGGTCTATCACCACCTCTATTACTTCTTTCTCTTGGTGGTAAGTTTGTGGTTGTTGATCTAGCTGAACCCCAATCAAATTCAGGTTCTTCTTTTCTTGGAGGTCTGTCTGAGTTTTCTCGTCTATTACTTCTTTCTCTTGGAGGTAAGGTTGAAGCAGTATTTCTAGCTGAACCCCAATCTAAGTCTGGTTCTTCTCTTCTGGGTCTACCTTCACCTCTATTACTTCTTTGTCTTGGTGCAATACCAGAACCTCTTGCTGAACCCCAATCTAATTCAGCTTCTTCTCTTTGAGATCTTTCACCACGGGCTGGAATACCAGAACCTCTAACTGAGGTCCAATCCATATCGAAAACATCTTGTTTTTGAGGAGCAGCAACATTAACAAAAATTTTTCTACCATTAAATTCAGATAAAGTTAATTTTAAAGCATCTTCTAAAAGTTCTCTTTCTTGGAATGTGATGAAAGCAAAACCTTTGGCTCTACCGGTAGACATATCAGTAGGAACTTTAGCATCGGTAACAGTACCTGGAGCAACTAACTTATCTTCAAAATATCTAATTAAAGAACCTTCAGAGATATCATATGGTAAATTATTAACTCTAGCTCTGTATGGAGGAGCATCAGGAATTGGATATTCTTCTCTTCTACGTTCAAATCCAGAATCTTCGTTTCTTTCTCTTGAAGCAAAAGAACCAGCAGCAGATGGAACACCAACAGAGGAGTTGACTTGGACACCAATAGAAGACATATCAACATCTTCATCGGCCCAAGAACCACCACCACCGAATTGTTCATCAGCTAAGAATGAACCTAAATCCATTTTAACACTTTTCTTTGGAGGAGCTATATCAACGTTAGTAAAAATGATCTAATACATAAGGTATGGATCTTTCTCCTAGACTATCTCTTTCCATTTCTGTGGGGTCTTTACACAAAATATTACACGTTCTGGCATCGATTTGCACCTCTTTCAATTGGCACACCCAGTAATGGATAGTCTTTTTCCAACGAGTTCTTCAAAACTTTGCAGTTATGTAATTCAGGAAAAATTTTCACTTTTAAACTAATGATCCGATCCTTATACCATGACCCACCTTCAAATAGCTGGTAGCTCTGACAAAAAAACATACCCATATTGTATAATGTTTCGTCTTCTAGTTAGGGAGCAGGAGTAGATGTAAAATCTATTAAGACGACTTCAAATATAGAGTTTATATTCAATTATTGATAGACTTCTCTTTTTTTTTTTTCCTTTCAAATTTTTTCACTTTTTTTTTCCTTCTCGTTTTTTGATTTTTGGGTTTTTTTTTGTCTTTGTTTTCGGTCCTTTTTTTTTTCGGTTTTGGTTAGTGGAGGTACGGGTGTTTTAGCCGTTCAGTATGACAGTTGCAAAACTACAACTACAAAAAAGGATAGAATACACAGGGAATAGGTATTAGCTATATACGGGCTGTGGCCGATCAAGAATTAAAGAGGATATAGAAAGAAAGAAGAAAGAAAAAAAGAAGAAAGAAATACAAGAATTGAAGGAATCAAAAGTTCATAGAATGCATATGATCATACTCGTTGTTCAACCACATTCCTTGTCTCGCCGAGATCCTGGGATTGTCTTGCGGTTGTGGTATGGTCATTTGAATTGTCTGTGTTTGGGGGTTCTGGGGTGTTCCCGTTGGCGTGTTGACTAGCATTTTCATTGGCATGTTGACTAGCATTTTCATTGGCATTTTCATTGGCATTTTCGTTAGTATTTTCATTAGTATTTTCATTAGTATTTTCATTAGTATTTTCATTAGTATTTTCATTAGTATTTTCACTTTCGGGATTCAGATCGGTATTCTCTTGGTGGTATAAAAAGAGAACGGCCCAATTGAATAGATCGAGTTTTTTAATACCCATTAATCTCCACCAAAATCTTTTGAGAAGCGAACCATATTTTTTATTGGCCACTTCGTTTGCTCTATTTTCTAAATTGAGGTGATTCAAGCTTGAATCATTAAGAATAAACCGAACTCTTTCAGAAGTTGGAATGAGCTCCTGTAGCATTGCTCTTAAAGTAGGATCATTTCTGAAAGCGTCATAATCCAAACTGAATTCATCATCAGAATCTAACTCATCGTCATTGTTTTCATTACTTGGTTGGTCGTTTGATTCATTATTTTGCTGATTATTTGGTTCATTATTTTGTTGATTTGTTTGATTATTTTCACTTTTATAGAAATAATCACGTTTACACATAGGACAACAAGCTCTTCTTTTAATTAACCAAGGATCTAAACAATCAGCATGGAAAACGTGACCACAAAGTAAACCACGTACTGTATCTTCATTTTCTAAAGTTTCAAGGCAAATTGCACAAGTACCAGAAGTGAAATGTAATTCATCATCTTCATCTTCATCTTCATCTTCAACTTTAGTCGTACATCCCTTGGATAAATTCACCATTTTGATCGGTAAATTATTAGAAGCATCAGCGTATAAGCTTGTATTATCATCTTCATCATCACGTAAAGCATTATCCTGAGAAGAATTAACATGATAAGTATCATCATGATTACTAGTAGAATCATTGATAGTCTTATATAATAAATTTTCTTCTTGTAAAACCCCATCACGAACGTCTTGATCTCGTTCTTTACCGCCATTTAACCAATCAAAATAACTTTTCCTGGGGAACAAGATTTCAACCTCTTGTTCTGACAATTTTTTCATTCTAGCATAGCATCCGCCTCTTCTTCTTCTTCTTCTTCTTCTGCGTCTTCTACGTCTTGCAGCAGCTGCTGCAATGGCAGCATCGGTGGTTGAAGTAGAAGTATTTGTTGTTAATTGACTAACTTGATTGAAATATAAATTATTATTAATTCTTCTCTCTAAAATTTCACCTCTTATAAAATGATGCGCTCGAATATATTCAATTTGTTCATGTAATTCATAATTTGTTGTGGAATTATTTGTTTGATTATTTGAATGATTATTCAAGTCACCATCACTTAAAAAATTAAATGGAATACTTCGATGGGTAATTGGGTAAACATGTAAGCCGTATTTAGAACGAATAAAATATCGAATAGTGAAAAAAATGAATAATAAAGCAATGAAAACCCCAACAGCTAATGCTAAAAAGAATAATACTGTTGATGGAGTATTACCAACAAATGAAGTATTGGAATAGCTTGCGTCACTAGCGTCATCATTCGATGCTCTTACGCTAAGATAAACTTGACGGTCCATCTTAAAACGTATATACCAGATACCCAGGGTCAGACTTGTTGAAATGAACTAGCTATCTATTAAGGAGTAAATTCTGCTTCAGGGGCCTATATTTTGGTCCATTTTTTTTTTTTTTTGTTAGCGATTTTGCCTTTTTTTTATTTTATTTTAGTTTTCGGTTCATTTTTTTTTATATAATTTTTTTTTTTTTTTTGTTTTTTTCATCCGAAATCTACCTATTGAAGTAACTTTACGATAGTTAACAAAACTTATTGTTTAGATATTCTATTAGATATTCTTCTAGATAAAGCTATGAATTATTTTATGGTATTAGGTAAGAGATAGCTTGCTCTTGGGAATATTTTATGTCTCCAACAATAAAAGGCCTGCAGGGAAAAAGCACTACAATATAATGAACAGTAAAAGCAGAATCTTGATAAATCAAAAATATTTATATAATAGAAACAAAAGTAATAATAAAAAAACAGCTATTTAACTACTTTTTAATCAACTTAAGATTGAGGAGCTGGTTTACAAGAAATGGCAGCTTCTTCACCCATAGCAGAGATAATGGTGACTAATAAATCTTTACCATCATCAAAACCAGATTGAATATCTTCACCCAAATCACCATCTGGAATTTTGACATCATCTTTGGTGTCACCATCAGCGGTCATTAAAGATAAAAATCCATCATCGATATCAATTAATTGATATTCTTGTCTGGAAACATTTGGAACTTCCATATTGTGGGTAGATGGGGATAAATCTTCTAATTTTTTACCAGTGAAGATATCAATGGCGACTAAATGGACTTTAGCGTGACCGTGCTTACCAGTTTTAGAGGTAGACATTTCGACAATTTTACATGGTCTGTTCTTGATAACAACGTGACCGTTCTTTCTCAAAGCAGAACATTGCATTGGGTAAGTTAAAGCGGCACCAGCATCAGCGGTTTCGAAAGTGTGCTAGAATAAGTTAGTATCAGTTCGTAAATAACAAAAAGTGTATATATATATACACTTTTTATGTGGAGATGGCAATCGAAAAAAATTTTGTTGTCGTTCGTCGATGAAAAATTCGATCCCATCAACGTACAACAAAATCTTTTCCAATCCCTGGTCCTAAAAATCAATCGATCCAAGTATACTGAGTTGGTATACACAATCTACCAGGATCACTCATGAATTCACATACATCTTCTTCAGCCATTTTAGAATATATTAATGATTAATGGAGTATTAAAAGAAAGAAAAGACTAGAAGGGAAAGAAGAGTTTTTAAGTAATTTTTTTTTTTCGCTCTTTCGCTTTTCTCAGTCTCTTCTCATGTTTTTTTTTTTTTTTTTTTTGCATTTTTTTTTGTTTTTTTGGCTCTTCGTTGACTTTTTTCATTGCACAAAGAACAAACATCCAATCATTCCCTTTGCCTCTGGTACTTACTCCCTGCGCTTCTCATTGGCGGGTTCAATTGCATCCGTTGGTGTCGTTGTTCTCTTGTTCGCTCACTGGTGAGGACGTCCTACTCAGCAGCGGTGGTCTACGACTGGCGGTCCTGCGAAGGGCAAAGGGTAATTAACAGCATGCTTTTGCGGTGGTGTGTAGGGTAAATATGAGCACGCAGAGGGGGTGTGTTTTCGTACCCGCACAATTCGGTTTGGCACACGACGACTCGCTCCCAGCGACATTCGGTGGGCGCACGCCGTTCTCTGGCTTGCCTCCCCGGTAAGGTTACCCGGCGCCCCATCTGGACTACATGTGAACGGCTACTAGTTTTTGCAACTATAAATAAACTATTTGATTAATTTAGAGGTAGAATTAAAACACTTTATACATAGCTATTAACCTGTGGAGTGAATAACAAGATTCACGGTGATACCTTTTTTGTTTTTTTTTTCTTTTTTGCTTGGTTAGAAAGTACCCTTTATGTAGTTGCACTGCAACTTTTGATTAGCCTTCAACTGATGCAGCTACTGGAACATCATTTGTATTCAGTATAGGACTTTGTTCGATTAGATTACCGTTATCTATTCTTTTTTTAGGAGTACCGTTTGTTTCAACTGCTGATATTTCCAGTTCATCAGGAGGTTGACTACTTAATCTTGAATTATTATTTTTTTGTAAATCAATATCATTTTTGGTATCCAAGGAAGAGTTATTTGATTTAACCATTTTTTCTAATTTCAAAGCATCGATTAAAGAATTCCATTTATTTAATAATTCTTCACATTTTTCATGTAATTTAAAACTATCGGGATATTCTAATTCTTCATCTTTCAAAATACATTTTAATACTTTATGAATCTTGGTTTGTTTTAATAATTCAATGTTTACTGGGAATTCAACAAGCCGATGTAGTATTAATCTAGCCACTGATAATTCGTCAATACTTGGAGGTGGGAATTGTTTTAAATTAGTTGGGGTAACCGGTTGGTTTCTTTGAATCAATGATCTTTGTAATTTGATTCGACAGAGCCATAATTGATGCTGTTTTTCTTCTTCGGTCAACAGTTTTGCACTTGATCCGGTGATGGTTTTTGATTTATTAGAAGAGGAGGAGGAGGAGGAGGATGTGGATGGCGTGGAAACACTTCTTCGGTGTCCGTTAGTACGTTTGGTCGGGGGTTCTTCTTCATGTTCACTTTTTATTCTTTTCCCGTTGGAATTGCCATTAGATGGTCTGCTAGTGATTTTTTGATTTGATTCATCTTCGTCATCGGCTTCCGATACTTTTTCCTCTCTTTTTATATTTTTCCGCTTGGGCCTTATTTTATTGACATCGGTTTCCTCCTTTACTTCTTCTGCTTCATCCTCTTCGTCTTCTTCATCTCCATCTTCGTTTTTCACTTCCTCGTCTTCTTCTTCTTCGTCTTCGTCGTCTTCGTCCTTGACTATTTCATCACCGTTATTTCTTTTATCGAGTTGATCCATGAAATCATCAAATTCCAATCCTTTGGTGGCTAATAGAGCATCGGTGACATGATTGGTACGGCCGCTTTTTGATTTTTGTTTTGATTTTTTCATATCGGGGACTTTTTCTAATTTTTTATCCAATTTTTCAATGGTTAAAGCTTCTAAATTTTTTTCGTTCATCCAATTATAATCGCCATCCGGTATGAATATTACACAGAACTCGGTTGATTTCTTTTTAACCTTCATGATACTTGATGGAATTAAATCTGGAGGCATTATAAATGACGGCCAGGCTGGGAATCCAGCCATTTTAGCCAATACAAGGTCTTTATAATTGAATTTACTTTTGGATGTTCTTTTTGGAGGCATAACGCGTTCTTCTTATATCAAATAAACATTAATACCAAGTATTATTAAGAATCCAATTGGAAATGGTAAATGAGCGGTTAATAAATGGGAACAAAGGGGGATGGTGGTAAAACTATAATTAATCACGATAGACCAGCGTAATAAAGGGGAAAGAGCCTGGGAAAAGCCAAAGAATATGACCAGTAAGGTGAAGGTGGATTGATTGATTGATTGAATGAGTGTGATACGAGAGTGGAAGAAAGAGAAGTAATGATTGAGTTGGAATTCTGAAAAGGAAAACAACAGAAAAAATCAAAAAAAATCAAAAAAAAGCACTTAAAACAAAAAAAAAAAAGCACTTAAACCAAAAAAAAAAATAAAATAAAAAAGAAAAGAACCTAAAAAAAAACACTAACAAAAACACTACAAAGCACTCAACACTACGAGAATTACAATACTAGCAGAATACAATACAAAATACAGTCCTAACAAAATACAGTCCTAACAAAATACAATCCACTGGCAAAATAGAAAACCCTAACAAAGTATAATCGTATAACAACCAATAAAGAAAATTACCAGTGAAATTGGTAGAAATACAAAGACCAATAGCAAAGTTAATAGCATCACCATCATTCCGCCTTTCTCCTACTATTTTCTTTTCTCTTCTTTTGTTCTTTTGTTATTACTGTCAACTTTGTGTGCAGGGGACATTCATACAAACAGCAATGCTTTGAACCCCATATACAGTTATGTTGCAAATTGTCTTCCAACGATCTCCAGGTCCTGGTTCCATTGGCATCTGACCGGTGGTGGTTGAACGGCTGCAATGTCCCGAAGGCCACCTCCGTACATTTATCGTCCACGGTACTTTCAATCTGGCGATGGGGGAACTGCTTGTTGCGCGGTGTCTGGGTGTTTTTAAGTGTGTGTGTGAGTGTGTGTCACGTGATGCTCATAAAATTGCAACCATTCGGTCTTACATCCATACATATACATTTGTGCATAATACGTTTTGTAGATACATTAATATGAGTAAACCCAGGGGACTAACGGGAGTGGCTGCTAGTCGTTTCTTTGTTGGAGGTGCAAGTGAAGCAGTGGCAACTAGGTATGTACTGTAACTGTATAATTAGTATACGGTATACTAATTATCCATGGTTCTGTTTATACAGGGTATATACATGGTACTGCTTATACGTGATACTGTTTATACATGGTACTGTTTATACGGCAGTGTACTATTTAGTATATGTATGTAAAACCAGTAGTGGAGCATAATGTGAAAGGATTGTTTAACTGTTTGTGACGTGGTACTGCTTTGTTTATTCTTTGTAATTTCCATGTTTTGTAGAAATTTAGCTTTTTTTTTGCATTTTCATAAAACTACAACTTTTTGTTTTATATTGTGCTGGGATTACTAGATGTCCATTAAGTGTTGTAGCTATAGTATAGGAATATGCGGGACATGGTTATGTATATGTAATATATGTATTATATGTATTATATGTAGTTATAGTCCATGTAGTTGTAGAACATGTAGTGGTATTACAGGTAGTTATGGTGTAGTTGGTTATATTCAGAGGATTAGGGTGTGGGTCACTTTTAATAAGGACAAATCCTCTAATCAACTCTCCAGCCTTATCAGCCGTATCACTTTGTAGCCTACCGTGACAGGTATGTGAATAGCCAAAAATCTCACTGACGACAAAATCACTCACTCACAAAAAATTTACCAGAAAACAGGGAAATGGCCTTTTTTTACAACCTTAACTTGAGAAAACTTTATTGAAAACCATTTTTCAACCAACTTGACTAAGGTTCAAACCTCTTATTTTCTTGCTGGTTTGCAAACTTCTTCCATAATGGATCCTTCGTCTTTGAAAAAACCCTCGGATATGAATTTACCAACTCCAGAAACTTTGGCTGCTGTATTCAATATTAACCATGATAAAAATTTGACTATTAAAAGAAGAAAATTAAATAATTCATTATCAGTTCCTAGAACTAATCAAAATAATAATGGATTTTCTATTGAATCGTCAATACCAGCACCCTTTTTACCGCCGTTCCCATATTCAAATTTGAAAAATTCTTTTGCGGCTTCTTCATTACCTCCAACTCATAATAACGTTCCTTCTTCAATAATTCCAGTGATAGAATCTCCTTTAAGAGTGAAGGACTTCTATAGTGACGTTGAAACCAACTTGGATGACCCAGACGTTTCTGATCAATTAAAATACATCATTAATCGCTTTCCTCCTCCAATTCCTCCAGTAAATCATTTCGACCCAAGTGACGATGAAGAAGAATATGAAGATGAAGAAGATGATGCTACCAACGATGGGGTTTCCATTCCCTTCATCTATCCACCTCCTCCAGTCATTGATCAAATTTCCCCTCCCCTCCCCTTACCGTTTCCTCCACCAAATTATATGCCATATTTACTAAATACTGATAGATCTACTTTAACTCCTTCAGAAGTATTTAATAAATTCTTGAAAGCTTCTAATAAACTACCAAGAATCGATATGGTGGTAGCAAGTGCCGCTGGCTCATTATTTGATATAAAAAATCAAGCTAATTTAGAAGGTTTCTCAATAAAAGATTATGAAGATTATATTTCAAAATATGGTAAACCTCTAATTCAACAAAAGAAAAAGGGTAAAAGAGGTAGAAAACCGAAAAACAAATTAAATGAATCTCAAATAATCCAACCTTCCGATTATGAAGAAGAAGAAGAGGAGGAGGAAGAAGAAGAAGAAGAAGAAGAAGAAGATATAGATGATATGTCGAATAAAGAAGATTTACAAGATTATATCGATTATGCTCTGAATATTGATACCACCAATGCTTATGATAATTATGATGACGAAAATCCCCAAATCAGTAATAATAACGTTATTATTGATTTAAAACCTCGAATTAAAATTAATTACAAATCAACTAAAAATGGATTGATCGTACCTAGAGATTCAAAATTTTTAAATCCAGCAGAATTTGACCCCAATGATGGTAATTCTTACGATATAAACTCTTCAAATTTACTAACCGGTTTATACAATAAAGATTTAATATTAGCTAATGGTACTAATAAAGAGAAAAGAAGAAATGAGTTGAAAAAGTCACTTAATAAATTAACTAACTTGAATGATGATCAACGTTATAGACTTTATATCAATAAGAAAAATCAATTATTGGACAAATTAAATAATTTAAAGAATTCTAAAATTCATTTTAATGATGAAGAAACTTCAATTAAAGATGATGAATTATCAAATATAATCAATGACTTACAAAGCAAAAGGAATTTGGAACTACTAAGATTGAAAATACATTCAAATTATGAATTATTGAAAAGTTCAATGTCATTCTATGAAGATTCAAATAAGTATTATAAAAAAATGAATAATTTATCAATCAATAAATTATCAAAATTGAAAAATTTCTTCGAGTTCCAAAAATCTACTTTTGAAGAAGTATTAAATAAATCAAATGATTATTTTGATATTAAATCAAAGGATAGCTCCAAACTTTTCAATGGGATTTCAAAACTTGACTACAACAATCAAATTAGATCACTAATGAAAGATATCTTGAATAATGAATCTCAATCAACTTCCATTTCTCACACTCCTTTAGCAACTTCTATTGATAATACTTCTTCATCAACTTCATTGGATTTATTGATGCATGATTTCATGCCTCTTATAACTTCGGAAGAATTTGATTTGATCACTGGTGACTTACCGCTGAAATTAAAATCTTCGTCGTCTTCATCAACTTCAAAAGATTCCGCAGCTAATAAACTGAAATCAAATATGAATATTAAACATCAAATTTTCCAAAGCCCCCTTTATGATAAAACTTCGGGTTCTGATACTAATGGTAATATCAGTTTTACTAGTATGAGTAATGGGAATGCCAGTGATAGTGGTGGCTCTTCAACTACTACTCCAGCTAAAAGAAGACCTGGTCGTCGGGCTGGTACTAATTCTAATTCCAATTCTAACGATAAGGATGATGATCCCGATAAACAACATACTGAAGCAGCGCTTTTAGCTAAAATCATGAAACAGTTTTTAGGTCCCGCTGCTGCTAAAAATGATGAATTGAATGAAGACTTAAATATGATGGGGGTTAAAACTAGATGGCCAGTTGGTAAATAGATCATATATACATATATATATACGGAGATCAATTGGGTAAAGCCGCGTAGTTACCGTTTTCTGTTATCGCGAAATCTATACAGGATGCAGAACAACTTGTTTATATTGAAAATTGCTAAAAAGAATAGTGTTACAGTATACGTAAACATATAATATATGGAAAAAAAAATAAAGAAAGTCAAAGAGGTAATAGCATGATTAGTTATTAAAACAAAAGATAGTAAAGGGGGAGGAGGAGAACAAAAAAAAAAAAAAATAGAAGCAGAACAATGCTATATAAGAAATAGAACAACGTAATTTAAAGTTAATATAAAGAGAGAATAAGAGAGGATAGACAGAATATTTAAATGATTGGATTAAAAATCATTTTCGAATTGGGAATAAATGGCAATAACAACACTGAATAAACCAATGACTATTGGGAAATTACCTAAACCATCAGCGAATTTACCATAAAGACCTAATTGAATTAAGAAATGATTTTTCAAAGCATTGAAAATACCCGAATAACTACTTAAAGTAGTTAAAGTACTTGAATTTTTAATAACGAAAAAGAAAATAATAACTTTTGATAAAGCAAAAACAAGTGGATCATATTCGTAAATTCTAGTAATGATTTCATCAGTTTCATCTTCAAATTCATCATCTTCATCATCAGAATCAGATAAGCCTCCAATAACGATACTTCTTCTAGTGAAGTTTACGTAATAAGAAATCAATAAAGGTAAAGCAACAGCATAAACCCCCCAATTGAAAAAGACCGAAGCAATATCAAAATCCCATAAAGCGGTAAAATCCGGAATTTCACATTCTAAATCATTTAAAATATCAAAATTATCTTTAAAAACTTGATGAATTGAGTCATTATTTTTAATTGGAACTAATGGCACATAAGTATAGAAAAAGTAGAAAACTTCAAAAACCAATTCAGCGTAATTAATAGTAACAGTACTAGATAATTTTTCTCTTAATTCATCGCTATATTCAAGTGCGGTAATACCAACTGAATCAGTAAAGTCATAAATTTTATCCTTTGTTTCTTCAACAAATTCAATGATTGGATCAATAACTTTTGATTTCAAATCAATTGGTGGGGGGCCATTGTAATCTGGATCAGCTGAATCATCTTCATCAGCTTCTTCATCTTCTTCATCAGCTTCTGCTTCCTCAGTATCAACTTCTTCTGCATCAGATGCTTCATCAACCAAGGTTTGTTGTTCAGAATTGGTGGAATCCTGGTGTTTCTGTTCAATTGCTTTGATGGTTTCCACAGCTTGGGTTGGATTTTGTTCAATATAGTTAGAAATTTTTTCAATTAAAATTTTTTTAGTATCTTTACTAACAACATGAATACCAACTTTACGAGCAACACTGGTTAAATCAGCTTTTTTGAAATTATTTAAGTCAGACATCTGCAATTCTATCAATTGTTCAATGGTTGGGTGTGAATATAACTTGAAAGCACAAAAATATGTATCTGTATATATATATATATCGATATCAAAACTGTATGTATACAAGATTGTTTATGTTTTTTTTTTTTTGTAAAGAGCTTTTTTTTTTTTTGTAAAGCTTTTTCTTTTTTGTTTTGATTTGTTTTTCTCCTGTGGAGTTTTCCTGGAATGTTTGGGTCTTTTTATTTGAAAAAAGAAGAAGAAGAAGAAAATGAAAAAGTTTTGGGTGTTTTTAGGAAATTCTTGTAATTTAAATGAAAATATAAATAATAAATGGGTAAATAATGGGGGTAGCTAATTGGCGTTTTACTCGGTTGTTCTTTTAGTTGTTTATTAATGTATATCGAAAAATAACAGAAAGCCCTTTTGTGCATTAGATTTAATATCAAAAGCACAACAAAGCCATCTCAACGTTTTGTAAGTAGTAGTACCCACCCACCAGTTCAGCATGCCCTACAAGTGTTAGTACTGTCTCCAGTGCAAGCTTCTACGCTTTCTGTTGGTCATTAGGTCTGGGTTGAGCTGTTTACAAAATCACTTCATCTAGATGTTGTTTTGTCCTCGTCCTAAAAGGGTAACCAACTGGTTTACATCAATCAGTGGCAAGGGACCCGTGCACCAGGAGGATCTTTCCATCAACAAAAAGCTACTTCTAGTGGGAATCACGGCGTCTAATTTGCGAGGAGGATGTGATGGGTAACTTTTTTTTTCTCGAAAACGATTAAAATCATAATAAACCCATCAGTGCACAATTTAACATATATAGTACGCATACCGGTTACTGATTTGGTGGAAAACAATAATACAATTGTTTGTTTCGTTGCATTATTTTGATTTTGAACCTGAGCTGACTTGCTTTGATTAGATTCTAGTTCTGTTGGAAAACCCTGTGATTAGCTTTTGGTTTCTCTATCATACTGCCTTCTTACTTGGTCATTTATCTAGCGCCCCTGTTTTCTCTTTTATACTGTATTAACCGCCCTTTTTTACAACTAGCTTTCAATCCAATCCTCAATACTAAACCTATATTATCTACAATACATTATACAATACATCCCATGTCCATATAGCACATAATGATTACTAGATCACGAATACTGCTGGCGCTGCTATCGAGTCGCTTGGCTAAACGTCTAGCGTCGACCTCAGAAGCTCCTCGCGTTAATCAAGTAGGTATTCAGTACTTATCCAATGATCTACATAGAAAAGTTTTCCCAACCGTCCCCTTGGATAAATACAAATCTCCTCCCCACCATTCCTTGGTAGAATTACTGAAATCTCATCTAGATCACCATGGCTTACTAGGTAAGAAAACCGCCATATCCAATCCAATCAAAATAGATCACTTCCCTGATTTAGTTGGCAATAAATCAGTAAGCGAACATTTCCATAAAATAGGCTCCAAGGATGCTCAACCATATTTGTCAATGGCAGAAAACTTTTTGTCAAATCAAATACCGTCTAAACCTGACCCAAAAGATTGGGTGTTTCAACCGGGCTGGACTCGTTATGAACCTGGTAAGAAACCTCAACATGTTCCTTATCCTTTAGAAGATGAATTGGTTTTCGATGTTGAAACTTTATATAAACAAACCCATTATTCTTGTTTAGCTACCGCAGTATCTTCAAAAGCTTGGTATGGTTGGGTTTCCCCATTTCTTATAAATCATAAAACGGATTCAAAATTTAATGATCATCAATTCTTGATACCTTTTGATACTAAGAATCGTCCAAAATTACTAATAGGCTATAATGTTAGTTACGATAGAGCCAGAATCTTGGAAGAATACAGCATCAAACAATCAAAAGCTTTCTTCCTTGATGCAATGTCTCTTCATATAGCAATTAGTGGTATATGTTCCCAACAAAGACCCATCTGGCAAAAGCATAAAAAAAATCAAGAAAAATTACAAGAAGAAACTGAAAATGATGAATTTGATAATTCTGCTAAAAATGATGACGATCTTTATTCTCAGTTTTCTGCTCAAGATTTGGCCAATGAATTGTTAGACGATCCTTGGTTAAATAAAGGATCCCCAAACTCTTTAGCTAACGTTGCTGATTTCCATTGTGGTATTAAAATGGATAAGAAAGTTCGTGATGAATTTGCTACTCTTGATCCAATGGATATCATCAATAACTTCAATAATTTAATGGACTATTGTGCAAAAGATGTTGACTCGACTTTTTCTGTCACGGCTAAGCTTTTCCCTGAATTTAGAACAAAAGTCCCTCATCCAGTTTCTTTTGCTGCTTTAAGACATATGGGTAGTTTAATGTTACCAACTACTAAAAACTGGAATAAGTATATCGAGACAGCAGAGAATTTATATCAAGAAAATAGATCGGGAGTGACAAATATTCTAGAAGAAAGAGTAAATGAATTAGTCAAATTTATAATAGATAAAGATGAGTCCTTGAAGCCTGATCTTGAAAATGACCCTTGGTATAAACAATTAGATTGGTCTATTAAGGAACCTCGTTTGAAAAAAAATGGTGAACCTTTCGCTAAACAAGCGTTTATGACTGGGTTTCCAGAATGGTATAGAGATCTTTTCAAAAGTCTGACGACTAGTGAAGATGGCTCCAAAACTAGAGAAATGAAAATTAGTTTAAGAACAAGAATCACTCCATTATTGTTAAAACTTAAATGGGAAGGTTACCCCTTGGTTTGGACCGATTCTTGCGGCTGGTGTTTTAAAGTTCCAATAATTGAAGATTTACTTGAAGATGTAAAATCAAAAAATTATATCGAGGCCAAATTAGATGATGGTGACTTTGAAAAATTGCACGAAGATTTATTTACTCCCGGCAATTACCAAACTTTATTTAGAGTTCCATCACCCGATGGTCCAACTAAAAGATGTGTATCAATTATGTCAAAATCTTATTTATCATTTTTTGAAAAAGAGATTTTAACTTCAGAGTACGATTATGCTAAGAATATTTTGAAATTGAACTCAAATGCATCATACTGGATGGGTAACAGATCACGCATAATGGACCAATTTGTTATATTTGCTGATTCAAAAGGCGAAAAGAATAAATTTTTTGATACAAAGAAAGAAATTAAAGAGCATTCAAATTTAGGTATTATCTTACCCAAATTATGTACTATGGGAACCATAACTCGAAGAGCCACCGAAAATACTTGGTTAACTGCTTCAAACAGTAAGAAGAGTAGAATCGGATCTGAATTAAAGGCCATGATTGAAGCACCTAAAGGATATGTATTTGTTGGTGCTGATGTTGATTCAGAAGAATTATGGATTGCATCACTAGTTGGAGATTCAATATTTGGAATACACGGAGGTTCTGCACTAGGATGGATGACATTAGAAGGTGATAAAAATGAAAAAACTGATTTACATTCGAAAACTGCAGAGCTTTTAGGAATTCTGAGAGGGGATGCCAAAATCTTCAATTATGGTAGAATTTATGGAGCAGGAGTAAAATTTGCAACCAGATTATTAAAACAATGCAATCCACAATTAAGTGATGACGAAGCATCAAAATTAGCGAAGAATTTATATGTTAAAACCAAGGGAGATTTAAGTAGTTCCAAATTTTTAAAAAGAAAATTATATCATGGAGGTACTGAATCCATTATGTTTAATATGTTAGAGTCCATTGCCTATCAAAAGGAGCCCAGAACTCCAGTTTTAGGAGCATCAATAACTGATGCATTAGCAATGGGGAATTTAAATAAAAACAATTATTTAACGTCTAGAATTAATTGGGCCATTCAGAGTAGTGGAGTTGATTATTTACATTTATTGATTGTATCGATGAATTATTTAATTGATAAATATAAAATGAATGCTCGATTGATAATAACTGTTCATGATGAATTGAGGTATATGTGTGAGGAGAAGGATCGATATAAGGTTAGTTTATTATTACAAATCAGTAATTTATGGACTAGAGCAATGTTTTGTGAACAATTAGGTATTAGTGAAGTTCCACAATCGTGTGCATTTTTTTCCGAAGTTGATATTGATAAGGTATTAAGAAAAGAGGTTGGGTTAGATTGTATAACACCATCACATCCCGATGCGATACCACCTGGAGAATCACTCGATATTAAGAAATTATTAGAAGTTTTAAAAAATAATAAGGAAGAAAATTTTTTATTGAATGGAATCAATAAAAAATTAAGTGGTATTAGATATAAACCAGGTACTAAAGAGGTTGAAAAATTAAATACTGAGCAAAACATAAATTTAAGAACTTTACAAACCAAGATTCAATTATCGATCGATAAGAATGAATGGAGGCAGGATATGAATGAATATATCCAAATGAAAAAACGGTTAATTATGAATGGAGAAATCAAAGATGAAGAATTTGCTCAAAAATTAAGGATTGATACTAAAAACATTAAGGTTAAAAGGATTAAAAAGCTGACCCCAGAAGTCAATTTAGGTATTGATGGTGACAAGTTATTGAAAGAAGAAATAGGTGAGGAAGCCAAATTGAATACTGTGTTAAAGGCCAGGAATCAATTAAGGTTGAAACCACAGACGAAGGTTGCAAAGACAACCGAGCTGTCAAACATGTCAAAGATGAAACCAAAAATTGCCCCCAAGGCAAAGCTGATAATCAAGCTGACTACAATGAAACAAGTTAAGCCAGAAGTTGAGCCACTTGTACCAATATCCACCGGGAAACTGACGGGCCAACCGCCTTCAGTGTCGGGGACAAGAATGAATGCCACCAGCAAAGTGTTTAGAGGATCGACTCGATACAAGGCGACCAGTTCGAAATCCAAAGAAACCACAATGTATTCGAGTCGAGCGAATAGTCAAGCAGCCAAAGAAGGATGGAAATCAAGCAGGTATCGACCGAGAATGATGTTTGATAACATGATTGACCGACGACCTTCCAATCAATTCATGAACTACCGGAACAATTATTCCAGTACTACTAAAAATACTTATTCTAATACTAATAAAAAAGACGTTAAATAATTGATGGCCAAACATCATTAAGCAAATTAAAATTGAGAGGATAATAGATAAGGAGAATAATTGATTATTATAATTGATGCATCATTCCTAATAATTGATGCCATGGTTATTAAAGATCATTAATAGAGAAGCTCCTGGAAAAGACCGAGAATCCTTTCAGTTGTGATAACGAATTTATGAAGGTGTATAATTAAATGTAACAATATTAAATTAAGATTCTTGTAGAACAATCGGTTCTCCGAGAGGGAAACCAGAAGAGAACGCCGGAGACATGTCAAAAAAGATGAAAGGAAAAAAAAAAAAAAAAAAAAAAAAAACAAATGCAGGAGTAAACCCGAAATACACTTACAAAATACCTCAAATTCCCAGATTAAAATAGAACAACGAAAGCCCATTAGAATAACCAACCAAGGAATCCAATTGATTACACGAGATAGCAATCATAAAATGTCTAATTGAAAGAAGTTAGAATAGTGGGAAAAGGATCTGTAGATGAAATAGACGATACCAGGTAGAGTACTCAATGAGGTATTCCAGTTACCCCATTGGGAAGCCAGCGAGAAGATGCACTAGTTTTGTTGCATGAACTACCAGAAATTCATTTAAACAAAACTAAGACAAGTAAACATTTACCAGTGATGAGTATAAGTATTCAGTAAATAAACTGTTACAATTAGCCAGGAGATAGCTGGGTGGCAGAGGGTTTTTATTCGGCAACTGGCAAAAAATGCCAGTAGAGACACGACCCACCCTCCCCCAACGACCAACGACCTACGTCCGACTCACCGGTGGCCGGTATGCCTAACCGATTGAGCCGTTCATGAGACCTGGGAAATGCAATAACTTAGTAAATTAGTACAATTACCGTTCCAGCAGTGGGCCTGGACAGTAGGTCAACCGTAGGTCCATAGTAGACCCATGGGTAGGCTGGCCAGGTACACAGGTACCGTCCAAGTATTAGTAGAGTGCTCATACTACCCCGGAATATTCAGAGTATTCATAAAATCCCTCCCCGTTAACCAGACTAAATCCGAGGGCTTTTAACTAATATCCACTCCCGGATATTCCTTTAACAAAAGTGATGGTCGTGCGCGGTTCAGCGAGCTTGATGTTTGTTTTATCGCTCAATCAAATAAAAGTTTTTTTTTTTTCTGCTGCTGCTAAACATTCTTATATTAACCAATTTCCAAAAATTTAAAGAGCTAAAGTTTTTCAATCTCTCTTCTTCTTTTTTTGAAATTTTTTTTTTCCTTTTTCTTAAGTCTCTTTTGACCAATTCATATCAATAATCAATAATGTTGCCACCAGGTGTTATCTTAGTTTTCGTCTTAGTCTTTTTAGCTTTCGTTGCAATTACTTCCATTACCGTTAGTAAAAAATTGAAAGCTAGAAAATCTCAACAAAGATATTAAGGAACTCATTATTATTGATATTGGTTATTGAGATGAATTCTGGTTATAATTGAATGCTGCTTTACGGAGAATCTCGCTATTTGATATTTCTTTACTTGCTAAAGAACCAACTTTATTGGGTTGTATGATATTTTTTGCTGCTGGGATTTCAATTTTAAAGTATCCATTGAAAGTTATAATTGGGTGTTTAATTTTGATTAGCTAATGTCGGTTAGTGTTCCTTTTTGTTCTTTTTGATTTTTTTTGACTTTAACTATTTTTTTTTTCAATATGCTATAATACGAACCTTTTTTTTTTTTCGTTCGACTGTTTTTTCATAACTTCCCTTGGGAAGTTATTTTTCTGTCTATTTGAATATTGATCTATTACACCTCCTTTACCTTAAATTGACGGGAATCAATTTATTTTGTCTTATATTTACCTTGGCTGGAAGTATCCACATCAAGTCAAACATGCCGGGAATCATGTTTGGTTTGAAGTACCCTTTTTTTCTTATTTCGAAAAACCTTATTGTGTGGGAACTCTAAGGTTTTTTGTTTGGAAACAAGAAAAAAAATTGGTTATTTCTAGTCTTTTATACAAAGGGAGTTTCTTACGTTGTTAATCAAGTGTCTACATATTAATTTAATTAATACTCTTCTATTATTATTATTATTATATACCTTTTTTTATTTACTGTTTTAATATTAATAAAATACTATTGCCAATTCGTCGTATAACTAAACCTTTGGAACTGGGCGATTTTTTCGGTAAATTAAATTAATTTTTTTTTTTTTTTTTTTTTTTTTTGACGTTTACGTCATAAGCCGTGGGGTGTACGGGTGATAAGTTCTATACGTCTATACTCTTTAGGTCTTCATCGTGTTCTTCTAAGAATAGACTCTGGATAAACCCACCTAGTGCCACCATCGAGATGAAGATCCAGGGGAAGCCTCCCAACTTCAACTTATCGAGAACAGTCATCAATTTCCCAAATAGGATTGGGGATATGAATCTCAGAAATGAGGTTGCACTTAAGTTGGTTGAATTAACCAAACTTCTATACTTGATTGGTGCTGCCCGATGGATTAACATCATGATTTGCGGGAATGCTGTTCCTTGCGCCAAGCTGCCAAAGGCTCCATTGAGATAGAATAGGTTTCTATTGAAATTATCTGAAAATTGGGAATTATATCCGTTGGTGGTGAAAATTAAAAAGGCAACGTTTAAATAAACTATTGGGAAAATCATCGTCAGAAGTCTTAGTCCAATAATGGTTCTAACGTGATGGTCTAAGACTGGGAATACAAACATATTAACCAAGATTCCGCAAAATCCATTGACTGAAAGTAATTTCCCAATCTCTTGTGAATTCCATCCAAACCCACCAGTTATTCTAAATGGGAATTTCAACTCTTGTGGTAAGTAATCTCCAGCTAAAAAAATTGGTAAAAATTCAGTATAAATTAATAAATGAAATCCAAGGACAAAATTGGCTGTAATGGTTTTCAAAACCACTGGAGTGAAAATTTCTCGATTGAAAAAAGACTTTAATACTGATTCATGAACAGTGCTGGTCATGGAGATTTGTGATTTGGTGGACTGCGCTGATTTAGAATATCTTCTGATAACGGCTGATGAAAATCTACGAGTCATGAGTGGATTAGATTCAATCGAATCGTCATCTTCATCTCTTATAGCGTCTTCATCGTAATTGTGTATTGACTCATCGTTAACCAAAGCCGGAGGTTCATCATCAATCAATGGCGTAGTTTCATCATCAATCAATGGCGTAGTTTCATCATCTGGGGTCCCGTCAACCATGGTGGAAGATGTGATTGCACTGCTCATTTTCTTAGGCTTCTTAATTTCCCATGGCCTGATAGGTATCTTATAACCTAGTTTGGATCGAATATAATCACCTAATTCCAATCCAATATCTCTTCTATATTTGACTTTATAATGAGTTTCTTCTAAAAATAATATTCCAAATATTAAACTGCAAAATAAAAACATCGATACCACGATACTAGATAATGCATAAGGAAATTTGTTCATGAATTTATCGACAAGTTTGAAAGTCAGCTTAGTAACTTTTGGATTTTCAACTTTAGTGAAATATGCTCCAATTAAGGGTCCTAACACTGAACCTAGATTCCATAGTAATGGCAACGTGGAAAATGCTACACTTTGATGTCTTCTTTCGGTAGCAATTTCTCCAATCATAACTCGAAGTGTTGAGACATTCCCATTTAATGCCCCGGCGAGACTTCTTGCGAAAAGTGCCATATAAAAATTGGTTGAAAAGGCAAATATTAACATACTAACAGCAGTACCTGATAATCCAATCATTAAAACTGGTTTTCTCCCAATCTTATCACTTATTGTACCCCAATGAATACAACATAAAAATTGAGTGAGTGCAAATGATGCCGTTAAATATCCCGAGTATTTAGAGATTGACTTATCGTCATCGGCAATCTTAAAAGACTTAATTAAAAAATATATAAATGGGAAGATAGAAGTAAACGTTAACGGCTCACTAAATCTTATGATTGACACAACAAACATTTGCCAGACTGGAAAGCCCTTCATGGCTTCCCTGAAACTTTGAGTCATGCTTGTAACAATGAACTGGTGATGACTTGTAAAGGGTCTTGATTATCCTTTTGTTATCTTTTCGATCTAAGCGAGAACGGCCCAACAAAGAATTATGAAAAACTTTTCGCTAGATATAGCCTGATGTATATAGATAATATATATATATATATATATATAATATGTATGAATATCTAGGGTTCAGAACCTATTGAAGAAAGACAAACGTGAAAATCAAAAAACTTTGTAGTTCAAATTTCAGTCTGTATTTAGCACCAACTGATAGCTAATTATTTTCTGGAAATTCCGCGCGTTGACTAGATAAAGGCGAAGAATAAAGTATTTGCCGACTCTAAACGATGACTTGTGAAATTGCAAATACAAAATGTTGACTTGATGATTCTTACTGTGACCAGAAACATAAAACCAAACCTTTTCCTTATCGGAGAAGCTATAAGTAGGATGGAGATTAAACAAATGAATTGTGTAAAAGTAAAACTAATTCATTTTCTACAAGTTTATGAGTAATTATACCTTAATATATGAGAATGAATCATTTTTTCGGTAGCCTGAAAAGGCGAAAAATTGCGGTAAAGGAACAAACTAAACTTACTAACATTACTTTTTTAATTTTACTTTATTGATGAGAATTGCGAAACAGGGTGCAAAATATCCACAGTTTCTAATGACACTAATGAGCGTCTTCATCATAATCCTTCATCGAAAGTGATTGGAAGAAGCCCATTAAAGCAATAAGAGATAGTATCCACCACATTAACCAAGATTCATCGTAAGAATCACCTAAACTCATTAGCCAACCAAAGACTAAAGGACCAACAAATCTAGCTAAGGCAGTTATACTTATTGTAGTACTATTTACATAAGCTCTATGATGTTTTTTAGCCGAACGGTGATTCAAGATCATTATTTGGGGCATACCTGTAGCAGTTGCCAAAGTTCTAATGGAAGTAATAATATATAATAAGACTGGAGTTAACCAAGGCTTAAAAATTGGATTAAAATCATGAATGGTGAAAATTGTCCAAGGGACTAAGAAGTAAACCAATGGGAGGATTGCAGCTGAAAACCTGAAACCTCCAAGAGTCCCCAATTTGCGATCAATATAAGGGAAAACTAAGAGTACGATAATCATCCCCATTATACCGGTCGAGGAAAATAAAACCCCAATTGAGCTTGTGTCCATCCCAAACCCACCTCCTATTTTAAAGGGGAACTTTAGATGGGATGGTTTGAACCTTGAAGCAAGAAAAACAGGTAAGAATTCCGAATAAATATTTGAATGTAATGAAAGTAAAAAATTAGCTACGATAGCTTGAACTACTGCAACCGTAAAAGCACCTTTATACAAGTCTTCATCATTGAAATCTTCATCGTCATTTGATTGAGAATAAGTTCTCACAATGGCCCTTGACATTGATCTTGACATAAAAGGATGGAAGCTAGCAACATCTTCTTCGTCATCATCTAAAACGTTGGAGTTCAAGGAATCATCTCCATCACTAAGTGGTTGACTATGAACCGAAGAGGATTCAATTAAAGGAGTAGATTCATCATTTTGCAATTTTACATAGGATGGGAAGTGGGATTGCCAAGGTCTCAAAGGAGGTATTATACCGAAAAGTTTATATAAAAACCAATCACCCAATTCAAGACCATAATCTTTATTCAGACGTAAATGATCATGGGTTTCTTCTAAGAAAAAAAACCCACAAATACAACTAAACCAAAGAAATAGTGAAACTACTATATTCGATAATGCATAAGGATGTTTAGTTATGAAATTCTCATAAATCGAAGAAGAAGATGTAGAACTAACAATTTCAGATTCATAAGGACTCTTGGGATTTGGTCTGGTTAACAAAGAAGAACCACCAATGGCGGGACCAATGGTTGAGCCTAGATTGAATAAAAGAGGTAATAAACTAAAAGCGGTTGCTTGATGTTTTCTTTCAACGGCAATTTCTCCAATGACCGTTCTCAAAACTGATATATTACCATTTAAACAACCAGCCAAGCTTCTTGCAGCAAGAGCCATATAAAAATTAGTACTAAATCCAAAAGAGATTAAACTTATTGAGGTTCCAATTAATCCACATAACAAAACTTTCTTTCTACCAATTTTATCACTTAATTTCCCCCATCTGACTGCAAATAAGAATTGGGAAAGGGAAAAAGATGAAGCTAAATACGCGGTGTATTTTGGAATATCTTGTTCAGTGGGAGCTATCTTAAAGTCTCTAACCATATAATAAACGTATGGAAATAACGAAGTGAAACTAATTGGTTCGCTAAATCTTATTAATGATACAATAAACAACTGCCAGTACGGGAAATCCTTCATGGTTTCCCTAAAAGTTAGCGACCGCTTACTCAACGCGGAGCTTCTCCTGGAAACCTTAGTACTAGATGGTTCTGTCATGGTTGAAGAAAAAGCTGTAGTTGGATTAGAGTTGAGTTTTCCTTGAAAATTTTGCTGACTTATAGTGGAATTGTAGTTGGATTGTAAGATTACTGATGGCTGCCAGAATTACCGACTAGTCGTGCAATCTTATCGTGCCTCAGTTTTATCGAAGTATATATACAATACCATAGAACCAATGTCAAAGTACGAACGAAGATTAACATCGAATTATTCAACATAAACGTATTCAACATTAACTTTTTTTAACATTAACGTATCAAATAGATTTACTCATTTAATATATTAACATTACTAAATTAACGTTAATACATTAACGTATAGAATAAATTAACTCATTTAAGAAATTACCTAACCGTTATACTCATCATCGGCGCATCTGTTAAGATCAGTACATCTCATACACTTCCAATACACTCAGTTGTAAACTGAGTTATCTAGTTGTCACTTCAAATACACTCCGTTGTAAACTGAGTTATCTAGTTGTCACTTCAAATCAATAAAGAAAGAAATCTAGAATTGGGCATATTCATACACCAAAGTAAACAACACGAAATCTCGAGAAACGAACACTGACAAAGCCATATTTGACTATTAACTTTTGAATTAATTACGATATTGTAAGTTGGTTAGTAACCGTCTAAGATCACTTTCTACCATTGAAGGCGCAGCCCAATGGGAATTCGCCCTGGGTCCTTTTACTCTACTCGTCTAAAATAATGACTATTGTACTAATTGGTGGGTTCCCTTCTACTGTAAGTTATCGTAGAAATAAGAGAATTATAAGAGAATTATAAGAGATAATGGTTTGTTCCAATCTTTTGTCACCCGTTGATTTAACTTTGGGTAGATAGATTACTCTGGGTTATTTTTAGTAGTAACTAGCGTGTATTAAAAGAGAAAGGCACCTTTAATCTTGAAAGGAAAACAACGAGTGGAAAAAAAAAAAAAAAATCAATTTTTTTTTATTGAGAAAGTGGTCGCTCTTCTCGATAAAAGTTTTCAAAACAGTGTCATTCAAGTATATATATATATATATATATATATAAACATACAATAATTTTGGATACCCCTGGTGTTTTTCTATGGATAGAGCCAAAATGACCACCTCTCAGACTGCTCGTTCGTTTATAATACTTTCGATAATCTCGGTTGTTGGGATATTATATGTTTTAACGCTATTTCCAGAACACAATTTATTCTCCTGTTCCCATAAAATAAATGAAACCACTAATCATATAACACAACAAGAAGAGGAAGATGAATCTTTGATAGACAGAATCTTCCAGTATCCCTTGGGGATCGGCATGAAGTATTATTACACTCCTTCTATAATTAAAAGAGATGATAATAATTCCTCAACTAGTGCCAGTTCAACTTTTACCAGTGAACAGTCGGCTACTGAAAGTAGTTTTGAAACCAGCACCAGTTCTTCTAGTTCCTCTAGATCCGCAAGACCTTCTTCTACTGCGTCATCTGCACCTCAAACATCTTCGGGTACTACCACCAGGGAAACCACATCCAGTTCTTCCGAACCAACCACCACTGATAATTCAACCAGTGACTCCAATGATTCTTCCACCACCGATGATTCCAATGACTCTTCCACCACCTCCACCAACGACGCATCTTCTACATCTGATGATTCGTCTACGTCTGATGACTCTTCCACTACCGACGATGCATCATCTACATCCGACGACTCTTCTACTACCGACGACTCTTCCTCCACTTCCGACGACTCCTCCAGTCTGACTAGCCACCGTCGAACATCCAAAAGTACCAGTCTTACCACCATTAGTTCCCAAAGTGATGGTAAAACCGTGGTGGTAACCCAAACTTCGGTTTACACCGCCAATTCGTCTTCTGAACCTTCGGCTTCCAGTGGGAATAATAAGAGTAATAACGATAGTGGCAACGGCTTGACCCGAACCAACAAGATTGTCGTTGGTGTTGTTGTTGGGATTGGGGCCCCAATCCTTCTTGGTATTGCTGCTTTATTATTCTACTTCAAAAAGAGAAACAGTAAAGATTATGAAAATGGTGGATGGACTTTCTGGAGATCAAATGAGAAAAATGGTGAAGACAATTTCCTCAATGGTGAATTGGGTGTGAGAGACCGTAATATCAACCAAGGATCTAATTTTTAATTAAATACCCTAATTTATGTAATAGAAATGTATAACTAGACCAATTAATGTACTCCACGATCTCCCCGTTTGCAGATCCGTACCTTTTGCTCTTTGTTTTTTTTGTCTTCTTTTATCGGCATACGCACGACTGTGCCGCCTAATGGAGTGGGCGGGCGCACGCCCGCCGTGTTCGTCCAGCCGACAATTTTATTCATTAATTTGTTGTATTCGGTGTATTTGTTGTATTTTCAAATATTCATATACACTTGTGTACACTAATACACTTATATACATTTATATACACTTATATACATTTATATACACTTATATACACTTATATACATTTATACACACTTATATACACTTGTATACATTTATATACACTTGTATACATTTATATACACATACATTTATATACACTTATACGGTACATACGCAAATCCATCAGTGAAGGCAACAGTCGTGCCATTCGCCATAGAAATGTCTCAGACACTAAAAAATTTCTAAGACAATAACAAACACTGTCAGCAACTTGGACAAAACCAACGGGAAAAAGTAGAGTAGTGTGGGAGGACTGCAGTGCTAGCGGATTGGAGGACTGCAGTGCTAGCGGATTGGGGTACTGAATAAAGTATGGAGAATTAAAAGTGTACGGAATCCCGATGAGCAGCTGAGAAACGTCAGGTCTCTGGCACCAGTTTATACAGGCTTCTCATAAGGGATCGTAATTCTGAGACATTATGGACAATTCATATAGCAATTAAGGATGTCCGTTTGCATTGTGTTTAAAGAAAGTGTCTAAGAAATCGCCTTGTTTGTTTTGGTTTCACTTTGGCCAATTCTCCATTGCTCTTCACTTATTTTACTTTATTCGTTTTTTTTTTTTTTTTTTTTCTATTTTTTTTTTCTATTATTTTTTGTCTTTCTCTTCACTATTTTGCTGACTTCAAAGCTAATCCTTAAAATAAAAAAGAAGGTCCAACATAACTGAAGTTAGTGGTCCAGATATCCCTTTATTTTGTATTAGCTACTCTTTTTTTTCCTTTCAGTTACTCTTTTTTCTCTCAAGTTACCCATTTTATTTTCGATAGATCTTCAATTGTTAAAAGATTTGCAGTTTTGATTGTCAATCCTTTTTTTTTGACTTGACATGAACTGACCATGGTGAATATTTCATCTTTATTAAACCACAGTGGATCGGAAGATGATAGACCTATTCCGGTCAAACAGGAACACAAGTCTTCTGCTTCCAATTCTTTCAATTCAACTTCCAATTCTTTCAATTCAACTTCCAATTCTTTCAATTCAACTTCCAATTCTTTCAATTCAACTTCCAATTCAACTTCCAATTTGACTTCCAATTTGACTTCCAATTCAACTTCCAATTCAACTTCCAATTCAACTTCCAATTCAACTTCCAATTCAACTTCCAATTTGACTTCCAACTCGGCCCCCAACTCGGCCTTCAGTTCGACTCCTTCAAGCTCCATCAATACTAATCATAAGATTAGAAAACAAATCCCAAAATGTAAAATTAATAAACGATTATTATCACAAAAAAAATTGGTACAAATTGCAATAAGAAGAAAAACTTTTCCCAAGAAACTCAAACCGGCCCAGTTATCTGACGAAGAAGACGATGAATGGAATGACTTGAATTCTAATTCAAAATTACATATAAAGTCATTAGAAGCTGGTCTTCGAGTTAAATTAACTTTAGCTCCATCTCTAATGGAATTATATCAATCATTAACTCCCCATAATAATCGCCAAATTGATATGAATCAATTACAATACGATGGAGAAACTAAACACGAAAAAGTATCTCCAAGTATCGAATTAGATAACCAGGAAATGACTAATAAAAATACTTATCATAAAATTAATAAACTGGGTAAACTGGGGAAATTAATAAGTAAATCAGTTCAATTGATTGACAATAATTTGGTTAACCTTTCTAAAACTTCAAATAAAGTATTACAAAATTACTTTAGTGATTCAAAAACAAACGATGACAATGTCGATCACTCAAAAGATGTTGATTCAATTAGTTCTCCTGCATCTCCAGTAATTTCTAAAAAAACTAATCAAAAGAAGAAACTATCCGCTCCTTCGTTTAATTCTTTATCTACTGCTGTTCATGTTTTATTTGGTTTAAGTGAATTCACTCTAGTAAGAGTAACAAGATCAACAACTACTAATTTGGAAGGTTCAGTGGTTTTAAAATTAGAAACCGCTAAACCGGGTGATTATAAACTATTTGATGATAGTGAGTTTCTAAGTGAAATGATCCATAGTATCGGTCATAAAAATACAGTTCCTTCGAATCTTTTTTTGAAAAAAATTGTCGCTAGACCTCGTTATAAATCTGATATGAAAATTTATCTTATCCCTAAAAACTATGATTCTTCTCTTTATGTTGATGAAAGAATGTTTGAAAGAGACTTAATAAATGGTATTATTGATTTTGAAAAACCCTTGGATAGAAATATCTTCTCAACTTTTAATCCTCATAATATCTTATTGGATTTTAAAAATTTATTAGACTCAAGTCAAAAATTGAATGATCTTAATAAATCAGATAAATCTCCTCTTAAATTAAATTCAGATGAAGCTATGTCTCCCTCTTCAAGCTCTGCTTCTGGTGGTTCTGCTTCTTGTTATTCTTCTCAATTTACTCCAATACTGGAAAATTCAAATAGCAGAGCAAGCTATATCTCAAATGATGATTTAAATTCTCAAAGATATTCCGATTCTTTACCTTTGCCTCCTCCTACTTCGTCAACAAACTCTTCTACTTCATCGTCAGCAAATTCAAATTCAACCCCAATGCTGGAACTTAACCGTTCTGCTCCTCCCCCAACTCCAACTTCATTATCTTCCCTGTCATTACCTTTACTGAAATTCATTTATAGACCTTTACATTCAAATAGAATGCCGCCCTTAATTCCTCTGGGGATTCCTTTCAATAATGAAAAAGTTGGTGATTCTAAAAATAATTTAAGAAATTCAAATGAATCAGTAAGTTCAGGTTCTTCAGGTTCTTCAGCTTCTTTATTAAGTGATTTTAATCAGAGAACTCCTTCTTCAAATAGTTCTGCCACTTCGGTTCATTCCATCGAAAGATTGCCGGACCCCAAAACCAATCCCAATTCAAATAATTCAATGCTTCCTCCTTTTAAGTCAATTTTAAATTATATTCAAAATGACCAAACTGACCAATATGTTCAAAAATGATTAATAGTCATTAATTTATGCGGTTTGCTGTACTGCAAAGGCAGAAATAATATCTACATATAAGTGATCTACGCTATTAATCGATTATTTATTCTCTAAAATTCATGAAAAGCTTTAATGACAACTCCACTTAATGATTACCCCTTTAATGAAACTTGTTGATGTTTTTTTTTTTTTTTCTGTTTTCCATTTTCATATTTTTATACTTCAACATTTCTATGTAGATTATTCTTTTGCTAGTACAGCTATTTCAATTCTTGATATTTCATTCTTTTTCAATTAATATTTTATAAGTGCTTACAATATATTTCATTCTTTAATCAATTTGTTATTTTTTTTGTTATTATTTAGTTTTTATACATATTTTAAACATTTAATGAAACAGATTCATTATGGATTTGATTTTTAAATGGTTCTAAAGCTTTAGCAACATCATTTTGAACAAATTTTTCAGTTTGTTGTGGAGCTCTACCAACAAAAGTAGAAGGATCTAATAATTTATCCAAATCATTCCAAATTGGCTCAAAATATTTAGTATTTCTAACTCTTTCAATTAAATCATTGTCACCACCTTCTTGTTTAACAACTGCACTTGCTTGATGAGATAAAACTCTAATTTCTTCGTGGCAATCTTGTCTTGAAGCACCTTTTTCAACCATTGCCATAATGATATTTTCAGTAGCCATAAATGGTAATTCAGACATAATTCTTCTTTCAATAACTTTTGGATAAACAACTAATCCACTAGTAATATTAGTTAAAGTTGATAATAAAATGTCAGCAGTTAAAAAGGCAGAAGGAATTGAAATTCTTCTAATTGCAGAATCATCTAAAGTTCTTTCAAACCATTGAACTGAGGCAGTTTGAATAGCATCGTTTAATAAACCACCCAAATGTCTTGATAAAGAACAAACTCTTTCACATCTCATTGGATTTCTTTTATAAGCCATGGCAGATGAACCAATTTGAGATTTTTCAAAAGGTTCTTCGATTTCCTTTAAATTAGCTAATAATCTAATATCAGTAGCAAATTTATGACAAGTAGCACCTAATGATGCTAAAGGACTTAAAACATCAATATCAATTTTTCTTGAATAAGTTTGACCGGTAACTGGATAAACGTGTTCAAATCCTAATAATTTAACTACGGTTTCATCTAATAATTCAACTTTATCGTGATCACCATGGAATAAAGATAAGAAAGAAGCTTGAGTACCAGTAGTACCTTTAACCCCTCTTAAGCCAATATCATTTCTAGCCCTAACCATATTTCTTAAATCCCATAATAATTCTTGAATCCATAAAGTAGCTCTTTTACCAACGGTAGTTAATTGAGCTGGTTGAAAATGAGTCCAACCTAAAACTGGTAAATCTTTATATTCTAAAGCGAATTTTGATAATCTATCAATAACGTTAACTAATTTTGGAATAATAACATCATAAGCATCTCTTAAGAAAATCAAATCTGCATTATCAGTAACGAAACATGAAGTCGCACCTAAATGAATAATACCAGCAGCATCTGGACAAGTTTTACCAAAAGTATGAACATGTGCCATAACATCATGTCTAACTATAGCTTCTTCTTTGGTAGCAGCAGCAATTTCTTCATCAGTAATTTCCAAATGATTTTTCATTTGTTCAATTGCTGAATCACTGATAACATTTAAACCAACTTCTTTTTCAGCAATTGCTAAATTATACCATAATTTTCTCCAAGTTGAAAATCTATTTCTTAATGAAAAAATTTTTGACATTTCTTCAGATGCATATCTTGAAGATAATGGGGTAGAGTATTTATCATTAGCAGACATCTTGATTACTATATTTACACTTACTTAAGAGAAATCAACTCCGAAAAACTGAAAATTCAACGTTATTTATATATTCAATTTCAAAATCTCCCAATTCTGGGGGCAGCCCATGCTCATTTCCTGATATTTTGACTCTGCACCCATCTCATTAAGGTAAACACCGGTACATCACAACCCCGGTACAAACCGGTACACCATTCAAAGTACACCTACAGAGACCGTGACTGAAATTCTATTCGACTATGATACATGATACAGGTGACGGATCACGACTCTTCATCGCTAGGGTACTCTTGAGACTCGTCTTGCGCTTGGCCGCTTGTGTTAATTAAATCTTCATTCAACACCTGTTTCTCTTCCGCTCCTTGTAAGAAGAGGGAATACACTGCACCTTTGAAAAGAGTGTAAACGAGTCCTATCTTCAACTCAAGGCCCCTCAAGGTTTCGGCCAACTCAGTGGCAGACCCGTCTATTTGGTCTAGCGAATTCTCCGAAGTAGTCTTCACATTGGTGTGATTGAGTTTTCGTATCTCGTCCGATAACGTGTTTAGCTTGACCGCCAACAATTGGTACTGCGCAAGAATCTGGGCCTCCAAAGGCAGGAGCAGCGGGTCCTTCGAGTAGTCCGCCGTTAATATATCCTTGGCCATCCTGGTGTTAACCGACTGGAAAAGCTTATTGAAGCGGTTCTGTTGGTTGTTTATCTTCTCGGTTGGGCCAAAACGTATTGGTACGAACACGTAGAAATCGAGGATCAGGAAGTTACAAAACCCGTGCACCAAACGTTATAAGCCATTCTCCTACATATAAAGTATAAGAATAGAGAAGATGAAATTTGAAAAAAAGACTGACAAAGCAATCCGAGTGCAAGTTTTTGATATATTAAGAGTTCATTTGGGTAATTAGAAACCAATTGGGGGTCAGAAGATATCAAATTGATAGTAGAAAGGGGAAGAACACTTAGTTGAACCATGTCTGCACCAGCTACTGCCAATAGTACGTCATCGGCTACTACACCATCAGTTACACCAAATTCAGGTAACGAAGCCAAAGCTCAATCCAATGGAGTTACTAATGTTACTGTTGATCCTAAGGATCGTAAGAAGAAGTTAATTCGTAAGCAAGGAGGAACCAATCCAATCAAATATCAATTATGGTTGGCAGGACATGCCAGTGCCATTGTGTTTGGGTCGATTAGTTTTGTCTTTCAAATTTTATGGTTACCAAATAAATTCTACATCAACTCAATTGCTTATAGATTATCGTTGTTAGGATCAATTACTGCATTGACTGCAACTTTATCTCATAAATTTGGTTTAAGTTACTTACCTCCTCACTCAACTTTGGTTGCTCAGCAAAACTTCCAATATCTTGTTTTAGCCGTTGCTTGGATCTTTACTTTTAAATCAATATTCAAAATTATTCCTTATTACTTAATTGCAGTCTTACAATTATCCAATCATAAAAAAATCGATGCGGTTTTGAAACAAGCTCCATTTTTAGCTTCCATCATTGCATATGATGAATTGTTCTTAATTGGTTATTTATTAATTAGAACTGTTTTCTTTAGAAATACTTCTGGTTATCAATTACTTTTATTCCTTTTCTTTTACTGGTTGAGAATCTTGTACAACAAGGAAACAACCACCTTGTTCAAAGCAATCATTGAAAGATTGGATGGTAAAGTGGCTCCAATTGAAAATGAAAAAGTTCAACACATATGGGGTAAAATCAAATTGTTCTTAGACGATAAACAACATTCTAATGAATACTAATCCTCCCATATCTTTTGATATTCCACTTGTTCTGTTAGTATATATACTTTCTGTTTTATTAGTGAATGAAATCCGTACATTTTTCCTTTTTTGCTGTATATTAAATTTTCTGTAGAAAAAAGGGTCATAGTTAACACTCAGTCTTGTTTTCTTCAATTGAACCATATTCCAGTAGAGTTGACTCCTGAAATAACACATCAATTGAACCATGTCTTCTCCAATCGTCTACCAATTAGGCCACGAGCCTTTGAAAGATCATTGTTTTTCGCCAAACCGTGATATCTTAGCAATCACCAAAAACAGCACCGTTGAAATTTATAAAACCGGAACCGCCAAACCCCAATTGATTGCAGTTTTAAAAGAACACGATAAAACGGTTACTTCTGTTGATATTTCTCCAGATGGATCTAAAATCCTTACTTGTTCTCAAGATCGTAATGCGTTAGTCTGGGAATGGAATCAACAAGTCCAAGAATATAAACCAACTTTGGTATTATTGAGAATTAGCCGTGCTGCTACTTTCTGTAGATGGTCACCATTGGGTAATAAATTTGCTGTTGGATCGAGTGATCGTATCATTGCAGTTTGTTACTATGAAGAAGAAAATGATTGGTGGGTTTCAAAACATTTAAAGAAACCTTTAAAATCAACAATTACTAGTTTGAGTTGGCACCCAAATAATGTATTATTAGCAAGTGGTTCAACCGACGGTCATGTTCGTGTGTTCTCTGCTTACATTAAAGGATTAGATTCGAAACCAGAACCTTCCGTTTGGGGTTCTAAATTACCGTTCCAAACTTTAGTTGGTGATTTCACTAATGAAACCGGTGCTTGGATTCATGATGTTGATTTTAGTGATGACGGTAATTCGTTAGCTTATGTTAGCCATGATTCTTCTATTGGTATTGTTTACCCTGAAGGTGAGGGTTTGGCACCAAGAGCAATTATTAATGTCAAGACTAATTATTTACCATTTAAATCTTTAGTTTATTTGAATAACAATACTATTGTTGCTGGTGGTCATAATTGTAACTTGATTGTCTTTCAAGGTAACGAAAATGGTTGGAAAGAAGCTTATCACGTTGAAAAACAAAAAGATTTAATTAAAGACGTTCCAATCCCTGGTGGTGAAGAAGAAGATGAAGAAGAAATCTCTTCTCATGATGCTTTAAACATGTTTAAACAAATGGATTTGAAAGGCCGTGTAAATAAACCTGGTAAAGCCACTGGTTCTGGTAAAGTTTTATCAACTATTCATCAAAATACCATTGCTAACGTAAGATTATACCATGGTAATCAAGTTAGTACCGCTGGTATTGATGGTAAAGTTGTGATCTTCTCTATTTAAACTTGATAAATACATCTACATTATAATTTATTCGTAATCATGTATTAAAATCATTATAAACCATTAAACACTATTATTTGTTAGTATTCTAAATCAATCGCTAAATGAACATTTCATTCAACTAATTAGTTATTAATCAGTTATTGAGCTTTGGTATAAGGTTATCTTCAGAATATTTGGTTCAGAAGCAGAACTGAAAAAAAAAGGTTTTTCATCACAATAACTAATCGGTGAATGAATCTTATTCGTAAAAGTAAAAAAAACATACTCATCAAAATCCGATCTTGTCCCAATTAACCGAAACAATTCTCCAAAATCTAAAACTTGCAGTTAGTATTTCATGTTTTCAATAAGAGAGAAACAAAGATCTTTAGCAAGGTATTCATGCTCATTCATAAATGAATGAGTAAAGGTCAGATGGTGATGCATGTTGTTTATCCATGGCTCAGGATTCACCGGACAGAATGTTGTGAGAACGATCATCATAAAAAAGTTTCAAAAATACACTTGCAATAAAATCCTTCAGTTGCTTAAGCACATACTCTTTCCGCAAATTAGAACATATTCATCCTGATAATATGAACAGTCTATTAAACAGTCTATGAGACAGTCTATGAAACAGCTAGTAATGAAAAATTTTCAGTTGGAATCTTTTTTTTTTTATAGTTACAATGAGACTTTTAGGTGTCGCCGGGTAACTACCCTCAAACACTTCCTTCGAGGGTTCGGGATACACACCGGTACACCAGCTGAATCACACACCGGTACACCAGATATTGTTCATAATCAATGATAATCGGCAAAGATGGCTCCACGATAGAAATATTCTTGCAAAAGATTATTAAATCTCGATTCTGATATCATGGGTAGTTATACTTACGCTGTACAATTAAAAATTCTCCGGGGCTTTAGAGGACCAGGTTATCTGAAAACGATTAGAGATCGATTTGACTGCAAAAACTAACCTCAGTGGTATGGGAAGCAAAGCACGAATTGTCAAATCTCAAATAGCAGCACTCTGCCAGTGTTGCAGCAGACAGTCCGACATGCCTCACTAGCTAGAGCTCGTGAGAGCTCGTCGTGGAAAGCTATTGGTTGTTGTTTTGAAAGCATCTCCGGTGAAACGTTGTGCACTCAGCCTGAATTGAAAAAAAAAAAATGATTAGCACAGAAGGATGACTTCAGAAGATTGCTTAAATCTAAATAAGTTTGGCTAGCAGATTAGCTATTGATTCTAACTAAAGAGTATGACATACCCAGCTGAGTTCAGATATCCTAACGGTGGGAACCAAGGACTGGAACAAACCCTGAGTCAATTCCACAATAAGGGCTTGAACATTAGCATCGATGAAGGTGACAATCGAGACATTAGAAATTCAAGAGATAAAGAGACTAATGAAGGTGATCAAGCTTCTGGAGCCCTGATTCCAAAGTCTCTTCTGTGGTCGGTGATTAATGGAGGTAAGCATCCGAATCATGTACCACAGACTCCGGGGACAGTGCCAGACTCAAATGGTAAAAGCCCCAGGACCGTATCAGATACGGCCAACTCAGCTCGTTCAGGTAGAGCCCATTCGACTCGATCAGGGTCAGATGACTATTATGATTTGGAAGCTGCAGCAGCATTAGACCATTCTCGTCGTTTTTCAGCCGGTGATATATTTCGAGGCCCATATAAAGCAAATTCATCACTGCAAAGACCATTTTTTCAAAGATTTCTTAATAACAAGTATAGTGTGACCAATCCAAATTCCCCTTTTGATTTACACCATCATCCAAACACTAGCTTTCTTGACACATCTAGTGTTTGTTCAATTGACATTGAAGAACAACAAAGAAGATTGGCTCATATCAATAGTTTGAGACCACAAAAATTGATCGGTAATTATAAAAGCTTAGCTAATTGGATGGTTTCTTATCGTAATGATGTTAAATCAATTAAAAATAAAAAATTAAGAAAATTTTACGAAGATCAAAATCATTTAATCGAAAGATTTACTGAAATTGATAATTTTCTAGATGCTGGTAAAATTCATTATAATATGCTTAGTACTTATGGAAATCTTCAACAAAGAGGATTTGACATTTTAGATCCTCATGATGAGACACCAGAAAATAATCAAAATATCCCTAATGGTAATCAATATTTCGCTAATGAAGAAACTCCGTTAAATCTAGATTTAGATAATACAAAATACCAATCTTTAAATTTAGAACCAAACGATGAAAGTTATAATACTCATAATTCTAAAAAATCAAGGTTCCATGATTTACCAGGAAATATTACCGAAGGAGCAAAATTCTTAGGATATGATGAAAAAACTGACCAAAATGATGTTTATATCGCTATATTGGTTAATTTCTTCATTAATTTTATTCTATTAATTGGTAAGTTTATTGTTTCTATCTTGACCAATTCCATGTCAGTTGTTGCTTCATTAGTTGATTCCATATTAGATTTCTTATCAACTTTTATAATCTTTTTCGCTAATAGACTATCGACAGCTCAAAATGCAAAATCTCAACATGCTTACCCAGTTGGGAGATCTCGTTTAGAACCATTAGGTGTTTTGATCTTCTCGATAATCATTATATTAGCATTTTTCCAAGTTGGTCAAGAATCGTTTAAAAGATTGTTTTTAAGTGATGCTGTTGATCGTAATGCAGTTAAAATAGGCTGGGATGCAGTTCTAATCATGACCATTACAATTATCAGTAAAATCTGTTGTTGGGTTTGGTGTTCTAGTAGTAAATCAAGTTCTGTTCAAGCTTTGGCTCAGGATGCAATGACGGATATTATTTTCAATATAGTTTCATTGTTAATGCCTAGTATTGGTTTTATTTTCAATATTTGGTGGTTAGATCCTTTAGGTGCCTTGTTATTATCTATTTATATTATTGCATCGTGGTCAGCCACTGCTTATGAACATATTGATAATTTAACAGGTGCAGTTGCTGATCCCCTAGATTATCAAGTTATATTATATTTAGCATATAGATTTGCTGAGTCAATTAAACAAATTACTGCATTAAAAGTCTATCATGTTGGTGATAACGTTAATGTTGAAATTGATGTTATATTCAATTACGAAGATTTAGATTTAAACTTAAAAGATTGCCATGACATTGCTGAAGCATTACAATATTCCATTGAAACATTACCAATGGTGGAAAGAGCATTTGTTCACATAGAATACATGGAAGGTAATTTTAAGGGCCATCTACAATAAGTAATTTCTTGTTTCTGATATAAAAAATCAATTAATATAAAACATGAATAGTTATTCAAATTAATACACAAGTTGTAGCTATTATTATAATAATGCAACTGCAACTGCACCAACGAGTGCACCAACTGGTGCAACATAAGCATCAGCTCCAGCTTTAGAAGAAGACCCGGAGTTAGAAGAAGATCCTGAAGATGAGGATTTGGAATGATCTTTGCCAAAATTCAGTACTCGACTATGAGCCCTACTCGTGACATGACTATAATCACTATCGAGAGTACTCTTAACACCATCAGCAAAGGATTTAAAACGGTTTCCACTATGGGTATTATGCTCTAATTTTGATTTGAGCGAACTATCACCAACATGATCTGCCCTTGATTTAGCATTAGCATACCAGCTTTGAGATTTCGCATCAGAAACAGCAGTATTGATGCCACCCTTCACTTGAGAAACACCTTGCTCAACATCAGATTTAACATTATCGAAAGCATTGGCTTGAACTTTAATTGGTGCCAAAGCAAGTGAAAAAACGGTTAAAAAAATAGAAGTATGCATAATAGGTAACTTTAAAACAAAACAAAACCCCCTGAAAAACGATAACAAGATTCACTCAGTGACAAGAATTTTGTAAAGATGAAAATTTGAATATCTGTCGTCCTATAAGCAATAAGAAATATATTTATATTTCTCACTGTCCTTTTTTCTTTTGTTACGATTTTAAGCTATTTGCTAACAATATACAAAAGTTAAATAGAAGAGAGAATATTTTATTGTAATCATAGACTATAAACAATACCAACTGTAACTAAAAAAAGCATTATCATTCCTCCATCTTAGGAATATTCCTATGTATTTCGCATCCAGGGCCAATTCTATGTTATTTTTTGTTCAATGTGCATGCGCACTGCCAGCCAGCCCTCACATACTATCTATCTGAGCCTCTAACCGGAGACTATTCTACTGGTACAAACTTAGTTTTGGCATGACACTTAAGTCTGGTCTTCAATCTAGTTCGAGGGAGAAAGTTGAGGGCACAGTGCGGTCAGTTGAAGATTGTATCTGTGCTATAAATGAATGGGTATCAAACTAAACTCGTGTGAGAGTTATTCAGAATGGCTGTGAACTTGGACCTTGATCCATATTTCATGATGCTAGCATTGTTATAAGACAATTGTTGAGAAACAGTCTGTCATGAGCCATCAGGGTAACAGGGCCCTTTAAAACAATACGAGCAGCTGAATTATTTTTGAGTAACATTTCATAAGACCTCTTATGATTCCAGTAGCTTATTGTTTTTTTTTTTGCCATATTTTGGATTAAAGTAAGAGCAAATATATCCAGCAGTTATCCAATGAATTACCGGGGCTAAAGCTCATCTAACAAGCTAGCTAAACTCACTTTATATTTGATAAGAATGTCTTCTTCGTTAGCACCACCAATACGTCCAAATTTTTCTAACAAGAGTCGGACGTCATCTAGCATACTTTGCCAATTCTCTGAATTAATGTAAAAATTATCATCATGTTCAACATCCAATATTTTCATTAATGAGGATTCATTCATATGTTTCAACAACTTAACGAGAACCATAGCACTGAAGTAGAAGCAAAAATGGATCTGATCCGATAAATATGCAAAATATGAATCATTTTCAATTACATTAATGGACTTGACTAATAAGTAGGCATGTTGGATCATCTTGTAGATGGATTGTTCTTTACCTGCCTGGAGGATGTATTCAATATTATCTTGATCATAAAATTGAGTATTGGGTTTTAGTTTTATCGATGAAGATCGATAAGTGTAGGTATAATAAACCATTACCAGACAAAAATGATAACACAATTCGACAAACTGCAAAGCAGGCTGACTGAATAAATACTCCCATTGATCATACCAGATATTAATTTCTTCTTTCACTGAAGCAAAACTGGCTTCAATTTCGTCAGTAGTTCTCACTCCTCCGGAGTTCATATTAACTTGAATATAATTATAGGCCACCAATAGTATTTCAATTTCACTAACCATTCTTCCATCGAAATTGGTGGCACTAGGTAAACTCAAAGTGGCGGTACAATAATTAAGTCTGATTTCATCAACAACACACATTCTACCACTGAAAATACAATTAATCAAATGAACCAAAATCAAATGATTATAGATTCTTAAAATTGTCAACGTCTGATATTCATCACTATCAAGTTCATCGTATAATATGGTGAAAGGGGACAATATATCATCATGATCATCTTTTGCTGAATTAGCACTAGCAGACTCATTTCTTCTAAATAAAGAGCCATAAGTCAATTTGGTAATGAAGGTAGTCAATCCGATTCCTGAAAGATACCAAGGGTCTAAATTAACTTCAGATAAATCAAATTCTCCAATCAAATCATCATCATTTTTGTTTCCCGATATGACTGACAGTAACGATAGCAGATAAATAGATAATATAACTAGAGCTTGTAAAAATTCAATATCCCCACCATTTCTTTTAACTCCTTGAAATGAAGCATATTTTAATAAACTTTTATCAAGATCTATAACCAACTGTCTCATTAATAAACTATACGTTCTTCTTTTATCTTTCAATTCCGTTGAATTACCATTGGAAGGTGTTTCATTGAGCAGATATCTTAAAGATAGTACCAAACAAGTTGTTAAAAGGAATGAAGATTTAAATCGTATTCTTTCTATCAAAACTCCTGTTGGAATGCTCAGAGGAAATGAAACCCATCTACCATAATTACGACGAAAGTCATCGATCAAATCTATTGCCTCCATTACACTCAATATCCCCATACTAATAACGTCATCATTTGTATTAAAATAATTCCTTGTGGAAAGCAGTGGATTTAACGAGTTGAATAAACTCAAAATTGGGTAAGGTGTTAGATGAGTATTAGAATGGTTCTGGTTATGAATGAATGAAAAAGGACTCGTTTTTAAAGATGCCGACGCACATTTGAATGAGCCGGTTATATCTTCGAAATCGTCTCCTAATGGACCATTATCAATGATATCGTTCTTGGATGTAGGTTGAAATATCTGCGGTGAGGGAAACCTATAGGGATATTGGCGATTTTCTACCATATGAGAAGCAGATGCACTTACTGGAACCGGTGCATGAGGAGTACTGGGAACGGAAGATTTCTTCATTGAGCTTGCTGCTTCCAATAGCAACCTAGCATCATTACTGGATATTTCAGAATGTGATGGATTTGTTATATTTAAGCTAGAATTTGATCCAGCTTGGTTCAATCTTTTTAGAATTTCGTTAACACCATTGTAAATCATATCAAGTTTTGTATTATTCATCGACTCATTATTCCCGCTTCGCAACTCGCCTCCACTATCACTTGCCATAGAAGTGGTCGGGGTCATGCTAATACCAACATTTGCAAAAGCTGAATCAGGCTCGAATGAACATGGTTTATTAAGATACGAACATCTAACACAAACTCTTGAGTTATCATACTTGATACAACGAACTTTCTGTTTTCGACATGACTCACAGGCTTTCAATGTTCGAGTGGCTTGACCTGATCTTCTGTTATCACGGGAAGTCTCCACCTGTTTAGCTGACTGCAATCCAGTAGGTGTCTCCAAAAAATCTTTTGAATGGGCATTTGAGCTACCACCAGTTCTTCTCTTTTTAGAAACAGGATCTTTGTTTGATCCCTGTGAAGGTATCTTTGGCATTCTCAGTGTATATCAAATGAGCGATTCGTTTCTTTGTGACAACTTTCAAGGGTCCAAGCTTCTCCAGACTCACAATCGATAAAGAATGGTTTTACGGTTAATTTTTCAGCTGGGGAATGATTTATGCTTTTGTCTTGATTTTTCAATTTTCCGCCGAGGGATTCCGCAGGAGTTTTAAATTAAAAAACAAAAAAAAAAAAGGTGAAAAATAAAGGCGCGGTACGGAGGTCAGAAGTGGAAAATCCGGGGTAACGCTATCTATTCAGCTATTTACTCTTATATAAGTTTATAAGTTGTTTGACTCTTACCATCGGATTCCTTCATACATAGGTTCAATTCAATTATCTTGACCCCCCTATTTATGGTGAGATGATCAAAGTCAATGATACCTTTATATTCAATTATACCTTTTTTCAAGTTGTTATTATCTGTGATGACATAATTACCAGTGTAAATGACATTATAGTCTTTATCTAGATTATGCATGGTGGGATGCTTATGTTTCCTTAGCTTCTTTGAATCGTTTAACGGAACTTCGTGTACTCTTCCACTTCCTCTTTCGTGGGTTTTGGCTTGTGCCTCTGATGTATTTAGACGGTCTAATTTCAAACCGGCCGCCACTAATAAGTCACTAATGATCGTCGTGAAATTGATCAGTTTGATACTCCAATGGGGGCTGATGACGTAATTAGTTTTCCCTTCCGACTTATCCAATTCAATATCGAATCTTATTCCAGAAATGGTTGGATGCTTAGGTTCTACCCAAATATCAAAATTGGAGCTTTGATTTATATTGATGGGCAAGCCAAAGATCTCTCTTATTGATGATTGGATGGACGCGGTTTCAAGCACCTTATATTGAATATTGTCAGTTATCAAGAGCTTTAGGTAATTATCTTTATCTGAGATTTTTCCAGGTTCCGAGTTCAACTGGTTCATTTCGGTTTGGAGATATTCAAAGTACTCGGGATCAAAATAATAGATATGGTCAGGATACCTATACCTTGATACATATATCCAATTACAATTCAACCATATTGGCAAGAAGATTGACTTTGTGGTAATGTCACCTTCATTGCCCGATTCGACTTGATCCTTTAATTGGTCAATTTGCCAGAGCAAGTATCCTGCCATAGTCAAAGAGCTGGAGGTCACTATTAGCATCAAGATGGTCTTGAACGGTAGTCCATTATTGTTCTGGAACAGTTGACCTCCTGGAGTTATGAAGTTGGGATTATTTTGTATGGTATTTTTAACCAACTGCTGTCTCATTAGATAATCGTACTTCTGCTTTTCATACTCCGGATTATATCGGTGGGGACTCGATTGATATGGTCTATAATGTAGACTAGTATGTTTTTGGCTAGAGGGTTCATTACCCCACGATCCATAAAAGCAGCGAGAGTTTGCCACCACTCCACGATTTAACCGTGCCATTGGACCGCACCTGATCATTCTTCCTGAAAAATGTTTGTATTCAATGCTAAATGAAACCCGAAAAGTCTGAATCCACTAGTTGACCTTGGTTTTTAGGAAAACTTACGATATATTTTTATCCTGTAGTCAAAAAAAAACTACCTTTTGTTTTATTTTTTTTTTTTATTTTATTTTTTTTTTTTTTTAAACTCTTCGCACACCGTATATCAAGATCGCGGCTCAAGATAGTTGAAGATCTACAAATGTACTTGTTAAAACGATAAATCTTCTATAATACTAATGTTACAGGAATTACTCATCTTCCAAGTCCGCCCAATTGAATGACTTGTCTTCTAGTTTTTCAAACATTTGTTTGACTTCTTCTTGTAATTGTTGTTCATGAAGCGCTTTTTCAGCTAACTTCTTGCGGGCTTCTTCTCTTTGAAGCTCTTCCTTTCTTTGTCGAGGGGTCTGGTATCGAACTTTCGGTTCCCGCTTTGCGGGCGGTCTCTTCTCGTCACTAAGGGATGTACGTGACAATCTGGATGTTATGTCGTTGCGATTGTCTTTACCACCCAGACCAGACGAAGCAGGTTTCATACCCAATCTGGATGCAAATGATTGGGCTGCATCACTCATGGGTGGCAATGGCTCCTCCTCGTTCTCACCTCCTGCTTCTTTATCCTCTTCTTCTTCTTCACTTTCCCACTCGTCATCTTTCTGCTCCCTTTGCTTGTGTGGAATTTTTTTGGTCGAATGGGGTTTCCCCTGTTTGGAGTGGGAACCAGGATTGAGCCCCAATCTGGAGGCAAAGTCTTTCCCGGCCGGCGTCAACTCTGGTTTTTCACTTTCCTGCTTGTCCTCCTCCAATTCTTCATGTCCAGCAGTAGATGGGGGTGAGGGATAATGTTTGCCACTGGGGCCATTGGGAGCTGCAAAACGGTCTCTAATGTTTCTGTGTTTGGTAGCAGAATGCTTGTTATTGTGTTTATTGGAATATTTCTTATTGGAATGGGGGTTTTGTCTGGAATTGGTCTTTTCACTTGGTTCAGTTTCGTCATCTGCCCATTTACTGGCTAATGGTTTAGACGTTTTGCTAACCACTGGAGCATGCGAGTCCTTAGCATCGTCATCTGCCCATTTGCTGGCCAACGGCTTGGACTTCCTACTCACAACAACTTTAGAAGGAGATTCTGTTTCTTCCGATGCCCATTTAGAGGGAAGGGCCGACATTCTGTGAGCAAAACGCAAAAAAAAAAAAAAGGGTGCAAATACGTCCAATCAAAGCAATTGGCTATTGGCTGAAAAAGATTCTTTGGTTAATATGATGGCTTACTGCTAATCCTCTGCCGCGAGTATTGTATGGTTCTACCGTTAGTATTGAATGATATGCTGGACATTGGTCTTGTTTTTCCTTTCTACTAGGATTAAAAGTGCGGACTTTCTTTCCGCCCCCCCAAAAAAAACAAACCCGTGCAACTTTTTCGTTGTATTTATTTTGGTTCCATTTTTTTTTTTTTTTTTCATATTTTTCACTTTGAACATATTGCCAGCTCCGAAAACTACAAAAAGAGCCCTAAGAGCGGCATATAGATGTAAGGAGCACCCGGGAAGCAAGGGCCATTGGGCATTTAGGGCATTTTCCCAGCAATTGCCATGGTTAACTGGTGCTGGAACGGATCAACCGCGTAGTGGTGTGGTTAGCACGGTCAGGTGGTTGTTTCGTAGAGGAGTTTTTTTCTCGCACAAGTCTTGACCGACACATTATTGGACAAATTGCTAGTAAATTCCCTCCAGAACGTTTTTTTTCCCTTTGCAAGCTTATTAAGCTTACTCCGTTTGACTGAAATCCATCAGTTCGCAATTATTAACCTATATAAAATACCACAACTTCCTCACTAGCGAAAAAAAGGAAAAAATTGGATTTTTTAGTTTCTCTCCTTTTTTGTATATTGAACAATTTCATTAACTCCATTCTAATTACAATGGCTACTTACTCTGATTTTAAATTGACTACTGAGTTACCAAGCTACCAAGCTTTGGAAAAGCTTTACAAGCAATCTGGGAAAGACTTCAAAGTTGCTGAAGCTTTCCAAAAAGATCCAAAAAGATTTGAAAAATACTCAAAGACCTTTGCCAACTTTGACGATTCTAAAATTTTATTTGATTTTTCTAAGAATTTAATTGATGACGAAATTTTATCTCATTTGATTCAATTGGCTAAAGATGCTAAGGTTGAAGCTTTAAGAGATGAAATGTTTGCTGGTGCTCCCATTAACTCTACTGAAGGTAGAGCTGTTTACCACGTTGCTTTAAGAAATAGATCTTTGAAACCAATGAAGGTTGATGGTGAAGATACTGCTCCAGAAGTTGATTCTGTTTTACAACATATGAAGGAATTTTCAGATGAAGTTAGATCTGGTAAATGGACCGGTTACACCGGTAAAAGAATCACCGATGTTGTTAATATCGGTATTGGTGGTTCTGACTTGGGTCCAGTTATGGTCACTGAAGCTTTGAAAGCTTACTCTCAGCCAGGCTTAAACGTTCATTTTGTTTCAAACATTGATGGTACTCATTTAGCTGAAACTTTAAAACCATTAAACCCAGAATCCACTTTATTTTTAGTTGCTTCTAAAACTTTCACCACTGCTGAAACTACCACCAATGCTAACTCTGCTAAAAAATGGTTTTTAGATACTGCTAAAGATTCTGCCCATATTGCTAAACATTTTGCCGCTTTATCTACTAACGCTGAAGAAGTTTCTAAATTCGGTATTGATACTAAAAATATGTTTGGTTTCGAAAGTTGGGTTGGTGGTCGTTACTCCGTTTGGTCTGCCATTGGTCTTTCTGTTGCCATTTATATCGGGTTTGATAACTTTAACGACTTTTTAAAAGGTGCTGAAGCTTTAGATCAACATTTTGTTGAAACTCCTTTGGAAAATAATATTCCAGTTTTGGGTGCTTTATTATCTGTTTGGTATAATAATTTCCATGGTGCTCAAACTCACTTGGTTGCTCCATTTGATCAATACTTACATAGATTCCCAGCTTATTTACAACAATTATCAATGGAATCTAATGGTAAATCGGTCACTAGAGGTAATGCCTTTACTAATTATCAAACTGGTACCATCCTTTTCGGTGAACCTGCTACCAACGCTCAACATTCTTTCTTCCAATTGGTTCATCAAGGTACTAAATTAATCCCAGCTGATTTCATCTTGGCTGCTCAATCTCATAACCCAATCGAAAATAACTTACACCAAAGAATGTTGGCTTCTAATTTCTTTGCTCAAGCTGAAGCTTTAATGGTTGGTAAAGATGAAAAACAAGTTGAATCTGAAGGTGCTAAAGGTGGTTTGATTCCTCACAAAGTCTTCTCTGGTAACAGACCGACTACTTCCATCTTAGCCCAAAAAATCACCCCAGCTGCTTTAGGTGCTTTAATTGCCTACTACGAACATCTCACTTTTGTTGAAGGTGCTATCTGGAACATCAATTCTTTCGACCAATGGGGGGTTGAATTAGGTAAAGTCTTGGCCAAGGTTATCGGTAAAGAATTAGATACTACTGAAAAAGTCTCTACTCATGATGATTCCACCAAGGGTTTGATTAACCAATTCAAAGAATGGTCTTCTTAACTAACAACAGATTCATCTGATCGTTCAACGAAATTATGAAAACGTAAATGGATTTTAGTTTGTCTTTATTTAAATTTCTTCTTCTCAACAATCATATTGAATAAGCTGATTGGCCTTGTTTAATACTCTTGCTTTTATTATACGTCATTATAATCTTTAATTGAGTTTTGTAGTTTTTTCAATTTATGTGCAGTTCTCAGTAATGAGCTTTTTTTTTTTTGATTTTTCTGATTTTTAATTTTTTCTTTCAAACTCTTCGGTTTCGGTATTCTTCAATAGAAGTAATCCTGTCAGATAAGAGAAACTAGATCCAAGGAATCCACAATGTCTGACCCTATAGATCCACCAAGTGCCACCGAGCTTGAACAAGAAGAATTAGACCACCCAATGAGGGTTATAATAATCATTAATTCTCCTGACGTTCCAGATGCAGATATGGATGAAAGATTGTTGGATAACATTCAAAGCTTTGACGCTATGAATGCTTTCTTTGATAGCTTTGATGAGGCCATTGCCATTCCTAATGATGGCCATATCAAATATGAAGTAGGCAGTGATGGTCTTGTTGTTATAGTGGTTGACTCTCGTGATTTGAAATTGAAAGCCTTAGGATGGATAGACGATTATCTGGCAAAACTCACCAGCACCGCTGCCAGCACTAACGATGAAGGTGATGAAGATACTGAACCATCTAAAAAACAGAAGAAATAGATTCCCTACTGCTTCTGTATAAACACGTCTACGACTCCTATTAATGCATTTGTTCTTCGCTTAAATGACCAGTTTGTCCTTTAGTGAAGTTCACTTTACTTGAAAAGTGATCTCACTTGATTCATGTCTTTGTATATTAGTATTATATAATAAATGTCCGTACATTTTACTCCAGAGTTTACTTTCTTCTTTTTCTATTATTATTATTCTTGATTTATCTGATACCCGGCTCCTCGAGGGGACCCACATTTTCAGCCCGAGTCAATTCTCCTTGTTTTTCATACTCGTAGGAACCGTTCTATGTAGGAGACCTGTGATTCTTAAGCTGATTGCAGTAATTAATCACGGTGTACGGGCCTTGTGCTAAAAAAATATCTATAGAACAAATAATCAAAGATTCTTATGAACAACTATTCAACAATTCGAAGTAAGCTAGAAGGTTGAATTAATCAATTAAAACAAATAGTGTATTCGAGTAAACTCATTATATAATGGAAGATTGGAGAAGAATTGATATTGACGCTTTGGAACCAGAAAATCACTTATCTAAAGAAGATTTAATACCGGATTTGCCAGCCACCTCCTATGATCAAATAGCAGCCTTATCCAAACAAGTTAGATCATCATTATCACTGGGTCAATTCTTACAAGCATTGGTTTTGGTTTTGGACAATCCACCATATGTTGCTGACGAACAAACCAAAACTTTACACGCAGAGACCGTTTTCGAAGTCTTGATTTCCATTAGAAATAATCATAACGCTAATGACTTATCAAATTTCATAAAACAATTAGATAGTGATCAACAAGATACTTTGGTGAAATATTTATATAAAAACATGAGTACTCCATTTGGTGCCAAACAAGGTGGTTTGTTATTAGGTTGGTTTGAAAAAACTGTTGAAATTACTGGTTTGGGCCCAATTGCCCGTTTTATGACCGACAGAAGGACCGTTTGATTTAAATCACCTTCTTGTATATTATGAGTTTAAAAGAAATAAAAGATGTTATAAATGATTCAATAAATTAAACGTTCAAATTATATAATTGTAGAGTTGGTCTTATTATATTAAACAAAGCTAAATACATAAAAAAGAAAATTAAAGTATTGAAACCTACTTAGTTGGACTGTGTTTAGCCAACTTATCCTTAGATCTATTATTCGAAGCTTTTCTTTTCAAAGTCTTCTCTGCCATTAAGTTTTGAACCAAGCCTTTATAATTTGGGGTATTAGAATTTTTTAAAGGACTTGAATTTGTACTTGAGTTCATGCGCTTGTTAAAGTGTGGTTTTTCAATTTTATCACTGAAAATATCTTTCGTGGCGTCAAACTTGGAGCCCGGAGATGGATCTAAAAATGGATTTAACAGAGGACTGGATAAAGAAATAGGCTTGTCGGGACTCAGTAACTTATTAAATTTTTCAGTAACTTGAGCAACATTTCCCTTCATATCTTTCTTCAATGAAGATATTTCTTTTATTGAATTCTTGTATTTGCTGTTGATAAGTTTATTTTCATTTCTTACTTCTTCATTTTCTTTAAGTGAGTCATTATATTTATCAACGATCGTTTTATTTTCAGACTTGAGCTCTTCGGAAGTTGCTAATACTTCTTGATAAGAAGAATTCAAAGTATCAAGTTCACTCTCTACCAGAACTAATTTTTCATTTGTGGCATTAAGATCTTCACTTTTGTTAGCTATTTCATCGTTAAGACTAGATATCATTGAACTGCATTCAACCTTATGTTCTTCAAATTCGGTAGATTTTTCAAGAATCAATTTATCTTTAGATTCGATTACGCCATCCTTGGATTCAAGAAGAATATCTTTTTCATCAATCAAAGACAATAACTCCGTTGATTTTCTGGAGGATGTCAATTTCAACTCATTAAATTCCCGAGTTAAAATATCATTCTCGGATTTATGATGGTCAATTTGTTCACTAAGACTAGTATTTTCTTCGGTTAAAGAAGTTATCATATCTTTTTGACTATCGATCGTAGAGTTGTTCTCGTCAATTACCTTAACGTAACTTTCATTTTCACTGGTCAATTGTTGAATAGACTCATCTCTTTCACGTAACAATTGGAACTGTTGAGCAAGTTCTTCTTTAATTTCTTTCAAATTCGAATCATTAGTCTCTTTCAAAAATTCGATTTGCTTTTTGAAGCTTTCATTTTCTGCCTCAATTCTTTGGTATTCAGCTTTAAAAACTGAATTATCCATTTCTACTTCATCAAGTTTTTTCTTAAGCGATTCCAACTCCGTTTCCAAATCTGATTTAGAATCGATTATTCCTTTGTTTTTGTCATTAAGGGCTTCGATACTTAGTTTCAAGTTGAGAATTGTTTGATTCAAATTATTGTGGCCTATTCTGTAGTTAGAAAGATCTATTTGAAATTGATTGACTTTTTCATTTAATTGATCTTTTTGTTGAAGTAAAATTTTATTATTGGTTATGATTATATCAGATTCATTCAATTTCTCTTTAATAGAATTTACTTCGAGCTCATGATCTTTCTTAAAATTAATCAAATCATTATTCAAATCGAGTTTTTCTCGAGTAAGAACCTCAATGACTTTACGGTGATCATTTTGTAATTGTTGATTCTTTAATTCGAGTTCTTGTACCGTTGATTTCAAGTTTTGAATTTGGACTTCATAAAAGTTAGCGGTTAATTTATTGGCAACAGCTGATGATTTATTATGAGGAACTTTGAATCTTGTTGGAGTTTTAATGTGAGACTTTTTGGATATAGGAGAAACACCCGAAGTTGGCTTTATGATTGGATCAAGAGCAATGGAATCATTTTTCGATGGTAAATCGTCAGCTGGGGTTGAAGTAAACATTAACATTGGAGACCCATCGGTACAAAGAATTCGCTTGTTCTTCAATTGATTTGGTACAATACCTTGAATACTAGATAGTTTTGGAGGACTTGAAATTGGAGAACTCGAAGCAGTTGGTCTAGCATAATTTGGTAAGGTAAGATTTGGGGCATTCATTAACACATTTTCATCACTAGATTGAGTATTATCAATTTTAGCTCTTTTTATCAAATGAGCAACGTTATTAAGAGTTGATTTTGTAAGGTTATAATCCCCATATTGATCTAAAGTAAGAATTATTTTAATAGTTCCACGTTGTTTCTGGTTACGAAATATTAAATTGGTGATTCTGTTAGAAGATCTTATCAAAGCAGGATTATTAGGACTATTAGTTAATAATTGAGTGATTGAACTCATGTTCATATTTGCAAATATGTTTGCTGAAGGAACTGCTTTGTCGAATTTTTCATTTCCCATTAAATCAATATAAGTAACTCTCTTGGTATTGTTTCTTGAATAGAAGGTTAAAACCAAGCATGACCTTGAAGATTCATTATTGAAAGAAGTTTTTTGAGTTACCCTTCTATTGAAAACTTTATGTAATAAGCTTTCAGCTAATTTTGGTTTTAGTAATCTTTCCTTTCTTAATTGAGATTCAATTGGAACTGAAGATAGAAATGACTTCTTGGTCTTGGTTTTATCATTTTGTAATAAATCGGAGTAGAATTTATTATCACTTACTTCAAAGGCCGTCACCGAAACTGGGTCTTTTGGTTCAATCTGTTTTATTTTGTCAAATACCAATGATTTGATGGTTGTTGTTTTCCCACTGGATGTAGGACCCATGAAAATATAACACGAAGATTGATTTTCGTCGTTGTCAACGTATTTACTAAATTCATTTGGACTAAACTCAGCAGTGAAGATTCTTTCAAAATCATAATTTTCATTATTAAATTGGATGGCTTTATCTGAGAGTTGTGTGAATACCTTAGTCGATTCTTCGCCCACTTCACTGTAACTATCCAGCACCGATCCCAAGGCAGCACTGCTTGGCTTAATCTTTAAAAATAAAGGTATCTGGGACATATCTTGCCTTTTTCGTTTCGTAGATCAATAGACTCTCAAGTAAAACACCACTGATAAATCAATAACTGCAAATACTTTGCGAATAGTAAACAAACAAACACTCTATCAGCTTACGACTATCGGATTGTGAGTTGGTAAGAAGTGAACGGTTCGTTAAACGAAATTTTGATCATAAATCTCGATGATGTTTTCATTATTTTGAAACATGCCAAATGCAGTAGTTGATACTTCGTCAAAAAAAGACTCGTGTCGCAGATTCCTATTCAGGTCATCATGTCATAAAAATCCAAAATCTTCGACACAGTCACGTGAGTAGATCATTTTACAGTTTACAGTACGGCTATTTGCAGGTTGCATCGAAATCGCACAATCTGAAAAGTTTGGGGGGAATGGCCCCACATATGAAGGAAGGTCGTTCCCATTAGCGTTGGCTGACAAGGCAATTCTTCCATGATTACAACGACAATTGTTTTAAAAGTATTGTCCAGGAACAATTGAGCGATTGAGGGGGTATCCGTAGTCGAAAATACTTCCCAATGAGTTAGTACAGGAGCCGTTCATACTAGTGTAACCTTGGTACAATTTGAGATTTTGCAAAAAAAAAAAATTTAAGACAGAATCTCGAGACAAATTTTTGTGGGGGATGCATTATTGCCAGGCTTTATATAACCATTTTAATCAGTAGATACAGGGAATACAGGCATAATCTAGATCATTCCATTGATTGCGCAAACAATTGGAGTAGTTATTGCTTGAATTTTCGGTGTATTGCAAAACCACGAGCGGAAATTAGGAGCAAGACCGCGAAGTATATAAATAAAGGATACTTTGCTAAAAGTTTTGAAAAGATAGTTGTGAAAAAGGTATCTTTAATTAAATTAATTGAAACCAATAAATATGTCAGGAAACGCACCAATTAAGCTTTCAAGCGGATACGAAATGCCATCAGTCGGGTTTGGCTGCTGGAAAGTCGATAATGATTCATGCGCAGATCAAATTTATAATGCCATTAAAGTTGGTTATAGACTTTTCGATGGTGCTGAAGATTACGGTAATGAAAAACAGGTGGGAGAAGGAATCAATAGAGCTCTTGATGAAGGACTTGTTGCTCGTGATGAATTATTCATTGTTTCTAAGCTTTGGAATAGTTTCCATCACCCAAATAATGTTGAAAAAGCTTTAGATAAAACTTTGAGTGATTTGCAAGTTGATTATTTGGATTTATTCTTAATTCATTTCCCAATTGCCTTTAAATTTGTTCCATTTGATGAAAAATACCCTCCTGGTTTCTATTGTGGAGATGGTGATAAGTTTATCTATGAAGATGTTCCTCTTTTAGAAACTTGGAAAGCATTAGAAAAATTGGTTAAAAAGGGTAAAATTAGATCAATTGGTATTTCTAACTTTACTGGTCCTTTAATTAATGATTTATTAAGAGGAGCTGAAATCAAACCTTCTGTTTTACAAATTGAACATCATCCTTACTTACAACAACCAAGATTAATTGAATACGTTCAATCTCAAGGTATTGCAATTACCGGTTACTCTTCTTTTGGTCCCCAATCCTTTATCGAATTGAATCATCCAAAAGCTGCTGGTACTCCAAGATTATTTGATCATGCTGATATTACTGCCATTGCTAAAAACCATAATGTCTCTTCATCTCAAGTCCTTTTAAGATGGGCTACTCAAAGAGGTGTTGCTGTCATTCCAAAATCGAGTAACCCTGATAGATTATTGCAAAACTTGAATGTTAATGATTTTGATTTGACTAAAGAAGAATTCGATACTATTAGTAAATTAGATATTGGTTTGAGATTCAATGATCCATGGGATTGGGATAAAATTCCTCTCTTTGTTTAATTTCATACAAGTAACATTATATAGTGAATAAATTTTTTTTTCTTTTACTTAAATCTACATAGACACATTGACAAACTTCTAGATCGAATCTAACACAGCTTGTCTTCCTAAATTTAAAATTTTCAATCTTGATACAAAATCATCACGAGTGATATAGGCCCCACAAAGTCTCCTTTTACCGGTGAATTCTGTTCTAGAATGGAAGCATCTCCAATTATCAAAAATTAAGCATTGTCCGGGCTTCAATTGATAGAAGAATTCGTTTTCCGGATCTGAAATAATCAGATACCAATTTCTTAAAGCTTCGTAGAACTTCAAAACATCTTGAGGGTTCTCCCAATCATTCATGGTACTTCTATCCGATTGGTTCCATCTAACTTGAATTAACTCCCCTTGATTATCAAGTTTGAAAATTGGCTGAGGAATATCTGGTTGAATACAAACTTTCTCTTCCCCAGCCGAATGAGCAGGTATTGGCACCTTCGATAATAACTCAAATGATTCAGGATGTTTTTTACGTAAAGTTGATGCACAGTAAAATGCATCAGTTAATGAAGTAGTCCCCCCAGTACCATCATGATACAACAAATGGAATAATTGAAGTCCCGGTGTGTCTGACCAATAAGTTCCATCAGTATGTGATCCAACATCTAAGTTGGTATAAGCAGTGTCAGCTTTTGCTAAATCACTAGTAAAATCCCAAAACCCACCATAATGAGTAGGTCTTATGAACATCAATTTCTCGCATAAGGCTTCGGTGTCTTTGGGATCTACTGGTACATTATCAATAAGACAAAATCCATGTTTCCATATTTTCAAACACCAATCTTTAATGGCATCTTCTTGGTCGGTTTCATCTGACGACTTCATCACTTGGTCAAAGTCGACTTTGGGTAAATGATCTTTGATATATTGAACATCCCAATACTCCCTTTGCAAAGTCTCTTTTTCACCCTTGACTTTAGAATCAATTGGGATTAATTTAGGATTATATGAGTGCCAAATAAGCCAATCGATTGAATATTCACTGCGGTGATTATCCTGATTCCAAATTATAATCACCTTATCATCTTCAATTCTGAATTCAGTTGGTTGGATATCTGGTCTGATGGCTGCACTGTTGAGTAAGCGCTGTTTTGTTATAGCATAGTAGCATTCATCACAGTGACAGTTGTCACGAAGCCAAATATGGTGATATTTCGAAATTTGTCCTTCGTAAGTATTTTTCCATTCAACCAATAACTCAATATCGGTGGCAGAAAGTTTAGCAAGTGAAGTTGAGGTGGGCATTGTAATATAATTCTATCCGACTAGAAATCAAAGTAGTAGGAAAGAGAAGGAATGGGAGGGTATTTAAAGTTATGTCCAATCATTCAGTGAACAAAAAAAAAAATGCCGGGGTAAATTCCGTCTACAGAAACGCTAATAAATTCCGTTTGTACAGGCATTTTCTTTAGTATCGTTTATTAAAGCGTCATTTTATATAGAAGGATTAGTTATTAATCTTAGTTTCTTTTAATTTGGAGTCAATTTGATCAACGGAATCAGAAGGGGTCTTAATTGGTGTTTGTTGTTTGGGGCTTTCACCGTCGGATTCGTCACTGTGCTCACCAAAATGAAGAAAGGATGAATATAAGGTTAATATATCGTCACCGTGTTGAGATGCAAAACTGGATAAATTGACTTGCTTATCAGAACCTTGACTACGTTTCACATTTTCCCCGTGATTTATAAGAGATTTGAAAAGCATCTTTATATCATCTTGATGGTCGGAAACAAAATCATTGAACTTATCTGAATTTCCATTGTTCTTGCTCTTAAGTGTTTCTACAATCTCTTCTGGAGTATAATCTTCCAAAGGTTTCTCTTCTTTTTTATTGTTTTCTTCTTTTTTGAAAAGGTAGTCATATAGTTTACTAACTTCACTCTTGTGATCTTGTGAAGCTTCTGCTTCGTGACTTTCCACCTGGTGGGATTTCTTACTATCGTTTTGGAGTAGAGCTTCAAGTAATGGCTGAGCAGTATTAGAGTCTTCTTCTCCGAGGAATGGTTTGATGATTGGAAGAAGTTTGATAATTGTACTCAAACTAATATGGGGAACAATTGAATCTAATACAGCAACTAATGTAGGATTTGAGGATAACCCTGGGATTAAAGATTGAACAATTTTACTTTTAACAGAATCCATTTTTTTGATTTCCCTTGCTGATTGCTAAAACTATAATATCACTAATGTCTAATTTATGGGATATACAACAATATTTATAACTCTCTCATAATATTTTCTTCTTACTTCACTTCTTCGTTTTCCATATGGACAGCTACACAGCATACTGATTTGTGTTTTCATCACATTGACGAAATCATTTAAACGACCAGTCTCTATACTACCGTGTTAATTAAGCACAAAATTATTATACAAAAATAAATAAATAAATAAAATTGCAACCGATATCACAGATCCGTACATCAGGGCATTTTTGAGATTTTTGATGATGTTTTTCTGTGGGCGCTAACTTGAAATCAGAAGATTTGAACGTTATCGCCATAATTCAAAACTTTTTGCTACCAATTACTTTCTTGAACATTCCTGATCTTAGTTTTAGATTACCTTTGGTACTTTCGACCATCAAATTTATATTTAATCGCTGAGTTTGTTAGCGCAATTTGCTGGTTGCCACTTCCGGTGTTGTCGTCTTTGATTTTTGCTCGGGTCCTCAGGCTCTTTGATAACACAATTTAAAGTTTAATCATCTCAAACTTAGGTGTTTCCTTACCCCATTCTTCAATTAGCAGATATTTGTTTTCAAGTGCGAGTTGAGTTTTCATTTTGTCTGGTATTATATTGTTTGGTTTTTTTATGACAACTTTTGCTTATCAGAGAGAACTAGTTTCTTATTCCGTTTCCTTTTAAAGTTTGTCGCTTTTTAGATCATAACAGAAATTTGTTGTACGTGGTGATTTTTGAAGTCTTCTCTGCTCTCTCTTTCTTTTTTTTTTTTGACTCTTAGCTTTTGTTTGTTGACGATTGCTTGTTTGTTGACTAAGAATTTCGTTTTCTATTTAACCTCATGCCTGCTACTGCATCCTCCAACAGCACTCTTTTAAACCAGCTGCACCCTGATTGGGTGGATATGGATATTGAGAATTTGGGGAAATCGTTTTATAATAGTGAATACCTTCCTTTAAGTAATACTATTAAATCCTTGAAAGCAAAAACTTTACAAGAAGCGTTACTCAACCAACAAGAGGATATTTTAATTGAGTATCTGCAGTCTACAGAAGGCTTGATAAATAATCGTATAAGATCAAAAGTTTGGCCAATTCTTTTGGGTTTAAAGCAGAATCAAGATGATTCGGTTGATTTGGATTCTAATGTTGCTGAAGATTATATGTCAGCTTCTGATTCTTCAATCAAACCACTGAAAAAATTGGCTCTTTCTGAAAGCGCTTCTTTTCTACTTGAAGACTTGGACTTCAATGATTTGCCTCCTCATCGGGATGAAGATCAAATAAAATTAGATATTCAAAGATCATTCACTATATTATCTCACGCCCAATCATTTCTGCAACAATCCCAAGCTGAATCCTATACAACTATGTATTCCAATTCTGATATTGAAGAGTTAAGAAAAAAATTGATGAGTCTAATAATCAAAGTATTAAGGAAGTACCCTTCTTTACATTATTATCAAGGATATCATGATATTGCTAGTATTATATTGTTGGTTTGTTATGATAATGGCCAACAGTCGCAACCTAAAGTAAATGAAGAATTGGCTTTTCTTCTTCTAGAAAAACTAAGTGTTTTCCATTTGAGGGATTTCATGATTACAGACATTAATCTTTCTGTTGATCATTTGAAATTGATTCCAACTTTATTAGAATGTATTGACTCAAAACTTTTCGGATTATTAATGCAAGCAAGTAATATATACATTGCTACAGATGGACTTTATTATGATTATACTTTTTATCAAGCCCTATCATCTATCTTAACTTTTTTCAGTCATGATATCAACAATTTACATCATCTACTTGTAATTTGGGATTTTTCACTTGCACAGAACTCGGTTCTTGCAAATATATATATTTATGTTTCTTTCTTGTTACACTATAAAGAAAAGATTTTTGAGGAATTAAATATATCCCATATCCTTGCTTCAGATGAAGATTGCTTTGATTTCTCGAATGTTGATGCTGACTTGTTGCATACTTTAATATCACCAGCAAGTTTATTCAGCGACTTAACTGATGCTGATTTAATTAAGATTTTGAACAAGACCAAAGAATTAATCAAAGACTATCCTATTAATGAGTTGGAAAATACTTCTCGTACTTTTAAGTTATGGTTTAATGATCTTAATAAACACTCCGTTCTTTTGAATACGTCCGATATCAATACTGATAGAATTGCAAAAAATGAGAAATATGATTCTTTATTAAGTGGATCTCTATCGGAAGCTTTATCGAAATCTACTAGCTCAGAAAATGCTACCCACCAGGAATTCCCAGAAGATCTTTCTGCCTTGATCAAGAGCCAGGATGAAGAAATGGTTCTGCAAACAAAGTATGATGCTAGTGTGCAACAAAGGATCTTTGAACAACAGGAATCACTTGCCACTTCAATGAGCTCAGTGTGTGATGATGATTTGAATAGTTCTTACCCACTGTTGTCTTCCTCGTTATCAAGCCTTTCTTCCGCTTCTTCGTCTATCAATACAAAAATTGTCACAACTTCTTCCCTTTTGTTCAAAAAATTATTCAGTGTGCCCTCACATGAAAGTGATGAAAACAAATCTCATGATGTTACGAAGCGGAATAGAAACCTCTCCTTATTCAGCAATATTACTAAAATTAGCTTTACAATTGGTCTTATAGGATTCTTATTACATTTCTTGTTAGTCAGAAACCATCCAAGAGTTCTTAGGTTAATTCCGCTCAATGAAATTACTAATGAACTTTCATCTAAAAGTATGAACATGGCAGCTGGTGTTGGTAACAACTTGGGGAAACTTTTCAATTATATCGCCACTTACGGCGTGGTAAATCGTGGTCTCCACATGGGACAACTCGGACTAGGTAATATACGAGAGGGTGTGTATGGTCCACCTTAATGTGAACAATTTTTGATGAACTCCTTTGATTTTTCATGATTCAATTCTTCTGTATTATCTATTTATCTCCTCTGGTGAGGTCTTATTTTAGTTCTTGAATTTTTAATTTTTCGTTTTTTTATTCAATTCATTATTACATAAAAGTGATCTTCGAATTGATTTGTGTATAGGCTTTTTTTAAAGCTTTTTTTAATCGTTTTATTATTCGTTTATTTTCTTTTTCTTATATTTCGAATCTATATAGAAGTGTCTAATAAAGTTACAAAAGTCATTAGCATGACAAAAAAATTAGCTATTAATTTTCAAAGTCGATTTCGTAAACGAGAACAGTATCTGTAAAGGTTGAATGGCCCCAACCTCTATTACCACTAGCACTCACCATGAATCTACCGGTCTCATCACAATATAAATGACTTAATATACCACCATGATGACCTGGTATAATTAAAAATGGAGTTGCTTGTTTTGATTTGTTGTTTGAAGCTGAGGAATTTGAATCGTAGAGTTGCAAATTATATAATCTTATATTATCATTTGAACCACAAAGTAAAAAATCATTATTTGGCATGGTTGATATGGCACTGACTGGACCAGATATTTTTGGGAATTGTAATAATTTCAGTACATTTGGCACCATAGTATCTTTATTTTGACCAGTGTGAGATCTTTTATGAGGCATTCTTATTGAGAATTCTTCGACTGTACTATTTCTACGACCAGCATAAATATATTCACCATCATTTGACCAACATGACGACATACACCAAGGAGGTGTTCCTTCAGATAAACCAATTCTTAATACAGCCGACGAAATTCTAGCATCCCATATATTAATGGTACCGTCCACACTTGAACTCATAAATATATCATCATTTGAATAAGTTTTAGTTGTTATGTTGGGAGTTTTATTTATGGAAGGGTTCTGTTTGTCAAGAGATTCTTTTTCTTTTTGCAGGTCATCTTCTTCATCATCATCACCAAATAATGAATCAACATCACTATTATTATTATTACTGTCTAATTTAGATGAAAGGTTATTATCGGGGTTTAATTGAGTGGTACCATTACTCTGATTGATTATCAGGCCCGAAGGTAAATTATCCATTGATTCATTAACTGATATTAGAACATCTTCTAAACCTTGAGGTCTATATTGAATTTTTGAAATTTGACTGGAGCTCCCCGAAAATAAGGTAACACACTTACCAGAGTTTAAATCCCATTGTCTAATTGATTTATCCCAAGAACCAGAGAGGAATTTTTTTTCATCAGAATTTAAAGTTATAACTGAAACAGCGTCATTATGACCATTATCTAAAGTTGGTCCGGACCTTTTACGTTCGCCGTGATTGAAATAATGGTGAGTGAAACCTTCATTATAAATCATAGTATAAAGAGATATACCTCCTGATAATAACCCCGACAAGCACCAAAACCCATTTTTTTCAACGTCAAGAGAATAAACCGGGTTAATTTTAGGTTCATAACTAACTGAGCCAGTTATAAAATCACTTTGTTTTAATTTTGGGTTTAATTTCATTAATTCACTTTTGGTTAAAGGTTGTTCATTTTCCCAATAAGAAGATATTACCCCGGCTTTTGTAATTGAATCTACTAAATTATGTCTTTGGGCCATTGTTAAAGGAGATTTACCTTCGATTGATTGGAAAAAATCATATTTTCTAATGAAACCATCTTCACCACCGGTTAATATCCATTTGGGGCCAGATGTGAATGCAAGAGAATGGCATTGAGAAGTATAAGGAATTGCAACTGAAGGTACAATATCAAAAACGGTTGCAATTTTAGCCTTTGTAATAGTTTGTTGTCTGAATTCTAGAGGAGTCAACGTTTTAGATTGTTCGGATTTTTCGGGCTCCTCGTTATCATCTGCCTTACCGTTTTCTTCTTCATTTTTATCTATTTCATCCATTTCAATATCTTCTTCGTTCACTTCTTGATTATTTGATAATTGTTGTTTTGCTTCATCGTTTTTCTGGTCTTCTTTAGTATCTATATCAATTGCCTTTTCTTTATTCAAATCACTCGGCTTAGCATTCGGTATATCGTCTTTAGAATCAGTAAACTTTTCTTCTGCGTCCATAAATTTACCATCTTCATTATCATTATCATCATCTTCGTCATCTTCGTCTTCTTCTTCGTCTTCGCCCTCTTCTTCCTCCTCATCCTCTTCTTCCTCGCCCTCTTCTTCCTCCTCTTCTTCTTCTTCCTCGTCCTCGTCCTCGTTCTTTGCATCTTCATCGTCTTGATTATTATCTAATTCCATATCATCTTGATGGGTGGAATCGTTCATATTAATATCATTGTTAGTATCAAGTAGAAGGTCCCCGTTACCTTGGTCATGTTTATAATCATTAGAATCAGGAATATCAAACAAATCACCCTCCGACATTCTCTCTATTCAAATACTGTTGCAAGAATTGATCATGAAAAGGCTGCTAAGTCAACTGTTTTTCAGTATAAGCATACAGTGTCTACCAAAAATTTTGATATTGGAGCACTTGCGCACGACCGAATAAAACAAAACAAAAAAAAAAAAAAAAAAAAAAGAAAACACCCAATTCCACGTACTGTTTCTACGTCTTTACATCAACTACAAGGAAAAGTTAGATGAATAACTGAATATATTTAAGTGAATAGATAAGGGTTAAATATAAATCGCTTATTCATAGATCCAACCGAATAAAGCTGGTTTGTATTCAGCCAATTCTTCTTTTTTGAACCATAAAGCAATTTCTTTGTTAGCAGATTCAACAGAGTCAGAACCGTGAGCAACGTTTCTACCCATGTCAATAGCGTAATCACCTCTGATGGTACCTGGAGCAGAGTTTAATGGGTTGGTGGCACCTAAAATGGCTCTACCTTGTTTAACAACATCTTTACCTTCCCAAACGGTAGCCAAGACTGGACCGGATAACATGTAAGATAACAAAGATGGGAAGAATGGTTTTTCTTGTAAATCTTCGTAGTGATCTCTTAATAAGGCTTCGGTTGGGTGGGTTAATTTAATACCAACTAATTTGAAACCTCTGTTTTCAAATCTACCTAAGATAGCAGAGATCAAACCTCTTTGGACACCATCTGGTTTAATAGCAATAAAAGTTCTTTCGTCAGACATTGTAATAGTAATTCTTGTTGTAATACAAAAGAAAAAGAAGAAGAAGATCCGAAAGAAATTTTCAAATTTCAAAGCGAAGCATGGGGTTTTTAAATTTTCATCGAAACTTGAAAAAAAACTCAAAAAAAAAAAAACTGAAAAAAAAAGTGCAAATGCCACCTAATTTAGTACTGATTTTGTGATTTGCAAAACGTCTTTTGTATTCTCATCTTCGTATTGGATGTATTGGATGCATTATGGATTGATTATACAGTAATCATTGCATGTAATGATTGCATGTAATGATTGCATGTAATGATTGCATGGATTTGATTGTATGGATGTAATGATTTAATGATTGCATGTAATGATTGGATGCGATCAGTGTCTTGATTGGATGCGATCAGTGTCTTGATTGGACCATTGGACTTGGCCTGGGCTTGACTAGTGACTGAGGCGCCCTGTGGAAGAGGGAAAGTAGTCCTTGAAGTAGAAGACCGCTTCTGAATTATCCTGGTAAATGGCAGTGGCTGCACTGGTTCGTCCCGTACCCGTTAGGCGGGCAATGTACTGGCCCAACTCCTGGTCCCGGGGCTTGCGAGCAGACGTTGACGTGCTGCATCTGGATGGTTCCATGGTTATGGTGAATCGTTTGGATCTGTCCCAATGGCAGACTTTATATGGCCGTGTTTTAGGGTATTCTTTTGCATCAAGGTAAACACCGGTACCGCAGAGGCCGGAGGGTTTTTGGTGTACGGGTGTGAAGGGGGAGATTAATAGGGTTAGGGTATTTTTGTAAACAATCTCCCATTTAATACCCATTGATAGGAAGACCTTGATTTGCAATCAGTGGTAAGTTCAACAAGATCGAAATGTCTCTGACCGTGGCCCTCACCGAACCATCACCCACCCATGCGACAATACACGTTAAACCAAGCAATATGACCGGGTTAGGAATTCAAAACGAAAATGATATTCCCAGTTTAACAAAAAGTAATAAAGAAAAACTTGATGTAAGTCCTAAATTACAAACATCTGCTAAAAGAGGACCATCCACCCCGTTATCTCCTGCAAGACACCAGAATATCATTCGAAGGAAACTCAGTCCAAAAGATACAAAAGTGTCTAGTAGTGAAAAATTATTAGATTTTGAATATACTAAATCAGAATTAATCGATTCAAAATATCAAAATTGGTTATTGGGTCAGTTTTTGAATAACCAAAAAGATATTATTAAATTTTTGGAATTAGAAAGAAATTTTTCTAACTGAATCCATCCTAATAATGAATGACTATTAATCTTGCATGCCCTTTTACCTTCTTTTCGTTGTATATTACTTTAATTTGATTTCTAAATATAAAATATATATATCCTTTATCTATATCATTCGTATTTTCTAGTAGCTTTGAAATATTCCGATAATTTGGATTCGTTATCGAAATACTTACCGTCTCTAGCGTTATTCCAATCGTTGTGTCTTTGAGCCATCTTGATCTTTTCTTCTTCTCTTGATCCTCTCTCAATTAAGTCCTCGTAAAGCCAACGTAATGCTAAGGGATGTAATGACTCCGCTAACCCGATCTTGATGGGTCTATCGGTAGGGGTCCCATTATCTTCTCCGGTTTGTTTGCTTACTTGAACCTCTTCTAAATTATTTGAAAATTCAATATTCCTCATATCAATATCATCTAATTTCTTCCCACTATTTAAATGAATCACTCGGTCACACCATTTCTTACCTAAACCATCAAATATATGGGTGGCATATATGACACAGCAATTTCTTTCTTTACATTCCTTTTTCAAGAAATTTAACAATTGCAGTCTTACTATAACATCTAAATCAACAGTAACTTCATCTAATAATAATAACTTCCATGGCTTCAATAATCCCATAACCAATTGAACCCTTCTTCTTTCTCCATCAGAAATATATGCCATGGACCAATCCGGATCTAAATCCATAATTCGAATCAACTCATCTCGACGCTCATTATAAATGTCTCCTCCAATAGACGATATCAATAACTTAACTGGAATATCCCTTTTAACAACCGGATTTGCGGCCCATTCTGTCCCAAGATATGTAATATTATTATTAATATCAGAGTTGTGCTGCTCATTTCTATTGATCGAAAACTCAAATGGATCAAAGCCTCCTATCTTTAAGGAACCCTTTTTAATCAAGGTCTTCCCGGCTAATATCTTCAATAATGTCGATTTCCCAGCTCCATTTGGTCCAATCAATAAATTGGTACTCCCCCATGGAATCTTCAAATTGATATTTTCTAACCCAATTTTCTTACTACTGCTAAATGAATAAGTAAGATTGTTGGTCTCTATGGCTAAAGTATCTGGCTCAGACATGTTAAATAGTTTTCCTTTCTATAAAAGAGATCTTTCAATTTTCAATTGATCAACTGATGAATTTTTTTTTTTTTAAATCTGTCGCAATCTCAAAGCTTTTGGCGTTTTTTCGCAGTTTATCTACAAAAATCACTGCTAACCTTCACTTCTACTATAGTACTTTTATTAAATCTAATTAATATACATAATTACAAAGAAAGCTTATATTTTTGACTCCTCGATCCATTCTAAAACGTCTTGTTTGACCGAGTTGTTTTTAATTTTATTTATAACTTCAGTAATATCATCAAAATATTTACTGTTATAATCAACAAACTTTCTTAGATAACTTTTTAATAAGCCTCTATATTCGTAAAATAACCATTGGTAGTCAATCTTCTTCATCAATCCTTCATCCTGGATTTGCTCTTCTTCGAAAGTTTTAATGATTTTAACTTGCTCATTACTTGGATCTTCTAATTTCAATTTATCTTCCACAATGGCATTCAAGTTATCAACAATCAATTTAAATAATAGTAAAATTGAATCCTTGAATTCTTCGGTTTCCTCATTCTTAGAACTTACACTTAAAATTCTATTGACCGATTCCATACATGAAACATTTTCAATAATTAAATTAGAGTCCAAGTTTAAGGATTTCTCAATTAAGTAATTTGGTTTTAAAATACCAAATTCAATCAAATATTCTAAAATCAAAAATGATACTTGGGGCTGGTGGATCCAAATTCTAAAAATGGATTCAATTACCCAATTCTGGCGTTCACTGAATTGTTCCTCACTTAAGTCTAATTTTTCAAATTTATACTCATTAGGTATTTGGTAGTCTTCCTCTTTGATATCAACACCACTGATGAACTTCAACTTGTTGACATCACGGCTTAATATACTGACTATCGAGTAAATAGATCTTGATCCAATATAAGCATACGTTTGGAATATCAAATTTATTAAAAATTTTTCTGGTTTAATATTTTCGACATTTGATGCTTCTTCTAAAATAGAAGAAATCAAGTCTTTAAATTCTTCATTGGGTTTCCAATTACTTATAATGAAATCATATACCTTGTTTGAAATTTCATTAAGTGGTAATTGAGGATTGGAAAAATTATATATCAATTCCTCTTGTGGTGAAATGGCCAATGGGTTTATGCTTTCTTTCCTTTCACGGATGAGCCCAGACAATAAATTCTTTATCTCTTCATTATCAGATCCATATACATCGCTATCATAATTTATGATATATTCGACTTCATTGGAAAATAACGAAATATTCAAATATTTATGGAATTCACCCAAGTGAATTAAAATAGTTTCATCTTCATTATCTGGATCTGGTTTCATGGTGACAAAACTGTCCTTGATTCTGTTCTTATTCGAAAGTCTGATTTCTTTAGAAATTAAATTTTTGATGAAATTTTTCTTTGGATGATACTTCAACTTTGATAATTTGATTGAATCGTCAACCCATTCATCCCATTTCCAACTAAATTCGAAATTTGATATTTGAATTGTCATCCAGTCTAAAAATCTAATCTTTAATTCATAATCCAACATTTCTAAATGATTATAGAAATATCTAATTGCTCTACCGAAAACTGGAGCGATGGATTCTGGACTTTCACGACAACAAGCAATTAATACTGTATAATAGTAAATTTCATAGTGTAATGGAGTTGGTAATTGGAAAATCATTGTCAAGATACTTTCAACAGCAACATCTTCGACTTTCCAAGTTGATAATGGGGGTGAGTTTTCACCCGACTTATTGTCTTGATGGATCATACTTAACTGATCAATAGATGAACCTGGAGGTGTGAATAAATTTCTTGAAAAGAACAAATCAAGAATTGACAATTGAATAGAAGCTTCCTTTTGATTAAACGATAAGTTCGTTAAAATATCAAACGATATATCCTTCAAAAACAAACCATGATAAGAATCAATGGAAGGAACTGTTTCAAAATCAGTTGTTATGTTATAAACTTGGAACAAAACTCTTGGGTGTTTTTTCCATAAATTATCAATTGACCCCCTAGGTTCATAAGTTTTCAAAGAATCCAAAGAGGGTGTTGACAACTGTGGTAAAGGATGCTTTACAATTTCATTTGAAATGGTATTGTTTTTTAAAGAATCTTCAATTATAGGATCAGCCAATTCTTTAAAGTTAATGAATAATTTATCTTTCAAATCACTCCAAGATTTATCTTCACCTTGCAATTTAACGATTGAAGGCAAGATTAAGTTGATCATTTTTTTCAGATGATAAGGCAATTCATCATCAAAGTTCCCTGACTTAGAATCAAAAGGCTCCCAGATGGAAATTTGGTTGGATTCATCTTTATCTTTGATATTAAATTTATGACCCAATTCAACCAAGTCATTAACATGTTTAATCATCTCATCAGAAAAATCATTACTCAATAAATATGGTAAAGCAATCAAAACGTTGTAAAAGATTTCTTCTGCGACCCCATTTCTATTTTCATCGGAATCTTGTAAATCTATTGATACACTTAAAAATTGTTTAAACACATTAATGATTGAATAATCACTAATGATTGGTGACAAGGTTGCTAAAAACTTCAAAATCGATTTCAAATTATTGAGAATACCAGCATCTTCATTGAATGCGTCATCTTTAGCATCTTTACTTGCCGGTTTAGAGTCATCTTTATCGATTTCGATATCATCAGCTGATTTTGCTTGTTGAGTTTTAACAGCATCTAATAAAGTTTGCATTTTAGCATGAAAGAATTCAATAACATATTTTGAAACTAAAAAGTTTTTAGCATTACATATCAATATCAATATACTTAAGCAATTGATTTTTTGAGGTTGTTCAATTACAACTGCGTATAAGGTATTCAAAATTGAAGTTCTTAAATTATCAATTTTTTCAAACTCGGCCACAATTGGATTGGAAAAGTATGATATCTCATCAACCTGATTAGCAATATTGTTGTTTTCACCTAATCTTCTGATATCTTTACAAATATTCAAAATTAATTCAGCAGTTGGATCGATATGCTGTTTCTTGGACTCATAATCATCGAGCGGACCTGCATTGTAGTGACCACCTTGCAGTTCTTCGTATTCATCTCTCGTTCTCTTACCCAGGTTATACTCCATCTTAGTCTTGAAAGCTATAACTTTGAGTACCGTAAAAAGAGCCTACTGTTAAACTTGAATACTGTTAGCGAAATATTTCATTTTTTCGTTCAAACGAAAACATCGCAGTAGCAAAAACATCGGGTTTTCTCACCAGTACATCTCTGCCTTTTTCCTACTTGAGCTTCTTTGTTAATTAACAGCCAAAATACTTCGTGCTAAGATGAATGCCTTGGTTCTTGACGGAGCATTAGGGACACAACTAGAGTCGATTATTCCACCAGACTCGCCTCTTCAAATCAAACTGAACCCACTTTGGCTGACCCAAGTTTTGCTTAAAGAACCCCAGCTAATCCAACAGATTCACGAAAAATATGTCAATAGTGGGGCTGACATTATTACAACTTCGACTTATCAAGCGTCGAGGGATACGTTGAAGAAGTATTGTAACTTTGGAGATTTGCAAGTGTACGATATTTGGGATAAATCCATTGAGTTGGCATACCAAGCTGGCAGACTGACATCCAGAAACGTATTTGTTGGAGGATCTATTGGTCCTTATGGAGGATTTCTTGCTAATGGATCAGAGTATACTGGTGAGTATAAAAGTGCAATTTCTAGAACTATAAGGGACTACCATTTACCAATGATTTACTACTTCAATAGACATAAGAAGGTTGATTTGATAATGCTAGAAACCATTCCAAGTTTTGAAGAGGTTAAAGTAATCATATCGATTTTAAAACACTTGAATAATTTGAAATATTTCAGTATAAGTTTGAGTATGAAGTCAACTACTGAGTTGGCGGATGGAACTCCTATACAAGAAGTCGTCAAGTATTTAGATAAACAGTTGGACCAATCGCTGAAATTGCGTGAAAAATTGGTGTCGGTTGGCTGCAATTGTGTTGATTTTCAATTAGTGGAAGGGATATTCGAACAGTTTAACAAACTGTCCTATGAATTACCATTAATTACCTACCCCAATTTAGGATTTGGTGACTATTACTTTCTTGGTACAGATTATAGCCATTTAAGTAATACTGAAAAATGGGCACAATTAGTTAAAAAATGGCTTACATTTAAAAATATTAGGATAGTAGGAGGATGTTGCAGTACAGGGCCCACAGAAATAGGAATAATTAGGAATTTAATAAATAAATAACATTAACATTAAAGAGATGGAATCAAATATATACTTTTTTATAGAAGGAGTAATTATATATAAGATATAGAGAGGTTCATATTAAGGGATGTAAAACATAATAACATTATTTGAAATAAAAATACACTAGCAACATTAATCATAAAAAACCAACCTTTGACGGAAAGGAAACAAGATGCAAAAAACAATAAAGGCATTACTAAAGAAGTTTGAACATTAATAAGCAACTATGAATGGTAATATGAATAGTTGGATAGCAAAAAAATTAAATTAAATTCTCGATTTCAACCAATCTTTATAGGCAAAGATTGCCATTTCCCAAGCAACCAATAAGGCAACGAATCCAAGACTGATATTAAGAGTGAACATTTCGGTTAAGCCATAGTATTCAAAACAGTAAATGACAGGATCGGTTGATTCCATAAAAATCAAACCACCACAGATCAAACAGAAACTAGCAATTAATTCAGTGATTGGTCTTGAAGGTTGAGTTAAGTTTTTATTTGGAGGAGAAAGTAACATTAGTAAATAAGTCAAGAATCTAAAAGCACAAGCAATCACAAATAAACCACCCCATTGAACATGGATAGCGGTTGATAATGCAGAAGCTTGTTGATGTTTTGACATTAAATAACCAGTCCAGTAGATGGTTAAAACAGGGAAAGGATTAGGGGAAAAGCCCGGGGAAGCTTTGACAATGGAATCTTCTGAAGGAGAATTGTTGATAATTTGATGATTATCTTTAGCTTTGTCAAATCTCCAAGTATTTAATTTAATTTCAGTAAGTACCCCACAAAAACCTAAGCCAATAAAGATAAAAGCAATTGACGCATGTTGTAAATCTTTTGAAGACCATTCACCACCAGAATTGGATAAATGTTCCAAAAAAATGTTAGTACAACCATAGAAAAGAACCAAGCCAGACTCAATTAATTCCATTGTCCAACAACCAATTGATTGCCAACTACGATCAAATCTACCTAGTTTTTGGTGTCTGAAAATGAATTTATGATTCCAAGCCCAACCTTTATTAGTGAAAGCACCACAATAACGGGCCAAGTAAAGTAAACCTAATGAAAAAAAGACACCACCTTTAATAAAGTGAGCCAATAAATTGAAAACGCTTTTACCTTTACCCAACAAGAGGAAAGTTGCAATCATAGTTGGGAAATAAACAAGAAAGTAAAAGAAATGATACCAATTAAAGATACTAGCAGATAAAACAGAAGCATTACCACTAACATCAATCAATTTTTTAATGATTGGTATGTTAAATAAAAACAAAAACTTTTTAGGAGGTTGATGTGGTTGTTGATTCGTTAATAGCGAATTTTGAGAAGTTTTCAAATGCATATTAGTCAATTCAAAAGAATTAGAAGAATTAGTACTACTACGATGCAAGTCATCATTTGGATTAGATGAAGAGCCCGATTCCACTCTGGTAACAACGTCATCATCATAGTCATAATCTACTACGTCATCGTCATCATCTCCAATAACAAAGCGATTCGGAAACAATCTTGACTGGTAACCAACCGCTATTACGGAAGCAACCCAATGAAATAAAGTAGTGAAAAACAAAATCCACGACATTTTATCATAGGCATTCCCAGGATACAAATCCGGAATCGACTTGATAAAACTGGCATAGTTTAATACAGAAAACACAACGAGAACACAATGAATAGTCAACGTCGGTAAATAAGCTTTATGATGAAGATTATTAAGCACCAAGACAATTGGATATAGTAAGATAAAACTAAAACACAATGTTCCAATATGCAAATACAAGTTAACCTTGTTGTTAGACTCAACCGTAAAGTAAGTGGTTGTATTGTAAGCGTCCCACCACTGTTTTTCCAATGGTTTCAAATGAGTCTCGAGAATCGGCCTCCCGTGGGCATGCTCCATCACATGAGGTATTGGGGTTTCCATACCCATGTCCATTCCTTCATTTTCTTCGTCTTCTTTATGGGTGGCATCGGCGGCTAATAACGGCAAAGATTCATCTGACCCGAGCGCGGTTAAACTTGGACTGCTTTCTTCATCGTGATGGCTCGAAGAGCCAGCGTCAATTGTCAGCACTAACAACCAAAGAGCAAGAGGTATACTTAATCTAAGTCTCATGGCGTATAGAAGAAGTAAGAATCTGATCAGTCGAGCGGGAATTCATCATGCTTAAATATGCAAATATATCAGCAAAGAAAAAAAAAAAACTCATACAAA